GATCATATTTACTTTTTTAATTAAAAAAAATCTTTCTTAATTTATATATTTGTTGAAGTAGAAATAATTATTAAATACTTTGAAAATTTTTAATTATCGATTATTAAATTAAAACTATTATACAAAATAAATTTAATTATCATAAATCCTCATAAATTTTCACCATATTTCCATATTTTGTCAATATTTATAAATAAATTAAGCAAAAAGCGGGATACAGATTTGCAGCCACAAGAATTTGAAACTTGGAAGTGAAAAGTTTCATTATATTTTTAAATTTTTTAGATTTTAATCATTTTTATGATTTTTGCTATTTTTGAGAATATAAACATTAATATTTTTTCATTTTTTTTACTCTACATCCAATTTAATAGTCTAACTTTTAGACTAAATCATTTACATTCATCTTTTGTATCATATATACTATCTTTAGTTTAATAATGAAAGAATATTTATTTTTCAAAAATAAAATAATAGCTAGATTCCTAAAATTATCTATTGTGATGTATTATTTGTGAAAAATATGCTAAAAGTAAATACTTTATTAAATCAGGAAAATAAAATACTTTTTTTCTTCTTCTTCTAATATTAAAATAAAATACTTTTTTTTTTTAATATTAAAGCAAAAATATTGATTATGAAAATTAATAATAAATTAATAATTAAATAATTAAGTAACTAACTAATAAGAAAAAAATTATTGATCAAAATAAATTTTAGTAAAAATAATGAACAGAAATATCAATAATCCACAACTGTTTAACAAAAACAACAAATAAGATGAATAAAAGGATATAGAATTTAAATCAAATCCATTTAAATTCTAAAAAGATCCTGAACCCGCACCAATATAACCAGCTAATAATTTCAATAATTTTTTCAACTTTTCAAATCAAAATGAAAAAAAAAAAGAGATTAATATCAATACTGATCCAATAAAACCTTAAAACAATGTAAAAGAGAAGAAAGAATGGGATGGAGATTTTTTTTATGCTGAAATAAATGAAATACACATTCCTATTCCAAGTTTTGTTCAATTTACAATTTTAGATAAAATATGCAATCTTTTAGAACAAGCTTAAAATTAAGTTAATGGTTATTTGGAAAATCCAAAATTAAAAAACTAATTTATAGAAAAGATACACAAAGAATTTATTAAAAAAAATGAAGCTTTAATAGATAAGTTTTGTAAAAAACATCAATAATTGAATGAAGAAAAAAAAGAAACAGAACTCAAAGTACTTAACAACTCTAGTGAAAAGAAAAAAAATCCAAATCATAAACGAAATTAATCAAGCAATGCTTTAGCGATGCATATCAAAACATAGGAAAAAATTTACGATGATAACTTTAAAGCAGATAAAATTGAAGGTGACAGATAATCTCATAATTCATAAGCATCTCGTTAATCTTAATTGAATTAAGGCTTAATTAACAAATACTAAATTCATAACAATAACATACTTTAAATGATTAACTATGAAGATGATTTGGAATAGCTTTTTGAGACATTTATTGATAAGAACGAAGAAAATGACTTGATAATATTTTCAGACATTAAAAAATAAATATAATTAATAGAAGAAAAATAAAAAGTAATGAATAAGAAAACAAATAAAATCAAATACCCTTTCTTAATTAATGAAAGTGACCTTGTAATAGATGAGGACTATGTTGAGTAAATCATGTAAAAAGTTAATCGGTTTGGTGTAGATAAGTGTTAAGTGTAGGAAAGAATAAACTAAGCTCTTAAAACTGAAACTATAACTATCAGTTTTAAAGAAAATAAGTTATTGAAAACTATTGCATATTCAATATTATATCGTAGCATTTGCTAGTAAGAGCTTGAGGGTGCAAAGAAGTTTATTTACAAGATTTTAGGCTATATCAACCCAAAATAAAAAGGAAATAAATATGAACATTTTCTTCTCAGGCAAATTTTCTTACACTTTTTATGTATCTTGTTAACTAAATCTGCTAAGTATAAATAGTCAGCAACTAAATTCTTAAATAAAATTTTTAGTTTTGAGTTCGTTTCTTCATTGATTTTAAATTACATGTTGAATTCAGCCTAAAAAATAATCAAATTATAAAATACAGATGAAGATGGAATAAAAGACCAGACAGAGTGTTTAGCAAAAGGATATAACTTAGACTTATTTTTAATTGATCGCAATCATAAAGTTAAAAAATTTAAGCAAAACAAAAAAGATTTGGCATCTAATATAATTTTTATTTATTTCGAATAATCTTTTAACTAAGAACCAAATTAGGCAGTTTACTTTGTCACAAATCCTAATGACTAGCTACTTGCTTTTATGTGAATATAAATTAAAGTATTATTATCTAAAGATAATATTTAATGATCATTATAATAATAATCTTATTTATTGATTTTATTTGATTTGATTTACTTTTTTTACTATCTATCTTTTTGTTTGTAACTAATTCTGATCAAATTTAGTTTTTTAATTTAATCAAAAATCTTTGTTAATTTAAATATTTGTTGAAGTAGAAATAATTATTAAATTTTTGAAAAATTTAAATTATAAATTTCATTATAAAATTAAAACTATTAGACTAAATAAATTTAATTATTTTAAATTTCTCTAAAGAAGTTGAATTTATATGGTTTATAGATGAATCTTTACAGGGCAACTTCACAAAGAGAAGCCAATCTAATTTTTTATTTTATTCTATTTATAGGTGCATACTATGTTTTTAATTAATTAGTAACTAAAAAAATTTATTATTAATTGAATGAGGGTTTTAAATAGTAATACTGACAAAGTGAATGAAAAGGAAGTCTTTATTTTTATAAAAAAATAGATTCAAAAAAATATTTATTTCTAATACCATAGTATTTTGGTGTTTTCTAATTATTATAATAAGTAAAATAAGTCCTTTTTTTTAAAAATAACTTTTAATTTATTAACATTTATAAATCTAAATATCATCTATCTATTATCTATTAAATTAAATTTTTGATAATTATTATTTTTTTCAAAATTTTAAGGTATGTTAGATTTGAATTTGGATAGATAATATTTCTACTTTTTTAAATATTTAAATGTAGTTTGTTATAAAAAATAAATTGTTTTAAATGATATCAATAAAATATATTGATTATTAGATTTTTAGAATATCTTTTACATTCCAATATTCTAGAAATAAAAATATTTTTAAATTTGTTATACAGAAGTAGATTTTAATTAATCTTAGGATAATATACGCATATAATATAACAATAAAAAAGATGGAATTAAAAGAATCATAAATTGACTTAAAAGAATTGAACTCCTTCTTAAATTAGTTTAGGAAGATAGTTGTTTAGGAATTGCTGAAGGAGTAAATAAGGCATATTGGGGTAGAGATTGAGTAAAATTTTAAAGCCTAGGTATACTAACTAAATAATTAATGGATGTTATGATAAACTTAATTAAATAGAAAATGATAAAATGAAGAAATCAATTGCTAAAAGCTTCTAATAAGCTAAAATACAACAAATGAATCCAAGTTCTAAAGATATATTTGGGGACAACGACTTTGAAGCTTTTTGAAGCAGCTAGGTGAACTAATAAAGTTTAGATTTAAATATGCGTGAATATATAAAACATAGACTCTCAATATTCTTTGTAAATATTATGTAAAAGTAAAAGTGATAAATAAGTAAAGTGTGTGGCTAATAAATTAATCTTAGAAATTATATCAGAAATTATATTGCTTTTTTAATTATTGCACATATTTATTTTATTTTAACACTCTTTATTTTTACGAATTAACTTTCATTAGTAAGTGATTCTTTCTTTAAAAAGAAAAAAGAAAAAACTTTTTAATTATGTAAGAATTTGTCTATTTTGAATGAAAATTTGATCATAGGTTTTGATTATTTTTATATTTTTGACTTATCTGATGTAATAAAATAATAAATTGCGCGAATATACTACAATATAATGCTATAATAAATCAATTATAGCTGTGTTTAATGATTTATAATTTTCTTTTTGAAGTATTATAAATATCTTTATCTATTATAAAACTCTTACTAACTTTAGGCCAATTCGGCCAAGGCCAGTATTAGATAATGCAGCATTTAAATTAAAATATTATTAATTGATTGATTATTTTTAAGAAGCAATCATAGGAATTTACAAAGTATCAATATATATGTGCGCGATTGTATATGCAAAATAAAGATAAATAGAATCAATATTTTTTGTAAATATTATGAAAAGATAAAAGCGAGAAGTAAATTGTGTGGCTACAAAATTTATTTTAGCAATTAAACCAGAAATTATAAAGCCTTTTAATTTGTTGAGCATTTTTATTTTACTTTCACACTCTTTCTATTTGATTGAAATAGACTGTTATTAGTGAGTGATTTTATTTTGAAAGATTGAGAAGGTATAAAAACAAAAAATAAAAATATTTCTTAATTAAGTAATAAGAATAGTAGGTATACATTGAAATTTGACAATAGGTTTTAATTATTATTCTATTTATTTTCGACCTATGTTATCAAATAAAAAATAATAAATTGAGCAAATAAACCATAATAAAATGCTAAAACAAATATATTATAGCATGGTTTTAAAGCTTGATAGTTTTTCTTTTTGAGATATTATATATATTTTTATCTACTGTAAATACTCTACTAACTTTAACCAATTGTATTATTATTTCTCATCACAAATATGGATTAATTTTTTTACACTAGGCCAATTTAATACTCTAAATTTTAGACTAAATCATTGAAAATGAGGTATATATGTATACATCTTTTATATCATATATACTATCTTTAGTTTAATAATAAAACAACATTCAGTTTTCACAGATAAAATATAGAAACCTTCCTAAAATTTTCTATTCTGATGTATTAAATTAAGAAAATAAAATACTTTTTTTTTTTTTTTGTAATATTAAAACAAGAAGATTAATTATGAAAATTAATAATAAATTAATTTAATAAATAAATAAGTAACTAACTAAATAGTTAGAAAAAGTTATTGATCAAACTAAATTTTAGTAAAAAAGATGAACAGATATATCAAAAATCCATACTTTAACAACAGTAATAAATAAGATGAATAAAAGGATATTGAATTTAAACAAAATCCATTTAAATTCTAAAAAGATCCTGAACCCGCAAAAAAACCAGATAATAATTTCAATAGCTTTTTCAACTTTCCCAATCGAAATGAAAAAAAAGATGACATGAATTTAAATACCGATCCAATGAAAGCTTAAAACAACACAAAAGAGAAGAAAGAATGGAATGGAGATTTTTATTATGCTGAAATAAATGAAATGCACATTCCTATTCCTACTTTTGTTCAATTTACAATCATAGATTAGATATTCAATCTTTTAGAACAAGCTTAAAATTAAGTTAATGATTAATTCGACAATCCAAAATTAAAAAACTAATTTTTAGAAAAGATACACAAAGTATTTATTAAAAAAAATGAGGTTTTAATAGATAAGTATGGTAAAAAACCTTAAGAAGAAAAACCCAAAGAAACAGATAACACAGACTAACCTAGAGTAAAGAATATAAATCCAAGACAAGAGCATAAACGTTAAGAATCAGGAAATAATTTGGAAAAACATTTGGAAAGAGAGGGTAAACTTTTCAATATTAACTTTAAACCAAATAAAATTGAAGACGACAGATAATCTCATAATTCATAAGCATCGAATTAATCTTAATTTAATTAAAGTTTAATTTAGAAATACAAAATTCATAACAAATATTAATTAAATAGCTATGAGAATGATTTGAAAAAATTTTTAGTGTAATCAATAAATTACAGCTAACAAAATTGCTTTAAAATATATTAAGATATTTAGCAATAAATATAATTAAAAAAAGATGAATAATAAGTAAAAAATAAGAAAACAAATAAAATCAAAAACCCTTACTTATATAGTGATAATGACTATCAAATAAATGAAGAATAGTTTGATAAAATCATGAAAATTGTTGATAAGTTTGGTGTAGATAGGTGTTAAGTATAGGAAAAAATAAACTCAGCTCTTAAAACTGAGACTATAACTATCAATTTTAAAGAAAATAAGGTATTGAAAACTATTACATATTCAATATTATATCGTAGCATTTGCTAGTAAGAGCTTGAGGGTGCAAAGAAGTTTATTTACAAGATTTTAGGCTATATCAACCCAAAATCAAAAGGAATAGAATCTGAAAATTTTCTTCTCAGACAAATTTTCTTACAATTTTTATGTATTTTGATAACTAACACTGACTATAAAAAGTAAGCAACCGAATTCTTAAATACTATTTTTAGTTTTGAGTTTTTGTCTTCATTAATTTTTGATTACATGTTGAACTCAGCCTAAAAAATGCTCAAATTAAAAAATTCGGATGAATGTGGAATAAATGAGCATATAGAATGTTTAGCAAAAGGATATTACTTAGACTTATTGTTAATTGATCGCAGTTAAAATGTTAAAAGAAGTAATCATAGCAAACAAGATAATTTGGGATCTAATTTAATTTTTATTTATTTCGAATAAACTTTAAACTAAGATCCAAAATAAGCAGTTTACTTTGTCATTAATCCTAATGACTAGCTACTTGCTTTTGTGTGATTAAATTAAAGTATTATTATCCAAAGATGATAATTAATAATCATTATAATAATAATCCTTTTTATGGAGTTTATTTGATTTACTTTTTTTTCTATCTATCTTTATATTTATGTTTTATTTGTAGCATATTCTGATCAAATTTAGTTCTTTAATTTAAACAAAAATCTTTGTTAATTTAAATATTTGTTGAAGTAGAAATAATTATTCTATATTTTTTAAAGTTTAAATTATAAATTTCTTTATAAAATTAAAATTGTTTAAAAAAATAAATTAAATTATTTTAAATTTATCTAAATAAAAAAAATAAATTGAATATATAGGGTTTTTGGGTGAATCTTTTACAGGGCAATTTCACGAAGAGAGGCCTATCTAATTTTTATTTTATTCTAATATAAATTTATTCTCTATTGTAATGATAATATTTCTTGAATCTATGCCCGCCTAATTGCTACTTACCTCAAAATTCTTAAGATATTTACTAATTTAGTCACTCAGAAATATTGAAAGCCTATACTATTATTATATTATGAAAAAAATTAGTTTTACTAGTTATAATGATTATAATAATAAAAATAAATCCCTTTTTATAAATCATTTTGTAGAGTTTTTAATTTAGTAATATTTATCAATCTAAATATTATCTATCTATCTATTTATTATAGATCAAATTATATTTTTTGATAGTTATTATTTTTTATCTTCAAAGTTTCAAGGTGTGTTAGAATTTAATTTATCTAGATAGTACTTCTGCTATATTACATGTCTAAATTTAGTTTTTTAGAAAAAATATTTTCTATCAAATACTATCAATAATAGAAATTATTTATTAGTTTTTTAGAAAATCTTTTACATTCCAATATTCAAAAATAAAAATATTTTAAAATTTGTTATAGATGAGAAGTAATTAATTAATTTTAGGGTAACATACATTCATAAAAAACATAATATAGCAATAGAAAGGATGGATTTAAAAGAATAATAACTTGAGTTAGAAGAATTGAAATCCCTCTTAACTTAGTCTAGTAGGTAGGTATTAAGGAGTTTTTGAAGAAATAAATAAGACATTTTGATGTAGAAATTGAGTAAAATATAAAAGCCTAGGTAAGCTAACTAAATCATGAATGAACATGATTAAAAATGTATACTAAATAGGAGATGATAAAATGAAGGAAACAATTGCCAAAAGCTTCTAATAAGCTTCATGACATCAATTGAATCCAAGTTCTAAAGATAATTTGGTTGATAATGACTTTGAAGATTTTAGAAGCAAGCGCGTAACTGAGCTGATTAAGTAAGTATAGATGTATATATGCATGAATATATAAAACATAGATTATCAATATCTTTTGTTAATATTATATAAAAGTAAAATTGTGCGGCTAATAAATTAATCTTAGAAATTATATCAGAAATTATATAGCTTTTTTTATTTCATGTATTGATTTTATTTTACCACTCTTTATTTTTTGAAATAAACTGTCATTAGTGAGTCATTCTATCTTTTTTGTTGGTTTGAAATTTGATCATAGGTTTAGATTATTTTTATTTTAGACCTATCTGATCAAATAAAAATAATAAATTGCAGAAATATACCATAATATAATGCTATAATAAACCAATTATAGCTTGTGTTTAAAGTTTTATAATTTTCTTTTTAAAGTATTATAAATATTTTTATCTATAATAAATACCCTTATTAGCTTTAGCCAAATTTGGCTAAGGCTAATATTAAATGACGCAGCATTTAAATAAAAATATTTTTAATTTATTGATTATTTTTAAGAAGTGACCATAGAAACTAATAAAGTTAAATTATATATTAGTGTGTGTGTATATGGAAAATAAAGATAGATATATATATTCTGAATGTATATTTATTTATACTTTTAGATTGAATTTATATTTTCTACCTATCTTATGAAATAAAGAATAATAAATAGAGCAAACAAATCATAATAAAATGCTTTAACAAATAAATTATTGCATATGTTTAATGCTTTATAGTTTTCTATTTGAAATATTATAAATATTTTTATCTACTATAAATACTCTACTTACTTTAACCCAATTTGGTTCAGGCTAGTATATTAGTGGATTGAATTTTTTTTATACAACAACCAATTTAATAGTCTAAATTTTAGGCTAAATCATTGAAAATAAGGTATATATGTATGAATATCTTATATAATGAATTCTATCTTTATTTTAAATAAAGAAAGAGCATACTGTTTTCACAAATAAAATGACAGCTTAATCCTAAAATTTTCTACTTTGATGTATTATAAGTGAAAAATAAGCAGAATATAAATAGATGATACAATCTAATCTATTTAGATTAAGAAATTAAAATACTTTTTTTTGTAATATTAAAACAAAAACATTAAATATGGAAATTAATATATAAATAAATAAATAATTAATTAACTAAATAATTAGAAAAAAGTATTTGATCAAACTAAATTTTAATAAAAATGGATTAATAAAGATAAAAACGCCCTTTAATAATAAAAGAAATTGGATTCATGCCCTAATTTGAAAATATCGACAACAATGGCGACAAGAATAACAACAACAATTAAGATGAAATAAAGAGTTTTATATTGAAAAAAAAAGCGCTTGTATTTAAATGTCAACCCGAACCCACTAAAGAATCAGTAAATGATTCAAATCATATTTTCAACATACTGAATCTAAATCAAAAAAAAATGAAATGGACATTAATACAGATGCCATGAAAGCTTAAAACAAAATAAAAGAGAAGAAAGAATGGGAAGGAGATTATTATTATGCTGAAATAAATGAAATAAACATTCCTATTCCTGGTTTTGTTCAACTTTCAACCATAAAGGAGATATTCGCTGCTTTATAAGAAGCTTAAAATTAAGTTAATGATTATTTGGAAAATCCAAAATTAAAAAACTAAATTTTAGTAAAAAATCTCAAGAATTGAATGAAGTAAAAAAATAAAAAAACAAAGAACCTGACAACTCTAGTGAAAAGCCTAAAATTTCAAACCATAAGCGAAATGAATCAGAAAATATTTTAGGAATGCATTTGAAAAAATAGGATTAAGTATACTAAGATAACAACAAAGCAAATAAATTAGAAGCTGACATAAAATCTGATTATTCATTAGCATCTCACAAATCTTAATTTAATTAAAGTTTAATTTAGAAATACAAAATTCATAACAAAAATTAATCAAATAGCTATGATAATGATTTGAAAAAGCTTTTTGAGCAAATAATAGACTACAGCAATAAAAAATTCATTGAATTATATTATGAAATTTAGCATTAAATATATTTAAATGAAGAAAAATAAAAAGCAAAGAATAAGAAAAAAATTACCAAAAACCCTTTCTTATTTAGTGATGATGACTATCAAAAAAAAGAAGAGTAGTTAAATAAAATCATGAAAACTGTTGATAAGTTTGGTGTAGATAGGTGTTAAGTTTAGGAAACAATAAACCCAGTTCTTTAAACTGAGACAATGAGTATCAATTTTAAAGAAAATAAGGTATTGAAAACTATTACATATTCAATATTATATCGTAGCATTTGCTAGTAAGAGCTAGAGAGTGCAAAGAAGTTTATTTACAAGATTTTAGGCTATATCAACCCTAAATCAAAAGGATTTGAATCTGAAAATTTTCTTCTCAGGCAAATTTTCTTACACTTTTTATGTATCTTGTTAACTGAAGCTGAGTATAAATAGTAAGCAATCGCATTCTTAAATTAAATTTTTAGTTTTGAGTTCATTTCATCATTAATTTTAGATTACATGTAGAATTTAGCCTAAAAAGTACTCAAATTAAAAAATGACGATGAAAATGGAATAAATGAGCATGTAGATTGTTTAGCAAAAGGATATAACTTAAACTTATTTTTAATTGATTGCAATCATAATGTTAAAAAATGCAATTATAACAAAAAATATAATTTGGGATCTAATTTAATTTTTATTTATTTTGAATAATCTTTAAACTAAAAACCAAAGTAGGCAATTTACTTTGTCATTAATCCTAATGACTAGCTACTTGCTTTTATGTGATTAAATTAAAGTATTATTATCCAAATATAATAAATAATTAATAATCATTATTATAATAATCCTTTTTATGGATTTTATTTGATTTACTTTTTTTTCTATCTTTATATTTATATTTTGTTTGTAACTAATTCTGATCAAATTTAGTTTTTTTTTTAATTTAAAAAAAAAATCTTTGTTAATTTAAGTATTTGTTGAAGTAGAAATAATTATTCAATATTTTTTAAAAGTTTAACTTATAAATTTCATTATAAAACTATTAATAAAAATATTTTAAATTTATCTAAAAAAATTAAATAAATTGAATATATAGTGTTGCTAGATGAATCTTTTACAGGACAACTTCACAAAGAGAGGCCTATCTAATTTTTTATTTTAGTTCTAATATAAGATTTGGTCAAAATAATAATTTTGATTGGATCTACACTATATGTATATATTATATTAGTAGTATAAATATAAATTAGTGATAATTAATTATAAAGGACTTCTTTTTAATTTTAAAATGTATATACTCTGCTAGATTATTCATTATTTATCATAATTAATTTATTAATTTAAAAAAATTATACTTTGAATCAAATTTAGATAGAAAGAAAACCAAGCAAAAAAATTTATAAAAAAAATGCAATCTCAAAGGATCTAAGAAGTAAAAAACTAAGGAAACTGGAATAAATACTTCCCTAATCCTAAATAAGAAGTTATTATTAGTAAATAACATAGGGAGAGCTCCAAATAAAAAAATAGTAATAATGCATTATAATATGAAAATCGAATGAAATAAGTTTAAAATAGCTAAGATTTGTAGGGAGATTATTTTTATGCTGAAATCAATCAAATGATCATTCCAATTCCATAATTTATTAGCATTGCAACAAAAATTAAGCTAAATGAAGTCATTTAAGATATTTAATAAGAAATGGATAAAGAATTAAGCTCACTTAGATTGAAATAATAAATATTAGCCATGTTGCATAAAAATTTTGTTAATAGGAATTAAGAACTATTTTAAAGATTCAACAGTCAGCCAAATAACGAAATTGGAGAATTATAGAACATATAACAACCAAAAATTTAGATTTAATCAACAGAAAAGATTTAAGATAATCAAATAGGAAAAAAAAATAAACAAAAAACACCAGCAAATTAAGAAGTTAATTCAAACCCTTCTTTAAAAAACCATATTGAAAAAGAAGACAAATTATTTTAATAAAATCTAAAAGTAAAAGAAATGATTGATGATAACAAATCATACAAATCAAATAACACATTCAAATCTGAAAAAGTATTTAAAGAAAGCTTAATTTAAAGATATTAAGTTATTAATAGCGATATTTTTTCAGCTCCAAAAGCTAATGATTTTAAAAAATTTGTTAACAACATATTTGTTTTAAATATGAAGTCTAGCAATTAGTTGTATAATGATATACAATAATAAATAAATAAGCAAAATAATAGGAAAAGCAAAAACTTATTTTGTTAAGTTGACTACATGTATGATGCCAAATTTATAGAAGAAACCTTAAATAGTATTTATTAATTTGGAGTGGATACATGCACTCTCTAGAAAAAATAAAACTAAGTAACGATGTCTGAAACAATAAACATTAAATTTAAGGAAAGAACTATTTTGAAAACTATCACATACTCGATTTTGTATCATAATCTTTGCAAATAGGCTCCAAATTAAGCTAAAGAGTACATCTACACTTTTTTATGCCATCTCAATCCAAATTCAAAAGGTTTTGAATAGGAAAATTATATTCTGAGATAATTATACCTACATTTCTTGTAAATAATAATAAATAGTTCTGATCATAGTGAAACAATTGCCCAATTTTTAGATAGTATTTTTAAATATGAGTTTCTTTCTTCTTTAATGTGTGATCATCTTTTATTTTCTGCTTAAAAAATTCTTAAAATATAAAATAAGATCAATCAAAATAATGATCTAAATAATATTATAGAATAACTTTCAAAAGCAAATGAATTTGATTTGTATCTACTATGCAATAAACTGTCTGATAATAAAAAATACTCCTATGCTAAACATGAATCTCGCGAAATATTTATCATTTTCGAGCAATCTATGTAATAGCATCAAAGTTATCCAGTGTATTATGTCATAAATCCCAGTGATTCATTTATTTGTTAAGCAAGAAATATTTGAAATTCTAATAAATCAACATAAAGGCAGAGCAAAAATAAAATAAAATCATTCAAAAATTAAAATAATATTAGAAAAAAATATTATTAAACAATTGAAAATGTATTTTTATTTTTATACTATTATTGTTATTATTTGCTTGAATTTATTTAAATAGAGTTATTTATTAATTGATCAATTAATTAATCCTAACCTAATTTATCATCTTTCTTTTGATATCAAAAATTTTTTAAATCTTTTTAAGTTTTAAAATTAAAATTATTAAATTATTTTGTATTCGGCCGAGTCAAAAAATGTCTTATCCGGTCGATCACTAGTATCTACATTTATTTATTATCATCCAAATATATATTCTTTATTTATATTTTTCTATATTTGTTTATTTTTATTTAGTAAAATTGATTGATCAAGAATTTATTTTCCTACTATTTTAAATGGAAACAGCTTTCCTATATATTCAAGATAAGCAAGTGATGAATTAAACTAAGAAACTAATTATTTAAAAAATACAAATTTTTATAACAGAATTTTATAATATACTTACTTACTACATACTTAGTTTTGTTTTTAGATTTTATATAACAATAATTTGATTTCGTTAACACCAAATATATTTATATTTTTTTAGATGTATAAATTACTTGTAATTATAAAATATTTCTTATTTTAATGCAAATATTTATATTACCTGATTGATTATTCGTTATTTCTGATAATTGATTTATTAATTAATCTAAAAATCAAACTTTAAATCAAATTTAAATTTCGATTTAATTAATTAGAACCATGTAAAAAAATTGAAAAGAAAAATACAATTTCAAAAAATCTAAGAAATAAAAAACCAAGGAAACTGGAATAACTAATTCCTTAATCCTAAATAGGAAGTTAAGAGTAGCAACTAATATAAAGAGAGCTCCAAATAATGTAATAATATGAAAATCAAATGAGCAAAGCTTTAAAAAGCTAAGATTTGTAGGGATATTACTTTTATGCTGAAATCAATCAAATGATCATTCCAATTCCATAATTTATTAGCACAGCAGCAAAGCTTAAGCTAAATGAGGTCATTTAAGATATTTAATAAGAAATGGATTACAAATTAAGTGCACCTTAATTGAAATAATAAATATTAACCACATTGCACAAAAATTTTGTTAATAGGAATTAAGAACTATTTTAAAGATTCAACAATCAGCCAAATAATAAAATCGCAGAATAATAGTGCAATTAACAGCCCAAAATGTAGATTTAATCAAAAGAAAAAGTTTAAGAAGATTAAATGGAAAAAAAAATAAATAAACAAAAAGCATCAGCAAATTAGGAAGTTAATTCAAACCCTTCTTTAAAAAACCATATTGAAAAAGAAGAAAAATTATTTTAATAAAATCTAAAAGTAAAAGAAATTATCGATGATAATGAATCATCAAAATCAGATAACACATTTAAATCAGAACATATAGTTATAGAAAGCTTAATTTAAAGATATTAAGTTATTAATAACGATTTTCCAGTTCAAAAAGCTAATGATTTTAGAAAATTTGTTAACAACATATTTGTTTTAAATATGAAGTCTAGCAATTAGCTGTATAATGATATACAATAATAATTAAATAATCAAAATAATAGGAAAAGCTAAAACTTATTTTGTTAAGTTGACTATATGTATGATGCAAAATTTATAGAAGAAACCTTAAATAGTATTTATACATTTGGAGTGGATACATGCACTATCTAGAAAAAACAAAACTAAGTAACGATGTCTGAAACAATAAATATTAAATTTAAGGAAAGGACCGCTTTAAAAACTATTGCATACTCTATTTTGCATTATAATTTTTGCAAATAAGTTGAAAATTAAATTAAAGAGTACATCTACACTGTTTTAGGTGGCATCGATCCAAATTTAAAAGGTTATGAATAGGAAAATTATATTCTGAGATAATTATACCTACATTTCTTGTAAATAATAATAAATAGTTCTGATTATAGTGAAACAATTGCCCAATTTTTAGATAGTATTTTTAAATATGAGTTTCTCTCTTCTTTAATGTGTGATCATCTTTTATTTTCTGCACAAAAAATTCTTAAAATATAAAATAAGACCAATGAAAATAATGATCTAAATGATATTATAGAATAACTTTCAAAAGCAAATAATTTTGATTTGTATATACTAAGCAAAAAACTGTCTGATAATAAAAAATATTCCTACGCTAAACATGAATCTCGCGAAATATTTATCTTTTTCGAGCAATCTATGTAATAACATCTAAGTTAGCCAGTGTATTATGTCATAAATCCCAGCGATTCATTAATTTCTCAAGCAAGAAATATTTGACATTTCAATCAAGTTAAAACAAAGATAAAGCAAAAAAAATGAAATCATTTTCAAAATTAAATGAATAATTGGAAAAATAATTATTTATTTAAAAATTTATACAATTCTAAATGTATTATTTTCGTATGATAATTGTATTTATTACTTGTTTGCTTTTATTTATTAAAATTTAGTTATTAATTAATTTTTAAATTAATTTCAACCAAACTTTTTTTCATTTCTATTGATATCAAACATTTATTCAAAAATAAAATTTTTTAAATGTATTAATAAAAATTAAATAATCTACTCTAAGTTTTTATTTTTTAAGCATTATTAAATTTTTAAAAATGACGTAAATACAATAAAATTCTTAAATTAAATAATTTTTATCAGAATTTCTAAATAAACAAATTATAATAACTTAAGATAAATATTTATTTTTACTAAAAAACAAACAATTCAAAAATAAAAAGATAAACTTATTTAATAACTTTTTAATTAACTAACTAACTGATAAATAAATAAAAGTTTCAAAAATAATTTTTTAAAGAGGTTTGTTTTTATAGTTTATTTTAATCTGTTGGCTTATTCTTTAAGTTGAAAATAGAATTTTTTGAAAGCATTTCAATACTTGTGTTTGCTTGTTTGCTAAATTAAACCTTATTAGCATTAACTAACTTATTTTAATTTTAGTTTGCAGAATATTGATACTTATTTGTTTACCCAAATTCAAATTCAGTGTCAAGTTTTTTTAAATTAAGTGTATCTATTCTTCTGAGTTTTCTGCTGTCTTAGTTTCTTTTCTAGTTGGGAGACTATTCTTCTTTGTCTTCTTTTTCACTGATTTAATCAAAAACAATACTTTTGTTTCCTTTTTTAGAAAATTACTTATCGAATATTTTAGAGTGAGTTTAACTCTTCTTTTCTTTGCTATTTGGACGAGATTAAGAAGAGGAGGAGGAGGAGCTATCATCACTAGAAGAATTAGATTCTGAATTTGAAGATTAGCTCGAAGAGGATGATGAAGATAATTATAATTTAGAAGATTACTAATGTTTGTTTTTATTTAAAATATCATTTTTTAAATCTTATTTGTTTTAGGAATTTGTTTTTGAGATATAAGTTCCTTTACGAGAGAACTTATCTCTTAGACCAAATTCACTTTTCTTTCTACTTGCTGACTAAACAGATTACTTTTCTATCTCTCCATTATTGATATCTTATTTATTATTTTGATCTTCTTCATTATTTTAGATTTCTTCGTTATTTAATTCTTCTTCTTCTTCACTACTAAAACTCTCTTCAGAAGAGCTAGAACTTGATTTTTCTTCTTACTAACCATCAACTATTCCTTTTGCAGTTTTTTCCACTGAATAATTTTACCATGCTTTAAAAGACATTTACAAGAACATGAATGCTATCATAGGGTTTGCCTTTTTCTAGCCTTTTTAATGATGTCCTCCAAATACTTTTTTATTCTTTTTTAATATTTATTTCTTCTTCTTTTCTGCAATTTTAAGTCTTGTTTCCACTTCTAATTTATTAAGCATTTTCATTAATTCAGGTCCAGCATTTTACATAAGCTTTGAACCATACTCTTTTTTCATACATGCGAATAGCATATCATTAAAGAATACATATTCCTGTTAATCTCTTTTAATTTTAAATAGGTAAATTGTAAATTTTGTTTGTTAAAAATAAAATTTTTACTCTCCCATTTACTAAACTAGAGCCCAATTCATAACTTGCCTAGCTATCTCTTTCTTTGCTACAGGGTGTGCAGTTGCTGCATTAGGATCAGGGTCGTGGTAACCTTTTATATTTAATTCATTTAATAAAATTTTAACTCTTTTATTAAGAATAATTATACCTAGAGGAAGAGGAAGCTCATATAAAAAGTCAACAATATCCTTGGAATTTATCTTTTCTCCAAGTGTTTTTTTAGTGTATTTAGACCATGTAATTCTGAATATATTTAATTTATCATTAAATGCTTAAAGAGGGTTGTCTTCTTTCATGTGGTAATCTTCAAAGTATTAAATGATAATCAAAATAAACAGATTTAGCATAATAAACGAGCATATCAAAACAAAAGAAATAAAGAACAAAGTGCTAAAGGCTATTTTTTAGATAAATCAAATTAAAATAAATTTTATTGATAAATTAAAATTTCTAAATAATTAAAAATGTATTACGTGAACCACAGTCTTTTCCTTGAACACATCCACTTGTCTTACCACAGTCAAACATAAATTAATACCAGTTTTCACCAGTGGAACACCTGAAAAGAGTGATCATAGCATTACCGAAATTTTCAAAGTTATTATATTTATCAATCACAACACCTTCTGTAACGTCTTTAAACATAAAGACTCCTAAAATAGAGTAAATAAAGAAAACTAACAATAGTAAAGCTCCGACGTTGATTAAGGAAGGAAGAGAGAACATTAAGGTCTCTATTAATTTCTATAAACCTTTCATGCTTTTAACTAACTTTAGTAAACGAGAAACTCTAAACACCCTTATAATACGAATTAATTAAGGACCTATTCTAAGAAAAGAAGCACTTAAAGCGCCGCTGTAATTAAGAATAATATCAACAATACTAGAAACAACAACAAACAAATCAAATTTATTCCAGTCATTTGCAAAAAATCCTTTAATACCAAAAGCAATAAATTTCATAATGGTTTCTAAAATAAAGCAAGATGTAAAAAATAAATTAATATTTTCTAAAATAGAATCATAAGAACTGGGAGACCCTTCGTATGCCATTGCCATAGTCAAAATATTACATACAATTAACACCATAATAAATATTTCAAATTTTTAATTAGTGACTATGTTGTACATTAGCTTTGGTATTTTTTAAGTAGGCACTACACTTTGTGCAAACTCAGCTTTAACACCAATAATCATTTACTAGAACTCTATCCAACGTTTTTACTCCTCTGTTAAGAATAAAGAAGACTATCTTTCATTTTTCTATGCTTCATTGAAATTTAAAAAGATAACACCAACAAATAAGTTTATTAAAAAGAATGAACCCACTAAAATGAATATCATATAAAAGTAACTAATTTATATGTAATTATCCTTGACTGGACCCTATTATATTTTATATTAATTTTTTTTAAAAAACAATTATTATCAAAATTATATTAAACTTTGATAAAAACAGTTTAATAAAAAGAATGATAGGAAATCATGTATAAAATAATTATAAAAGCTTAAAATAAATGAAATATCGTCATTTGTTTCAAAAAAGTTGACAATATTTTAATTTCTGAATGAGTTTTTTTTTTGTATTTATAAAAAAAATAAAAGACTGATATATTACCACATCTGCTGTATTAGAATCTATAGCTTAATACATAAGATCTGGCCAACCTTCTAATGAACTGATAATGTAAAGAGTTCTCATGGCATTGAGTATATTGTCGAAATTTGTATCATAAGTTTACCATTAGTATCCCATACTTTAGCACTAGATTATTTTGGAATTTCGTTAGTTAAAATAGATAGATTAGAAAATATTGAATTTACTCTATCTTAGTTGACATGATATATGTAAGATATTCCTGAACAATAACCCATTCTATTTCCTATCAAGGAAATACCTAATATGGCAAACATAATCCTAAATTAAAAAGTATAAATTCAATAAACTTTTTTGTTATTTGTGAATTTACCATATAAGAAATATAACAATTAATATATTGAAGATTCCAGATATAGATTCAAAGAGAGCTATAACAACAACCTTCATATTTACGTTATGACTGATAAATCTCAATGGACGCAAGGTTCTCAGAAGTCTTAAAATCTTTAATTTTTATTGAATATACAGTTAAAAACAAACTTTATTTACTATTAAAAAATTACTTTGATAAATGAAACATTAACTCCTGAAAATGTCATATCAATTATTGAAGTGCATACTATGAAAAAATCAATTTAGGACCATGACTCATCAAGATAAGAATTTTCATCTCCGATAAATCCGAAGGAAATTATTTTTAAAGTTGCTTCAGCAATAAATATAAAATTAAACATCAAGTCAACATTTTTTAGTGCAATGCCGACATCAGAATGTTCATCAACATAAGTATCTACTACTAACTTAAGAGAGCTTGTGACGATAAAAAACAGTATTAAATTTTCAAATTGTGGATGCTTCACAATTTTATAGAAAAGAATTCTGATGCTATTTTGCTTAGAAAATAGATATAGAGAGTGCGAGCATTCAATACCTATGAATAGTTGTTGATTTTGAGATTTACCTTCAAGCTGGAGTATTTCTTGTTCAATCAGCTCCATTTCTTCACTATCCATTCTTTCAAAGTCTTCATTTAGAATCTATAAGTTCTCTTGATTGAGCTAGTTGAATTGCTAGTTTTTATTTTCATTTTTATCTACTACTTCTTCTTCGTACTGATCTTCATCTTCTAAAGCAAGACTATCTTCTTAACTTTAATCAGTAAAACCATCAAGCAAGATAGCTAAGAACAAGTTCAAGAAGATCCAATTACCAATAAAAATCCAAACGATTAGATAAATTGATGTTAAGAATTTATTGACTGAAGAGTTAAATGTTTTATACAGAATGTCATTCCAATTCTCAATTGTCATCAATTAGAAAACAGTTATAAAACCATTTTAGAAGTTATCAAAATTCTAACGCACTCTTGGATCTATTATCTAAAGTTTTCCTCCATAAATTTGCATTCCCAATAATGTAAAAATGAAGATAAACAAAAATAGTAAAAAGGCGATGTAAATAAAACTGTCTAAAGTTCTTGAAATAACCTTTATAATTACTCCCATAAACTCTAAACCTCTCAATAAACGCGTTACTCTCAAAACTCTAAATGTTCTAAAGATTCTAACAGACCTAAAAGCAGAAAAGGCCTTGCTTCCGCTGCCACTGAATATCACTAACTCTAAAATAGAAAGGCAAACTATAAAACCATCAAATATATTCATTCTATCTCTAACATAGCCTAATATAAAATAAAAAATTATTTGTTGAAAATTTTAACTTTAAATTTAAAATCAGTGAAATTACCTGCTGGCGTTAGACCAATTATTTTAAATGCCATTTCTCCTATAAAGACAAAAGTAAAGAAGTTATTCAGCCAATCCAAGATTTAATTAGATTAATCGTCAGAAAAGCTTCCTGCTAATGCAAGCACAACCGTGTTAGCAAAAACAGCTATTGTAGCTAGATTGTTAAAAAAGCTGCTTTTTACGAAGTGGTTTATATGTTTGTGTATCACAATTAATATTCCAAGTATTCCAGGTATCCACATTTTAATTTCTTATCTATCACTGTTTAATGGTCTTAAAACTTTATTTAACCTAAGTGCTCCTCCTCTATATCCTCTCAGTACATCAATACCAGAAAATATTTATTTTGTCTTTATGCCAGTTAAAGCATCTTCTCTCTTTTTTAGACATTAAAATTAATAAAAAATATTTAGATTAGAAAATTAATCTTAAAATTAAAAATATAGCTTACAAGTTAATCGAGATATTCGTTTTTGAAGTCAAAGTTGTCTTGAATTTCATTTTGTTCATTTTTTTATTTCTTAATTGGTGCATTAATTGCATGCACAACTTAATTGTAATTAGAGTAATTAATTTTTTCGTTATTCTTTACATTTTGTTCTTGAAGTAATTCTTTTTTTATTCTTTCTCTTTTCTTCTTTGTTTAGGAAATAATAAATTTAGTATTTCTTACTGTTAGTGAGTTTGATTAATTATTATTTTGATTTGAGACAGAACCCGATTAAGCCTCACTAACACTTAAGTCATCTCCTTAATGAGAGCTAAATTAGTCAAAACAGATAATTCTATTACTCATTTTGATTGGAATTTTTAATCTGTGTACATCGTCTTGGACTGAACCAATAGAATTAGTTGAGTTAAAGCTTTTATTAAATCTTTAAAAAGCACCTTGATAAGCTTTTCCTTTATTGTCTCCCTTAACAGAGGCTTAAGGAGATTAAAATCCTGCAAATTTACTAAAAGTGATGACAGATTTGTTATCTTTAAAATCTTTAACTGTGTTCGAATCATTTTTTCTTCTTATTCCTGATTGATCTGCTTAAAAAATGCTATTTTAATTTAAACCAGATTTTTTAGACATAGCTGCATTAGAAATCATTTGTTGCAGTCTTTTAAGTTTTTAAATTCTTTCTTTAGCTCTCATAGAAGTATTAGGATGAGGGCTATTTTCTCTAACACTGTTGTCGTTAGAAGCTTTATTTCCATTTTGAATTGACCTTGATAGATTCTATTTTCTTTTTTACCTTTTAGTCAATTTCTTCTTTTTTTTAACTACTTTAAGTTTGTGCAAAATTTTATATTTCAATTGTCTGAGTCTTTACTCTTCTTCCTCCTCTTTATTTTTAAGCTGTTGATTAATAGTTAACTCCATGACATCTTCTTTAGAAGTGAACTCATCCTCATGCTTGTAATCTACCATTAATTTCCAATTTTTTACTTCTTTAATCATCTTTTCTTTTAATTCCTATTCCTCCTTCTCTTTTTTTCTCTTTTCCAAAACTTCCAACTAAAAAAATTGAGATGAACTGCTTGCCTCAATAAGCTTATGTTCTTATCTAATTTTTTCTATTTTTTTGAGCCATTCAATTTAAAGCAATTCTCTTTATTTCTGGTATTCACTTATTTCAAGGGCAGGCTTATTTTAATTATTATGATTCCCATTTTAATTATTATCCATAATTGGTTCTTCTTTATTTTCTTAGTGCTAGCTATTACTTTCGTTTAATTAGGTTTCACCATTTTCATGTTAGATATTTTTTTACTTTTAACTGCTTTGTTAGTTAGATGGACTTATCTATTCATCTTAGAATTATTATATATTATTGGCTCTTTCTGTATTCTTATTTGTTTTTTGCTCATCATCTTCTTCCTCTTCTACTTCATGAATAATTTTATTAAAATTGTCTTAATCGTTTCCTTTTCTAATTTTCTATTCTAAATTTTACTTTAAAAAAAAAAATATTTATAATTATTAGTCCAATAAACTTTCTAAAAATTTAAATTACATCTTTTTTATCAACAACTGGAGAATAATCTGGTTTTTTTGAGAATGTTTATTTGTTATTTTTGAAAGTAGCCCCTCCTCTAAATTTATTTTGTCTTTTTAAATTAAAGTCATCCTCTTGATTTTCATCGTTATCTTCAAAATCATCATTTCTATTTTCATAATTATTATCTTCATCTGAATCATTTTTTAATCTATTTGCAATTTTTTCATTCAAATTTTTTAAAACTTAAGCAAGATATTCATAATTTTCAGTTTATTCCTATTTTTTTTCTGGATTTTAAAAAAAATCTGAATCGTTAAGTAAGCTATCATTCATGTCTTTTGTTTCTTGCTTTTAAAGTTCGTTTTTTGGAGTATCATTTGATTGTGAATTGAAATTAATTAAATTTTAATGCATTGGAGACATAACATTGTGATTAGCATTTATATGACTTTTAACATTTTAAAGTCTTGTTGTAAATTAAATTTCATCTCCTTCAGTGCTAGCTAAATTTAATTTAAGTGGTTAATCACTATTCTATTTGCTGAGTTCTTAATCCTAGAACTCTATGATAGAATTATGGCTTTCCAGCATTATTGAGCCTTAACTGCTTATTGAGAATTTTTTCAAAATTGCTTCAGGTTTTTCTGTTTTTTATTTTGTAGAATGTGAGTTTGATTTTTTTTAACTCTTTAAATTAAGGATAGAAAATTTTTTGGGAGAAGAGTGATCTAAAACAGACTCTCTACTTCTAGTAGAATCAGTTTTATTCAATATACTTTTTACTGCAGAATCTTACTATTTGCTGAGCAAAATCTCTTGTTATAATTATTCTTGACTTGGCTGAGCAATAAAGTCATCCCTACTTTTAGATTTAGCATTATTGTTGTCATTATTATTCTATTTGTCTTGAATATTAGTTTGGCTTGAAGTTGAAGAAGTTTATTGTTTATCACTTTCTTTATGAGATAAACTATCTTTTTAATTTTCTTTGTTTGTAAATAAATTCTTTTAGTCTTCAATCTCTTTCCAAAAGTGATCTTCCTCATCCTCATTTAAAAGCATTTATTGAGATGAATTAGAACTGCATAACTATTATTGGAGTTTTAATTATTAACTAAGAACCAAAGGTTTTTACATAGTAGCAAAATAATTTGTTTAGAATCCCATAAAAGTAACCTAGTTCCTATACTAATTTTACTATGAATGATATTACACAATTTTTTAATCTTATTATTCAGACATACTTTAACTTGTTTAATTATTTAAAGCCAAGCCATTTAAATTTATATTTTCTAAGGGAACTATTTTATTTTTACTCACACTAATAGGATTGTTGTTGATTTATTGAGTTGTTGCATTTTATTCATTAAGTTATTCGATATTTTAATCTTAATTGTTTGTCTTGTCTTCATTGCTTTATTCAGCTATAGGCAAAGCGTATATTTAATTATTACTTTTTTATTGAGGGGTAGCAGCTGAGAGAAGTTAGAATTAAGGTATTATTCTATAGAATTTTGCTATTTTCTTTGTTGCTTATTAAATTTTACTCTTCTGCTTATTCCTCCACTACTCTACAAATAATTTTTTACGCAATCTCTCTTCTTTTAAATAATTTTCTTTTTATTTCTATTTTTAAAGCATCCTTAATTTAGCAAGATCTTCCCAAACAAATCCTCTTTTTTATTACTCTTCTCTAAAGCTCTCTATATTTAAACGCTCTCTTTATTTAGCAAGATGGTCGTTTAGTGGATCGATAGTTTTCAAATAATGTCTCTCCAAAGAGCGATATTCTCTCAAAATATCGATAGTCATTTCTGGCTCTTCTTCATTTTCTTATACAACAATAGTAGTTCCTTAATTATCAGAAAACTTGGCTTTAATAACTGCAAGAGTTAGATTAATTAAGAAAAATGAGCCTATAAAGACGAGTAAAACAAAATAAATAACAGTAAAAACGGAAAATGCATCAAATAGCTAATACATAATTTAAGTCCATCCCTCTAGAGTAATAACCTGGAAAACCATTAAAAAAGAATAAAATATATCATCGAAATTTGTGACATTGAATTGTGGGTTGCTCATCGTCTTTCCACAAATGTAAATGTCATCACACTAATAACCACCACCACAGACTTAATTATAATCTGCAACTATTCCTGATAAAGGATCCAAGCATCTACGTAAAAGTAAACCACCAAATAATTAAAGTCCACCAATAGCAAATATCAAAAAGAAAAAAGTTAAAATAATCATGCTATTTACTAAATAAGGTATAGCAGAAAACAGAGTTTTGAGTAATATTTTTAGCTTTTTAACTTTTGAAATCGTTCTTAGAGGTCTTAGAATTCTAAGTGATCTGAGGGCACGAAGATTTACAGTGGAAGAACCTATAACCAAAGGCTTTATTTAAATAATTAAATTAGATAAATATTAATTTGTAAATTTAAAATTATTTTACTAACAAGGAAGATACAACGATAGCAAAATCTAAAATATTCCATCCGTCTTTTAGATAAGCACCTTGTGGTAAAATAAATCCAAGGGCTATTATTTTCAAACAAGCTTCAACTGTATAAGCCCATAAAAAAAATTATTCACACCAATCAGCAAAGCTACTCTAGACATCTGTAGTAGGATCATCAAGCATTAGCATAATAGAATTGAAAATAATTATCAACAAAATTGTATTCTCGAACCAATTAGATTTTATTATTTTGTAGCAAAAATCTGATATCGCACTAATTAATTTTATTATTCAATTAAAAAGAATGATTACATATTTATTTTATACCTGCTAGAAAAATACTCGTTAAAGTTTTATTTAATATTAAATTCAATTTATTTAATAATGAATGACTTGTTTAAAAAAAATAAATACTTTGGATTTTCACCATTTATTTTAATTTTTAATTAAAATCAATTTAAAAATTTAAATGTTATTTATTTGTTTTAACTTTATGATTAAAGATTTACTATTTATTATTTTAATTACATTATAATTAAAAAAAATAAATTGTATATTTTAGGAATAATTGATAAAAATTTATCTGTTCTTGACCACAAATATGGTTAATCTGCCTTCTAAATTGAATTAACATTTAAGAGTGCAGAAAATTTATTTTTATACTTTCAAGCTAAATATTTTGATAAATTATATATTCTTATCTTCTAAATTTGAAATGAATAAATGAATGATTTGATAAAAATTGTGTAAGGAATTTATGAAAAGTTAGTGTAACTAACTAACTAAATAATTGATATAGGGGAAAAAGCTATAAATTAATGGATCAAAAAATTAACCATAAAAGTAAAAATAAGCCTTAACTATTTAATTATCTATCTATTTAATATATATATATTGCTAATTATTTAAAATGAAAAATTACCATTTCAGATAAAAAAAGAATTTGAAAACCTAAAGAAAAATAGAAGGCCTGTAAAACAAGTAACCTAGTTTGTCTAAAGCTGACTTTTTTTATACTTTGTAAGTTTTAAGATATTAGTTTTGAGTTCTTACTTCTTATTCTTAAGTAAGCTTTTCATATTCATCTAAAGTATTTTAATCAATGAAGTCTTCAGGCACTATAATTTATTGTTCATGCTAATTTAACTCATCTTCTTCATCCTCTTGGTTTTAACCTCCATCTTCATCCAATTGCTACTATAGTAAGTCTCTAACTTTTTAATACATTTTACCTTAAACTCCTCTGGTATTGTATTCTTCTTCTACTTCATCTTATTCATTATAAATATAATTTTTATCTAAAGATCTTTCCCTTTCGCTTGATGATGCATCACTTTGAGAGTCTTAAGAAGTTTATTATTTAGAATTTAATCGCTATCTCAAATTTCTAATTTCAGATTTTATCGATTTATCTTACTCTGAAATTTAGCTATCTTCTAAATTAAAACTTTTTTAATTTGGAGTTTTATACTAAATTCTTTAAGAGGCATTCTAACCTGGACTATTTACCATCTAAATTGGTGTTACACTATTATTCGAATATCTGATTTTGCTTAAACGTTTCTGTGGAGTGCCATTCTATTCCTCCCTATTGTTTTTAGTTGTTTTTCCTAGTTAGTCTTCATAAATCTGCTTTCCTATCAAATTCCTTAATGGAGATTTTTAACTATTTCTTTAGTTTGTATTTAATTTCATTTTTTCTATCAAAGCCTTTTCTTAAGCAGATAGACCTAAAGAATCTCTCTTTGATTATTTTTTCTTACCTTTATTTAACTATTTTAATTCTACCTCTAACTTTGAACTAAAATTTTCTGTATTTTTTGATCTTCCTGTATTAAAATTCTCTTCGTTCTGAGAATCATCGTAGTTTCTATTAGTTTGTATGTTATTATTTGATGTTAATCTATTGAATTAGTTGCTACTTGAGTTATTTCTATTTGAATCTAAGCCAATAGATTCCATAATTTTAGATTAGCTTCGATTTGTTTTTTCTAATTCTAAATTCTTATTACTGCTTGCTTATTCATAAGTCTCTTATCTCATATCTTAATTCAGTCCTTAAATATTGCTACGCTACGTTGAATTTTAGCTTTTTTATTCCTTAATATATATATTTTATTTGTCAATACCTTCCTAATCTTTACTATGCTTTTCTAGGTTGTTACATTCTCTTTCATCAGAATTATATCTCTGATTATCAAACTTGGAGTCAATTTGGTTATGATTTGAATTATGTCTTTTATCATCAAAATATTCTTATTTGTTTGGATGATTATCATTGCGTATTACTTAATTTGAAGTTATTAAGGTGCTCTGATTTAAGTTATTTGGCTAACTTGAAATTTTTGTACCATTTTCAGTTTAATTATTTTTAGTTTGATCATTGGCAATATTAGAATTCTATTTTTTATCTTCAGGATTAATCTATATTGAATCATATATCATTTTTACTGCCTTATTCTTAATATAAAAATTATTGTACAAGTACCTACTTTGGATTTTTATTTTAATTGGATGGAGTTTCTTGCTTCTTTCTTTTGTAAAAGCTACTTTGAGATTTCTTAATGATTAAATGGCGCTATTGAAAATTGTTAATCTAAATTGCTTAATAACAGGTAATATGAATGGATTTTAGTGTATAATATGCTATATAAAGTAACTATATTTAGATCTACAGCCTTTTGTATTAATAAAATGAATTTATCTTCAAAGTTTTTAACGAAGATTATTTATTAATACTTTTATTAACTTTAGTATTAATAATAATTAATTTTAAAAAAGATAAAATACAACATTAAACTAAATTAGAGAATGACTATTAATTACTCACTAAACTTGAGTTTATTATGTACTGCCTTTTGTCGCTATTTTATTTATTTTAATGTTGGTGATACAAATTAATATTTGTAAAAGGTAATTTATTTAAGAGCCACCAAATAAAGTAAATTAAGTATTTAGATCGTTCTAAAACATTAAAAAGTTAATCAGATTAAAAAATCGAAATAATACCACATTTTATTTTAAAAAAGCGCTTGTGAATTATATTTTTTCCTAACATTACCACTAATAATTATCTAATTAATATTACTAAAATAATGCAAATTTTAAAAATATTCTTCTCTCTCTTTCAAGTAAATATAAAATAAGCAATTTATGGTTAAGTAAGCTAACACTTTTTTTTATAAAATATTCAAAAATTAAAAACCAATTATTTATTTTCTAATTAATTTTAATTTTTGATAAATAATAAAAATCAATTTAAATGAATAAAAATGATATATTTTCTCAGAAATTAATTTTCAGTTATTTTTTAAATATATAAAATTAATTATTTAAATAGTCGAATATAACCCACCTACCCAATTTGTGTTGGATCGAGATAGCATAATATTTTAATCAATAATTAAAGTCAACAATAATATTTTTACATGCTTCATGAGTAATAAAATGACTCAAGTAATTACTTGAACAATAAACTCTTTTGATTTTTAATTAGAGTACATTTAGAGAATATAAAAGAAATAAAATTACTTCATTTTTTTTGTGTATTATTTATTTATTAAATGCTATTACTGGTCTTTAAGACAAATTTATATTTAAACTATAAAATATATTTTACAAACATCTAATTTAATTTTTACTAACTTGTATAAAAGCAAAGTTTTATTCGAAATCTGCTACAACTTTTATAGCTTAAAGAAAAAATTGGCATGGTCAAAAATAATATTCTTAATAGTTAATTTCTAGATTATTTTAACTAATTTTATTTATTAATAATTAATTAATTTATTTACAGTAAAAAAATGATAAAAAGTTATTTGACAGAATTGGCTGATAAAATAATTTGATAAAATGAAATAATTTTAATTTGTTTGAAATATTTATTGTGTTTTTTTAGTTTGTTTTGCGAATAATGATATCTATTTATTAATCCTTTGAAAAAGATAAATAATAAATAATAAAGAAATTAAGTAATATACAAATAAACTACTTATCAAAAAAATGAGTAAGAATGCATAAGAAGAGAGCGAATAATGCTGTTTAACTATTTCGAATGCTACTACAAATTAACTATTTGATTTCTTTAATGATAATATTTAGCTAACAGATTTTAAATTAATGGTCAGAGCTTTATAGAATATTAGTTTCTAAGAGTGTACTACTATTGTAAGCTAAGGTTTATTAAAATTAATAAATATTTAGAAATTATTATTACTTATTGAAAGTTTTTGTAGAATTAATTCTGATGGATTTGCAAGATTAATGAATTCTGTTTAAAAGCTAAACACTCTTACTAAGCTTTCTATACATATTGGAAGAAAAAATGATATAGGGTATTTAGGTGCATCTATTATTGGGCAGTCCTTAAAGAGTCTTTAAAATCTCAAAGAATTTTATCTTTATATAGGATCTCAAAACTAAATTCAAGCAAAGGGAATGGAGGATATTGGAGAAGGTATTACCTGTTTATAAAATTTAACATATTTGTATATAGAAATTTAATCCTAGAATGAAATTAGTGAAAAAGGAGCTCAAGGATTAGGAAAAGGAATAAAGAATTTATAAAAGTTAGAGTAGTTTTATTTATGTATTGGCTCTTAAAATGATTTGAATTCTGAAGGTACAAAGGGTATATGTGAACCAATCCAAGATTTAACTAACTTAGTGACATTTCAATTAAGAATAGAATGGAAAAATAATATTGGCTCTGAGGGTGCTATCAGTATTGGGAAGGGAATCTCTGGATTATCTTCTAACCTTTTAAACTTAAATTTATCAGTAGGGTCTCATAATAATATTGGAGAACTTGGAGCCTTGGGAATAGGTGAAGGCTTAAAGCATTTAAAATAATTAGAGCATCTGTGTCTAACTATAGAAGCATCAAATTAAATTGGGAAAACTGGAGCGATGGGATTAAGTGAAGGACTAAGATTCTTAAGTAATCTTCAAAATCTCAATTTAATAATATGCTAATATAATAATATTTAACCAGAAGGAGCAATATCTATAGGAAACTCTCTTTAGTATCTCTTAAATCTCAAAAGTGTATACCTTTCAATAGAAAGTCATAATTATATTTCATCTCAAGGATTAACATCGATAGGTAAAAGTTTGAAAGCCCTGAATAATATTCTAAAGTTAACTATGATATTTGGAGAAGAAAATAATATTAACGATGAAGGTGCCAAGGTTTTAGGGGAAGGAATATCTTCTTTAGAAAAACTAACTTAGCTTTTCATAAGCATAGATTAAAATGATATTTCAGAGTAAGGAATTATGCAATTGCTAAATTGGAGGAAAAAATTGAACCACTTAAAAGTGTTGAAACTGAATATAGAAGATTAAGACTTTGACTTAAATGGAATATTTTCATTTCTTAAATCTTGCTTAAAAAAATGCAAAAGATTAGTTTTATTTAAATCATTTTGAGGTTTTTTATATCATTTTAATTGAGAATAAAACATAAAATATTAAATAAAAGAAAATAGTATTTGTATTTTTTATTAAATTAATATTTATTTTTTGGGTTTACTATAAAAATCTTTATATTTAATTTTAAATTAAAATTTTAAAGTTTTAACATATTTTAAAATGATTAAAATAATTATTAAGGTATTTTTTTTTTAATTGATAAAAATAATTAAATGAAATTAAAAGAAAAGTAGATACTAAATTACAAAATTAAATAGTTATAATACAGCGCTGTGTGGTATGGTTAAAGGATATCTTGGAAATTTAATAATTTGGCTTAATAAATAAAAATAATATAAATGTAGAGATTATTAAAGATTTACTTACAATAAAATGATTGAAATTGTAATAATTTTCTTTAATTAATTTATATGAAAAATTTTGAATTGATATTTAGTTTTAATTAGAGAATAATATTTTGTTAATTTATTTGTTAGTTAGTTAGTTAGATGTCATAGATAAATCAATCGATCGATCAATCAATCAATCATTCGATCATAAATTAATTAATTGTAGTAGTATTGGATAATGTTAAATATGATTTCAAAAAATTTTTAGATATGAATTGTATTTATTACAAACAGTAACACAGCAGGTTTAATGATTAATGATTGAATAATTAGGTATAATAATTTAAAATTTATAAAGAATGGGAAGAAAGAGATGGTAATTATTTATTTAATAATTATTATTCATTAGATAAATATTGCAAATACGATATTGTTTGAAAAGAAAAAGAATTCAGTTAGATAGATAGATTGATAGATTTAATAATATAAGAAAATAATACTTTAGGTTAATAGGTATGGGTAATGAATGTTCAGCTTGTTCAAACTGTTAGAAGACAGAGAAACAAACAGAATTTACAACAGACAATATAAAAGTAAATGAAATGGAGTAAGCTACTGCCTAGTTGTAAGAATAAAACAAGATAAATTATTATGCTAAGGGTAATGAACAATTTGATTAAGTTAGCGGAGCAGCTGAAACTTAAGGATTAAATTTAAGTCATCAGTTTGCGCAAGGTATAGTAAATCAGTCTATGTAGCACAATCAAAGTTAGAGCTAATTGTAATAGAATAACAACAATTTCGCTAATAACAGCTAGTTTACAGATGAGCCATAAAATGATGATTAAAATGGGGCAGGGCTTTATGATTACGAACCTAAGTATTTCACAAAAGAAGAATCGAGCGAAACAATGGCTTAAAATCATGAAAATTCTAAGATCAGAGAAAAAAGACCACCTTATATGTTCAAGAGCGGAGCAAATTATGATGGAGAGTGGTTAGGTAAATAATTAATCTCTTTATTTTTGATAATAATTGCAATCATTTTTAATATTTGACAAACTATTTGTTTGGATATTACTAACTATTAATCAATCTTTTTACACTAACATGCAACAAAGAATAAAATATTCAATTCAGTTAGATAATATATACATAAATCTCACCAAATTTTGTTTGAATTTCAAATTAATATTTCATATTAAAAAGGTAATATGAGAGATGGCTACGGAGTTTAAACATGGCCAGATGGCGCTAAGTATGAAGGTAATATTTTTAATAATTAAAATTAATTATTATAGCAAAATCAAAAGCATTTATTCAAATTTTGTGTTTATGCGTTCTCTAATAAATTCATTTTTCTTTAAATTAAAAAGGTGAATGGAAGCAAAATAAGGCATGTGGAAGAGGAAAATTCTATCATGTCGACGGAGATACCTATGAAGGAGAATGGAAAGACGATAAAGCAAACGGAAGAGGTGTTTATATTCATGTTAATGGTGCTAAATATGATGGTAAATAACTTTTTAGTGCTTTATTTTGATTTAGAAAAAGAAGTTATTAATTTTATTACTTAAATCTAAGGAACTTGGAAAGATGATTTGCAAGATGGATAAGGTACTGAAACATGGGCTGATGGATCTTGTTATTAAGGGTCATATAAAGAAACTAAAAAGCACGGCTTTGGTATTTACACTTGGTCTGATGGATCAAGATATGAAGGAAATTGGGTAGAAAATAGGTATTTTATTAAATTTAAAAGTATTCATCAATTAAATTAAATATTTATCATTTTAAATGTTAGAATATCCGGATATGGAGTTTATACATGGCTTGATGGAAGAAAATATGAGGTAATTTGCTTAGAATTCTAAAGTTTCTTTACTTAAAAATAATTTCTCAATTTATATTTTAAAAAAATAAATTAACGCTAAAAAATACTAAAATAATTTTAATAAAAAAGGGTGATTGGTAGAACAACAACATGCACGGTAAAGGTGTATATACATGGAGAGATGGTAGAAGATATAGCGGTTAATATTAATATGATAAAAAGCATGGTATTGGTACTTATACTTGGGCAGATGGTAGAAAATATGAAGGCGAGTGGTAATTTGGAAAGTAAGATCTTTTTTATTTAAATAAACATTTTTTTCAGTGATTAAGTTAATATTTATTATAATAAATAATCTATTTTCTTTATTTATTCATTTATTATTATAAATTTAGGTAACATGGATAAGGTAAATATATACTATAAAATGGCGAAGTAAAAATTGGATTATGGGAAGAAGGCAAAAGAATTAAGTGGTTAAGTTGATAGAATATCATCTATCTAATAATAAAATTACTACTATTAAAAAACTAAAAAATAAAATAATTAATTAAAAATATTTCACTTTAACATTTAAATTAATAACTAAATAAACAAATAAATAAACAAAACAGATTAAATAAATATAATTAATCAATCAATAATTAAAATTATTAATTTTTGCTTATGTACAAATAATAGTGAATTAAAAAGCATATTATGAAAAAATCAACCAATATCATTCATTTATTATGTGAAAAAGATGCTATGAATTCTGCTTTTAATGGGTATCATATGTATACATACATACATGCATTGCTTGTAAAATAATAAAGTTTAATATTCATAAAAGCTGTTGAAAATTAAATTAGCAACTGTTTTATGAAGCAATATCTTAATTAGATTAAATTCAAAAATAGTGAATGATTTATGTTAATTAAACTCAGTATTAAAAATTTATATAAGAACTACAAGTTAGTTTTAGTGTCTTTCAATTTATGGATGTTTTTGATTTTTTTCAATTTATTATGCTTTTAATATTTACTCAATTAGCTATTTTTTATTAGTTAAATCAAATATTTTAATTTTTTAATCTTAATAAATTATCAAATTTTTTTTTTTAAATTTTTATAAAATATTTTGTAAATTTATCAAACTTTCATTCTAAAAAGGATTGAATGAATGATGTATTTATTAGAAAAATATATTTTAAGTAATTTAGCTTTTATGAAATTTAAAGAATAAAGACATTTTATTAGTTATGAATAAATCAGATCCCTAAAATAAGAATGAAGCAAAAATAACAAAAATTTATACAATTAGTTCTAATTTATTAGCCAAAATTACCTGTTGTAATTATTTCTTACAAAAAAAGGAATTTAAACTTATTCCAACAGATAAATTAACAAAAAGCATTCAGTATTTATTATAAAAAATATTTAAAAGTTAATATAGAAAATATAAATAAAATAGCAAATAAAAATTAAGATCTAAAATATTGGCCACCTAGTATTTAATTATTTAAAATTCTTTGTTTATAAGGAAGATAATAGATTTTATGGGGGAGGGAAGGGGGTAAATTTAAATAAAAAGTTTCTTTAATTTCTACTAATTTTTTATTTTATTCTTAGAATATATTTTAGTTTGTTTTTTTTTCAATAAAAAAATTTTAAATTTATTACGATTATGTTTGAAATTTACTCAATTTCTGATAATTATTTATTGCAAAAAGAATCTATAATTTTTAAATTGTATGATTAAATCTTAAAAAAATTAAGTCATCAGTAATTATGGAAGGAAATAAAAATTAAACAAATACAATTAAAAAATATATATACAATTTATCTATTAAACTGACTAAGTCTTTGAATTTCTTCAAAGAAAAATGTCAAAAATCTATAAAAGTTTGTATTTAGGTAATAAATCATGATATCTCTTAAGATCTAGTTTACTTAGAAAAAAATTAGATATAAAAATATATTAACTCTAACTTTAGATATAAATGACATTTTAATATGAAGAGTTAGTTATTTTTAGATTATTATTGCTGATATTGAAGATAAATTAATTATCAAGAATTTATCTTCTTGTGTTTAATTTATAGAAAAACCAAATAGGAATCTTGTTATCAGTTTTTGGGGTATGAGTCAGTTGGTACTTTTATGGTTTAATTTGTTTAAGGGAAATTTTACAAGCGAAATGAGTATTAAAAAATAAGTAAGTTTCATATTAATTCAAACCCTAAGACAGATACATAATACTTTCTAAAATAGTAGTTATTTTGGGATCAAATACTTACTATTCTCATATAGACAGCAAATATTTTTTTAGTTAGAAAGATAATTTTGACCTTTTGTAAACAATATCAGATACATTCTTGGATAACCTATAAAAGTAACCATAAAATATATGACCAAGATATTAATAATTTGTAAATAAAAGTTTAACTTAATTTATTAGAATAAATATTTTATGATGTTAAACATAATCTATCTTTTTTTTAAAAGTTTTAAAGTTGAAATTATGCCACAGGAGTAAATTTAAAATTTTGTTGTAAATAACTTAAACCTTTTATGAAATCATAATATAAGGATTTATTTTATTTTCAAAAAAGATATAAATAAATACTAAATTATAATTAATTAATTATTGATTTTTATTTGATTTTTATAAAAATTTAAATTTGATTTCACATTTTTTGGAGATAGACAATAAATATATTAAAAAAATTATTTGGATACTACATCAATTTCTGATAATTATTTCTTACAAAATAATCTACAATTTTTTTGTTAGATAATTAAAATTTTATACTAAAAAAAGGACCAATATTTAAAAAGAGAATAAAATTAATATTAAACAAATTATAAAAATCATAAATTAATAAATAAAAAAACTAACTAACTGAATTTATTAAAGATTAAAATGTCGAAAATCTACGAAAGTTTGTATTTAGGCAATTATGAGGTCTCTTAAAATCCAGTTTTTTTTGAAAAAAATTAGATTTAAAACATATTAATTGTAGCTTCAGATTTAAAAATAAGCTTTAAGAAGAAAAATTATTTTTAAATTAATGTTATTGATAATGAGGATGAATTAATTATCAAGCATTGGCCTTCTTGTGTCTAATTTATATAAGAATCACAAGGAAATACTCTTGTTCACTGCCTTGCTGGTATGAGTCGCTCTGCCAGCACTGTTATGGCATATGCTATGTTTAAGGAGAATCTTACAAGTGAAAAAAGTATGAAAAAAATAAGTAAGCTTCATATTGATTCAAATCCTAACACAGGTTTTCTTAAATAGTTAGAATTTTGGGATGAAATATTATTTGCATATAGACAGCAAGTAGCATTTGGTTAGAAAGAGAATTTTGGCCTATTGTAAATGATCACAAATAAATTCTTGGATAACCTATAAAACTAACCAAAAAATCTTTGATGAAGATATTAATAATTTGTAAATCAAATTTTTATAAGAATAAATATTTTATGTTGTAAACTTAATATTTATTTTTTATAAATTTTAAAGTTGAAATTATGCCACAGGAGTAAATTTAAAATTTTGTTGTAAATAACTTAAATAAACCTTTTATGAAACTCATAATATAAGGACTTGTTTTATTTTCAAAAAAGATATAAATAAATACTAAATTAATTAATAAAGTATGTAGTGATTGATTTTTTATTTTATTTTTATAAAAATTTAAATATGATTTCAGATTTTTTGGTGATAGACAATATATTAAAAAATCTATTTGGATACTACCTCGATTTCTGATAATTATTTCTTACAAAAGAATCTACAAATTTTTTGTTAGATAATTAAAATTTTATACTAAATAAAGGATCAATATTTAAAAAGAGAATGAAATAAATATTAAACAAACATAAAAATCATAAATAAATAAAAAAATTAACTAACTGAATTACTTCAAGATAAAAATGTCGAAAATCTACGAAAGTTTGTATTTAGGCAATCTTAAGGTCTCTTAAAATCCAATTTTTTTTGAAAAAAATTAGATTTAAAACATATTAATTGTAGCTTCAGGCTTAAAAAGAAGTTTTAAGTAGAAGAATTATTTTTAGATTAATGTTTCTGATAATGAGGATGAATTAATTATCAAGCATTGGCCTTCTTGTGTCTAATTTATAGAAGAATCACATGGAAATACTCTTGTTCACTGCCTTGGTGGTGTGAGTCGCTCTGCCAGCACTGTTATGGCATATGCTATGTTTAAGGAGAACCTTACAAGTGAAAAAAGTATGAAAAAAATAAGTAAGCTTCATATTGATTCAAATCCTAACACAGGTTTTCTTAAATAGTTAGAATTTTGGGATGAAATATTATTTGCATATAGACAGCAAATAGCATTTGGTTAGAAAGAGAATTTTGGCCTATTGTAAATAATCACAGATAAATTTTTGGATGTTTAATAAAAGAGAATTGCTTACCACATTAGAATATGTATGGAAAATAAAAAAAGTAAGAGAAGTAAAAGAAGTCTAATAGAAGAGAGTATTGAAAATAATCCAATAGATTCTATTAAATCTGAAATAAAATGTCTTAATAGTAATTCTAAAAAAGGACATTATTAAAGATAAGAAGAATATCAAAATGAGATAAATGAAGATTGCGAAGATGCATAGAATGGCTAGCAAGAAGAAAATGATGATTATGAATATATATACGATGACAAATAAACAATGAATGAGCATTCATCCACTGATAATAAAAGTTTAAATAAAGAAGAAAATGAAAGTTATGAATTCTGTTATTAAGATGAAGAAATATAACCTTAATTGCAAAAAATTAAGTATGTCACTAAAGAAAAAGCTGAAAAAGAAAGAAAACTTAAAAAAATACTAGAATAATTAGAAAATTTAAATAAAATAAATACCAATTAAGCTGAGGATAACCCTCCATCATAAAATTCTAACGAGTAATGGTTTTACTCAAATGTTAAATTAGTAACCAAAAAGAAAAATAAAAAATAATCTGCTAACATTTATTGAAGCATAAAAAATATCACTTAAAAAAATTAAATTTTCTATGATTAATAAATAAATAAATAATTAAAATATTTTTTTCCACAAATTTTAATAATAACTAATAAACCTTATTTATTTTTCAATAAAATCATTAGTAAATAGCTTTTTTTATTAAATTTAATTAAATAAAATTTAATAGTAATAAAAAAGCTAATTAAATTATAATATATAAAATATTATTTTTGAGTAAAATAAACAAACAACACAATCATCCAAATTATTATTTATTTATATTTTATTTCATTAACCAACTTATCAATTGATTAAATTTTCAATCAAAAAATTATTTTAAAACTTACAATATATCTAATAAATAAATAAAGCTTATTAATAATTATCATTTATTTTATTTTAACAAATAAATAAATAAATAAATAGCAATCTTTAAACAAGCAAACAAACAAATAAATAAATAAAAGAAAACTAATCTATTCTATTAATAAATAAAAAAATAAATTTTTTTAATTAAATAATTTCTTTTTTAATTTTAAAAGTTATCAACTCTTTTATTAATGCAGTAATTAATTATTTTGCTTTTAAGTAAATTTTTCAAGTTAAATCTAGAAAAAATGTTTATCAGTTTGAAAAGTTAAAAATAAATGATCAAATTTAAAAAAATATTATCATATTTAGAAAATATATCTAAGTATTTTTGGAACTTCATTTGTTTAAAATTAATTAAAATATTAACCAATGAAGAAATAAGCTATATTTTTTAAGACCAAGCATTGTTTAAATGTAAAAAATTAATTAGATCAAAATTAATAAAAATTATATTTTAGATTCTATTGAAATATAAAAATAAAGATAAAAAAGAGTATTAAAATATGAATATTAATAAAATTCATCTACCATAAGTTGATATTAAAAAACATTTTTCATTATTTCTTAGCAATAAATATCTAACAAGAAAATGATGAAAAAAACAAAATTTATAAATATATATATATTTATTAATGTTGTATATGATATAAGTTGTTTGCTACTTTAAAGGTAGTTAGATTTTATACAAGTTATAGAAAATTAATTTTTAAATTTTTATTATCACTTACGAATGGATAAGTTAGAGCCAAAATAAACTATTTTAATTCATTTATAATATAATTTTTTGGAGAGAAGCTAATCTATTGACTAAGAGAGTTCTTGAATGGAACAATCATGGTTTATATTTAGATGATATTTTACTTTGTGAATGATGTTGCAGTAAGCTTCGTTTTCCATTATTTTTTTTGTAAACTCAGGGATAATCTCCTCCCTGGATTTAATTTTTAAGCTTTTAATCAATAGGTTACCAAGGGTTATATCAAGTCTATCTTTCTTTCTCAACTCAAGGTAATCTTAGAATATCTTTTTAAACAAATCCCATGATTCTTTAGCTCCTAGAGGCTCGCTTTTCCTTACTGAAGGATCTTGGCAGCTTGAAATAATATCATAAAACTACTTTTGGAATTCTAAATGCTTTTTATTTTGAGAACATACTTCTATAAATTTTTTAATTATTTCCTTTACATCATGTGTCTCAAGATTAGTTCCGAGTCTGTCGATCACATCTTTATATTCACTTAGTTCCTTGAGCTAATTAGATCTTATATAACTGAGTTCCCTGTTAAGGTTTAATATTTCTTGGTCTCTTTTCTAAACGACACTCTTCCAATGTTGCTCTTCTTCTTTTTCACTTAGCAATTTCTTGTATTCATATTCTAACTCTTTATATTTTTCTAAAAGCTTAGCAGCCTTATGCAATATTTCACTATTTTCCTTAACTAATTCATCGTTATATTGCTAATACATTTCGTTTTCTAGATTGTTATTCTCCTTTAACTTTTTAATGAAATATTATTTTTCTATCAACTCAACGTCTTTCTAAACATTACTGTATCCTATTTCAAATTCTTTGCACTTTGTTTTTAAATCTTCTATTTCTTTCTCTTACTTTTTAATCAAATTTCTTTGTTCTAAAAGCATTTGATATTGCTTTTTATTTTCTATTTCTTTATCTTCTATCTTTTCTTTTAAACGAATAATTTCATTCTTCAAATCTAAGTTCTCTTCTGTCATTGATATGGCATCATCTATAATATCTCTGCTGCTACTCATGTCGTCTAAATCGCTTTCTCCTTCAACTATAATTTTTTCGTTGAAAGTTCTCTTTGTGTTTTTTTGCATTAAACCTCTCACGGATGATGTAGTAGACACTCTTAGTGATGAACTTCCCTTGGGATTTTATTGATCTTTGGATTTTCTCTAAGTGCTTATTTAATTGTTGTTTTAGATTTTCTATCTTAACTGCTATATTTCTTCTTGCTGTCTCTTTGACTATTATGATGCAGCCTCTAGTTTTTTGCTCAGGTCATGAATTGTGTCTTCTTAGTAATTTAAAGTCTCATCTCTATCTTTAATTGTTGAGTGTTCAGATTACATTTGAATATTTTTTTTATTCATACTTCCTTGTTTTTCATTGACTGCTTTAGAAAAACTACCTGCACTATTTGTACTTTAGTTAATTTGATTTTCTTTTCCATAGACATTATGTTAGAACTAATTTTATTAATTATTAGGGCTTAATTAAGTGACCATTGCAGAGAGTCTATGTTAAGAGGAAACAGAAGAAAAAAATTAATTAGGAGCTTAGACTGGAATATTCTGCTATCCTGTTAAGAAAGGACAAGGATTTGTTTAAGGAGGAAATTGTTGCATTGCATTAAAATTAGAAGGAGATGTGTTTGTTTAGTAATACTCATCATATTATGGATCGAAAGGAGTCCTATTTTTCTGCTAGATAGTATCGCTTTAAGGAGTTTGAGATTTGCTTTATTGTATAGCAGACTAAGGAGAATTCAATTTCTCACTTAGCTTGACATTTATTTAATCAATACTCCTTTTTCTTTCAATTACTTTCTATTATAATTTCTCAATCTAAGAAACATCAACTGACTAGTCAGTATCATCAGCCTTATTGCATGCACTAAATGAATTATTACTATTTCTTTGAATTTTATTCTAAGATGAAAAAGTAATTTAAGAAGCACCTTGCTGCTCTTGTTTCTTAGGTGATACTTCGTAACGCCTTAGCCTATCTTCAATTTATCTTTCTACTTTATTTTAAGTTTTCTCTTTTTATGTTTCATTTTAAAGCTATTAAGCTGTTACTTAATTATTTTTGTTTACAATTTATGATATTGGTGAATTAGATATAGATGATTTAGATACTTTTTGAGAATATTTCATTTATTCTTTTTGTTAATTCAAATTGTCTAGATTATCTTATGAGCTTTTATATTACTCAGTTATATCATATTTTTTTTTAGAGATTGATGCGCTTTCTTAATTTGAAAAAGGAGAGGAACCAGGTTTTTAATTCTTAACTGCTACTGCTGCTACTCCTTGTTAGTTTCTTGTATTATTTTCAAATGTATTTTTTTCAATATTTTCTTCAAATTTAACTGAGCTCCTAGTTTAATCTTTTGACTTATTTCTTACATGTTGAGAATCTGCGATGGTTGATCCAATATTCAAACTACTTTTTGACCCCTTCGGAGGCAATTTGAAATAATATTGTTCCTTTAAATTGTTGGAGCTTTCTATGCTATTTAAATGATTTTTACTGTTAATTTTATTGTTTGCATCATGCTAATTGGAATATTAATCAGCTTAAGAATGCTGATTTTCATAGATGTTTTAGCGGTTTTAATCTAAATCCTGTTAATTTCTCAAATTTACGTGAGAAGATTCAATTGTATTTTGTGTTTATTCATTTTCATCCTCGTGAATTATTCTTTATCTTATCTTTTGTAGTCGATCTAATGCTTCTTTTTCCAAATCATTCACTTCAGAATAAAAGTGAACATCGCTCTCTTTTAACAAATTGCTGTCCATATTAATTTAGACATTATCTTCAGTTTCCAACTAATGCTGCAAAGAATCCTCAGTGCATAGCATATTCTGTATAAATTTTTTGTTATTCATTTATAAGCTAAACAAAATGAATGCTGTAAATTCAAATAGAGTAAAATTAAAATTTCACTTTAAAATAATTAAAATTTAAAAAATATCTTGAAAAACTAACAAAAACAAATAATAAACAACCAAACCAGTATAAAGAAAAATTTTTATGTTTCAATCTTTAAGAATAATTAGAATTAAATCATAGGATTCATTTTATTGAAAATCTATTCAAAAAATTGCTATATATTAAGGAAAATATAAAATTGGAAACAGAATAAGTATTTATTTACTTGCTGCATTTGTTTAAAATATTTAATTTATCAGAATTCATAAAATTACTAGAACAGTTCTTTTAAAATCCGATTAGGAATTTACTATGATTTAATCTAGACACTCCAATCTAGTTTTAATAAAGAAAAAAACTTTACTTTAAAAGCTCATGATATTTGCTCGATTTTTAACTTTTTTTGTTTTCAAAATACTCTAGAAATTATTTTTATAGAAGTCAATTTTATTATTTTGCATATATTTTAATGGAATATAATACATTATTTAATCTTTAATAAATAATTTACCTTACTTTTGAATTTGCTTTGGTTATAAAATAAAAATAAATGTTAATTTTAGTATTAAATATTTGGCAAAAAATAAATGAAATTTTGTGTAAAAAGCCATATTGACTTCTTTAAAACTAGTTTACAGTATTTTTAGAGTTATTATTTATATGTCAATTAAAGTAAAAATTAGTATGGAAATATTAACAAAATTAGAATATTTAGGTAAACTGAATTTTTAAAGTTTAGAATTCTGTATCGATTTATTGTAAGTATTAAAGTTGAGGCAAGAATGTATTTGCTAAAAAAATATTAAAGGAGATAATCAGAATTCATATAAGGGGTTTTGATGGAATGGAATTCACTTTATGTGTGTGTGTTTTAAGGTAATCTTTTTGTAAAATTAAATTAAAAACAATAAAAATCTTTCACACTTAATTTATTAAAAGGAATCAATTAGCACATAAATTATTTAAGTAATATCTGATTAAATAGAATTTATAAAGCAGATTTATGAATCTACAGTAGAATCTTTAGCTGATTAGTGATTATTCGCAAAATAAAGAAGATGTCATTCAATATATGAAGAAACTAGGAATTGATTAGTAGCTTGGTGATTTAGAAAGCGAGAGATTCGAAAATATTATATAGGATTTCATCGCTTCACAGAGATCATCTAGAAAGAGGGCTGATGTATCAATAACTAGCAAACGCTCAAGCACAGCCTCTAAATTAGACATTACAAGTAATGCAGATTAAATTGATGTTACATTAGATAATGATTAAACAGTGCTTGTGAATGACAGAAACAGCAGAGATAGTAACTCGTTTGAGTATAGAGGAACTGTTAAGGTTTACTCTGATAATAATATACCAAGGACTCAGACAGAAAATGATCAAAGCTAATCGTATTAAAAATTTTATGAAGACTTTTATGCACCAAATAAAATAGATGCAAATTTTTCTTATTAAAGATCTAGCACTAATTTTTATGGCTAAAGTGATGAATTATAGTTAAATGATAGCGAGTAAATAAATTAGTAGGTCTAATTATTATAACAACAGTAAAAAGTTAACTAGAATGTAGGTTAAAGACAGTAGCTCTAAGAAAATAAATTAAATACAATCATTGAAAGGGAAGATGAAGAAGGGAAAAACTTTGATAGTAAGAAGACATTTATGATCAGTTAGGATTCAACCAGTCTTTTTAGAGATGGTAGTGTTAATTTAAATGAAATTTCTTACATTTAAAGCATGGATGGGTCTGATAACTTAATGAGAGCAACAAAGTCTGACTTTGGGAATGATTGCTTAGAAAATATTTTCAAGTATCTCGATTAGTAAACAAATGCGCTTAACACGTTCAACTGGGAAGATCTAACTTCTGAATTTATTTCTGAATTAAGAAAGAGTGAAAATATCTCTCAAGTTAATTAGCAAGCTTAAAACACTCTTATCAGCAAACAAAACCAACAGATTTTTTAGTAGCAAAATCCTAATAACTAAAATATATAAGGTCTTAAATCAAATGATCCTGATTTAAAATAAAACACTGATCAAACTTATAGTGAAAGAATTAAAAGAGATCAGCATTTAATTTAAATGAAGTGCAAACCTTTTGAGCTTAGCAGTGTGGGCAAATATATTGATGAAAATAATGGAAAAAGACCTTATATCAAAATATCAAAATATTAGGTTGTTGATAAAAGAATTTTATATACAATAGAGACAAATTTATTTAACTCTGATAACCCTTAATTTAATAATTTGAACAAGACAATAAATGGAATAAGTGCACCAGTTGATAATAAATCAAATATTTAAAACTTAAACAAATCCACGTTTACTAATGATAATTCATAATCAATTATTTTTTAGAATTTCGAAACAACATCTGTGGTTAGATCGCACCATGATTTTGTAAGACTGCATAGAAATTTTACAGCTCATTACTTTGGCTATTTCATTCCACCTCTTCCAGACAAGTTCCCAAATATGCAATAGGAGTCTCTTTTGAGCTCTTTCAGTATCATGAAAGGAAAGAAAGTAGATGTCTCTTAAATTTCAAAATCTAGACATGAAAAAATAAAGATTTAATTGTAATAATTTTTAGATTCTTTGATGAACAGTTAAGTTCTTAGAAACAGTAAAATGCTAGACGATTTTCTAACTATTCAAGAACCAACTTACTATGAAAGCGTTTGCTAGAAATATATTCCTCCTCCTGATTTTTCAAAGCTCAAAAACGTAAAATCAGAAAGTCTCTACAGCAAAGATGGAGTGTTTAATGTTGAGGCAGCCAAATCTACTTCGCTCAAAGAATATTCCGTAATTTTTAAGGAGTATAACTAATAGGCTATTCTAAAGTACAACTAGGTTAAAGAAAAGTCGCGATAAGTGATAGGTCATTTGAAAAATGCTTCTTCTTCATTAGCAGAGCTTGGAGAAATCTTTTTAGATCTTCACAGGATTACTTCAGAATTTAATGAAAAAAATAAAATTGGTGCAAACTCATTTCTTGCAGAGTAATACAAAGAATGCGGATATTTTATGAATAATTTCTCATAAGCCATAAAGGTTTAGCACTCTTTCATATCAGAAAAAATAGACATTCCTTTGAGATATGAGTACATGATTACAAAATAATTTGAAAATTTAACGACTAAGCTTAATGAGCATATGGGGATTTATCAAACGAAATTAGAAAATTTAATAAAAAATAAATAAAAACTATTTGATTCTCAAAACATATACAATTGGTAAATAGATCCAAAAGTAACTTTACCCCCTGAAGCAAAGACTAATAAAAGCGTAGCATTTAATTATATCCTTCCTGAATACTCTGAGAAATTAAAATAATTTGAAAATAAATTATCTTTTCTCCTCTCAATTCTTTATCAAGAAAGCTTCATTTATATGAAATCAAGAGAATTCAACAATACGAAAAACTTTACATCATTTTTAAACTAAAATCAAAAGGTATTAAAAAATTTAATCACTCAACATGCAAATTGTCTAAAAAAAATGGATGAAAACTAGTAAAAGAGCTACAATTCAATTATGTTGCAAATAAAAAAAGATACGACTTGCCTATTACAAGACAGGACAAGAACGATTTTACAACACAATGCTTTTATTATTTGAAACTTATTTAGACCTTTTTGCGAAAACAAACTTTATAACTAACAACATAAAATTCTATCTATTATATAATTTTAATAAATTATTACTAAACATGTTAAATGTATGTATATATATATATTTTTATTTATATTTTAATAAACTAAAATAAATAAAATCTAACCATCTATCTATCTATTTATTTATTAATTTATTTATTTATTTTTATTTTGTTCATTTTCCTACAAAAACTCTTTCCTTTTTTAAAAATTTATTTTAAATATTAAGCTGATTAAATAATAAAGTTGATGAATTTTTATTTGATTTTAAGAATATTAAAATCTCACATAAGAGTAGTTTAAAGACTGTAATTAATTTAAAATTCTTATGTTTTAAAGAGAAATTAAATTAATAATTAAAAGTGTAAATTATTTTTTTATTTCACTAAGGTATTTTTAATAAATCTATTTAAAAATATTTTTAAATAATAATCATTTTTTGTTTTGTTTTTTATCATTAAATTTACCTCACATTGCATTTGTCAAAGCTAGTTTTAAAAATGATATTGACCTACCTATTTATCAAAAAACTTGAAGAAATTTTATTTATTTTAAGTGTTATAAAAATATTAAGAATTTTATACCATCTATTAAGGCTAGACAGAATACATTATTTTTTATTCAACCTAACATATTAATTTTTATCAACTTTTATGACAGAATGATGCATGTGTTTAATTACTTTTATTTTTTTATTTTTACTTATAAAAAAAACAATTTTCATTTAAAAATATTGTAATTAATTTACATAAAATAAATAAGTAAAAACTAAAATTTTATTAAACAAGAAAAAATAATTTATTATTTATATTTTTTATGAGGGATAACATATTAAAATTTTATGAATAATATAAATAAATTGATTTTTCCACTACAATTAAGCTAACTTAATTAATTATTAACTCAAATTTTACCTAAAAATAATCATACTTATTTGCATTAAAAATTATAAATTTTTTAGTAATCTTCTTCATTATTATCTATCAATCAGATCTGAAGATCTGAGAGATTATTTATATAAATTCTTATAGCAATCAATTTACGACTAGACATAAAACTTAAATTATTTTTAAAAGATTGTATAATATTATGTATTTAAGCACAAATAAATAAATGAATAATAGAATATTAATAACACATTTGTGCATAAACTAGTAAGCTAATTGCTTAACTTAAATTTATGAAAAAAATAATTTCTGTACGCTTTTATGTAAGTATGTATGTATGTAAGCATGCATTTATATTTATTTATTTTATACATTCTTCTAATCTATTTTAATTAAATTTTTATTGAAAATATTTTAGTTATCTTTATAACTGTCATTATTAGGTAGTATTTATGTATGTATGTATCTAGGTAGCTAGCTAGTTATTGTTGAGTACTTTTATATTAAATTTGTTATTTTCTTTATTGATTTGTGTTTTTTTGTTTGTTTATCTTTACCTAGTTTGTTTACTATGTATGCATCAAGTGTTACTTTTTAATTATATAGAGTTTAGGTATTTAATTAAAGAATGTTGCAGATTAATAGATAAATGGAAAGATTGATTGATTGTTTGATTGTTTGATGAATTGATAGATAAATAGATTCAAACAGTAAAAGATTAAAGTAGCAGTTTTATAAAATTTTAATTAGCTTGTTAAATTTTGTATCATTAAGAAGAAGTTCCATGTATTTCTTCATTTTCTTCTTCTTCCTCTTCCTCTAATTCCTCTTCTTCCTCTTCTTCTTCCTCCTCCTCTTCCTCATCTTCAGATTCTTAATCTTCGCCTACTTCTCTTTCTTAGGAGTTAGGTGCATGGTTATTTTAGATGTCACTGTCTGAGCCTGAATCTTTTTACCGAAATTAATTAAAGTATTAATTAGAAATATTTGTTTTATAGAATAGAAATAAATAAAAAGGGATTTGATTTGAATTTACGGTTTTATTCATTGTACATCATGCAGTTAGAAGCTTCGTTTTGATTGTTGGGTTCATTAAAATTATTCTATTAAATTATTGTTGAGTTATTTTCTTCTTCTGTTTTCTTGTCATCGTTATCTTCTTACTTTTTGAGTTCAGCTTCTTCGTTTTCTTCTTCTTCCTCACTTTATAGCTATATTGCAAAGTGGTCGTGCATTGATTTAAAAGGGAATAATTTATATGTAGATAGATGGAGAACTATGATAATGAATGAGTTAGCCTTTTCATATAATTCTCTTTCATCGTTTAAGCTATAATTATTCATTTATTAAATATTAATTTCAAAGAAATAAGCAATTCTTTTCTTTTAGTGTATTTCGTAGCATCTAATTATTTTCCATTTACCTTCTTTGTCATCACTTTTTTTTAATTTAATATTTTTTTATTTATATTTTTAATGAATTAACAAAAAAAGCTGCCAATCAGCTTATCAAATTTTTTAATTTATTTACAAGAAATCGTAGTATCTGCCTTTAACAATCTCAGTTTCAGGCATAATATCATCAGTGTCAAAGCGAGGTACATCAAAATTAAAATCTCCAGATTTGAGCTTTTCAAGTTATTTAATTTTCCAATTCTTAAGGCAGGTAAGTTAAGTGGTTCCTATTTAATTTTCAAAGATGAAATAATTTACTTTAGTTTTTAAAATTTATTAATTTATCTATTTACTTGAAGGAATTCTGATGTCAAAATACTATAAATCATAGCGGTCTCTTTTTTGTAGCTATTTTATTATTTAAGAATATTTATTTAAGTTTAAAGTTCAAAATTAATTTATTAATTTACATTCTCATCAGCATCTTTTTTGTTGGGATTATATTCATGCAAGTTCTTTAATTAATTATTTAAGTGCATTTATTGATTTTTGTAAATATAGGAAGCAACTAAATGGTTATCAGCACATAACTTAATGAGGAATTGTTATATCACATCTGATTCTCTTTAATAACTCAAATTGGATTCACAAGCTTGTTACAATTTTTATAAAGCCACTTCAATCTATTAGCAAATAAATAAATAAATTTATTATGTATCATTTTATTTATACATTTATTTAAATTTAAATTACTTTCTTTATTTAAAATGAATCTTTGACAGAGAAGAATTTTTTTAGAAGAGTGAAACTGCGGACAAATTCTTAGCTCTAATATTCTTATACAATTTTAGCAGCTATTGAATATATGTAGTCAATTATAACAGGATCTTCATATGATAAATAAGCTAAAATATTATTAACACTTTTAATAGCTAATTTATCTTTTGCTTTATTTAGGAAGTAAAACAATGAGTCCAAATCTCTATACAGCCAGTATATCTCATCCTTTTACCTTAAATAATATTTATAAACAAAATTTCAATAAACATAGAAATAAATCTTAAGTTTCTAAATAATTACTATCAAATTCATAATATTCTTAATATTACTTTTCACTTTAAATAATAAAATTAATTCTCTTAAAATAAAATAAATTTCTTTAAATCTTTTTGAATTTTTTATTTTTTTATTTATTTATTTATTATTAATTTAATAAGCAAAAAATTCTTTTCTTTCTTAAAATGATTGAATTAAAATTCTTCTCTTAAATTTCAAAAACAAACTTTTTTGATTAAAATTTAATTATTTATTTATCTTTTAATTTATTTGTTTATTTTATTATAAAATTTGATTATTTATTTATTAATTGATTTGTTTATTTTATGATGGCTTTGTATGTAAATTATTTTTAAAAAAATTAATTTTAATTTTTACAGGTTGTAATTGATTTTTGATGGAATCTTAGAAGGATTATTTGTGACGAAATTTGAGCGAAGAATAAGATATTCAAGTATCCTAAATAAGTATGTAATTGATGTAGAATCTGCAAACCCAGATCTGTCCTTCTTGTAAAAGCTATCATACTGCTTTTTTTGCTTCTCTTAAGATGGTAATCCCATCATTGGAGTGTCTGAAGTTCTGAAAGGTGTTTTAGGGAAATCTAATTGCTGATTTACTCCCATCTGCTAGTTATTTTTTTTCTTTTTACCTTCAGATGAAAAGATGAACTCCATTGCTCTACCAATAAACATTCTCTATAGAAGATATTAAGCAATTTCTTCATCTATTTATATTAGCCTAAATATAAGTTCAAAGTATTCTTAATAGTTTTCAGCAATATTCAAACAATAAATAAGAGCATTTATGAATTATCCAAGTAAAGTTTTAGGCAAATCTGTCTCTTCTTCAACATCATGAAGATGAGCCTTTTCTAAGCTAAACAAAACCTTACAAGATTACTCTAAGATTATAATAACTATTTCCTTAGCATCAGAAGATGGAGACATTATGATTTCTTTTATCAATCTAGGATCAGTAAAACATTTAATTAACCATTAAATTGCTGGTATATTCTATATTATTTAATAATAGTTATAATAAAATTTTAATTCACAATTAATTAATCTTAAAAATGTTTTAACCTTCTAAATTTAATACAAAAAAATAAAGATTTTTGCTTTTAATGCTTTACTTGATCTCAAAAAACAAACTTATTCAATTAAATTTCTATATTCAATATTTTAATTCATCTTTTTAATTTAATTTATTTTAAAATCCTTATTGAAAATTCTTATTTTTGTTTTTAAATTAAATCAGAAATAATTGAATTAGTAAAAGATTGAAAAAATTTATTTAAGAGGATCTTTTTTAATATAATTTTTAATTTATTTTTTTTTATTGTTTTATTGCAATTTATTAAAACTTCTAGTTTGTTTTGATAAGTTTTCCTACAAAAAATACTAATTAAAAAAATTTTTATTTTGTTTAAAAATTAAATTTAAAAATAAAAAAGTAATTTATTATTAAAATATCAAATTTCTAAATAAGTAAAATTTCTTAAAAAGGGTGTTAGTTTTTGAAGATAACTTTTAATTCGTTCTTGGTGTTTGTTTTATACAATTTATTTAAATTTCTTCAGGGTTTAATGGAAGTTTGTTTTCTGATTTTAAATTACTTTTTTAAATAAATATTCTCAAAATTTATTTAAAGCTGGAAAAGCAGTTCTATCAAAAATTAAATTTATATTAATAGAAAATTAATATCTATTTGATTTATTCTAGAATAAGAATGATGTGAAATGAAAGTTTTAAGATTTGATAAATTATTTTTTTTTGAGAAAGAATTTACCTTATAGAGTTATTAGGTTATAAGTGAATAGAATTGGTCTAAATTAACATTGTTTTCATTTCTGACTACTCTTTATCTGATTGCAGTTGTAAAGAAATAAGTCAAACTAAATTTGATGAAGTGCAAGTCGTAAAATTCTTTTGTGATGGTATTAGAATTTAAATCGAAGGGATATTCAAGTGGCTGCCTGTTTTCTCCCAAAGTTTGATTGTATTAATGTATTAGATTATTCATAAAAATGCAAAATTCCTAGCTAAACAAAATTTTATGCAAATGGAAGCTTGTATTTTATTTCAAAAGCTCTTGTTTAAATTCTCCACAATACTTTTCTTCATATTCAGAATTTTCTTCTTCCTCCTCTATTTTCTACTAATTCTATTATTCCTTACTTTTTTGTTCTCCTGATGCAGCATCTGCTCCATTCAACGCATTACTTAACGTTCTTTCTTAAATTATTTCCTCGTCCTCTTCTGCTTCCATTTTTAAATTCTATTTTTTATCTTCCTCTTTAACAGATATATTATCTTCTTGCTCGTCGTCGAACTCTAAAATTTTAACATTCTACTCAGAACTCAAGTCTTTTTCTTTTGGACTAGCAGATGCTTATTAGAACTAATCTTCATCAAATTTTTCTATTCTGTCATAGAACAAAAGATATGCATTTCTTATCTTTTACCTGAATTGATTCATCATGTTCATGTTCTCCATCATGTAGAATTATTTCCACTTAAAATAAAAATTATTTCTACAAAATAAAAAAAGAAACTAAAAAATTACCTTTTCTTCACCTCCAAAAGCTTCATTTGGGATATCTTTGGGGTCAAAAAACTTGACTACATTATCATTGAATTCCATCCACTTATTTTCTCCATTTTAAGCTTCTCTGTCTCTGATATAAGAATAATAATGACCAGAATCTGCTATACCCATATGTATTCCTATACCATAAAGTCTATACTTAAAATAGTTATCTGGGTATTCAGCATGGTTTCCATGATTTTATTGTTTATTTTGAGCTTATTCCTAGAATTATCCAAATAAAAATAATTAAATTTTTTTTAAATAGCAAACAAAATATGATTTTTACTGCTTTTCTCAAGCCTTGCTAGGAGAATTCTTAGAAATCAATTTCAAATGGGAATGAGCAGAATTGATTGATTTTAACTTTTTACATGTTGTCATAATTGAACTCAAATCTTTTTAGAACTAAAATCAGATGATTAGGTAATTTTTTCAGGCAGGTTCTTTTAAGAGCTACAACTTTTTTATCACATTTTTCACAATGGTAAGAGTTGTCTCCTTCTAACATTTCACCTTGTGTGAGGGCTTCTAAGCTCTATTTGATGTCTTTTTTATTTTTTACTTGAAGTGATATGGACAAGTATTCCTCTTCTCTTTCTGAGTAATGCTAGCAGCCTTTGGAAATAATTTCATTAGAAAAGACACCTCCGAAATGTTTTTTAATTGCCTCAGAATGCTTTGTTCCTTTCATTTAATTCTCTAATTTATCCATCAAAGAGTTAAAGAATTCATCAATGTCCATCTACTCATACACATTAGTAGGATTTCCATCATAATCCTTAAAGGCATGACAGAAAGATTTAGGATTGTATGCTTCTTTCTCACTGTAGCAAAGAGAAGTAAACATGCACTAAATAAATAAATAATTAATTAAAATATTTTTTAAATTAATAAAATAAATAAGAACAATTAATTAATTATTTACCTTTAACTAATAAAGAATATTATCTTCTTGTGCTGTAGACTCGAACTATGGGTCCTTGCATTTCAGAATAGTTTACCTAAAAGAGGGAATCATAAATAGCTACTAAAGTAGTGCATTCATATAACAGACTATTTTTAATATTAAAATTTTAATTTAAATGAAAAAATTTAATTTCATACTGCAACCAAGGTTCTTGATTCCGACATAGCCTGTTGAAGATTTCTCATTTTTCTTTGGTACAATATCCCAATCCTTTTAACTCTTTGTCCTCCAGTCTCCACTTAGTATAAGAGGTTTAAGGTATTGAATAATTTAATAAACATTTTCAGGAACATTAATTGAAATTTGCTTGAGCAAATCAAAAGAATAACTCCTTGTATCAGATGATTTTATTTTAGGTCCACGAATAGCTATTTAATTTTGATTAAAAATGCTTTCAGATTTTTTTCTTATCTGAGGGAAATCGAAACTAAAATCTAGAATTTGTTTAATTAAATTATAGTTCCTAGAGAGAGTCAGTCTTAAATTTGGATTAATATTTATAATTACTTTTAGAAGATTAAATAATCCGCAGAGAATTTCATCTTTGTTATTTTATGATGTCTCAAGTATCGGTCTATTAATTATCATTTCAGTTATATTAATTGCAGTCTAATCGAAGTCAAATTCGGAAACTAATTGTTGTATATCTTTAGAGTAAGTAATTATTTGTTGAGCTAATTCGAAAAAGGATCTTGTTTATTCTGCTCTAAACACTTCTATAGGAGTATTCTCTGGTATCATCAGATTATTCTATTATACCAATATACCATTTACCTTAGAATATCTAACTATGTCTGGTAGGATATTATGAAGCATAGTGGGTAAAAGGTGCTTTAAAATTTTATGCTTATCTTTGCATCTTCCATACAAAACATTTAGAAAATGTGTAAGATTTATTTGTATAATACAATTATCAATTTAAGCTAAACCCTTCCTTATTATCTTCTCCATCAAGGGATGGCAAAAAAACTCATGCATAGTATCATTATAATCTTATGCTATTAACTTAATGCATTGTAAGACAATTTCATATTCAACAGTATAGAAATCAGGTTGTTTTGGTTCTTTTTTATAGAATAAAGAGTTAATTATCTCTTAAAAGCAATTTAATTTATTTCATTGAAAATATTCACATTTATTTTTTAAATTAACTTAAATTTTCTCATCAAAATTCTTCTTTGTTTGTTTGTTTGTTTTTTATAATTTATTGAAAAATTTTTCATGTTTAAAATTTTTAATTTTGTTTTAAATGAAAAAAAAACAAATTTCAATGAAAAAAAAAATTATTTTTAAAGTTTTAATAAATTTTTATTTTATTTTGAAAATTAATTTTATTAACGAATCAAGTAATATTTGGTATTAAATGATCTTGTTAAAATTATTGAAATTCTCAATTTATTTAATTTATTTGGTTATGGTATTAAATAAATAAATTATTTTTCACTCATTTTGTTATAAAAAAAATTGATTTGATTTGATTTGTTTTGTTTTGTTTAATTACCTGCTTAATTATTACAGTTTTAATTTTGATTCATCATTCTCTGATAATGCTAACACTAATGACTATAATTCAGCTTTTCTTAACTGCAATTTTCTAAGTCTTTCTCCTCCCTCAGAATGCAATACTCGCAAATGCGATGAATGCATTCTATAAGTCTCTAAAAACGTTGTTTAAAAACAAGTTAACCCTTTTCTGGATCATCTTGATACATGTCTATTTTTGCCTTAGAATCATAATAGCACATTATTTTAAGTAGTTTCTCGATAAATCTTTTAGAGAGTGCATTTTAAATAATATTCATATCAAGTGTGATAAAGTACTCATAAAGATATTTAAAACCTCCACTACCATAAAACTTTTGAATCCTTTAATAACAAAAAACGAACTTAATGATTGAATTATTCAATTTATTGAAAATCATAAAGCAAATTCACTTGCTCAAAGAAAATATATAAATAAATGAATGAATGGTTAAACAAAATGAAAATTTTGTTGAATTAAAACAAATAAAAAAATAGTAATACCATAAATTATTTCCATTGGGATGCTAGAATAATTCCTCCATAATATTAAGGCAGTAAAGCTTCTTGTGGAAAGATCCCTTTAAAATTTCTTCCCAAGGCTCTTGAATTTTTATGATTCTTTGCTTAACATGATCATTTGTTGGTAGTTTCATAATTAGCTCCCAGAGATTATTATTACATTCGTCTAAGCAATGAATTGATATTAAATTTAATAAAAAATTGCATAAAAAATTGTTTACCTGTTGGAAAATTCAATGATAAGAGATTAAAAAGCAAGTCGAAATATTCATTATTTTAAATGATAAAATTTTTAGGGTGGAACGCATTTTGCATATCAGCTCCTTCTATAAGATGGACATAAAAAACATTTCTTGAAGCATGAATGATCTCTTCATCCTAGAATGGTTCTATGAATGTTTTGTAGTTCCTGCAATAGAGCCTAAAGCTGGTAGTTGGAATTTTAAATTCTTGTGATATTTTTTTTCTGAGAATTCCAAATGGAATATTTTAATTCAACTTAATATTTTTACTCAAATTTTCTTTTTAGAAAATGATTGTGTAAGTTTATTGATTTTAAATAGAGTATTGAGAATATTAGTTTTATTGATTTAATTCATACTATTTTTTATAACTTTGTCCTTCTATCTTAGAAAAGAACAGCAACAGCAATTAAACTGACCTCTCTATCAGTTGAGATGACTATTTAATATATCCCTACTATAAAAATTGCATGCATTTCTCAGTTAGCTATCTCATATAATGATCTCTAAACTAAGGATCATAATTTTTATCATGATTTATATAAATTTCACTTAACTAATCACAGCAAGAATTAACAACCTACTTATTTTCTGCCTCTCCAAAGATATCCCACATCGTTTTCATACCAGCAAGATCTTCATTTTATACCTAAATTATATTTTTAAATATTTACTCAAAATTCTTTATTTTAAATCACTCGTATTTATTTTATTAATAAATTTTTCATGTTATGAAAATAAATTGAATTTTTTTTTAATTATAAGCTGTTTTTTTCATTTTTAAAATAAATCCAAGTTTTTTTTATTTGTGACTAAAAAAATTAAATAAATGTGAGTAAAAAAATTTGTAAAAAAATTGCTTTTAATATTTTAAATTAATTAGAATTTTTAATTTAAAAATAGTTGAAATGATTCATTTATTTTTAATTTGCATTTTGTTTTTAAAAAAATTTAATGAATAATTAATTTACCTTAAATTTGTTAAGATTCGCAATGAGTTCGATGTTACGAAGTTTTAGATTGATTTTTTTAAACAAGTAAAAGAATATGTTAAAGAGCTCTGGTGTGAAGTTTTAGTACTTCATCATAGCTGGATTACAGAATATATTAACAAAAATGTGTTTTATTAAGTCAAATGTGAACAAATTAGTTATGTCTATCGTATTCAAATAGTTTTAATTTTATCTCTGAATTGTTTTGTTAAGTATCCAATTCAAGAAGATTTAAGACTCGCATGGGTGATTCGGAATTTAGATAAATTGGTTCCAGAGCTTATCAAATTCCTGAGGACTTAACTGGAATATACGCTTGTTATCACTGAAGTTTTGAGTTAAAATAATCTCAAGTAGCTAGAATCTTACATGAATATTATTTTCATGAGAATATTTTCCTTTAAAAACAGTTGTCTTGAAGACATAATTTTGGTTTGGAGCATTCTTTAAATTCTCTAAAACAGCAGGATTGAGTTTATTTATCTATTCTGGAATCTGCTTTAGATAATTACAAATGTCGTCTACTATAATTTTTGGTAAATCTATTTCTCTTTTTTGCAAGGAAATCAAGATATCAGGAGGCATCTGACTATCAACCAATGCATATATTAAGTAATAAGCTTAGTAGGATGATTTTCCAGAAATTATTTATTCTAAAAACAAATTTGCATATTTTTTAGCAATAAAGCTTCCCTGCTACAGACAAAGAAGCTCCTTAGCTATTTATAAAGCATTATCAACCACCAAATAGCTCAAATTTTAATTATTATCTTCATTTATTAATTTTAGCAAAAGTTCCAAACAGAAAAAGTTTTTTTCATATTGTTATTCTTTAGCCTCTTTAGATAATTTACTTTTACTTTCTTTTTGTTCTTCTTAATTTTATTATTCTTGCCCATCTTCTAGCTCTTCAGTGTCTGAGCCATCTTGATCTAATTTTTTTATTGTTAAAATAAATTATTCATGTATGCTTAAAAAATTTCAACAAAAATGATCAAGTAAATTTATTCTAAATATTTTTTTAAGATCAACAAAAAGAGGATTTTTTTGTTGAAACAAATAAAAATTTATTATGTTTAAAACAAACAAACAAAAAAATTAAAATTATTAGAAAAATTACCTTGAGAGAAATATGCAAATTTAGAAGAAGGGATGAGTATATCAATAGCTTTTTAAGAAAATCCTTTAATTAGCATGAGTGTCTGCTCATTAATTTCGTTGAGAGGGATAGAATTAATCTTTTCGTGAAATTTAAATAAAGCTTCTTTAGAGAGCTAATCAGTGATTGAAATAATCATTTCAAAAATAGCAGAAACAATAACTTCATGTTTATCAGAACCACAGGAATTCCAAATAGTATCAATCAACTCAACTGGGAACTGCTTGCAAAAGCACATAAAACGAATAATTTCGTGACATCTTCTAACAATCTCAACATGCATCGAATCTCCTAACAGATGATCGATAATTTGATTCTTGATAACCCATTCAGTGAATTCTTTAGGGTTAAATCTTCTGTCATTCATTTGGTCACTGTAGTATTCGCTATTATTTCTAAATCCAATATCATCGTTGTTACTGCCATTCTAAAAGCTATCATTTTACTTAATTTCAGCTATAATTTCGCTTATATCATTTAATCCTTAAATTTTTTTGTTTAAATACTAGCTTGATAACAATTTAAGAGCAAGGTTTAAATCCATTTCATCTATTCTCTTTAAATACATATCTTGTTTATCTTAGTCAGGGTGGTATTTTACAGTATTCTATAAATAATCTCTAATACTTTTAACAAGACGTGGATCATATTCTTTGATTTCCCTTTCTGTAATGAGACTCATTCTTTAAATAATATAATTACAAAGCTAGTCTATAATTATAACTATATATTTATCTTTCATGTTATTTATACTGTAGTAAATAATTTTGCTAATCTAGTAAAGTGATAGTAAAGGTATCATCTTATTTTGGTCATTGAACAGCTAATTCATAGCTTCAAAGCCTCCATTCAGCCAAAAGTAATTAGTAAAAATTGGAATTATTTCACTTTTTATCTTACTTCTTAATTAAGCTTTTTGTTAATGAATAAGACTTTACTGTTACCCAATAATTTCTTCCTACATTCCATCATTATCTTCATTTTCCAGCAAATTAGTGTGATGTATTTTTATAATTTTCTCAGGAAATTGCTCTAAAATTTGATCCTAATTTTCTCTGATGAAAAACCAATTTTTCTATTAAAATAAATTATAAATAAATCTTAAAATATTTCAATATTTTTAAAAACCTTGCAGTTGATTTTAATTTCAAATAGATTTTTGATAAATGTTCAATGAATGTAAAAAAGCAATAATATTATCATGAAAATTTAAATGTTTTCATGAAAAATATTCATTTAAGTTAAAGTTGAAAAAATAATTTATAAAAAAATGAATTTTTTGTCGATTTTAAAGAAAAAGTTTTATCAAATATTTAAGATAAAATTATCAATAAAGATAATTAATGAATAAATAATTATGTAAAAATAAATATGGTATTTTAATGTATCATTTAATTTCTTATCAAAGATAAAATAATTGGTTCATTGTTTGATAAAATTTTATTTGTTTAGTAAATCTTTTTAAAGTTAGAGAAGAAAATTGAATTTAGATTTAAATAAAATCAATCAGGGAAGATTTTATTTGTAAATTTAATAAATCCAGATAAGCTAATAAAAAATAATTATTTATTTATTTAGTTATTTAGTTATTAGTTATGAATGATTTATTGTATTAAAAAAGAAAGTAGGGATTATAAATCAATCAATTAAATAAATTTAAAAAACAGAAACAAACGATAATTTTGATAAGAAATTAATTAATTATTTTTTTGGATTATATCAGATAGATATTAAAAATCGAGCAGACCTGAAATAAATAAATTTTTAATAGTTTGATTTTCTCTTATCATATAATATATCTTTTCTCTGATAGTTTAAATTTAACAGAAATTTTAAAACAAATTTCTTTTGTATTAAAATCATTTGGTTGATTTTGTTAGAATTATTTTATTTATTTTTATAAATTTATAATAAGTAAGTAACTAAATAAAATAAATCTTACTGCGTAAAAGCAATTCTAATTAGTAACTAAACGATCTGTTGTACCAAATATAGAGAGCAGCATTTCAAACATTTCATATGAACCATGAGCTATTGCGACAGGTAGATCGTACATGTATGATAACTAATTGGTATATTCTTTATAATACTAAAAAATATAAATATAAATATATTTGTAGTATTAAATAATTTGCTTACATCTGTAAAATAGTTTGGAAATTCCTTAATGTATTTTATCGTATAATTAATATGGTTTTTAATCAATTTTATCACTTATTCACGCGATTCATCTTCATAAGAAATATTTTACAAAGCTTAATCCATTGCAAAAAAATATTTTCCTCTGAATTCTTGAGTAAAATCAAATGCAGATACTCCTTAATAATTTGCTTTAATCATTTGCTTAAAAGGTTATATCATCTATTTTAAAAATAAAATATTAAATAAATAATAAACTAGCATTCAATCAATCCAACTATTTAATTGAATATTTCTGATAAAACAATCATATACCAATTTTATATCTTCTATATTTCTTTTGACTCTAGAGGCATTATTCTTTTCTCCTGTGTATCCTAGTTGTTTATTAAAAAAATATTTTCGTTATTAGCTGAAATTGAATGATTAAGTTAGAGCTTAGCATTTCCAAAAATAATTTTATGTTTCTTAGTTGTTTTATGATTCTAAATTTAAATTATCAGATATTATTTAATCAGCAAATAAATTAATAAATAAAAATTATTCTAATGTATCTATGAACGAATGAACGACTTTCTATAATGAAGAAAAATGCAAAAACTGAACCCTTTATTCTATGCCTTTAGTTTAAATATTTTATTTTTAAATTTCTAATAGACTTTCTATTCAACAAACAGTAGACTGCTTTTTCTTCTTCTTGAAATAAATACCTTTATCTAACTAAATTCAGATCAGAATACTCTTATTCTAAAAAGAGTTTTGGATTTTCTATCAAAAATTGTAAAAATAAATTAATTAATAAATAAATCTAAGTCATGAAAATTAGACGCTTTCGTAATTGTTCAAATTATTCTATTTTTGAGTGTTTTGCATGAGTTTTTGTTAGATTAAATATAAGATTATTTATTTGTTAGTTTACCTTTAGTGAATTTTCTGAAATGAGCGAGCTTATTTGAACTCATTAACACATGCTATTTTTATAAAAATGATAAAAATAAAATCACTCTTCCATCATATTAATATGTCTATCAAAATTTATTAATTTGAATTTTGATTTAGATTTTCCAAATAAAGTGAAGATAATTCGCTAATTTGGCTGCTTATTTATAAATGTTATTACTTCGTCTGATTTGCTCCCATCGAATTGAATAAAGAGTCGTTGCTATTTTTCATAGATTTACTAAACAATTCCTACTCTCCAATCACCCAAATGCTCTCTCACATCCATGTAGAACCCTTTTTAAAAATAGTCAGAGATCAAAATCTCTCTAAACTCCTATATTTATTTTTTATAAAAATGATAAGCTTTTTGAGTTTAAAATTAGAAGCTAGCTGCTATCAATTAATCATCTAACAAACAATTGGATTCTATTCTCTCTTTTAGAGTATCCCTCTTTTCTATGTTCAAAAATATATGCAAAAAACACGCACAAAAAATCTTATCTAATCAATCAATCAATCGGTTTTAGCTCAAAAAATTTAATAACAAACAAACACTAAGAAAGGGCGAATACAACAATTTTGATCAAAAAAAGGGTCCCAAATATAAACTATTGGGTGTTCCTTTTATCTAAGAAGAAATCCAGATAGCGCGTGATGATATAAATATTGACTCAAAGCAATAATTTACATTTTCGTTTTATTGCATGTCTTCAGAAGTATTTAGAGCACTAGAATTTTAATTGTAATTTTGTTCCATATTTAGATTATTTGAAGTAGATGGCTACTATTAACTGTTTTATTGCTATGGCTAGGCAGCAGGTTAGGTTTGGGCAGCCTCTCCATTTAATAATCTTTACTACTCACTTTAATTTTGACTTATGGCACCAGCAGCCATTGTGTTTGACTCCTCTATGATCATTTCTGAATGCTATTGCGACGCTTAATCACTATTATTTATACTCATAAGATACGCTTGCTAACTTGCCTTGCTTGCTTTGTTTCTTATTTTATTTATTGATTGAATAATCACTTATTATTATTTTGTTTTTAATTTTTGTTTGTTGCTCTCTTCTATTCTTTGATTTTATTAAAACTAATTCTTATCTTTAATTATATATAATTAACTCTCTTCTAAGCGATCTACCAGCCTACCTACCAAACTACCTGCTAACCTGTCCCTCTTTATTATTTTATAATTTATTCTGAAATTTGATTAGACAATTTCTTTATTTAATTAATTATAATGCTATTTGTCTGTCTGATTTTATTCTATCTTCCTCAATAAATTCTTTAAACTGAATCCTATCCTTAATAAATATATTTCCTAATATTATAATCATTATCTCAGTCAAAGTTACAAACAATAGAGTCTTCAAATCCTAATTAAAACCAGAAAGATAAATAGATAGATAGATACAAATATTTCTTTATATTTTTAAAAACTCTATTTTTTAAAATATCAAACTTTTTCATAAACAACTAATCAATTTATTTATATGTATTATATATTATGTAATCTGTCTGACTCTAATTCTATGTAGGTAAGTAAGTAGAAGATACTAACTAGTCTTTTTACTAACTTTACCATGCTAGAATAATTTATATTTATAATTCAATCTCTTCTATTTTCTAATTAGTAATTTATTCTTCATAAATAATTTTAATTTCCTATTTAACTTGATAAATTCTAACTAAATTTTTTATTTTAAAATTCTTCAATTTAGAGGTTCAAATATTTTTCATCCAAAAAAAAAATATTTAATATCAAAAACAAATAAATTATTTTTAAAATATTTAATTTTTAATAAACAAGCAAACAAATTATTTATTTATTTATTTAAGAAAATGTTTTATTTTGATTTATAAAGTAAAAAAAATTATTATTTTCAAAATTTATCAAAATAATAAATTTCCTTGTTTGCTTTTTCAAATAGCTAAATATTAATTGATAATTCTAATTGAGAAATATTTCAAAAAAAATAAACTTTTTGAAAAATTGTTTTGTAAACATTTTAAAAGTTTAAATCAATTGAAAGTTTTTTATTAATTTTTAATTGTTAAAACTATTTTTCAATCAAGACATTTGTAAAATAAAAATGAAATAATTTCAAAAAGTTTAATTGAAATTTCAAATAAATTAATGATTTATTATTAAGTATTATTTTATTTTTTTGATAGGAGATAAATTTTTTTAAGATCTTAATTTAAATTTATTATTTTTAAATTTAATATTTGATGTATTATTTTTCTGTTTATAGTTAAATATATTTTTACAAATATTTAAAGAAAATTATGATACATTTTTGATTAAAATAAATTACTTTATTTTTCATTAAAAAATATTGTTTTTCAACTATGATATTAGTTAAATAAAAATGAAAAATTTGATTACAATAATTGAAATAATTTTAGTTTAAATTATCTAAACTAATAATCGTAAAAAAACAAAAATTACATGGTTAAAATATTGTTTTCTATTAGGATAAATTGAAATTGCTTTTAAAAAAATTTAATTTAAGTTTATTTAAATTTAAGGTTTTTTGTAAATCAGCTAATATAAAGTAGAATTTATCTAGTAACTCTTAAATTTAGTGCTTTCTGCATTTTTTTGCTGTCAAGTGAATAAGTAAAAAATTATTTTTTACTGATAATAAACTAAACTAAATCAAAAATTAAATTAAAATTACTTTCCTTTATTTTTAAAAATACAATTTTTCAATCAATTCATTTTTAAAGCAAATATGAATAAAAATTATTATAGTAATTGTAAAGCTTTAGTTTTAATAAATTATTTATTTATTTTTAATATTTTTAGTGGATTAATGCAAATTACTTTTTAAAAAATTTGATTTAAGCTTGATAAAATTTAATAATTTTTTTAAGTAGGTTTAGATTATGTAAAAATTAGCAGTTTATTTTGAAATTTAGTATTTGGAAAATTTGGTATGTTATTTTTTATTTTAGTTTATTAGTTAGTTAAAAATTTTTTTGCTCATATTTATTTGTTTTTTAATATTTAGCGAATTTAGAAATAGTTTGAAAACTAAACAAACAAAAAACAAACGAATCTTTTTAGAAATTAATTTAAAAATTTAGATAGTAATTTATCTTTTTTAAAGAAAAAAGTAGGATACGACATTAGATTAATGAATATAAATTGTATGTTATAAATGTTTTAAATATTTTCAATATTTCTTTTTGTTGGGTCTAGGCTTGTTAGCACCAAGGTTAAGTTTCTTTTTAGTGATCTTGCCATCTGCTTTTCTATTTATTAATAAATTAAATAAAATTTAGTAAATTAAACATCATTCTAATTGATAAAAATGTACTGTTATTATTTTTAGGGGTTTTCGTTTTAATCTTCTTATTATTATTAAGATTCTATGGTACCAATCTTCTTATCTAAGATTCTTTGGTTATGAAGTTGAGATTAGTTGACTGTTTCTATTAATTTATTGCTTAAGCCTTATAAACTGGTTCTGTCAGAGTGTTCGAAAATAATATAAAGTTAGTTTTCAATTGTATGTATACGAGCATTTATTTCTTAAGCAGAAACCATCTATTTATTTATTTATTTTTCAAATTTAAATTTTTAATTCAGCTCAAAAAAAATTTCAAATATTTATTTGAAATCAAAATCGATATTTATTCATTTTTTAATTTTTATTATGAAATAAATAATTTGTTAATTATTTTGAATTATTTATTTATTTATTAATTTTAACAAATAAATAACTCTTTAAACTTGTTTAAATTATAAATAAATTGATTAATTTAAATATTATGGATAAATTAATCCAAATTATAAATTAAACTAATTTCTTTCAAATAGCAAATAAAGTTGATTAGTTTTTAAAGATTACCTTGAAAGTAGTTGATTTGATAGATTGAGCATCTAATTAGAACTTCTCAACAAGATTGTTTAAGCTTAAATTGTCAAATGTGTTCTTAAATTGGAATAAATAACTCTTGAAAGATTGTTCTTTGATTCTAAGCATTAAATTCTCTAAAGTCTATTTTATTGTAAAAAAAGATTAATTTTTTTGAAAATAGATCAAATTTATTAATTAGATATTTATTTACTTATTGAAGTCCAGTCATAAATCTCCAGACAGTCATTTTGGTGAGGTAATCATAGCAAGCCTTCCATGATCCCTTTTATAATTCTTTAGTAGCGTAGAAGATTAAGTCTCTGTTTTGTTCAGGAGGTGATATGTAATGCTATTTATTTATTTATTTAATTTAAATTAATCTCATTATTTTTAATAAATGCAAATCAATTGATTTTAAAGTTTAATTTATTTTTTTATTAAAGTAATTTTTTACAGATTTTGAGTAGGAATCAAGCAATCTACGATAGTTACGAGCTTAAACATTCTTGCTGTGAGTTTCTTAGACCATAATAGGAGCTTCAATGAGCATGGAGCAAATGAAGTTAACTATTTCAATCATTTCAACATTAATGTGATAGTGTTAAGGAAGAACCTTTCTCTTGTCACTTTGAGAAGAATATCTCAAATGTGATTGACCAATTAATTCCTTAATCTTACCAGATTGACTGCATAAATCATTAAGGAAGGTGAAGGCTTCAGTGAAAATACCTTATCTGAAATAAGCTAAACCTAATTGAACCAAAACTCTATTGTAGAAAATCTATTTTTTATAAAAAAATAAAATTTTTAGAAATATTGTTTTTTTTATGTTTGGATTTATAATAAAGATTCTAGATAATATATAATTTACCTAAAGGATGGAGTCAATGTTGTTAACGTTATCAGTAATTTTAGACATGAGGAGGTAATCTCTGGCAACTTAAGTTCTGTCGTGAATGGCATGGTGATAAATGTGGTAAAGGATAGCTTTGGTTGTATTAGATTAGTCATATTTGTAGACAAGAGTAGCAAGGTAGTGAATGATAGATTCGGTGTCTTATTGCTTGTTGAAATAAGATCCGTTTTCATATGTTTACTTATCAGATTCACGAACCTTGGCTAAGATGGAATCATGGATATAGTACATATTTTCTAATCTCAAGAAAGCAATTCTGGTAGTAATGCTGATGTTTTGTTTAATTTAACGATGGAAAAATTGAACTTGTTCATTTAATTATTGATAGAAATTTTGCAACTTTTCGTTTTATTGATCGTTAAGGTTGAGTTGTTGCAAGTTTTCACATAATCTCAATAAATTATCGAGATCTTGGATTCTTTTTTATTATTGCAACTAATTAAATTTATTAAAAAAAAAATGTTTATTATTTATGTATTAAAGTAAAAGAAAGTTAGTTAGTTATTTACTTAGGATTTTGTTTCTTTGGTATTAATAGCAGTTGTATTAACTTATTCGTAGAAATTTTGAACTTTTTCATTTAATTAAACATCTTTCTTGATCTTATTTAATTATTCGTTGAAATCCTAAACATTTTCATTTAATAATTCATAGTAGAAGTGTTGTACTTTTTCACTTAATCTCAATAAATCATACAAATCTGAAATTCTGTTATATTATTCCTAATGATTGAAACAATTAGTTAATAATTAATATCATGGCAAAGTGAATTATTTTTACTTCAGATTGAGTTTCAGTGCTGTAAAAAGCCTTGTTAAGTTCAGTAACAACAGTGTTAAAGAAAGTGGAGATGGATTCGTTAATCTTTTATTAAGTATAAAATTTGTTATCATCTTGCTTGTTGTAATGTTGGAATTATTTAGTTCTGTTTTCAGTTTTTTATAATATTTTAAGTAATTCTAAAATATTGGAGTAAGTTTCCAACCACATATCTCTGCTCATGCAGCTAGGACTGGAGTGCAAAGTACTCCAAAGCTTCTATGAATAGTCGACAGTAATAGGAATAAGGATCATAATTAATTCAGTAATAATTTCAACATGAGGAGCTTAATCTTCTTAGCTTAAATAGTGTTGTAAGTAAGCCTTCAATACTTGATAGCAATACTTCTAGTCGAAGTCCTTTTAAGTTCTATTTTATAATTAATTTTTATAAAACCATCAAAAATAATTGAAGCTTCTTATTAAATAAATACCTTTTTGCAACGAATTCAGCTAAAGTGTTAGTTCTTCCATCGTATGTAAGATCAATTTGAACTTGTCTTTCAGTTTCAACTTCAGCTACCTTGAATTCGTGAACTCTTTATACTTTAGGCTTTACTTCTTTATCTTCTTCTTTATCTTTATCCTTGTCTTCATCATCGCTTTCAGAATCTTTTTTCTTTTTAAGAAGCCAAAACTATCTTCTAACCATAGGATCATTAGATTCTAAGGGATGGATAGAGTCATTTGAGCTGTCAGATTTAAAATCACTATCAGTTTTTTCTTCACCACTGCCTTCATCAGTTGTAACAGTAGGGTTCTTTTTAATAAGTGCGAAAATTTAATTTAAAATGATTTTTTTAAATAATTTATATCCATATTTAAATCTCTCCAAGTTCAACCATTTCATATATTGAAATATTTATTGCATAAATTATAAGCCTTAATTAATTTGCTAATGCTAATACTAATGTTAACTAACTAACGAATGAACGAACTAATTAACTCTATTAAAAGATTATGACTGAACAACTAAAAATAAATTAATAGTGTAAAATCAATGTTATTTTAATCATGCTAGATCAGAAACGACTTTAAAATTAGTTTCTTTTGCTTATAATTTTGCAAGCAACCTAAATAAAATGAATAATTTTGATTTAAATTGATGCTTAAAATGGCTTTTTTTTTTTTTGGTAGAAAAATATTCTACATTTTGGCTTGCTATAAAAGTTAATAGTGCAAAATAAATGCTATTTCACATGTGATAGATCGAAAATGACTTTAAAATTAGTTTCGTTTGGACATTCTTTTGCTAGCAACCTAATTAATAATTTTGATTTAACCTGATGCTTGAAATGGCGCTTAGTTAGCTTTGTTAGGTAAAAAGATATTCTTCTACATTTTGTTGTGCAAAGAAAGTAGATATTGATTAGGCTAAATTAAAAGAAAATAACCAAAATCATTATATGTCTATTTATCCAATAATATATCAATGATTTTATTGGGGAAGTACAAACAAAAGAATATTAAAAATTAGCTTAAAAATTAAATGTTTTTTTGTTTGTTTGTTTTGTTTTGATGATATCCAAAAGCTGAAATCTAATTTTTTAAAGATAGATAGGCTGTTATAAATGGGCTTAGAGGGATTTAAATATATGAAAATAAAGTGCTTTTATCCATACTTCTGCAAACTTTTTAAGACCTTCCTTGATATCTGATTAAATTTTAGTAATCTTACGATGAATGGCATTCATAGCCTTGCTATTTGCTTATGATAATTTCTTCTTTTCTTCAGTAGTAAAATTTTTAATTTTATCTTCGAGACGGTAGATTGCTCTAATGAAAAAGCTGGGAATACCATGTTCATCTATGATTTTTCTTGATTTTTCAAAATCCTTAAGTAAAGTGTCGAAAAGATCATCGACATTTGCAAAATTCTATCTTTCGACGTTCTATTTCAAGTTTGCTATTGTTTCCTTCAATTTCATGTATCTCTTATCTTTTTCGCTCAAAACAACTCTCTTAACGTCTTCGTCACTATCGGAATCGAAAAGTTCGTTTGCTAACATTCTTCTATTGTCAACTCCCTTTTGTTCCTCTTAGCTCTCATTATCTGAGTTTGAGCTATTGTCTGAGTTATTATCTTAAAAGTGCGCCATTTTTTTACAAACTTCCTACTTGTATTTTATATTTTCTTCTTTTTCTTTTTTTTAGTTTCTTTTTATTTATATTTCTTTTTAACTTTATTTATTTTAGATTTTTTTAAAGATATATGCTTTCTTTACTATGTAGAAGATGCTTCATTCAAAAATCTATATAATTTCTCTTTCTTCATCATAATATTCAAGTTTTTATCATTAATTTGATATAGATAAAACACTATACAATATCTTTGTCTGTTTGTTTGTATGTTTATTTGTTTGTTTGCTTGATTGCATACATGCTTGCTTGCTTGTTTTTATGATTTTTTTGTTGCCCATGTTACCAACTGAGAGATGCTAAATAAATAAATCCCAATCTAAATATCCAAACAACTAACTTTGTATCAAAAATCATTTTTTTAAAATTAAAAATTTTTTGTTTTCATTTCATAAAAGCTTTATCATCAAATATTTTATTTTATTGTGTAAAAAATAAAAGGAAATAAAGTAAAATATTAAATTGTTTTTAAAGTTATTAAATGCAGATAATCTAAAAAATAACTAAACAAATAAACTATTAAAGGAGTTAATTATAAAATTGGTATTAAGGAAAGTATGTATGCATTTCATATAAATTTTTTAAAAGCTCCAATGCTAAATATTTATTTATATTTTTTTTATAGCTCTTTCAAAGTAAATAAAACCAAAGCTCACAATATATCTATTGAGTATCAATATTCTAATACTCTACTTTTAAAATATCTGTATCAATTGATATTGATATACATAAAATTAAATATCTAATAATTATAATAATATCATAATTATATAAAAAGGAAATAGAAAATCTTAAAATAAATAGAATAAAAATAATATGTCTGTCTAAAATATTTAGATTAATATTAGGAATTTATTAATTAATTGATAATTTGAAATTAAAATATTAACTGATTAAAGATTAATTAAAGATTTAAATAAAATCAAAATTTAATTTATTTTACTTGATTGTTTCTTGCAAGTTTGTTTTAACTTTTTTTTAACTCTAAAGTTAATTGACTCTTAATGTGAAAATAACAAATTATACTTCAAATAAAAATATTTAATAGTGAAATAAATTAGTATTCAGATAGCTTATAAATTGTATTAATAAGATTTATTCATTTTTTGTTATTAAAAGCAGCATAAAATATCTTTGTATTATAGTTTATAAAAATGTTCAATTTCAATTTTATTCTATGAAAAATTATAAATAAACATAAATAATTCATTTTTTCAAGTTTTATTTTATTTTTGATAATGCTTGTTTGTTTGTTTGATTAATTCATTCTTTAACAATTAATTTTTACAATGTTATGAAAAAATAAATATTTTCTATTTAACAATTTTTTTTCAAATCTAATAAATAATTTTGATGGATGGATTGAACTAAACTAGTAATATTTTTAAAGATTAATAAACGTTTATTTATTTTTAATTTTGATAAAAAGATAAATTATTAATTTATTTATTTATTTATTTTGGATTTTAGTATTAAGAAAGTACAATTTTAAATAGAATTTATTTTATATAAGATTGTTTTCAAATTTAGTAATTTAAATGATTATTTTATAAAAAACTATGATAATAAATATAATTAATTAATGAAATATTTTTACTGTTAACATTTCAAAATAAAAATGAAATTGGATATATATAATTTGATTAATCTTTAGTATATCTATATATCTATTGATCATAAATATCATTGATTTATTTATCAGGTTTACAAATATAATTATTTATATCTTTTGCAATAATATCAAAAATTCTTAAAAATTAGATAGATACATAGTATTTTAGCATAAACACATTGAAAATATAAAATGAAGCCCTTCTTTAAAGCCGTTTTAATAATTAATCATACTTAAAACAAAGATAACATCGATTTCGAATCTCTCAAACAGCTAGCTGAAGAAAAGAATTTAATTAGAGATTAAAATGGTAAATTGAATTGTCACAAATATTAATATTATTAAGAATATTAATCCAAAAATTAAAAATTATAATTAGAAATATCTAAAATAAAATCAAAGCTATAACTGTTCCAGTTACAGGAGGCATTTTATTTGATTTTAAATAGCTTAAATTTATACAGATTCATACAAGAAAGCTAGTATATTGATATAAATATTGTTTTTTTATAAAAAAGAATTTGAAGAAATAGTAGCTAGATTTGAAGATTTGTGCTAAGTTCTCATTAAGAAAAATCCTCTAACAGCTGAAGATTTCAATGATTTACTCACAAAATATGTAAATTTATTTAATTTAAATGCCTTAATATGAATTTAAATATGATTTTATTGGTTTTGATCGAATGCATTAACTGTATAATTGAAAAGCGAAGACTTATTAATATATATTTCTTTTATTAAAATATTATTTTTAACTATTGAAGAACTTTAAATAAAATTAATTAGGAATTTGATGATGATAAAAGTTAGAAGGAGCTTTATTAAGTTTGGGAACACGAAAAAGAAAATGTCTACAGTTATTTGATAAAAAAGAGCGGAAATTTTAGAAAATTGGACAAAATTGAGTGGTCTTTAAATAATAAATTCTACACAAAAAAGGCCAAAAATTTAAATGAAATGACAGTCGTTGTATCTCTAAAAGTAATTTTCATTCAATAAACTTAATATAATTAAATAAATATATATACATGTGCTTATTTTAATTTTATTGAAATAGACTTCTTAATACGATAACTAAAACCAAAGACATATTACGTTTGAGATGAATAATAAAGAATTGTAATAACTTAGAGATGATCTATTCAGAATCGAAGAAGAAATAATAGCTCTTAATTCCTAACAATGAATAAATTAATGATTTACTTGCTTATCCATTGATAAACTATATAATAAATTTGTAACAAATATAAGCTAATTAGAATTAATTCTTGTTAAAATTTCAGGAATCAATTTTTCTTTCTCAAAATATTTTTAAAATTTAATCAAATATTTTAATTTTCAATAAAAAAGAAAATAAATAATTTAAATTAATTTATCAAATTATAAATAAAAAATGAAAAAAAATTTATTAAACATAAAGAGATTTCTCATTTTTAAGTTATATTTATTATTTATCACTTTAATTTATTTATTTTAACAGATATATTATATCTTTTAGCAGATATTATGCTACTTTTATAGTATAAAAATGATCTGCTTGTTAATGTATTTTATTTAAAATTTTTAAATTAAAAAAAATAATTATTTAAAGTTTGAGAATTGTAAATAGATTTAAATATGTAAATAGCTTTTTTTAAAAAGCAGGTAGAAAATAATTCAATTTTAAAATAAGAAATACAAAATTTTATTAAACATGAAGAGATTTTTAAGTTATATTTATTATCTATCACTTTAATTTATTTATTTTAACAGATATATTATATCTTTTGGCAGATATTATGCTACTTTTATAGTATAAAAATGATCTGCTTGTTAATGTATTTTATTTAAAATTTTTAAATTAAAAAAAATAATTATTTAAAGTTTGAGAATTGCAAATAGATTTAAAAATGTCAATAGCTTTTTTTAAAAAGCAGGTTGAAAATAATTCAATTTTAAAATAAGAAATATTAAAGTTAAAACAATAATGTTTTTTTTGATCAGAATTTTATTTTAACTTATATTTAAAATAATCAACAAACAAATAAAATAATTTATCATTTTTTTGTCTTTTTTTGAATAAAATAAATAGAAAAAAGAATTCACTAAAATAAAACGAAATTAATTATAATAAATTTTCATTATCAAAGTTTGAATTTGCATAAAGATATTTAATTTAATAGTTTTTTTTGTTAGAACACCTACTCATAAATGGATAAACAAAAGGAAAATAAAAGGGCTAAAATGGAAAGTGAGTTTGATGTAAAAGACATCATAGTCATTGATAACGGAGCAGACACAGTAAAAATAGGTATATCTGGAGAAGATAAGCCAAGAGTAAACATTTTTAAATATCTAAATGCATTAATTCAAATGCATGAATTAGTATAATTTAATGATTAATCTATATAAAAAATGCAGATAATTATTGATTCAATTGGAGGTGAGCCAAAACTAGGAGTTAACGATGAAGCAACAAACCAAAAGCCGTATTAAATTTATATAAAATAACGAAAAGCAGCAAAACTTACAATTACTTATGCATTTGGCAAATTAATCACGTTTTTATTAAACCAAAATAATTTGCGATTAATTTCCAATTACAAGATTTTGATTGATTATCTTATCTAATATAATATATTTTATAAAAAAGGTAATGTTTGTTTGGACAGTAGTTATAATAAGCTAAAATAGAGAAGAAGTTTGAGTTAGAAGAGAAATTCCCTATTCAAAATGGAGTAATTAATTAATAAATTGCTTTATTTCGACAAATACGTCTGAAAAAAACAACAATTTAATTTAAAAATCAAAAAATAAATAAATAGTTACAGATATGTAAAATAGAAAAAAATAAACAATAAAACAATAAAACAATAAAGATAAAACAAACACAATTTAAAATTAGTTAAAACAAAATTTTAAACATTTAAGATAGAAATATTTTAAATATTTTTCAAATGAATTATTATTTTTTTAATTTTCAAATGACAGCATAGAAAATCAATTTAAATTATTTAATTGCATTTAATATTTTTAAAAAATGTTAAAAAATTTATTGTCAAATAAGAATTATTTAGCAACAAGGGTGACTTAAAATTGAAATTTAAAAAATATTATTTAATTTAAGAGCCATCTTTATTTAGAGCTTGATATTTTAATAAGATTTGAAGTATAATTTATTAATTAATTTCAGATTTTAATCTAATAAAAAAGTGAAAAAAAATTATTCGAGTAACACCCTGATCATTTTTATAAATATAAAACAAAATAATAATTAATTTATTAATAAATAATTTAAAAATCAAAATATTAGTTTACACTCAAAACTACTGATTATCATCAAGTATTTATTGATTTTTTTAGAAAAAATAAAATAAAATAATCAGAGATCCTTAAGATTTTTTTTTAATTAATGATTAATTAAATAAGAGATTTTATTAGATTTTTTATCACTCATTCATTCATTTATTCATTTATCTATTATTTCATGATGGAGGAATTAATTTATTCATAAATATTATGATATAAAATATGAGAATTCATGCATGAAAATTTAAACAAAACAATATTTGTAACATGGGAGATCATTAGTTTTTATTTAAATTACAAAGAAAATAGTTGATTTTGATGCTATTAGAGATTTGTATACTTATGCCCTAGAAAAGCTGCTCTAAGTAAATGAAATAAGCTCATGCAATCTATTAATCATTGATTCTCCACTCAATCCTAAGAATTACAAGCACAAGCTAGCTGAGATTTTATTCGACGATATGAAAGTAAATTAAAAATTTTATAATTTGATACAATTTTCCCTTTAAAAAGGAATAATAGTACTAAAATTTAAAAAATATAAACAATATTTTAGGTTAACTCTGTTCTTTTTTAGAATTCTTCTTCATTAAGCTTATTCTCTACTGGAGAGACAACTGGGTTAGTAGTTGAATCTGGACATAGTCTAACTACATGCATTCCTGTCTTTGAAGGATTTGCTATCCCACATGCTTTTTAGCACTCTTATTTAGCAGGACAGAAAATGACTGAGATCTTAAAAGAAGTAAACTAATCTATTTTTAAAACATCCAAAAAATAATTAAAAAAGAGAAATATTTTTATCCATCAAAAGGGTTAATTATTTAATTAATTAATTAATTAACACATATTAAAAAATGAAGACTATAAAATAAAAGATGCTATCTTTGAATTTAATAAAAACAGAATTTATAAAATTTTGACACTTTGTGGAAAATAATTAATTAATTTTTGTTATTCTTTGATAAACCCTTCCTTCCTTCATTAATAAATAAATAACTAATGGATCATTAAGGAAGAAAAATAACAAATACAATTAAACTAACTAATGCTTTCATTTATTTTTTAACAAGGAACTTAAAATTCCAGCAGGTCAGCTTGATGACAATGTGTTTAAGGATATCAAGGAAAGAATGTGCTATGTGGCTAGAGATTACTACGTTGATGTAAGATAACCTTTTAAATTTATTATATTTAATCATTAAATTTGTACTTTCTTTTATCAGCAAATTAATTTATTAGAGACTTTATTCAGTTTAAAATTTTTTTTGATTTGTGTTTTTGCTATTTTTTGTATTTGTAGACTTTTTAGAATAGCCAGATTAAAACTTTTCCATAAGAGAAAAAATAAATCAACCTTGTTTGTTCTTTTTGAGTCTATATGTTTTTATGTATGTATGATAATTAGATAGATATCAGCAAGAGAGAATAAATAATAATTAAATTATATTACTAATTATTGCATTGATCTGAGACCATATTAATATTTAATTTTAATATTGAAAGGTAAATGGTCCTACTTTACTCAGCCTTGAAGAAAAATCATATGAACTGCCAGATGGAAGCATATTGGAAATAAATAACTCATAAAGATATAAACCAACGGAAATTATATTCAAGTCGGTTAATTTATTAATTAATTAATTGATTGATTAAATAACTTAAAAATGAATTTTCCTTTATTAGTCCTTCAATCATAGGAGACGACAGTATGAGCATACCAGAGATGATGATTGATACTCTTCATAGATGTGATGTAGAATTTTAAGAAGAACTGTATAGAAACATAGTATTATGCGGAGGGTCTTCATTATTTAAGGGTTTTTTACCCCGTATAGAGAAGGAGCTATTAAATGAGGTGACCAATACGATAAATAGAAAAGATATTAATTTTGTTTAAAACACTCATAGAAGGTATTCAGCTTGGATTGGTAATATTGTCTATAAAGCATTTATTTAAATGATTAGCATTATCCGGGGCTTTTCTTTCCAACTTAATATTTTCCTACTTAACTTCTTTTAACTGCATAAAAATGGTTAGTAATGATGATTAATAATTAAATTTTCAAATAATAGGAGGATCTATGCTAGGCAGCTTAAGCACTTTCTAGAATTTAGCAATTACTAAAAATGAATATGAAGAAAATCCTGAGTCTAAGATGTCAATAATACATAAAAAAACATTTTGAACTCTTGAAAATATAAAACATTTAATTAAATTTGTATTTATTTTAAAGCTATTTACAGAAATCAATGTAAGAAAAATAGAAAGAGAAATATAAGAAAAACCATCAGTAAAAGAAAAATAAATAAATAAATAAAAAATTAGATACTTGTTTGTTAATTTATTTTTGTATTTTTTGTTTATTTGTTTGTTTGAGAGCTTTATTTATTTTAAGTTGTAAATAAATCATGTAAGTATTTTTATTATAAAATATAGAGATTTTTATTTTTTAATAATTTCTTGATATTCTGTTTGATTCTATCTAATATACAAATTTTTTTTACTGCTTCAGGTAATTTGAAAAAATACTTCAGAAGTACCAAGTACTGTATTTGATTACAATCTAAAAAAATAAATAAAATATTGTAGACTTTCTTTTTAACATTTGTTTTTTTTTGCTTTTAGTTTTTGATAATCAATTTAATTAAAAAAAATATACAAAAAGCCAAATTCTAAAAGCAGCAAGCAACATATGGGAGAGCGTTTCTAAGTGTTGCCATAAAAGCATAATAATTTGTTAAATAAAGATTTGGTTTAGAATAGCTTACAGCTTTAGAGCAGTGAATAATAAATCAACTAAATAAATTATTTCAATTAAATGCAACAATAATTATAATAAAACATTTCAAACTCAAGTAGCTAACACTTATAAATAAATAATAGTATTTAAAATCCCTCGTTTTAAATGAAATTAAATCATTAATAATTAATAAATTTAAATCAGAATCCAGCTAATGGTTAAATTCATACTGCAGTACTGCCTCATTATATTTAAAATGCGTACTAAAATAATTATTATAATAACTGCGGCTTTTAAATATAGAATTAGATTCATGTTTAATAATGCTAAAATAGATATGATATCGCTAATATTAATCCAATAAATACTGAGTAATAAGCTAAAATCTTGCTAAAAAATGAAGATTCAATATCAAATTGTTAAATTTAGAATGAGTAAAATAGCAAATAAGACAGTTACTCAAATAGTTTGAACAGTTTTAAGCTCAAAGATTAATACAAAAAGTGCGTAGCAATAAAACAACTCTCAGTTTAAAAACAAATTGTTAAGATTTTATGTGATACTTTGGCAGATTCTGAAAGTTTGTAATCAGTTGCTAATTATGAAATATAATTTTATACTGAAATCAGTAAAATGGCAAGATTATTATTATACGATTCCTTCAAGTAAATTTTTAGCATTTATAATTTAATATTTATGTTAAATTTAAAAAACTTTAATTTCTAAAATTGTTTAACTCGATATTAATAAAAAACAAAAAAACAAAATCTTTTTCCTCAGTCAGATACAAAAAAGCATAAACCACTATACTTCAAAATCATTTAAAAGCATTAAAAAATTTTTCTTTAGCACTTTTACTTTTTATTTAAACCATCAAAAATTTTAAAATTTTTACTTAAGTAAATCAAATGAAAGAAAGATATATAGATAGATATGAATGAAAAAGAAAAATTATATAAAAATCCTCTTAATTAATTTTATTCATATTTATTTTCAAGCTTACTTAAGAATGAAATTTAATTTAGAATAAGTAATAGAAAATATTTTTAATTTACTTGAATTGATTTATTTACAAAAAAGAGAAAAAAAAATTTAAATTAAAAATTAATTTTGATTGTTTCTACCTCTTTACTCATAAAGCATTAATAAATGAGTTAATTATTTATTTATTTAATTAATATTTATTTTTATTTAAAGGATTTAAAATAATGCACAATTTTTTTGGGGACCTCTGAATATCTAAAGATCTATTAGGTCTGATATAAAAAATCTTCAAAAGTTAATTAGTAGGTTTTATTTAAACCAAATTTTTTCCCTTAAAAAGGAGTGGCTAACTCTTTAGAAAGAATAACTCAAATAAAATTACACTCTTACCAAAGAAGAAGATTTAAAGTAATTATTTTAATCATAGTTTGAGGAAAATCAAACATAGTTAACGTTAGATCTAGAGACTTGTGGTAAAGATGGGAACGATTATGGTAACACTTAAGGTTTTTAACAATCTCCTGAATTTGTCAATAAATAAAAGAAACTATTCGAAATATCATTAAAAATATAGCATTTGATTCAATTTTTATCAGAAACGACAGAGGAAGAATGCGATAAAAATAAAAATTAGAGAAATGGAATGTGGGATTATGCAAACACGGTTTTTGAATTGCTTGATAAACAAACAGAAGACATACAACAAAGTTGTATATTACTCGCAAGTGACAGATCTTCTATGACCCACTTTGACTCTACTGCTCTCGGAGTAGCTTTGTATTATTATGTAAATTTACAACCATCTCCAACTGGATAGTTCTTTTATGGAATCACTAATCTTCCTAAAATTACATATATTTCATTTAAGAAAAGCTGGGATGGATTGACAGAAGATGTTTTAAATTGGAATCCCATCTAAAATATAAGCGTCAATCCTTCAATTCAGACAATTGTCATTACAGAATCTTCTTTTGACTATCCTCCTTACAATTTTAACAATTTCTCTTGTAATAATCAATAAAATATCATCAGGCCTAACACTTACAAAATTTGTATAGATTAGATTGAATTCGAAAAACACAATAAAGGGGCTGAAAAATCCAATTAGTATAAAATAAAGTCTGATGATATTGTTTATATTTTTGAGAAAATCATATATCCTTTAGTAAGAGTCCATAAACCAAGTGTAATAATAATGAATCATAACTTTTCTTATACCAGCGAAAACGGGCCTTTAAAGGATCAATAATAAAAATTAAACAGCAACAACGTTTAATATGATTTAAAACCTACTGACTTTGCTTCAATTTTATAGACTTTAGGGACAGTCTGTTCATAGAAAGTAGTATTGGTTTCAAATAATAAATTTACAGATTTTTAATCAGAATTCAATACCTTTTAATGTAATTAAAAAATGACTGATGATTTGATTGAGTCACAAAAAGTAGAAAATCTTCAATTTTAATCAGTTTAATCTTTACCAAGGAAAAAAAGACAAATTGAATAATAACCATTAGATATTTAAATTTCCCCAATTATTCCTAATTACCACAAATAAATATCAAATGTTTTGAATACACAAACAGAATAACAATCAAAAAAAATTTAGAAAGCTAACTAGAAAATATTTTAGAGGTAGCTAGCTGAAAATTAAGCTGATGCAAAATAGGATTTCATAATTATTGACAAAGATAATGAAGATTAATTGCTAAGTAAAAACAATAATGACTAATAAAATTCATATAAAAATATTCTGGTTAATAATTAAGTTTTATAGACTTAATTTCCTAATTTAATCAACACATCTTAATACGCTTCTGGAAAAGCTGCTTCCTTTTTGCTATAAAATGACTCAGCTAATTTACATAACTTATAAAATAATTAATAACATTAGTCACTTGTTCAGCAACCTAGATATTTTTAATCTAACTAATTAGATGTAAATCTTTGTCAAATCAACCAAACAAATTTATACGCTAATTAGTAGCAAAGTTAATCGATTATTTCTTGCGTACCTAATTATGTTAGCAATCTTAATTAATTTTAAGATTCAAATATGATTCGTTTTTTGGATGCCAATTAGCAAATGAACTAAGTATCTAAAATTTAATAAATTTCTTCATATCTTCCTGCTCATTTAAATTAACCTAAAATATTCTACTAAAGTTAGCAAGCTCTTAATTCCCGTGTTTCTGACTCAAATTTTAATTAAAAAAATCAAATAAAGTCTATGTAAAGTGCTTCAAATGAAAAAAAAAGAAGAATTAATTTACAAAATTAATAATCAGATATCCCAATTTAAAAAAATAAAAACTAATAATTTATAGATAATGTTTCCAAATATTATTAAAAAATTCTACAATCACCAATAATAAGTAGAAGCGGGAAGGCTGTTTGTTTCTACATCCAAAAATATATGGACTTGGACACTTAAAAACTCTAACAAGACATTGAAGAATTAAATTAAAAAATTTTACAAGAAAAATCAGTCTTAGAAATTCAGAACAACTGTGAAAATACTTAACAAGAGACTTAATAGCAGATTTAATCTACTTAAAGTATGTAAAATAATATCTAAAGTTAAAATTTGAATCCAAAGCAAGATAAAGAAGCAGCATTAAATTAAAGCTTAGCCAAATTAAAGGATTTGTAAAAATAATTTGAAATTATTCAAGAAAAGAAAAAGGTTCTGCTTAAAAACATAAATGAGATATTTTCTCAAAATAAATGGAGACTTTCCAACTTCGTGTTTAATTGGCAAATTGTTGTCAAATTGATCAGAGATGAAGATGAAATCGAAAAGTATTTACTCACAAATACCAGCATTGATAATGTCTAAGGTAGCATAGAGGAAATATTTAAATTAGATTAAACTGTAGATAAATCTTAACAAAAAATAGCAGCTATCATTTTCTCACTCTATAAACAGTAATAAAGCTAAAGATAATAGCAGATCTATGATTTAATTGAGAAAAAAGAACTTTTTGAGAAAAAATAATCATCTTAAAAAGAAGTTGCATATAGATTTTATAAGAAATACACTGAATATGTTCTGCAAACATTGCTTTAGACTCTATATTCAAATGCAGAAATTAAGGATGTATTTTCTAATTCGTTTAAGAGTAAATCAAATTATCTAAATTAAGTCAACCCTCATTTTTAGTTGTATGTCTAAGAGATCAACAAAAACTTAATACTCTAAAAAGAAAAACATATAAGATAATATTTCTTAGAAGAAGGCAATAATATTCCTGAATTAAGTTACATAATTAAAGATAATGAAATGAGATGCTTGAAAGCTGACTAAAATATGAACTTCTTATCCAATTATAGTGATAAATAATATCAAAAAGACCAAGTCCCAGAAGATCAGTAGATAATTACTCAAGATCAGTAAGAACCTGAAACCAATCAGATAAGATAAACTAAAGCATCAAAAAAAGGAGAAATAGGAGTGTCCAGTGCTTTAGTAAGAGGAGATACAATAAATTAAAACAAGGATGCAACAAATAATAATCAAATTGAAAAATAAAGTAGTTAATTTGAAAGAATTGAAGAGGAAGAAAAACTTGAGAAGAAAAAAATTGAAGAGATAGAATTGTCTAAATTCTTCAAAAACTTCAAAAATGTAAATTAGAAATGCTCCAAAGAATCTCTCAAATTCAAGCTTTCAACTGAAATAAAAGGACTTAATTATATAACAAATCTAAAGGCCCAGTCTTAAAATCAATTAAGTAATCCTAGCCTGTTAAAAAATTTCCATTAATTCAAAAATATCTCCAACTTAAATTTTAATAGCTAATAATTCAAAATATCTGAAAGCGATTTTAATTAACCTAAAACTGCTTAAGTTAGATAATTAAATGTTCAAATGAATTCCATCTAAAATAATTCAGAAATCTTTAAAAACTCTCAAATGAACTGCATCTAAACTAATTCAGAAATGATGAAAAATGCTCAAATGAACTACATCTAAACTAATCCAGATATATTAAAAAATGCTCAAATGAACTACATCTAAACTAATCCAGAAATCTTGAAAAATTAATATCTTTATAACAACTAATTAGTTTCTAATAACTCAAATATTCAGACTGTGTTCAGTCATGTCAATAGTGCTTAATAGCAATATTAAAATTAAAATTTAATAAGAAATGACATAAAATTATAAGAAAATTTGAGAACTAAAAAATTAATGGCTAAGAAATATAAAAGCGAAATTTTCGACATCAGATAGTAAAAGATAGTAAAACTGAAAACATCTCAAAGACTAGTCTTATATGATGAAGACTGCTAGATTCAGGTTATCTATTTGCCATAAAATACTTTAGAAATTTATCTCTTCAACTTAAAAATTTAAAATAACTATAATCATGTGATTTTAACTCAACCTTACCCTAACTCAGAAATATTTGATGCCAAATATATCCCTGTTCAATAATAAGATGTGAGATTTTCTTCATCATTATGCTATAATGAAAATTTTGTCTTCAAAGTGTTTGGTGAGAGTATCCAATCAGAAAGAACTATCAACTAAATAGAAATCATAAACAGAATTACTAAAGAGTATAGATTACTTAAGTACAATGGAAGTAACTCGTAATCATTATAAATAGTTTCACAATTTTCCTCCAGCTGCTTCTTTAGCCCTATAACACAACTGCATTACATCAGCTGTTTTGGAGGGTATGATCCTGAAAGAAAACCCGTTACTTAAGCTGGCTTAATAGAGGTTAACTTAAACAACTTTACATATAAAATAGCTGAAACTCTAAATAAAAGCGATTTTAGTAATGAATATTTTATTTTTTACAAAAGTCGTCCGATGAATGGGAAAAAATGTCATCCAAATCTTTAAAATGTTAACTAAGAAAAAAATTAACAATTAACTGCAGAAAGAAGCGTTAAAGATTTCTGGAAGAAAGTCCCTCACTTTTTTAGCTCGTCACAGTCGGTTTATGACGAGGTTTCAGATTGTATCTATGTTTTTGGAGGAAATGCTAATAACAGATAAAGCTCCAATAATTTTTAAGAATCAATAATAAAAAGCTCTCTTTCATGCAACAGCTTTAGTTGGGAAGAGTATTTGTGCTTTGTCAAATTCTAAAATGTATCACGCTCAACTAGCTTAAAAGATGCTATTTTCCTAAAGCTAGAAGTTAAAAACATGAACGAGATAATTTATCAAAATAACATATTCCTAAATGAGTAAAAAATATAAACATTTGATCCTGTCTATGGTGCTTAAGGTCCCAATGCTAAAAAAATGCAAGAAAGCATTAATAAAAAAGCAGAATTCTCTACTCTATTTCGTCATAGCAATATCTTGAGTTATAGAATTCAAGACTAATAAAATAAAGAAGCAAAAAACATAGAAGGTAAAATGGAAATAGAGTAAAATTAAAGTACCTCAAGTACTTTTGTGATATAATAATCTCATCCAACCCATTTTAAATTTGAAAAATTAGCCTATAGAAACGATCAGCAGCCCCATTAACTTTTATCAATGGCATTTTCTATGGACAAAGATCCTTTGCCAAAGATTTAATTACAAGTTAAAGTAGGCTGTTGTTGAGTTTCAAATAAAATTAATTAATTAATGAAAAGTTATTTAAAATATAGTAAAATAGATAGATATATTAAAACAAACAAACAAACAAAAATAAATAAATTACAATCAATTTTAATTAAAATATAAATTATTATAAAATAAACTTTCTATAAAAACCAAACCAAACCAAATTTTTTCTAACAAATTAAAAGAAAATAATATTATCTACATTCCCTAACTCACTCACTATTAATATAAACTTAATTTTATTAAATATTTTTTAATTATATCAAAATTAATTCATCTTGTAATTTACTTGCATATTTATTCTTTTAAATTGTTTATATTTATCTTATTCTAAATATACAATCTAATCCAATCAATACTTTATTTATTTATTTATTTTCTTTTCAAGTCAATTAGTTAGTAGCATAAAAGTTTTTCTTCATTTATTATTTATTTTTTTTTTATTAAATTATATTTTTAAATTTTTAATGTATTTCAAATTATTTTTGATTTCATTAGGAGTTAAATAAATTATTTTTAAATTAACGTGTTTCATTTTATTTAAAAAATTTTTTGAATTTTTACAAAAAATTAATTTAGAATTTTATAATTTTTTTAAAAAAATAATAAATTATTTATTGTTTGAATAAAATTAATATGGATAAACTTATTTATTAATTAATATTTTAATTTGTTTATTTATTAATTAAATGTTAAAATCATATAATTATAATTGATAAAGTTATTTATTTGATATGTTAATTTATTTATTAATAAAAGATTTTAATTGATATAAATTATATCTTAGTTGATGTAAATATATTAGAAAGATATTTATTAATTGATATATACACTATTTATTGATTGATTTCATTAAATAGAAATCCAATATTTATTCTAAAATAGAAATAATTTATTTTTATCACTTAAATAAAAAACAGAAATCAAATAAAATAAATTTCACATTCTTAAAATTTTCTAACTTTAATAATGCATAATTAATTTATCGCCTTTTTTTATATTTAAATGTTTTTAAGAAATGATGTCTAAATTTAAGAATAGTTTTAAATCTAAAAATTCGTAATTAATTTGTGTTAAAAAGGAATAATCAATCACTTTAAATAAAATGAATTTAAAAAAATTTTACAATCATACATGCATATTACATATGCAATTTTATTACAGTATTTTCATGTAAATTTAAAGGAGGAGGAGCCTATTTTTATATTTAAAATTATATAAAACAAACAATTGCACTAACATTTTATTAATAAATAGTTTTAAAAAGTCTAAGCTATATTTATTCAAAATTTTCTTTTTAATTTAATTTCTGTCTGAATACATACATACTTATTTGCTATTTGTTTAAAATTATTATTGATTAGAAAACAAAAAAGTTAGATTTAAAAAATTTTAATTATTTAATCAGTTAAAAATTTTGAAATATTTTTGAAATCAATTAAAATAATTTTTATGCTGTTTAAATACTTTATTTAAAAAAGGATGGCTGGCATAAAAAAGATTCTTTTTTGTTAAATAAGTTTTTATAATATTTATTTGATAACTAATTCAAAATAAAACTTCTTTTTGATTTTGATTAAATTGTTAAATGATAAATCAAAGAAATGTTTTGTTTGTTTGTTTGTTTTTTTCAATAGAGATAATAATCACAACTTATTTTTTTATTATTTCATAAATAATTAATTGTATTTGAAAATAATCAAACTAATTTATTTATAGAAGTTATTATTTAGAAAACAAACATTAGATAATAAAGATGGCTGACGAAGAAGCACAATATAAATTTATTCCTGAAGGCGAATCAGCAGTTCGTATTTCAAGCAGAAACTATTACGGAAGGGGTACCGCCTTGTAAGAAAATAAAACATTAGAATTTTAAGCATCAATGGATACATACATATTTAGATATTAATAATTATAAAATAGCTTCAAATTTATATTCAATATTTATCAAAGAATTAACAATAATTGCATTTTTATTTATTTAATTAGTTATCCAAATGAAGATCAATATGAAGGTGAATATGAAGATGGAGTAAAAAATTTTATTAATTAAAGGAAAAGCAAATAATTAACAAGCAAATGCTATTTGTTAATCATAATCTAATAAATAAATTCAAAAATACAATTACTTTGTTATTCAATCAACAAGTATAAACTTATTATGAACTGATCATTAAATATATAGTATAGAATTGGTAAAGGTATCTACACATATAAAAGACCAGAAGAAAAACCTGCTGATAAGTATGAGGGAGATTTTTATTTGAACAAAAAGCACGGTATTGGTTTAATGACTTACGTAGAAAAAAACGAAACTTACTATGGATAGTGGGAAAATGGTAAAAAGCATGGTGAAGGTATTTACACATATAACAATAAAGATACTTATTCTGGATGGTGGGCTTTTGGTAAAAAGCATGGAAAGGGTACTTACGTATATGCTGCTACTAATCAAAGAGTAAATTATTAAAACCAAAAGCATTTATTTTTCATTCAACCTTAAATAAATAAATTAATAAAAAGAGCTTTTCATTTTAATATTTTTGTAATTTTGCAATAGTTCTTGATAGATATTCATTTCACTTAAATAAATGGAATACTTATATTTATTTTTAAGCTTTATTAGCAATTTCCAAATTAAAGAAAGTTCTTGTTTGTAATAAATATGTTTTTAAATTAAAAGATTGAAGGTACTTGGGAAGAAAATAAGTGCATCGAAGGTAGATGGATTTTACCAAACGGAAACTACTTTGAAGGCAAGTTTGAGAATAATAAACCCTCTGGAAATGGTAGATTAAATTGTATTATTAAGTGTTTTAAAATTTCATAATATCGCTAATAAATAGGTAAATGGTATTTCAAAAATGGTAATATTATAACTGGTGATTTTAAGCAAGAACCTTTCGAAGATGAAGTCGTAAAAATAATTTTTATTTAAAAATATTTTTTAGTTTAATCACATTGCTTGTTTTTAAAAGGATGGAGAAACTGTTAAAAAGTATAAATTGTCATGGTTGACTAATGCCAACTTGTGCTCATCTGCTGAACTTATTAACGATTAAGAAAGATTCTGAATAATTAAAAATTCAAAAAAATTTCTTTGAAGAAAACTATTTTTTGTCAATAAAAACAAACAGTTTTTGTTTAAAATGTCTGTGCTTTTTTTTATCAAATAAATTCATCCGATATAAAATCTCAATTAATTTTCATTTTAGAAATGTTTCAAAAAATTTATTCAATAACTTTTAAAAGGTTTTTTATGTTTAAATTAAAATTTTTTGAGTTTTTTTTATTTTTAAAAAAGAAATGGCAAATAAATAAATAAATAATTTTAATATTACTTACTTACTGGATTTCTTAAAAATGAATCACACAGAATCTAAAAATGATAAGAATTATCACAATTTAATAAATCTCCATTCAAAAATGACATATAGTTTCATTAAAAAAATTTATGTAAAAATTCTATCTAAATCTTTTTTAATCATTTGATTTGATTGATTGATTGAAAGAGAGCTGGATAATATAAATTTTAATACAAACACAATCATATTAAAAATATTTAAGCTTTTATATTTAGTTAATAAATTTAATAATATTTTACAAGATTCATAGTGCTGAATGTTTACCTATGCAAGTTAAGTAACAATAAATCTAATTAAATTATTGGAATGACACTTTCAAATAACTATTTTTACTTAAATAAACTACAATTAGGCTTATGCGCCGGTTGGCTCTTACTATGATAACTCATAAAGTTACGTAAAAAAAATTATGCCTATAAAATAATTTAAAGTTTATATCTTTATTAAAAGATGTCACCAACTAAGGATTAAAGAACACACTCTTTGAGATATTTGGATGATGGAAAGTAATTCGATAGCTTGATGGATACTCATCATTATGAAGTATTTTATATTAGTTATTTATGCTGATAATCAATCATCTTTATTTTGTAATAATTATAGGAATATAAATAAAAAATGCAACAAAGTTTACTAAGCAATCCTAATAGCAGCTAAATTAATCAAACATATGCAAATACATCAATAGGTTCTCCTTTTGTAATTAACTTAGCAATTAAAAGAGTATATATAAATCTACTTATATAAAAGGTATTAAAAGAATTAGAGCTTAGATATTAGGAGTTATAAAGGCTGCTTAAATTCACTGAAGACGAACTTAATAAAGCGTATAAAAAAATAGATCAAGAAAAATATTAACTTGAAAATCAAATTTTAAATATTTTAAAAATAGAAAAGTAAAAATAATCGACTAGAAAGCTTATTATGAAGAGTTGTTAAAAGAAAAGTAAAACAAATGAATTTATTAATTAATTAATTTTTTTATTTTAATAAGAAACAAAAAACAAAAATGTTTTAAATTGACTATTATCAAATGAATGAATTTAGGGACAAAAGAATAGAAGAATACTAAACAAAAGAAAGGCAGTTTTATTAAAAATTAGTAACTCCAAATGCATCTTAAAGAGAAATTCCAGATAAGAAAGAAGTTTATATTGAGAACCAGGCACTAATCTAGGATCCTAGAAATATGTAATCTCCAATCAGTGAAGTCAAAGGTTTACAGTAAGCAATTTTAGAGAATTTTAATGAATTTTAAAGTTTTGTTAAAAAGTAAAAATGCCAGTCAAAAAACATTAGATTCTTTGCCTTTAAGCTTGGTTCAGTAAACTCCTGTTGATAAATTTTATAAATATGATCTTTAAATCAAGAAATTGGAAATTTCTATATCCTAAAAAGACCTTGAGATTGCTAATTTATCTCAAGAAGTAAACTAACTAAAGTAAACTATTGACTATAAAGTAAAAAAAAATTTTTGATTTAAATATCATTTATTTATGTAAACAAATAAAATTCAGGTTCATTTAGAAATGCAGGAGAGATAAAGGAGAGAACACTTTGAGAGTTCCTTAACAAATATCCCTTTTCTCACTGAAAATTCTGATCTAAAGAGATAAAATGCTTCTTTGAAGGCAGAAAATAATACCTTAAAAAGATAATTGAAAGACAGCAAATCAAAATTAGAGCTCTTTGAAACTAACAACTCGAATCTAGCAAACAAACTGAACGAACTTGTTTAAAAAGAAAAAGCCTTACTGGAAGAGCAATATTAAAACTCTTAAAAAAAATAGGCTACATCTATATTGAAGGTTTCTGGAGACAAGAGTTTACTTGGTAAAGATATAAATATTCAATCAAGCATAATCAAAATATCAAAAATCAATTAAAAATAAACAAATTAATTAATTTATAAGCAAATAAACTTATTCAATAATATTAAATAAATATAATAAATAGATGGTGTTGTGGGTATTATGCATTATATCAGATAAGCTCTAAGTGAAATTATGTTTGAGGTTTTTGTTAAAAGTGGAAATATTTCAATTCAAAAAAAAGCGTAAATTAATTTATCAATTTTATTAAACTTAAAATTTGAAAATCATTTTTTTTATCACTAGAAACTCTTTTATCAGTTTCTAAGTAAACTTGAAATCAGTCTTCGGGCCTGAATCTAGAGGAGTTGTCATAGCTTTATATTTATACAAAAAGTAAAGTTATTTTAATTAGAGTTATAATAAATTTAGCTTTATTTTTTTTAAGAATGAAATAATTAGTTAAAATATATTACCCTGATTATGGTGAAATAGGAACTGAAGATATGGATATGTATAAAATATTAGCTGGAGATAGTGATAGGTAGACAGACATATTATGTATATTTATAACATATTTTAATATTTCTAATAATAAATTAGAGAGGTTGAGAGATCTGAAGTTAATATTTGGATCATAAATTCTCTATAAGAAATTGAGAAGAAATCATTAAAAGATAAAAGCGAAATAAAAGTATAATTAATTAATTAATTATTTTAAAAATAACTTAATTTTTATTCAAATAATTTTTATAGGATTAAAAAGATATATTTAGATTGTTAGCTTTGCTCTATAGAACTCGCCATCCTCTCTAAGGTACATCATTAGATGTAGATTAAGATATTTAAATTAGGTTAGAAGATTAAGTTGTAGAAAGAATGCTTAAGTAAAAAATAATTGTTTATTATGTAGTTTTATTTTCAATTTTTTTAAATTTTAATTATAGATTATCAATAGAAGAAATGCCATAAGAATAAGAAGATGCTAAAAACTGAAAATAAAACTTAATCAAATTAATATTTTTTGTTTACATGTAAATAAAAAAATATTTTTGTGTTTAAAATAGCTTTTTTAGAAAAATTCAGTATTAAATTAATTTGCTTTTTTATTTATAAATTTTCAATATGAAATTAAAACTGTTGCTTTTACTTAAAACTTGGCATTCAATTTTTAAATAAAAACTTATTGAAATTCAGCTGACATTATGTATCCAGTCAGCGGAATTTCAATACCTGGATTAGCAAAACAACAGTTAAGTAGTTCTAATTAATGAGCTTTTGCAGTTGATGAATTTTTAGGTTAATTAAAAATTTATAATTTAAATATAGAATTTATTTTAAATTTAAATTTACCTCTAATATTTATTATTTAAACTTCATAATAAAAAGTAAAAAATATCTGATAATATTTATGTCTAAGAGCAATATTTATTTATTTACTTTAATTAAAATTAAATTATTTACTTATTTAATATTTTTCAAAACAAAAACAAAACAATCTTCTTTTTTAAATTTTGATTCAATTTAAATATTTTAAAGCAAACATTATTCAAAAAAGTGCAAACATTTTTTAGAATGAGTTTATTTTAAATTGAGAAAATTTAAATTTACGTTCGAAAATAATAAAATTCGAATTAATTCTAGTTTAGAGAAATGTTAAAGAACTAATTTTAAATAAATAAATAAATAAATTAATTAACAATTATGTGTAAGAATTGAATAATAAATAGATTAATAAATTTTATTTTGAGGCTAGAATTGAGTGAGGTTTATGATTTATATTTTTACTAAAATTTTATAAAGATTTTTTAAGAATTGATTATTAAATCAAACAATATAAAAATAAATTAATTGAGTTATATATTTTTAAATGCTTGTTTTGTTTACGAATAAATAAATATCTTGTCTATAAAAGCTTTATTAATTTTAAAAGTGGATATCTGATTTCAATAAATTATTCATTACAAAAAGCTTATCATATCAAATAGGTTTTTGATGTTTGTTGTATCAAAAAGGATATTATTAGATTTTTCATAATGATATAAAATGGTATAAATCGATAAAATTATTGTAACTAATCCATTTTTTTTTTAATAATAAATTATCTTTGCCTGTAGGATTCCTAAAATTTTGAGAAATCTTTTATATGAAAATGGATATCATGAAAAATTTAATAGAAATGAAAATAGCTAATTAGTGTTTGTACTAATTAATTAATGCATATGCTTTTAATTATCAGACTGTTTGTAAAGATAATTTTTTTGCATGAGATCTGATATGAATACTATTTTGCATATAAATATAGTGCAATAAATTATGAATAATTCAATAGTCTTTAACACATAAAAAATGTATTTATTAATACAAATATATGTATTAGTGTATGTATGTCTGTTTATATGTGTGTTTGTATGTGATGAGATGATCATAAAGGAACATAAGAAGTGGCAATCAATGCTCATATGAATGAAAAATGAAAAAATAAAAAAGAACATAGGGGAAATAAAACACAAAATAAATAAAATAAGAAAAGCTTTCATCTAAGCGAAAAGCTAATAATTAAAAAGAAGGAAAAAAAAAAGTAAAATAAGAAGATTATAAAGAAATAAAATAAAAGGGAAAAAGAATGCTTAGCAAAATAGTTAAGGCTTCCTTTAGCTCTAAGGGATTCAACTTGGCAAATGCCGTTAACACCGTCAAGTCCACCTTGAATGCCCCCATCAAGCATATTAAGAGAAATATTGAACCTACCGGTTCCAACTATTCTCGTATGACTAACACCACCGAAGAAGCTTTCGATGAAGTTTCTCACGAATGGTAGGCTCTCGTCACTTCTAATCCTTTTGATCTTAATGTATTTAACTATCTTGAAAACACTCAAACTTCAAACTTCGGTACTGTTGACAATCCTTTAGTTGTTTTCACTTCTGAAACTCCCTTCAGGTAAAAATATTATCCAATTAGTTGAAAGTTTTGTTAAGGAGCAAGCACAATCCAGCATATTATTTGATTTTGCTGCTGCTGCTGCAAAACAGAATCGTAAGTAAATAAATAAATAAATCAGCAGCATTTAATCTAAAAGATTCTTGTTGATATAAAAAAATATTGATTTAGAAAAATAAAGATTAGTTTTCAATACAAATAAATTAACAAAATATAAAGAAAATCCTTTGTTTGGATATTTTTTATTATTTTTTTGAAATGTATCTCAAATCAGTATACAAAAGGGTTTAGCAACAAAGTTAAGTTAAATTAAGAATGAAATGGGAGAATGCACTCGGTTTATAGTTTATTGCCGAGAGTGTGAGGTTAATCTGTAGATAAGTGGATTAATCAACATTTGAATACATTAAAATCGAAGTAGTCAGCGAAAAATAAGTCTATTTTTTTCTTCTTCTTTTTCGTTTGATCTTAACTTTCGAAGACTAAATTCAAATGAAAATAAATAAATAGTTAGCACTAATCAAAGCGAGGGATGTACATTTTATCAATAGGAATAAAAATATTATTGCAGTAGTTGAGTTAGATAGTTAATAAGTTAATAAAGTGTAACGAAAGCGAAAACAGAAACATTTGAAGAGTGTTGCATAGATTTAAATAAAATTTGTTTGAAGTTTTTAAAAGAAAGACATATCTAAATAAAAAAATTAATTGCATTTTTTCTCTTCATAAAATAAATAAATAGACAAATAAATGAATTTATTTTTCGTTTCTCGTACATATTCATGCTATAATGGATTTGTTCAAGAGTACGTAACCCATCAAAAGCATAATTACTACATTAAGTCAATTGATTTGAAAAGAAATCTTAGTATCTTTTAAAATTCAAAAGATTTTTTAACTAATTGAAGAAAGATTCTTTCTTTTTTCTCTAAAAAAATTAATTTATTTATTCATATTTTTGAAGCAAATGATATATCGATCGAATCTATGTGAAAGCAAGCAATTATTATTTACTTATTTTAGCAACTCATAAAGGCAGTTTAAACTCGCTTTAAAATCAATTTCTTATTAACTAGATGCCAGCAGCAATAATAACATCAAAATTATTTCTAAAACCTCATTTTTGATAAAAGCACAATTAATTATTTTATAAAGAAACTTTTTAGTCCTGAAGCAAGCAAATCAAAAGAAGAAAAATAAATAAATAATTTGCATTTTTGAAATATGAATTTTACACAAACCAAATTAATAAATGCGAATCAATGCATGCTATCCTTAAATCTAAAAAATATTTTAATTAATAAAAACTACATATTTAATAAAAAATTAATTAAAAGATACGTTGGTTGCACTGGTCAAATGAACGAAGATGATTACGAAGGTCACGAATTGCTTTTCTTCTTATTGAGAGAAGGCTCTTTACAAAGATGTATGGGTTGCGGTCAAGTTTTCAAGTTAGTTCGTCTTAGAAACGAATACTCTCCTGAAATGGATTACTACTTGTCAAACTTCCACCCTTATGAAATGTAAGAAATGGGTGAAAGTGATACCACCGTTTTGATGTCACCTTACAAGTACGCTTCTCACTACGAATATACTCAATTCGAAACCCCCTCCAACATGGTCTACTCTATGGTTAACCCTGATGAACACGATAGATTGTTGGTTGATCCCGCCTACAGAATGGAAAGAACCAAGGCTTTGGAAGAAAAGTATAAAGTTTACACTAGCTCTTTGAGAGAAGTCGAAAAGTAATTCGAAGAAAGATACGGCCGTGCTGGTCAAATCAACATCTCCAAGGTTACCTACTCTACTCTTATCGATGTTGAAAAGGCTGTCCTCAAGATGGACAGATTATTCCGTAAGGTTGCCAAATTCGAAAACAGAGCTTTCATTGACAGAGCCAACCACTCCAGAAGAGAAAAGAGAATGCTCGAAAGAGCCCAACAAAGATGGGACTCCAACTACTCCTTCTTCACTGGATCCTTGACCGAAGAAGAACAAAAGTATAGAGATTACTATGAGACTGAATTGGAAGCTTATCCCGAAGATGAAGGTATTGAACAACAACTTGACCAATAGGAAGTCTTGTTGAGCGGTAGATACGATCCTAAGCTCTACGACTTCTAGGAAGGCTACACCAAGAATCCTGAAGACGACCAAACTTCTTTAATTGAAAAGAAGGCCTTCAAGTTCAGATACAGATTAGCCAACGAAACCTCTGAAACCTTCTAGAGACGTAACAACAGAATGGTTGAAAGATAAATTAAGCGTTTCTAACAACCCCAATACAAGCATGCCTTTGAATAACTTTAAAAAAATATTGCTATTTCTAGCAACAGTGGTAACGCTCTCCACTCCGAATACGGTTATTTGGAACTCCTCTCTAACGAATCTGTTCAATTATACAAGGACTACTACGAATCTGATGCTGAAGAAGATTTCAAGGTTTTCGAAAACTTATCTTCCAAAGAAAAGCTCGTCATGATTGCTAACTTCGAAAATAATTTACTTCCCAAGTACGACAGATCTGAAGTCCACCTCATCCCCAAGAGACAATGGGAACCTGCCTTCGGTGTCTGGGAAAATTTCCTCTACGATATTACTGAATATGCCTCCTTCATTGCTCCCAGAGGTAAGGAAATCGCTGCTGACTATTAGATTCAATCAGCTATCCCTCTCACTAAAGAAGAATTGATTGAAGCTGGTCTCTACAAAGAAACTATTGAAAAGAAGGTAGAACCTAAGCTTGAAGCTAAAAAATAAACCAAAAGTGAATGATCGCATTTGATGCAACCTATAAATTAAATAAATTAATCTTGATACCCAACATTCTCAATAACAAACAAATGAAATATAAATTATTTACAAAAAACTACAAACCACAATGAAAACAAACAACAACTTGTCACCAAATAAAAAGCATCATTTCAAGCCTTTCAAATCAATCAATTAAAAATAAATCACATATAAAAAAACAGATTTTACTACTGCTCCTTTATTTATTAGAGAACTGCAAAGCAAAGCAAGCCCATCATCATAGTAGTTAGTTAGTGCATGTTGTGCGTGCGTAGGTTAGGGAATGAATTTTATGAGGTGAAGTAGTTAGTTGCTTAAGCAAAAAGAAGACATCTTACATTCTTACATACATACATGCATATTGAGGATAATAATTTTTCAAATTAGACTTGAGATTATTTTTATTAAAATTGCTGAACATGTTTTAATTATCATATATATACTGTTCGCTCTTTATTCAATCCTGATCTCATTATTACATTTCTTGCTTATATTCCGTTTTTTGATATATTTATTTTTTATTTTCTCATTTATTTCCATCAAAAAAAATTTTTTTTTTTAAATAATAAAATAAATAAAAATAAAATTTTTCCAATCAAAATAAATAAATAAAATTGTTGAAATATAACTTTGATTTTTATACAAATTCTAATTCAGAATAATACCGATGTAAATTTTGACAAGTAAATTGAATTATGGATTATGGTCATGAATGATAAATTAATTATTGATACATTCATGAAAAGTAGAAATTAATGTAAAATTTTATTTAAGAATATTGCAATTTTAAATCTCACCTAAGAGTATTGCGTCTAATACAAGTTAGTTATTAAGTTTAAAACCTGATTTATTTAAATAATTATTTGAGTTAGTAAAATAAAATAGTTTTTTTTACAACTTTGATGATGAGTTAATTAATTAATTATCGAGAAATTGCTCTATGGTAATAAATACTAAATGTATAATTATAAAAAGAAAACACTTTTAATATTGAGCATATATAAAATACTTTATCATTCTTATATTAATTTTTCAAATTATTATGATATGCTAAAGTTTTGAATCGGTAATAAACAATCTTAAAGTGTCTTATCAATCATCAAAAACTAATACTAAATACAGAATAAAATATTAAAAAATTCTTTTAATCTCAAATTAATTCCATCTAGTAGAAAAAAGCTTAAGTGTTTCTAATAATTTAATAATATTAACTTTTAAAAAAAAGAATATCGAAAAAGTAAATAATAAATATTTCTTTTAATACTTACTAAATAATTAAATAACTACTACTACTAACTAACTAATTAACTAAATATCTATCTAATGGAAAATAAACATAATTTTAACTCTAATAACTTATAAGTATAGTAAAGACCATAAGATAATTAAACTATTTACTTCAATTCAACTAATACACAAAATACTAATTTTACTATTTAATCAAGTTAAAATAGAGTTTTATAATATCCTAATCAAAGTTTTTCAAATAATCTTAATGCACGAATATAATAAAGAGAAACACCTTTTAATTTAACTGATAACGAATCTGAATAAAGTGAAGTTCTCAGCGATTTTTTATCTGAATTATTTGATAATTTAGTAGAAAGTGATGATTCTTTTGAATAACTTAGTGATATTTTTAGTAGTGATGATGACTCCTAAATGCAAGTAGAAACCTAAGAAATGTTTATTTAAAATGAAGTATCTGAACAATAACAACGATAGATAAATTAATTTTTAAATTATGACGAGCAAATGTCAATTAGCAGTATTGACGAATAAGATTAATACAGGTTTATTAGTTATAAAGAATTCAAATTGAGACATTAAAATATTATACATGAGGATGCAAATTAATGTATCGAAGATAGTTGGGATTTAAATCAAGATGATTTTTTAGAATAATCTGATAATTAAGATGATTTTTTAGAATAATCTGATACTTCATCAGATTTTTGAGAAGATACATAAACAATATATCAATAAATAAATAATTAGTATATAATAAGAGTTTATTCAAATAAAAAGATATAAAAATATTTATAAAAATCTCTAAACAATAAAATATATAATAAATATTACTAATTTATTTAATTAATTAAATGTTGATTGATTAATTTATTTATTTGTTTTTAATAAATCATCTTATTTTTTTGTTTGTTTGTTTGTTACTTTTTATTAATAATATTAAGATTCATTTTATTTTAAAGTATTTATTTTACATAAAAGATAATTCATATTTTTATTTTATTTATTTATTTAGAGAATATCTCAAACAAATGCTTTTTTTATTTAGTTAAATCATCAAATGATGATTCTTAGATTAAAATAAAATTATTTTAATTATCTTTCATATTATTCAATTTTAATGTAAATAAATTCTTTTACTTTAATTAAATGCTTGCTACAGTAGCTGATTGTAAATAGATAGGTAGATAGATTGATAGATAGATATATTTATTTATTTCAATATAATGTATTTATCTAATGAGTCTCTTCTAAATTGTAAATAAATAAAATAATTAGCTTTAGTTAAAATATATGAAACAACAATCTCATTAAAAATTAGTAAATTAATTAAATTTTGCTTACCTTCCTCTCAGTAATTATGTGCAAGAATATTCTTGTTCACTAAATCAGAATAATCTATTCTTTGTTGAGAAGCCTTGCCTGAGTTCATGTTTCTTTGATACTATTGCTATTGATACTTGTTTTCATCAGTTTACTGTTTTAAAATATGATTAAAAAAGAGTTATTGATAAATTCCATAAATGAATTAGAAATTATGATAAAATTATTCATAAAATTTACCTTTTATGAATTAATTTAACCTTAATAGGGATAAGAATTTGAAATTGGGTTATAAATTCTTGGATTCTATTCAAGTGGTTGTTTCTTTTTCAAAACAAAAAAATTTTTTTAGTTTGTAAAATCTAATAAAACATCTAAGTGAAAATAATTAAGTTTTTATGTACTCCAATATTTAGGCCATTGTACTTTCTTTCTAAATCTATCATGTCATCATCTTCTCTTTATTTTGCCATCTTACTTTATTCTCTCTACACATCAAGCATTTCTCTATATTTGATTTGGTCAACTTTCTTTTAATCTCTTGTAGCATTGTCTTAGGCAGAATTTCCATAAACAGCTCTTTAGTTGCCCATGACGTCGTATTCTACGTCCTATTGAACTTTACCTCTAGTAGGGTTGTTGGAATATTGCTATTATTAAGAAGCAGGAGGTTAATAATAGTTTTGTTCTTCCTTCATTTTAGTGATTCTTGTCTACTCTCTTTGCATGTCTAATATTTGACGATATCTTTATTAATCCTCCTTCTTTTGATTTTCTCCACCTAACTTTTGCTATTAAGAATACAGGTTCTTTTGGTTACCCATAATGTCATAATCCTAATCATTCTACTTAGGGCGCTGTTATTATTGCTATTATTGGCTTATCTATGGTCTATTATTCTAACTTGATACTTAGTCGAACTCGTACCCTCTAAGACGATCATACTTTTCTTATTGCTTCTTCTATTCATTTTCAGCCATTTATCTTTTTAAAAGTTCATTGTATTCTCTCTTTTCCTAAATAAATTAATTAATAAATTAATAAACAAATGAATCCATCAGTGAATTAATGGATGATCATCACTATAAATTAAAGATTCTCTATCAAAAATAAATGAAATTTTTCTATATTAATATAGACTGTAAAATTGAAACAAATAAATAAATAGATAGATAGATAATTAAATTATCCAGTTCGATAGTTAGTTACATGATTTTTTTCATAGTACTGAGCATTCATTTATTCGTTATATTGTTTATTTTAAACTCCGCCATAAGGAGCAGGAACGCTGCCTGCATTAGAGAAAGTATCAGCTTTTCTCTTCTTTTCATCATCGTAAGAAACGAAATTTCTTGCATTAATGTTTTGAATTCTTTCATATTTTTCCATTTGTTGCTTTAATTTAAATTAAATACATTAATAAAATGTCATTCATTCTTATAATCTATCAAAATTAAGCTTTGATCTTAAATTTAATGAAGTTTTAGATCAAAAATTTTACCTTTTTTTAGTAGTTTTCACCACCTATCTCAAATTGAGGCTGTACGTTTTGATCTTAGTATCTGTTGATCTCTTACTTAATTCTTTAATCAGCTTAGTACTATTAGCCAACCATATCTCTTCTTAACTCTTCCTTAACATATCTGCCGTTGTTTTCTCTTTTTCCGTCATCTTGTTGCATCAATCTATATCTATCTTCTTCAATTTAGTTCTATTTCTGTTTAGTTTATAAAATAAATTTATTAAAAAGCCCTATTAAAGTCTATATCAATTAAATGAAACATATAGCTAGGAGTTAAGAATATATATTACAAAATGAAATAACCTAAAATCAAAAAAGTATTAATAAATAGGAAATAAGTGCTACTTTTGAAGCCTTTTCTCTTTGAGATTATTCAATTTAAGCCTTGTATAGCTCTGCTAAGGCACGTTTCTTTTCTGCTTGCTATTGCTTTTCTCTTAAAACATCGTCATCATATTCTTTTCTTAATTGCTACTAAAGTTGTAGATCATTTTCTTTTTAACGGAGCTTTTCATCTTTCTTTCTTTGTTGCTCTCCTTATTACCTGGCATATTCACCTCTTCATTTATTATTGAAATACAATTTAGTATGAAAATTAGTTTATTTTAATATAATCATTTATGCTTTAATGCAAACTGTTTTACTTTAATAGTTCCTTTTATCGGTAGTTAAGATTAGAATTAGTGTCAGACTACTATTCACTTTGAGGGTCATTCATGGTTTTCCAGTCGTTTCCTTTATAGTATTTAGGATTCTAGAATTGCTATTCGTATCCCTTAGGAGGATTATTTGAACCTGGCTTGTAAACTTGTTATTATTGAGGAAGATGATATAAGATATTATCTGTCATTTCTATTGATTTTTCTAATAAAAATTGGGAGTTTAGAATTTTTTTAAAAAAAGGTTTGATTTTCCTGATTTTTTTTTTTGAATTTATTGGTTGTATTTTTCTATTAAAAAATAAATATCTCTCTTTGTTTGTTGTGAGTAAATTTTTTAAATAATAAATACAAAAAAATATAATAAATTTTGATTTAAATAACTATTATTATTACAAATATGAATTATATATAATGGATATATTTATTAATTAATTATTTACTAACTACTCAAAACATCTAAATATTCATTCATTCAATTATTTTTTTTTATTATTCTACTAAAAAATCAAACAATCAAACCTTTTATCAAAATTTCTTTTTCTTAATCTAACAAACAAACCTTCACAAAAGAAATTAAATTTGATAGGAATGACCATATATTTTTATTAACTTGAAGGTTATTGAAATTTATTTCTTTTTTGCTTTAAAATAGATAGATACAATTCTTTAAAAATAAGGATTTTGAGTTTAGTAAAAATTAATTTTTAAATACAAAAAAACAAATATTATTTAAATAATTGATATTGATTCAAGGGTAGAATTTTTTATCTGTAGTTCTAAATTTACAATTTATTTTTAAACATAATGGAATAAAAAATTATATTTTTAAGCACAGTAATACAAATTTTGAACCTATTGTCTATATGCAAATCAAAATACTAATTATAATTACTAATTCAATAACATAATACAAAAAACTTTATATAAAATCAATTACAGCTTCAATTTTTGATAAAAAAGTATATTGTAGTTTCTCATTTATTTTTTAAAGCTCCATTTAATCGATACCCAAAATCCATTTTAAAAAAATAAACATCAAAATTAACTTTATATCTTAGAGAGTGTAGTGCTAATTAATGAAAAATAACAGTATGTAATTTTTATTAATATTAAATGGTAAAATGAATAATTGTGCTTGACAAACAATAAATATATATATATATATATTTGATATGCTTAATTTTTATAATATTTAACCAGATTTAATGAAACATATTTGATTATAAAACAATAGAATACATAAAATATTAAATTATTTATCAAAATTTATATTTTAGAATTGAATAGTAATATATATATATATATATTTATTTATTTAATTATTTTAGTCTAGTATATTAAAAAGGAGTTTTAATTTACATCTTATTGTAATTTAGTTTTATTTATGTGAATTCTTAAGTGTTATCTGTTCTATTAGCTCTAAGATTGATTAGATGGGTTAGTTAATTTTAGAATAGAGATAATGAAGCTATTATACTATTTAGTTGAGGTAATTCAATTTATCCAACATGAGATAGTCGTTTAAATCATAATTACTTGCTCTATTTTTCATAACACACTAAGTACTTCATCTTTAATTTTTTTTGCTACCACTTCCTTCTATCTTTAAAAGATATCCTTAATCCCAAGCTTTAAAATAAGTTAAATAATATAAATTAAATTGTTAATTTGTGAATAAATTTTACTTAAAATCGTCTATCAAAATTTTTGTGTTTGTCATTTTAGTTTGTATTAGATTTTATATTTTTTTAATCTCATCTTCCTATAATTACATATATCTATTTTATTATAAATAAATTGCTCTTATTTATTTGAAAAAGATATAACTAAATCAAAGTTCTTACAGAGTCTTAAATTTAAAGTAAAATAATTTTTTATCAGCAATCTTGATAATTAAATTGTACATGATATCTCTCTAAACTTGGTTATTTCTTTTCAAAAATATTAAATTTTAATACAATAATTAATATATTTCTAATTAGCTAACTAATTAAATATTGCTCAAATTTAAATAATCATTTTATTATTGAAAATAATATCTAAAATAGAATAGATTAATTTAATAAAAAATTACTTAAAATTCAATGATAAATATTTAATCACTTAATTCCTCTAGATGTTTTAGGCCAGAACTTAAAAATCTAAATCAGATATTGAAGACATCCTAAATAATTGAAATTTTATGTAAATAGTCACTTAATATTTAATATAAAATACTCTAAATTCAATCTGAATCCTTCAAGATTATCAAACTAAGAAAATCCAGTAAATAGATGAATTAATCCATTTTCCAATTGTGAGTCTCTGTTTAAAATTTTTTTACTTAAATATTCTTAAAGAAATAAATTAATTTTACTTAAAATTCAGCTTTAAAAATTTTAATTTGGTGAGCTTGTTTAAATAAATTCCTGTATTTTCTAAATTTTATTCAACCAATCCTGTTCGCCTTTATTTAAAATAATATTTAGGTTTAACTTTTATTGTAATAAATTACCTTAATCCAAGCGTTAAACTATTTAGGTTATTTAAACTGCTAATAGACTTAATCAATTCTTTGTAGCCTTGAGATCCTAAATCATTCCCACTTTAAGATTTATTTGAATTAATTGCAATATTTCAATGAGATAAAATATTTTACTAAAGATTGATTCTTAATAGCTGTAAATTGGACAGCTATTTAAGCATTAAAGATATTTAATTAGCACTCTACTCTGTACAAAGAGTTAAACTTATTTAATTAATATTTTAGACTTTTAATATTTGTCTTATAATTTTTACCTAAAATTTAAATTTAGATCTTTTAAGTTTTATAGCTACGATATTTTTAAACAAAGGATAGATATTCCAGAGTCTTCAATTGGACAGTGTCTATTTTAAATTTATAAACAAACAAATAAATTAATGAATGTATATATTATGTTAAGTGTTATTTATTATTAAATATTTTACAACAGTTTTAGCATGACTTTGTTCAGATTTTAGTTATTGAGTCCCAAGTTAGAAATAACTTCGCATTACTGCTTGTTGGAATGAGAAACTCTTATTTTAATAAAAAAATATTTTTATTTTTCTGGTTTGGATTAAATTTCTAATGCTTTTTTGTTCATAGAAGAGTTTTTAATTGTTTTTTACGATAAATCAATTAGAAGCTGATTGTGTATTTCATTCTGATATTAATTAAATAAAGACATTAGATCTTCTACTGAGACTGTATCAAACCTGAAAATATTGTTTGATCATATAAAAACCATTTTAATGCTTGCTAAAAAATTTACAACTTGACTATCTTGAATGGACGATTTTCCCTATTTATAATAATGAAAAAAAAGAGTGATTAAGTGCAATTTAGTAAGTTTTTAATCATTTTCTATTTTGAATAAATAAAATACATTCTCTAATTTAGTTCTAAATGTCTTATTTTGTCTTTTTAAAATAACTTTTATTCGCCCTTTTTATTAGTATTTTTTTTTTAGCTTACTGAATTTGAATTTTTTAAAAATATGTAATTAAAATTTTTTACATAAAAAATTAATTGCTTTGTTGTTCTAAAAAGAGTGTTATATAGATAAGGGGGGGAAAATTAGACTGATCTTCACCACAAAATGTGTTTGCCAGAAAATTTTTTCTATTCTTATAACAACAATTAATTCAAAAAATTGATAAATTTATAACAAGCAAATTATTTTTTCTCAGAATAGTTTTTTTTTAGTCAATGCGTTTATTTATTAATTGATTTTTCTATTAATTCTTGCTTTCATTAAATTACCTTAATGAAAATTTCCATTATTTTTTCTCATAAAAAAGATTTTAGTAAAATTATTTGAAATTTTAAAGCATTAATTTAAAAATTTTTAACAACCTCTCAAATATCAAAAAGAATTGGAATTACATTTTATGATAAATCCTTGTATAATTTTAAATATAAATCATATACGAAATCTTAAATCCTTTATATAGAATAGGGCCTCTCTTTAGGTTTGCTTTTTTTGAATATTTTTAAATATTCTATTTAGTGTAATAATATTCTAAATGTAATTTGAAATAATTATAATTGCTAGCTATTCAAAAATATGATAAAATAGTCTTTTCCTTATTGTCATAAAAATTATAAATGTTTTTTGATAAGTATTTATATTATTTAAAGTTAGTGAAAAATATTTGGTGGAATTAAATGGCCAATTTGAGTTACCCTCAAAAGCACATAATCGCGCTAATAAAATATGATATTTTTGATGATTGATTTTGATTAAAAAAGCTGTAATTTATTTGTGGTGATTTGCTAAGAGGATAAAATACTAAAGAAAAAGTCAATAACATTTTTAAAATTTAATTATTTTTATAAAATAAATTTTCATCTATTCAAAAAGTCTTTGCGTGTTGAGATTGCAAAAAATATTTTATTTTTTATTCATTTCAATCAAAAAAAATTGCGATGAAAATCATTGATAAAATTTAAGCACACAAAAACATATAAATAAAATCAATTGAGTATAAACAATTTAAAAGAATAAGCTGAAATTATGAAATAAAATTTTAGCTGAATTCAACTTAAATTTAGATTTATCTTTTTTAATTTAGCTTCTATGAAAGATACAAAGATATTAATTAAAAAAAAATATTTGAACTAGCATATATGTAAATTTTAATTTTTCTTATTAGTTTTTTTTATCAAAATTTATTAAAAGATTATCCTGATTTTATTTACTTATTAGAAATAAAAATATTCAAATCAGAAATTTAGATGTAAGGAAAAAAATTAAGGTACTTTTTTTAATCAGCTACAACTACTCTAAATTTTTTAATACTAAAAATTAATGTGTTTTAACAGCTTAACTATTCTGAGAAGTATTTAAAATGATTAGCACAAACAAATCATATTTATTCTGAAAACAATTTGTTAAAAATAATCTAACTTTAGTTGATATTTGTTTCTTTTTTTTGCTTGAAAAAAAATATTTAATTTTCAAATAAATTTTATTTAAAACTAACTAATAACAAATAAAATCAATCAATATTTATTTTTATATTGTTTTTTCTGCTCTTCTGCTTGTTTATAAAGATATTTTATTAGAAGCAATGATCATAAACATTACTCACTTTCTCTTGTTTAATTTTTAAGAGTTAAGCTATAAAAATTTTAGATCTTTAAAAATCATGTCAAAAACGAAGAAAAACCTATCATCATGTTATAAAAATTTTAGTTTATTATTGAAATTTTTTAGAGGTAACAGACTATAGAAAAATTTATACAAATATGTCAATTATTTATGATATAGATATGTTTTTATTTATATTATATATTTATTTGATAGAAAATTATGTTTTGATTGTTATGTATAAATAAAATTAAATATTTGATAGAGGATATGTGAGTTAGTTAGTTATTTAGTTAGTTAGATAGATAGATAATTATTTGGTTAGTTTTTATTTTAATTAATTTGTGAATGAGTCATTTTTTTTTCATAATTTTGTTATAGGTTGTTTTATATCAATTTTTTTTTTATAATAGTTATTTCTTAAATTATTTGATTAGGTTTTAGATTGGTATTATATTTTATTTTATTTTGCTACATTTTTTTTTTTGATAAAAATCCTTCAATATTTTCTAAATTAAGGTAAAAACTATTTATTTATTAAAGATATATTTTCGAATTTGGTCCTAAAAAGATTTTCAAATGCTTTTGCAAGTGTTAGTTGCTGGATTGACATAAAAATTAGGCTCGCACTGAGTGCAAATATTTGAGTTGTTTGGGCATTATAAGCAAATTGGATCACTGCATATTTTATAGCATTGGAGGTTGTATAATCTATAACCACTATTGCATTAAGTACACTTCAGATTTAAGCATGATGAACAATTTTGAATAGGGCAACTTTGTTAACTATTAAGGCAGCTATTTTAATATAAAGTGTAACCTGTTTAACATTGCTCACAATTTTGGTAATTAGTTATGCAAACACTGCAATTAGATGTTGTGCAATTAGGCTAGCACTTTTATGAATAGCTATCGTAGTAATATCCTGATTTACAGGATGTGCACTAGTCTTCAAATTCAGCGCAGTACGAACAGTTTTGGTCTTGACATACTATATTTTGTGAATTATTGGGGGTTTTGACACCAAAGTTGAATACTACTCCGAATATAATACCTCCAATAATAAACAAAAGGAGAAGAGCCAATAGAATTCTTACGACGTTAGTATCTGAAATGAATGAATTGCTTTCTTATATCTGAGTCAGCAGTTTATCTTAAAGACTTTCAGATTTGATTCTTTAGGTATCTGGGAAATTAGCAGGATCAGAGCTACCACTTTGATATTGATTTTCTTCATCACTGCTTTATTTCTTTATTTATTACTTTTTAATATTTAGCTCAACTTATTTTGCCATTTAAAGTTATTACTTGCGATCTTAATACTCGCCTTTTTGTTTTTATTTGGCCTTTGTCTGTTAAGAAATATCTTCGATTTCTTCGTCTTTCAACTTATCAGCCTTTCTTTTAAATGACTCAGATTAATTTGAAAAATTTGAAGTTTAACTTTGAATGCTTTGTCTTCCTTAATAATCATTAAAAATGCTATCTTAAAGCGCAGGTTATTTTTATTAATTTGCTTCTTTCCCCTTGTCTTAATTTGATGCTTTCTTTTCTCTATTATCATTGTTCGATTTGATTTAATAAGGATACTGCATTTCAATTAACACTGGTTGATTGTTTTTTGTATCATAAATATTCAATATATTTTAATTTTCACCATAGATACTTAACAGCTTATTGGCATTAGCATCATTTTAGGCAGCAATCTTTGAATCAGTTATACAATTAGAATCATCTCTACCTCTATTTTCATTATTTTTAAAATTTTTGATTTTAACAATTTGGTATGATTTTTATGAGTTATCAAATGAATCACTGCAATATTCCTCAGGTATGGTATTTATGTCAATTTGAGACCCTTTACCATCAGGGATAGTTAATTCAGTTTTTTCAGTATTGATAGCCATTTTATACACTTAAGTGGGTATTTTTTGAATTTTTTCCATTTAGCTTGTTTACTGCCTATTATACTGCGAAGATTAAATGGGATTCTTATTTAAATTGTTTAGGTATTAAAGAAAATTTTGTAGACCCTTTAAGTCATTGTCTTGAAATATAGTTTCGAAATCATGATAATTTTTAATTTAATTCATTAGGTTACTATTTTATATAATTTTATCCACTAAGTTATACAAATTATAAGGTGTGATGTACTTTTTTAATAATTCTTTATTTACAGTTAGTATTGAGAAGACTATACTCTTAATTTATGCACAATTTTTTTTGTAAATATAGCTTTAATTATCTTCTTATTTATTTTCAGGCTAATTTATTTTGCAAAAAGAAAACCCATTGCTAATAACAATGCTTTCATTTTCGTCAACACCGAAAGAAGATAAAGTGAGTTCATCATTATAAAATATATTCTCGTAGTCAAAGCTCAAAAAAGATTCAACTACAGATATGCTTAAATCAATCAAAGCCTGTGTGTTTAATTTGTGTAGCTTCACATCTAAATATTTTTCAAGACTATTGTATTAAAGCTTTTTTATTATAAGTGAGTAGTGCGCATTTTAAAATTTATCAACGATAATCACTTTTGCAGTGCATTAGAGTGTATGAGGATGTGTGTTAATTTTTTTTAAAACATTATACTCCTTTTCGATTAACTAATCTTCATCAGAATCGTAAGTAATCCCAGGTCTATTTGAAATATTTTTTGTCATTTTTAGTATAAATTCCTCTTCATTTGAAGTTATTAAGTAGTTGTCAAATTAAGAAGGTATAACACCTTTTGCATCAACTGCCTCACTTAATTTTTTTTCAATTACATAAATTTTACCTCCATGAGTAAAAGAAGCATCTTAATCAAAAATGCTTTAGGAGTTTCGCATTCAAAATAATATAAAGTAGTTTTTCAAAAGCTTAAAAATAAAATTTGTTTGTTTGTTTACTTAGTTTAATAAGACCTAATATTTTAATTAATTTAATTAGGATTAATTTATCTAAGTAAAAAATCATTATTTCTTTTTAATTTATTTTTCTTTTGATGAACTGACTAAATCCTAAATTAAGAGTTGATAGATAGCTCTTTTAAGAAATCTTCTATATAAATCTAATCTAATAAAAAAACAGCGCCAAATTATTTTTAATAAGAAATTCTGTTCAATTACATGTTTTGTGTTGTGAATTTTGTCCACTTTTTTATTTTTTTTTATTGGTTTTATAGCAAAATATTTTATAAATTAAACTTTTTGCAATTAAAATCTAGAATATAGCGTCAATTTAAAATTAGGAAATACATTAGGATGCAGTTGTATGATCAGCAACCTTATCTTGATTTAAATTAAATAATGCAAAAGAATTAATTAGTAAACTTTAATTGAAAAAGAAAAAGAAAAATTAACTTTAATAATTTACTAAAGTGAAAATATATATTATTCTTTTATTATATTTGATTAGATGCATTTTTCTTTATCTAAAATACAGGTATTTCGTTGCCTTTCAATACCATCAATTAAAATACGAATATTTAACTTGATGACCCTCTCAATTTAAAAATAAATCTAATAAATTCTTAATTAAAAATCTTAAATTTTCATTTACAAAGCTTAAATTTTAATTTTGAAAAATTTAATTTAATTTATTGAAATAAATAAAGAAAGAATTAAAAAAAGAATAGAAAAATATAATAGAAACTTTATTTTATTGTAATAGAAATTTTTTTATTATAAAAAACAAACATCTTTTCTCAAAAAAATTCTTTTATTTCTACTTTTTTCTGGAATTCTTTAGTTAAGCAAGCATACAACCATTATATAATATATAAACTTTACCTCACTAAAATTGTTTTCAAATTACTCTAGATAGATTTATGAAAACTTAAAAAAAGCATAATTTATTATTTATTTAATTTTTTATTTATTTTCAACATTAAGAATTAGAAAAATATATTTATTCTTTCATGAATATTTTCAATTTTTCTTTAAGTGAGTGTAGGTATCAGCAAGAACTGAGGCCATGCAGCAAATTAACTTCTTAGTGAAAGGAATGTGTAAAAATTCGTTGGGACCATGGGCATTAGAACCAGGACCTAAAACACCAGTAATGATAAATTGAGATTTAGGGAAAAGTCTAGACAAGGTTCCCATAAGAGGAATGGTACCTCCCATACCTTATGACAAAGCTTCCTTTTTGTAGAAAGTGTTACTAGCCTTTTAGATACTGTCAAGTAAGTACTATTCAGTGTGTGGACAATTCCATCCGGGCATACCAACCATATTTTCAAGGGTGATTTCAGCTCCATAAGGAACGTTTTCAGTTAAGAGCTTTTTAAGAGCAACCTTAGCAGTTTCAATATCTAAAGTGGGGGGTAATCTTATTGAAATCTTAACAGTAGTTTCAGGTCTCAAGACATTACCTGCACTAGAAGTAGCTGGTAATCCGTCAGCACCAACAACACATAAAGTAGCCTTCCATGTCTATAATGTTTTAAAGTAAGTAAATAAATAAATATAAAAGAAAAAAGAAAAAATATTTAATAATAGGCACTAAATAAAAGAAAATATATTTGTATTGATTTATTTTCTGTTAATTTCTAATAAAAAATTTACATTGTTAATGTATCCATTGAAAACATTCTTAGTAACAGTTTAAACACCGTTAGCTAATGGGAATCTTTGGAGGAGAGGTTCTCCCATTTATTGAGAAACCTTCAATGCTTCAGCATATCTATCAGCAGGAATGATAACCTAAATTGATTAATAAAAAAAATATAATATTCACTTTTGATTTTTCAAATAATAAATTCTTATCTGATGTATTTGTTTTTAATTAAATAATTTGAGGATTTTACATCAGAAAAAAATCTTTATAAAATTAAAATTAAATATTGAGGGCTATTGAAATAAGTATTTATATTACTTAGAAGTCGTCAGCCAATTCACCAGTTTCGGCATTTTCTACTCTGGTGAGCAATTGTCTAAGGACTCTAAAGCTGCTAGGAACAATACCAGAAGCATCACCACTGTGGACACCTTCATTTAAAACCTTAACCTTGACATTAGCAGTCAAACAACCTTTTTTATTAACAATAAATAATTATCATACTCGAATCTTTTTTTTTATTATATTTTTTCTCTCTCTATTTATCAATTGTTTCTCTTATAGTCTCAATTCTTTTATAACTCTTTCTAAATACAAAAGTAAAAATTATACCTCTAAGGGAGGTAGTCATCCACAACTATTCATAGTTGAGGCAACCAGAGTCCAAGCAGAAAACAACAGCAGGTTCTCTGATTCTATCTCTGAGCTTATCTAAGTAGGGACCCAAATGAGCAGAACCTGATTCTTCATCACCTTCGATTAAAACAATGCATCTAGGATGAGGTAAACCTTATTCTTAACAAATCTTAATAGCAGCTAAAGAACCAAAAATGCTATAACCATCATCAGCACCACCTATTTAATATTTAATTTCATATTACTTGTTGAAGACACAATTTAAAAATTTCTTTTTCTTTATATTCGCTAATTAATTATTTTTTTACCTCTACCATAGAGTTTTTCTCCACGAACAACGGGCTTATCGAAAGCCAATCCTTCAAGCCAGCCAGTGAAAGGAGGCTACTTATCGTAGTGACCATAGAAAAGAACGGTTTGAGTGTCATCAGTGGTACCGTCAACTTCAATGTAAATCAAAGGAGATTTATCTTCATCCTTAATAAGTTCATACTTGGCACCCTTAATTTCCTATTTCTTAGCCCATTCTAATAAGAGATTAGCAGCCTTTTCAAGTAAACCATTTTCGTTCCACTTAGGATCGAAACCGTGAGATTAATTGGGGATTCTAATATATTCTTCCAATACAGGTTGAATATCATGATCCCATTTGTGGTTAACCCAATCTTCAGTCTTCTTAAAGTCCATTTTATCTTTCTCCTAAAGTTAATATTTTACTAATTTTATTAATTTAATTAATAACAAGTCTATAGACAAGATATTTTGTAATTTTTTAATAACTCTAAATGTCTTCAAGAATATTCATAAAACGCAATATTTATTTTTATAAATCTTATCTACACAAGCTATTTTTTACTCTAAATATTTCTCGTCGTCGTGGAACTTGTAAAATCATATTGAATTCATAGTAATTTTCTCATCTTATATTTTCTTTTATAATATATGTCTAAAATAGCCACATAGCTTTTATTACTACTATCATACTAATCAATTTATATCAATTAATCTTAATTATGATATTAAACTTACATTTAAAATAAATCTACATTTCAAGCAACAACTAAATTAAAATTAATAAAAATAAAGTAGAGCTGGAATACTATTTATAGCATTAATAATACTTAACTTAATTCAAAGCATCTCCAAAGCTTTTTTTAATTAGGAAAAGTGAGCTTTCATACCAGCTGAAATTTAATTTATATTAAGAATTTTATTTTAATTTATTAGATAAATCCTTAAAAGAATTCTAGATTTTTGTCACAAAATTTAAAGTATTTCAAGATATTATAAATTAAAGTATAAAATATTAATTTGTAAAAATATAACTAATAATATATATAATATTTGGATTTATAAAGAAATAACAATTATTAAAAAAGAAGTTTTAATTTAATCTTACTTATACAATTTATGAATATTTATGTAAAAATAAACACATCTTTCTCTTAGATTTGATAAGATATGTCTGAATTATTTTGGTTACATTTATATTCAGTTGGAAATTAATTCTATTTTTTACTAAAACTTGAACTTATATTTTTTAAAATATTTCATAAATTAATACTTAATTTTCCTCTATCAGTTTGTATTATTTTTTTTCTATGATTAAATAAATATAAAAACCAAGTAAATTAATAGCAAGAGAAAATAATCTTTTTGGTTTAAATTAAAAATAACAATTTAAAATAATTAACTTAAAATTGGAATGAATTCATTAGAATTTTTTTGAGGAATAATAGTAGAAATGAAGTAAATTGTTTTTGCTGATATAAATCCTAAAAATAAAAAAAAATTTTAATTCCTTAAAAATTTATAAAATTTACAAGGAATAAATACTTATATTGTTTATACTTTGAATGTACATAGTTATGGCTTGATAATAGCCAAGTAAATATGGTTATCAATTTTTTTACATATTTATTTATTTGTTTATTGCAAATTTAATTTTTTAAAAATCACGGTAAATATATGAGGATTTACTCAATCTATCTATATACACAGCTTATTGCTTTATCAACGAATTTTAAAATGAACTTTCATATGAAATTATTAAGAATTGTTATTTTATGAGTATTTTAAGAAAAAATTACGAGTATTCATCCCAATATAAATTAAACTTAAATGTAATTAAAAGGTTAATTAAATTAAATGAGTAATAAATACCATAAGATAGATACAACACATATTTTTAAAACACTTCAACCAACATTTATATTAACTAATTAGACCTAAGTTTATGACCCTTATATATTTAAAGCTGGTAAGATATCAATCTTATCAGATTTAGAAATTTAAGGAACATAGATACAAGCATATTTTTTAATAATTTGAGGAACAAAGTGACTAACTTGTTAACCCAAATTAGATATCGCTCTACCAATTCTACACCTCCAACGCAACATTCTTCTTTAAAATAAGCATACCTTCTCTAATTTTATTTGAATATATGAAATATAAATTGAAGCTTTTAAATTAAAAGCTTTGAATGTAGCATCAACTATGAATTAGAGATTTTGCTTTTTTTAAAGGTAAAATATGTTTTAAATAAATTTTAATTTATTAATAATTACTTTTTGTAGAAGCTATATACTCAATAGACCTTACAGATCAACTGAAACAATTGTTCCTTAAGCATATGCTCCTATTTCGGCTATTAATACTGAAAGTGCAGCACTTGCATCAAACTCTGCATTTGCTGATACACCAAACCCAGCGTTTATTGATGTAGCTTAAATTTCAATGAAAGTAAATATTTAAGCACTGAATTAAAAGTAATATTGCAAGACAAGTGGAATGCCAATTGGTGTAGGGATATAATAAGGCTATGGATATTAAGGAAATTTCATTTTTTCATCTAATATAAAATTAATTAATTAATTATTTAATTATCTATAAAATTATAAGTAAATTATTATTACCAAACAAAACCTTTTGTTCTTTCTTAATTTAAAATTTTGAGGATATTTTAGTGATCGCAGATTCAAAGAGTTTGTTCACATTTTCTAGTTTTGCAATTGCATTATTTAAGTTTGTTTTGAGAAATTCATTTCCTAATTTTTAAAACTTTTAAAAAAGATTTATTTGCTTAATAATAATTTATAATAATTTAAGAATTTACTTTATCTTTAATTTAATCAATAGCTTATTTTTAAATCTTTTCAAGGATTTGAGATTTAACAAAACTAATCAAATCTTATTTTAAATCTTCAGTAATTGTTTAGAATAAATTTTATAGATCAATTTAGCCAACTATGTCTTCGAAATTCTTGTTAATGTTGAGAAATTAGTTTTCGAATTAGCTGAAATTTAAAGCAACTTAATGAATTTGACTTAATTGATTTGACAAATCATTAAAAGAGTTCTAGACATTTTTCACAGAATCTATTGTATTCTTTATAGTGTCAGTTCCGTTGTTGATAGCATCTTTAATTCCACTTATGAAAGAATTTACTGGAAAGTCAAAGATATTTCCATCTTACAAATTAGTTAAATTTAAAGATTTTAAAGACAAATCGCTAATGTCATCAGTTAAGATTTATGATTGTTTTCCCATTTGTTTTTTAACTTGATCTACAAAATTCTTTTTTTTTTTTGAATTTAATTAATTGATTGATTGATTAAAAATATTAATTAATAAATAAATTACCGATGAGCTAAAGTCAGCTGAAAGCATTTAAAGAGCTTATTCAGATTAATCCATTATTTTCTTGTCGAAGTTGCTAACTGCGATAAACTCATTATCAACCCCATCAAGAATTTGCTAACTTAAATTAGAAGAGAAGTCATAAGTCTTACTTTTTAAAGTGGTAATTGTATCTTTAAAGCTAAGAATTGATTATTAAGCTATATTTGAAAATATGTCAGTTATATTAGTCAATTTAGAAGTTATTTCTTGATTAATACTATCAGCACATGACGTAAAGTTACTTGCGATAAAAGTATAGAGAGAGTCTAAACTAGTTAATGAATTAAAGCTGCTATACAAATCCTATGCAGCTTTTTAACTTTCATTTATCTGGTTCAATATATTTTGTGAAGTTTTTAATTCCAATACACTCTTAATCTATGGATTTTCTTTGACTTATATAATAGTTATATTTATTGATTGTTTTGCTATATTGAATTATGATTGTAAGTTATTCAGCGACTTTTCAAGTTAATCATTGATTTGTTTTGATATTTATTTTAATTGGCCTTAGAAGATATTAGAGAAAGAATTTTAAGATAATTGGATGATTTGCTATTAAATTTTAGATGTTTATTAACTAGTGAAATTAGTAATTTTTGATGATTAGGCATTTAAAAAAGTCTATGTATTATTAATAAAAGTACTTTATTGACTTTATACAAATTTAGTTAGATTCTATTGTATTTAAATATTTATTTTATCTTGAATAAGATCGTATGCTTGTTTTAAAGTTTACTAAACATTTTAAATAGCAATTTGGCCATCTTTGTAAATTAAATTTGTTTTGTTTTGGTAAATTTAATTTATTTTCTAACTCTATTCAATAAGGCTTTATTAAATTTTTGACAAATTGTTTTACAATGTTGAAATATAGGCTTAAGCTGTTTAAGAAGTAATATTTTGAATAGTGCCCAATTTTTATTATGTTGAATTCAAAATTTAAGTGTATTACTTTTTATTTTAATAGTAAAATTAGTTGAAATATAAAGTGAAAAAGTAGAGGTAAAAATTAATTTATTTATTTTACCAATTATAGCTTTTAGAGCTTATCTAATAAATCCACAGAAATAGAAGAAGTGATGCCTGATGCGTATTTCTAGATATCATCTATTTATAATTAATTTTTTTTAAAACATAATTTTAGTTAAAAAAGAAAGTTACTCAAAATTGGATTAGACAAATTAGAAAATAATTTTTGTGCCAAATTAAATTTTGCATCAATTTAGTAGTTCACTTGTTTTACCACATCAATGACAGTGTTTTTTATTTTGCTCACCTTTTTTTAAAAAGAAATAACATTTAATTATTATTGAAACTAATATTCTATTTTACTGCTAGCAATAAGTTCTTTTTAAGCCAATTAACTTCATTTTTAAATTTGGTCAAAGGAAAATTCACTAATTAATTATTTAATAATTTATATTTTAAAAATAAATAAACAAATAAATATGTTGATATATAATTTATTTTTTCTATATTGATTGCTTTTAAAAAAATATTTATCAACCAAATAACTAACTAATTTTTTTGCAATTGTTTTTATAAATATTTTTTTAATATTTTATTATTTTGAAGGATAATCCAGTAATTAAAATATCATATTATCGAGTTCATCATATTTTAATTCAGGGATTAGTAAAATTTATTTAAATATTTACCTTTTTGTATAGGTGAAACAGGAATATTTAAACCTAAAAATTGAAGGAACACTTGAGTTTAACACTCATCATTTGAGGAGCTATCTTATTATTTATCACACTTAAATGAAATAAAAGATCTCATTTTTATTGTTAAAATGTCCTTTTCAAATAGCTTTACTTGCAAATTATCTAATAAATTATTGTTTTGAGTGAGCATTCTGGTTGAGGGTGAGCTTATGTTAACTTTTTCTAGTTTTATTTATGAATATTTTAATGAGCAATTGAAAAGAAATAAAAATTTACAATTTAAGTCTACAAGAGGTTTTTCAGTTTGATTAGATGTGATAAGAGTATTGTCAAGCTAAATATCAGTCTTTTTAAGGTTTTCTATAAATTAGAGGTAATTAGTCCAATTATATTATACTGTACTCATCATATTAAAAACGTTATTGATATGAGTTTTTTCATTATTAGAAATATTAGTTTCGTTGATGAAAGTCACATTAAATTTTTAAGTTATTTTCTAGTTATTTAAGACATCTTCAGTTGAATTATCCTTGGAGAGAAAAGAATTTATTTTACTTTTTTTTAAAGAATGAAAAAAACAAATTTACATATTAAAATTACTAAGCTGACTCAACACGACCTTTAACAAAGTAACCTTAATTGTTAAAAGTGATGTTACTTTACTACTGTGTAGCTTATTGATAGTCATCATTAGTTTTCTAAGTAAATTATTAGACTAATGTTACATCTCCTGTAGCTGACTTATGACTTTGCATCACTGACATTTTGTATGCTCCATGTACATTTTTTTAAGTAAAATTAGCTAATTTAGTTACAATTTTTACTCCTTTTGGATCAATTATATCATAATTAGATTTATAAAGATTCGGTAGAAGAGTAGTAAGGAAAGCGGGAAGACCGAATAGAAATGTCTCATTTACATTGATAGGAAAAGCAATGTCTTTTATCTCTCCACCCTTATTAGATAAATTATAATTCAGTTTATGTAGCAAAAATTAAATATAATATATTACCTTCGTAACGTTTAATTGAATAATTTCAGCTCTGCTTAATTGAACGTCATCATCTGAAAATGGAAAATCTTAATCAGAGGTTGAGTTTGAGGTTGGGGATTAATTTATTGATTGATTTTCAGTGGTATCTATATCAAAATTTTAATTAATTAAACAAAGAAAGAAAGAAAAGTTAATTAAAACAATACTTTTTTAATTTGTAGTTGAAATTGAGGTAGTTGAGTCATTTGAATCTATGAAATTTCTCGCCCCAGAAATTATCACTGCACTGTCTTGCTTTCCAACTTCATATTGTTTAGTCTAATCAACAAAAGCAAGGATTTATATTTCTATTTATTTATTTTTAAATTGTTTTATGAATTTGAAATATAAAATTGACAGCTAAATCAAAATTTTTTCTAAAATTTAGAGACGAATTAAAAGTGGAGAGAGAATAATAAGCAAAGATATAAATTTTAAATTAATAAATAAAACATACATATTGTGTTTTTAAGCAAATATTATAAAAAGGTTTAATTTTCTTTTTAAGTTTTTTGTATTAATTGTGATTAAGCTCATTTTAATGAATGTTAAATATAACAAAAATAATAAAAAAAGAGTTTAAAAATTAATATTCATTTAATTGAAATAAATTAATTTCTTCAAATTATGGTAAAGCAAATTAAAAATTTAATTTTAAAATTAAGAATTAAAAATAATTTACAGTCATCTTTTTGATTTTAAATAAGCATACTAAATAAGTATTCTACTACAATTTCTCTAGTGTAATTACTAGAATCATTGCGTTTGTAATTGTGCGTAGTAAGTAATTCGAGTCTGTAATTTTATTATTTTGACGTCACAAATTTCCTCTAAACAACATAAGGACTTTTTTCAAAACTGGAATCATCATTCTATAAAATTAAAATATTCTTAAATTTTTATATTAAAATTGCTATTTTACTTCTCCTCCAGGTTTTAGGGCAAAGTAAAGTGATAGAGCTATAACCAGAAGACCAGCAAAAATTACGCTTAAGGTGATCACATTTCTTCTTTTATTTATTTTTTCATACAAAGAATTGTTTTTTTGTACACTTTAACTTTATGATTCAAGATCTTAAGATTTTTATTAAAATTCCTTCTCATCACCTACATGAGCTTGTTCTTAATTTTCTAAGTAATTTAAAGAGTGTACATTATCTTGCCTGATAATTTACTAACTTTCTTTTTCTTAGATCATATTTTAGTTTAAAGTTTGTAATTAAGGTTTATCAAATTTCTCAATTACTATATTTTCTTCCAATAATAAGTTCTGTTAAGTAATCTACTATTTCTAGACATTGGGAAGATTTTCAAGGTTTTTGAAAATAGAGGAATCTTCTTAGATTTTTTTCGTTTTAGTAGAAAGACTTTCTTATTCTTAGGAGTTTTGCTTAATATTTTCAACAAAGGTTTATTACTATTATTACTCAGATTACAATTCCTGAAGCTAGAACTCTTCGCTTTCATTTTGTTTATGCAGCTTGAGAGAAGTCATCATTTTATATTTTTTACTCTTTTCAAGATTTTATTTTTTTTAATTGTTATTTATAATTAGGGATATTTTATGGCATAAATAGTGAGGAAAACAATTTCTAATTACATAGATATATTTTAGTTATGGGCATTTTATCAGTAATTACAATTTGAAGACTTTAATTTAATAACTTCCCCAATTTAATAAGACAATTTAGTTTTAAAAAATATAATATTTAGAAATCTTTTGATTTAAATTATTTAATGGCTATTAAAACTTTGTTTACAATCACTTGAATTTCCTTCAATTAACTTTTAAGATCGTAATTTATAAGTTCACTATAAAAGTATATTTATTCAAATAAATAAAATTGGATTTACAATCTCATTATTGATTGATTATAAATCTTAAATTTAAAATAGATAGATAGATAGATAGATAGATAGATAGATAGATAGATAGATAGATAGATAGATAGATAGATAGATAGATAGATAGATAGATAGATAGATAGATAGATAGATAAAGAAGAAAAAAAATACTAATAAATAAACATATCTTTTTATTATTAATACAGCTTTAAAGCATTTCAAAATAAGTAAAACAAAATATTGTTATTATAAAAGATATTTCTTGTTATGAATTTAATTTATTGTTTTTAAAATAGCCATTTAGATTATCTTGATAGAAAAGAAATAAGTTAAGGAATAATATTTGAAGAGTTTAAATTAAGTTTTTGTAAAGTTTGTAAGATATTTTAGATCAAATTTTGATTAGATGCTTCTTACAGTTTACATTAATTAAAATACAAATTGATAAATAAATAGATGAAAACAAGAAAGTAAGAAGATACTTTGGGCAAATAAAATAATTAAAGAAATATATTTTTATTTAAAAAATTAATTTAAAAATATTTCATAAAACTCATTTAAATATCATACTGCTAAAATTTCAGAAAAAAAAATTAAAAATTTTTATTAATAAAAATTATTCCATTTTTTTTCAATTTATTTTGAGTTCAAAAAATATTTTTATAATATATAAAGTAAGTATACATACAATTAATTACAAATTAAGGCAGAAAATAGCTTAGAAATTATTTTGACTTAGTTTTTAAAAATAAATTTCCTGTTCAATAACGAATAAAATAGTATTTGAACTTGTAAATTAATCTATCTATATAATAAATATGAATTTACTCATCATAAAAATTAAAAAAAACAATAAAAGCATGCTAAAAATAATCATATTTTGTATTTGAGTAAATAGGGTTAACTTTCACCCATAAATAAAATTCAGAAAAAAGTGAAAATCTTACTTTAAATATCACATTTTCATTTAAAAAGAGTTTAGATTTTAATTTAAAAAAATGTGATTAAAATTGACAAATAGAGTTATTAGTTTGATTAACAAAAATGATAATTTATTATAGTTATTTTATTAAATTTACTCTTTTTGGAAAAGACTTTTTGAGAAAGAGGATATTTAGTCAAATTGTAAACAGACTTCATTAATTTTATTATAAAAAGTATAAAAATCAATCTAAACCATAAATTACTAGAAATCTAATAGAACAAAATCAAATTTTCAAAAAGACTACAATTAAATCTTAAAATCTGATTAAATAGTGTTATCACGGTTTTTAAAAAAAGAGAAATATAAAAAACTGTTTGTGAAATTCATGCTTTAAAAAGATAACAATAATATAATTTTATCATTTTGATCATTAATTTAAATGATAATACTATTGTTTTATTTAATATATTATTTTATTTATTGACAAAATGGTTTTATTCAAAACCAGTCTTCATATCTATTTTATAGCTATTATTAACTTTTTTAATATTCAAATTCATATAAAATTTGATTATCTATCTATCTAATTTTTATTAAAATACATTTGAAAGAATTTTTTGAATATTAATGGCATTTTTTTATTAGTTATTTAGCAAATTTAAAAAACAAACTGCTGATATTTATTCGAGTGATACATACGGATTTAAAAAATTTAAGTAACATTTATTATTTTAAAATATATGATTGTAAATTTATTCATAAATATTTACTAATTCATGCAGAATTCTTTAATTATAATTGAACTTTCAAAGTTAATATTTGTAAAGAAAAACAATATTTTTACATGGGAAAACTTAAATTTCTTAAAAATGCAAATCATAAACGTGCTTCTCTTAAAATTCAAAAGATTAATGTTGTTTAAGTTTTTTAAAAATATCAAAATCAATTTTCCTTTATAGAAACCTTTTAAATAAGCTAATTTCTTTACTAAAAATTCAATATACTAGCAAGAGAAAATTGACTGAAAAATATAATGCTCATATTTTGTTTTTAATTGATTAAATCAATCTTTACTTATCTTAATATCTACTTTTTCAAATTAATTTTTGATGTTTAATTTTTCTATCATTTTTAATTAAATTAATCACGAAACAAATTGAAAAGATGTTATTTGATTTTATAAACACCAATATAAAAATTCATTGGAATCAGAAAATTCAGTAATATTATCCATAAAATCAAACTAAAATTTTTAAAAACTCCTTAGCACTAAATATTTACTAATTTTAAAAAATAATTTTAGAATTTTTTTATCTGTAAAACTCTAAAAAAAGCAAAAGAAATTAATTTTTATAATTTATGCCAGAAAATAATGAAATTTTTTGAAAAAATTTTTTTTACATATTTATTTATTGCAAATTTTTTGAAAATCATGGTTAATATATTAGGATTTACTCTATCTATCTATATACACAGCTTTTTGGTTTGTCAACAAATTTTAAAATGTAGTTTTATGAGTATTTTAAGAAAAAATTATGAGTATCCATCCCCAATATAAATTAAAATTAAGTGTAATTAAAAGGTTAATTAAATTAAATGAGTAATAAATACCATAAGATAGATACAACACATATTTTTAAAACACTTCAACCAACATTTATATTAACTAATTAGACCTAAGTTTATGACCCTTTTATATTTAAAGCTGGTAAGATATCAATCTTATCAGATTTAGAAATTTAAGGAACATAAATACAAGCATATTTTTTAACAAATTTAGCAACACGTTTTACAAAGTGACCAGCTTGTTAACCCAATTTAGATATCGCTCTACCAATTCTACTGATACCTGAAAAAATAGACCCAAAACCCCAGCCCAACATTCTTCTTTAAAATAAGCATACCTTCTTTAATTTTATTTTAATGTATGAAATATAAATTGAAGCTTTTAAATTAAAAGCTTTAAATGTAGCATCAACTATGAATTAGAGGTTTTGCTTTTTTTAAAGGTAAAATATGTTTTAAATAAATTTTAATTTATTAATAATTACTTTTTGTAGAAGCTATATACTCAATAGACCTTACAGATCAACTGAAACAAGTGTTCCTTAAGCATATGCTCCTATTTCAGCTATTAATACTGAAAGTGCAGCACTTGCATCAAACTCTGCATTTGCTGATACACCAAACCCAGCATTTATTGATGTAGCTTAAATGTCAATGAAAGTAAATATTTAAGCACTGAATTAAAAGTAATATTGCAAGACAAGTGGAATGCCAATTGGTGTAGGGATATAATAAGGTTATGGATATTAAGGAAATTTCATTTTTTCATCTAATATAAAATTAATTAATTAATTATTTAATTATCTATAAAATTATAAGTAAATTATTATTACCAAACAAAACCTTTTGTTCTTTCTTAATTTAAAATTTTGAGGAAATTTTAGTGATCGCAGATTCAAAGAGTTTGTTCACATTTTCTAGTTTTGCAATTGCATTCTTTAAGTTTGTTTTTAGAAGTTCATTACCTAAATTTTAAAACTTTTAAAAAAGATTTATTTGCTTAATAATAATTTTATAATAATTTAAGAATTTACTTTATCTTTAATTTAATCAATAGCTTATTTTTAAATCTTTTCAAGGATTTGAGATTTTACAAAATTAATCAAATCTTATTTTAAATCTTCAGTAATTGTTTAGAATAAATTTTATAGATCAATTTAGCCAACTATGTCTTCGAAATTCTTGTTAATGTTGAGAAATTAGTTTTCGAATTAGCTGAAATTTAAAGCAACTTAATGAATTTGACTTAATTGATTTGACAAATCATTAAAAGAGTTCTAGACATTTTTCACAGAATTTATTGTATTCTTTATAGTGTCAGTTCCGTTGTTAATAGCATCTTTAATTCCATTTATGTAAGAATTTACAGGAAAGTCAAAGATATTTCCATCTTACAAATTTGTTAAATTTAAAGATTTTAAAGACAAATCGCTAATGTCATCAGTTAAGATTTATGACTGTTTTCCCATTTGTTTTTTAACTTGATCTATGAAATTCTTTTTAAAAAATTTAAGTAATTGATTGATTGATGAAAAATATTGATTAAATAATAAATTACCGATTAGCTAAAGTCAGCTGAAAGCATTTAAAGAGCTTACTCAGATTAATCCATTATTTTTTTGTCATAGCTGATAACTGTGCTAAACAAATTATCAACTCCATCTTGAATTTGCTAAGTTAAATTAGAAGAGAAGTCATAAGTCTTATTTTTTAAAGTGGTAATTGTATCTTTAAAGCTAAGCATTGATTATTAAGCTATGTTTGAAAATATGTCAGTTATATTAGCCAATTTAGTAGTTATATCTTGATTAATACTATCAGCACATGACGTAAAGTTACTTGCAATCAAAGTATAGAGAGAGTCTAAACTAGTTAATGAATTAAAGCTGTTGTACAAATCCTATGCAGCTTTTTAATTTTCATTTATCTGGTTCAATATATTTTGTGAAGTTTTTAATTCCAATACACTCTTAATCTATGGATTTTCTTTGACTTATATAATAGTTATATTTATTGATTATTTTGTTTTATTAAATTATGACTGTAAATTATTCAGTGACTTTTCAAGTTAATCAATGATTTGTTTTGATATTTATTTTAATTGGCCTTAGAAGATATTAGAGAAAGAATTTTAAGATAATTGGATGATTTGCTTTTAAATTTTAGATGTTAATTAACTAGTGAAATTAGTAATTTTTGATGATTAGGCATTTAAAAAAATCTATGTGTTATTAATAAAAATACTTTATTGACTTTATACAAATTTAGTTAAATTCTATTGTATTTAAATATTTATTTTATCTTGAATAAGATCATATGCCTGTTTTAAAGTTTACTAAACTTTTTAAATAGCAATTTGGCCATCTTTGTAAATTAAATTTGTTTTGTTTTGGTAAATTTAATTTATTTTCTAACTCTATTCAATAAGGCTTTATTAAATTTTTGGCAAATTGTTTTACAATGTTGAAATATAGACTTAAGCTACTTAAGAAGTAATATTTTGAATAGCGCCCAATTTTTATTAAGTTGAATTCAAAATTTAAGTGTATTACTTTTTATTTTAATAGTAAAATTAGTTGAAATATACAGTGAAAAAGTAGAAAGTAAAAATTAATTTATTTATTTATTTATTTTACCAATTATAGCTTTTAGAGCTTATCTAACAAATTCACAGAAATAGAAGAAGTGATGACTGATGCGTATTTTTAGACATCATCTATTTAGAATTAATTTTTTTTAAAACATAATTTGAGTTAAAAAAGTAAGTTACTCAAAATTGGATTAGATAAATTAGAAAATAAATTTTGTGTCAAATTAAATTTTGCATCAATTTAGGATTTCACTTGTTTGACCACATCAATTACATTGTTTTTTATTTTGCTCACCTTTTTTTAAAAAGAAATAACATTTAATTAATTCTAATTATCATTGAAACTAATATTCTATTATACTGCAAGCAATAAGTTCTTTTTAAGCCAATTAACTTCATTTTTAAATTTGGTCAAAGGAAATTTCACTAATTAATTATTTAATAATTTATATTTTAAAAATAAACAAATAAATATGTTGATAAAAAATTTAATTTATTTTTCAGATGTTGCTTTTAAAAAAATATTTTACCAACCATATAATTAATGGAAGGTGGTTTCAAAAATATGAATTTTTATTCTAATAATTATTATAGTCATTATTTAAAAAAAAATCCCAATCCTTAAGATTTAGGAGGGATTTTTTAAAAGGGCTTACGGTATTAAGGTATTAAGAAGAAAACTAAAGATTTTAATTAAACTATTTAAATATTTACCTTTTTGTATAGGTGAAACAGGAATATTTAAACCTAAAAATTGAAGGAACACTTGTGTTTAACACTAATCATTTGAGGAGCTATCTTATTATTTATCGCACTTAAATGAAATAAAAGATCTCATCTTTATTGTTAAAATGTCCTTTTCAAATAGCTTTACTTGCAAATTATCTAATAAATTATTGTTTTGAGTGAGCATTCTTGTTGAGGGTGAGCTTATGTTAACTTTTTCTAGTTTTATTTATGAATATTTTAATGAGCAATTCAAAAGAAATAAAAATTTACAATTTAAGTCTACAAGAGGTTTTTCAGTTTGATTAGATGTTATAATAGTACTATCAAGCTAAATATCAGTCTTTTTAAGGTTTTCTATAAATTCGAGGTAATATGTCCAATTATATTATACTGTACTCATCATATTAAAAACGTTATTGATATGAGTTTTTTCATTATTAGAAATATTAGTTTCGTTGATGAAAGTCACATTAAATTTTTAAGTTATTTTCTAGTTTTTTAAGACATCTTCAGTTGAATTATCCTTGGAGAGAAAAGAAATTATTTTACTTTTTTTTATAGAATTAAAAAAACCAATTTACATATTAAAATTACTAAGCTGACTCAACACGACCTTTAACTAAGTAACCTTAATTGTTAAAAGTGATGTTACTTTACTACTATGTAACTTATTTATAGTCATCATTAGTTTTCTAAGTAAATTATTAGACTAATGTTACATCTCCTGTAGCTGATTTATGACTTTACATCACTGACATTTTGTATGTTCCATGTACATTTTTTTAGGTAAAATTAGCTTATTTGGTTACATTTTTTACTCCTTTTGGGTCAATTATATCGTAATTAGATTTCTAAAGATTTGGTAGAAGAGTAGTAAGGAAAGCGGGAAGACTGAATAGAAATGTCTCATTTACATTGATAGGAAAAGCAATGTCTTTTATCACTCCACCCTTATTATTAGATAAATTATAATTCAGTTTATATAGCAAAAGTTTAATATTATTTATTACCTTCGTAACGTTAAATTAAATAATTTCAGCTCTGCTTAATTGAATGTCGTCATCTGAAAATGGAAATTCTTAATCTTAATCAGATGTTGAATTTATGTTTGGGGATTAATTTGTTGATTGATTTTCAGTAGAATCTATATCAAAATTTTAATTAATTAAATAAATAAACAAAGAAAAGTTAAGCTAAACAATACTTTTTTAATTTGGAGTTTAAGTTAAGTTATTTGAGTCATTTAAATCTATGAAATTTCTCGCCCCAGGAAGTATCACTACATCATCTTGCTTTCCCACTTCATATTGTTTAGTCTAATCAACAAAAGCAAGTATTTATATTTCTATTTATTTATTTATTTATTTATTTATTTATTTTTAAATTATTTAAATGAGTCTTGAAATATAAAATTTGGAGCTAAACCAAAATTTTTTGTAAACTTTTAGAGAAGAAGTAAAAGTAGAGAGAAAATATTAAACGTTATTCATTTTAAATTTAATGAATCAAGCATACATAATGTGTTTTTTAAGTAAATATTATAAAAAGGTTTAATTTTCTTTTTAAGTTTTGGTATTAATTGTTATTAAGCTCATTTTAATCGAAAAATATACCAAAAATAAGCAAATTAAAAATTAAATTTTAAAATTTAGATATAAAAATAATTTACAGTCATCTGTTTGATTTTAAATAAGCATACTAAATAAGTATTCAATTACAATTTCTCTAGTGTAATTACTAGAATCATTGCGTTTGTGATTGTGCGTAGTAAGTAACTCGAGTCTGTAATTTTATTATTTTGACGTCACAAATTTCCTCTAAATAACATAAGGACTTTTTTCAGCACTCGAATTGTCATTCTATAAAAATAAAATATTTTTTTATTTTGATATTAAAATTGCTATTTTACTTCTTCTCCGGGTTTAAGAGCAAAGTAGAGTGATAGAGCTATAACTAGAAGGCCAGCAAAAATTACGCTTAAGATGATCACATTTCTTCTTTTATTTGTTTTTTCATTCAAAGAATTATTTTTTTGTATACTTTAGCTTTATGATTCAAGGTCTTAAGAATTTTATTAAAAATCCTTCTCATCTTTATGAGCTTGCTCTTAATTTTCTTATTAATTTGGAGAATGTACATTATCTTTCCCGATAATTTACTAACTTTCTTTTTCTTAGATCATATTTTAGTTTAAAGTTTGTAATTAAGGATTATCAAGTTTCTCAACAATTATACTTTGTTCCAATATTTAGTTCTCTTAAGTATTCTATTATTTCTTGATAATAGGAAGATCTTCAAGGTTTTAGGAAACAGAGGAATCTACTTAGACTACTATAGTTTTAGTTGAAAGACTTTCTTATTCTTAGGAGTTTTGCTTACTTTATTTAGTAAATGTTTATTATTATTATTCAGATTACGATTCCTGAAGCTAGATCTCTTCGCTTTCATTTTGTTTATGTAGCTAGAGAGAAGTCATCATTAATAATTTTTTACTTTTTTTAAGATTTTTTTTTTTAAATTGTTATTTATAATTAAGGATATTTTGTGGCATAAATAGAGAGGAAAATCAATTTGTTATTATATACATATATTTTAGTTATGGGTATTTTATCAATAATTACAAATTTGAAGACTTTCATTTTTAACAATTTCTCCAAATAAGTTTAAAAAAGAGAAAAATAAAGAAATCTTTTGATTTAAATTATTTAATGGTTATTAAAATTTTGTTTACAATTACTTGAATTTCATTCAATTAACTTTTCTGATCACAATTTTAAAGCTCGCTATAAAAATATATTTATTAGATAGATAGATAGATAGATAGATAGATAGATAGATAAATAGATAAATAGATAGAAAAAAACAAATTATTAATAAATAAACAAATATTTTTATTAATAATACAGCTTATTTCAAAATAAATAAAATAATATATTCTTATTACTAAAGATATTTCTTGTTATAAATATAATTTATTTTTTTTAAAATAGCCATTTAGATTATCTTGCTAGAAAAGAAATAAGTGAATGATTAATATTTGAAGACTTTAAATTAAGTTTTTGTAAAGTTTGAAAGATATTTTAGATAAAATTTTGATTAGATGTTTCTTACAGTTTACATTAATCAAAAAGAAAATCAAAATTTAAAAAACAAAAGCTCAACATAAAACAAATAAATAAATGAAAACAAGAAAGTAAGATACTTAGAGCTAAAAACAATTAAAAAATTCTAATTTTTAAAACTTAAATTAAAATTATTATTTTTTATACAATTTATTTTTAAGTTCAAAAGATATTTTTATAATATATTAAAATACAAATTAAGATAGAAAATAATTTAGAAAATTTTTGTACTTAGTTTGTAACAATAAATTTCTAATTTAGTAAAGAATAAAGAAGTATTTCAATTTATAAATTAATCTATCTATTAATTAGTTATAAATATAAATGAATTTATTCATCAAAAATTAACAAAGCAATAAGTAAAAACACTCATATTCTTTATTTGAATAAATATCAATAGATTAATTTGTAGCCATAAATAAAAACTCTGAATATTGTGAAAGCTTTACTATAAAATATCAAATATTAATTTAAAAAAAGCTTAAATTTTGTGTTCGATTTAAAAAAATATAATTAAAATTGACAATTAGTGCTATGTTTGGTAAAAAAAATGATAATTTATTATTTATTTTATTAGCTTTGGTATTTTAGGAATATACTTTTTGAGATTGAGGGTATTCTGTCAAATTGTAAACAAACCTTATTAATTTAATAATAATAAGTGTAAAAATAAATTTCAGCCATAAATTTTTAGAAATTAAATAGAACAAAATATTTATTTTTAATCAAATTTTATTGTATTCTATAGACTACAAGTAAATCTTAAAATCTGATTAAATACTATTATTGCAGTTTTTAAAAAAAGAGAAATATAAAAGGAATATAGTAAAATGCTTTAAAAAAATCGAAATTGTAATAAAATAATTATATCCTTTGATTATTAATTTAATTGATAATACTTTTGTTTTAGTTTATTATTTTATTTTTTGGTAATATTGCTTTATTGAAAACTAGTTTTCATATTTATTTAATATATATTTCTTATCTTTTTTAATATCTAAATTCATATTTGATTTGATTATATATATAATTTTTAGAATACACTTGAAAGAATGTTTTTTGAATATTAATGCTAATTTTTATAAATTATTTAGCAAGATTTAAAAAAACTGTTATTTTTTAGAGTAATACATATATATTTAAAAAATTTAAGTTTCATTTATTATTTTTAAAAAAAATACAATGCAAATTTAATTATAAATATTAACTTATTTATGTAGAATTATTTAATTATTTTTGAATTTTCAAAATTAATATTTGCAAGCAAAAACAATATTTTTACTTGAGATAATTTAAATTTCTTAAAATACACTCCTTCTATGGCTCAAGTAGCATCTTATAGAGTTGGATTTTTGATCTCACTTTCATTATAAAATAACATCCTGGGAAAATTTTACCCTATTTACGGCGATATTTTTTTGACATTCTCAATTAGGTGATGGGAAGTTATTGAAGAAATTATTAGCTTGAAAAAAGAAATAAAAATATCTTTGGTGCATACAAAAACAAAATAGCTCGGTATTATTAATTATCATTTAAAAATAAATTATTTTATTAAGCTCAAAAAACAAATTAATTTATTCTAAATTTAAGTTTATTTAACGATTATTTATAAAGCTCTTATGATTGAAATTTATAAACATAAATAAGATTTTTGAGATTGAAATTAATTACCTTGTTTAAAACAATAATAAATAAAAAAGGAAGGAAATTATGATTTTTATATAATTTTATATATTCTAAAGAACGAAAGAAATATAAATAATATTTATTTAGGAGTTATGATTACTTTTTGATGCTAGCAGCTAAAATATTTTAGTTTTTTTTCTTTTTTTTGATAATCAAAGTTTCTTTTTTTAACAAATAAAATATTATCAAAAATTTTTAAATTAAGCTAATTTTTAGTGGATAGAAATTTTAAGAAATTTTCTTATAATATGGATAAGATTACTGATTTTTCTGAGTTCAATAAATTTTTTTGTTTGGAGTTGATAAAAATCTAATAACATCTTTTAAATTTTTTTGTGAATGATTTAATTAATTATCTAAAATTAGTATGATAAAATGGATATTTATTAATTATTTTGTTTAATTGAATTATGAATGTAAATTATTTAGTGGCTTTATTGATTTGTTTGGATATTTATTTTAATTAGCCTTAGAAGATATTAGAGAAATAATTTTAAGATAATTTGATGGTTTGCTTTTAAATTTTATATGTTAATTAACTAATCAGATGAGTTATTTTTGATGATTAAGCATTTAAATAAATATATGTGTTATTTATTAAAATACTATATTGATTTTATAAGAATTTAGTTAAATTTTATTGTATTTAAATATTTATTTTATGTTGAAGAAGTTCTTATGCCTGCTTTAAAATTTACTAAACTTTTTAAATAGCAATATGGGCACCTAGGAAAATTAAATTTGTTTTGTTTTGGTAAATTTAATTTATTTTCTAACTCTATTCATTAAGATTTTATCAAATTTTCAGCAAATTGTTTTATATTGTGGAAAAATAGACTTAAGCTATTTAAGAAGTAATATTTTGAATTGGGTTCAATTTTTATTGTGTTTCATTTAAAATTTAAGTGTATTACATTTTATTTTAAGAATAAAATTAGTTAAAATTTAAAGTTAAAAAGTAGAGAATAAAAAAATTAATTTATTTTACCAATTATAGCTTTTAGAAATTTGCAGAAACAAATTTAAAGATTTTCATTTTATATTAATATTTAAATATTAAAAAAATTTTTTAACTAATAAAACTGTTACAAAAATTACTTTTAATACTTTTTTATTTTTTTTTATTATTTTACAAAGTAACTTAAAAATAATTAGCATTTAAAAATTAAAATGCTTCTAAATTAAGAAAAATTAATAAATTTTAAGGTAAACTTAAAAAAAATTTTTTATTTGAAATAATAAAAGTTCTTTAAAAAAAAAGCTAATTTTAGTTTTAAAAATAGCAATTATTAATTGAAGTATTTAATACTATTTCTAAATTTTAAACTCTATAAATATAATTATATTAAAATCTTTTATTTAGTTAATTTTGAAGTAAACAAATAATAAAATTTAAGGCAAGAGTAAATTAATTTGTATTTTATTGAAAGAAAAGATAAAAATTTGTTTTAGAAATCTTCCTTCTTTTTACCATCTCTAAAAGGTTATATATATATAATTTATAAGTTATACTTACTAACTTACAAATAATACAACTTATTGTTTCAGTCTTCAACTTTAAATATTACTTTGATTAATAAATCCTTATATATAATTTCTTGAAGAATTTTTTTTAATGAATTCTACATTTTTATTATTGAAAATACTTAGAATAGAGAACTTCCTACATTTATTTATTTAACGATTTTAATTTTAAAAATTCCAGAAAAATATAAGTTAACTAAATTGATGTCAAATTTTCTTGAATTAATCATAGAATTTTTCATTCAAAATAATTATTGATTTCTTAGATTTTATTTATAGTTTGTTTTAAATTGATACAAGTAAATTTATTAAAATATTATTAATGAAAAATGATTATCATAAACAATTATATAAATTCTCATCTTCTTCTCAAAATTATTAAAATATTGTGTAATTAATATAATAGATTTTAATATATATATCATAATTCTTTTAATGAAGAAATATCCAGAATTTATTTTTTTTAAACTTGAGGTTAAAAATTATCTTAAACTAAAATAAAATTTTTTAAATGAATATGATTTCTGGTTATTGATAGAGTACAGTAAAAAATTTAGGTCTTTTAAAAATATATATTTTACTTATGTATCCATCTATCTATAGTTAAAGTTGTTTTAAATAGAAATTTAGTAACCCTTGCAATATATATATACATTTAATAGTAAATTACTGGCTTTAAATTAGTATTTTTTTGTTTTATTTGATATCCTGAAAGATTTTGTTATAAATATGTAAATTAATGTTTATCAAGAAGTAATTTGTACTGCATTTTACTTCGAAATCTAATTATAAATTTACTAGGTTGTAGAAAGATACTAATAGAGAAATAAAAAAAATGAAAATCTCGCTACTTAAATTAAAAATAAACAAAAGAAGAAAACATTTTTTAAAGTCTTAAGCATGAATTACATCAAATAATTCTCATAATAGTAATGTTACTATATTTTGAATAACTTACTTTCGATATCACTAAATCTTTAATTTTAATAGAACAGATTAAAAAATGATAATATTTTAATTAATAGAACAGAAGTTTTTGCTTTAATTTAAAAGAAGAGTAATCTACAAGCAAAATCTAAATTGATACTAAAAATTTAAGGTAAATTAAAACAATAAATATTGCCAGCAGCATCAATCTGTTGTCTGAAAGAAACTTAAAAGTTTGAATTTTACTAGCCTAAAATCTATTTTAAAATATAAGTATTCATTTTACATAAAATCTTATTAAACTTCTAATTTAGTATTAAATAAGACATAGTAATAACAAATTAATTGTAATAAAGGGGATTGTCATAGCCACATCAAAATTTACAATCAAAAGTTACATACAAATATATTAAAAATATCTGGTTAATATTTATTAGTATAAATCTAATGGATAATATTAAATTTTATTCATTTTTTGATTACGATAATTGATTTAAATATGAATGACCATTAGCTAATTAAATTTTTAAACATTTCATTAGTACTAGCTTGTTTAGCTCTGTCAATTTTCCTTGCGCATACATACATATAAAAGCTTAAAATGTACTTATTCCACATATAAATGCTTCTACAATAAATTTTATATCTAATTTCATTATTTAACTTATTTATAATATATACAAATATTTAACTTGATGAATTTTCATAAATTTTTGCGAAATGAATTTATTTTTAAAAAAATGGATTTGTCTTAAACTTTATTAGTAAACACTTGTTTATTTTTTTGTAAATTTAAGAAAACAAAACTTTATTTATAAATCTTAATCAAAAAAATTAAGTACTAGCTACTTTTTATCTGTAACAAAAAGTTAATTATCACACAAAAACAATTTAAATAGGAATATTATAAAAACCCTTTCTTCCTTCTCTTTTAAAATTTTAATTAAGATTCTTGACATTTGCAAATACTTTGAATTTTATGTGAAATTATTTTTTTTAAAGATGTAAAGAAAATAAACATAGATACTTCATTTTCAAAATAGTTCATTTTTGAGTAATTGTGTAAAAAATATAAGTTTTCATCAAAATTTAAGTGCTTGCTGGTTCTAATATAAAAAATAATAACAAAAATTTTATTAATTTGGGGTTTTATTGGCATTTTGTGCATACACATATTTTATTTAAATATTACTCAAAAATAAATAAATAAACACAAGTAAACTCAAAAGTAAAATATTCAGAAAATATTTATTAAGTAGATAGAAAATTTCATATATAACTTCTAAGTTAAGATAATTATTTAATTTCTATAAGAGAATTCAGATAGCTGACTTTTTGGGAGATTTATTAAGTGTAAATCCTATGCAATACTAGTAAAATAATAGCATCAGAAAATTATATATATAGATTAAAATATATAAATCTACTTTTGCTATATAATCGTATTTTAGTTTATCTAAGAGAAAAAAGGAACAAATAACACATTTTTATGATTGAAAATTCATCAGTATTTTAAAATTAAGCTGACCGCTAATTTGGTTTCTTAATAAAATTTTATTATAATAATTAGTTTTAATCAAATCAGGCTGGAAATCTTTTAACAATAAAAGATTAAATTCTATTTTTAAAGATTTTTTAAAATTTTCTTTTCTTAAAATAAATAATTTGGAATAGAAAACACAGGTTTAATTAATTAAACATTTATCAGCTTTTAAAATCTATCTAAGCTGACTGAAAGTTCTTCTTCTATACAATATTATATATTCACAGTTTTTTTTTTTATAAATCAGGTTGTTATTAATCGATTGTTTGCATGATTTATCATATATTGCTAGCACTTGATTTTTGAAAATCCTAATTATATTTTCTTATCAAAATTTATCACAATTAAATATGTTAATTGCTTTCTTTTTTTGACTAATCATTTAATATTTAAAAAAAGTTGTTTTAATTTTATGGTGTTGTAGTCAATCAATAACATCAATGATTTCCATACATTTAATACTTAAAATTTTAGAAAAGTAAAAAAATAATATTTACAAGTTAATAAAATGTTAAATAGCTTAAATATATTAAGCTTTTTAACACTGAATGTTTTATTTTGTTAGTTACTAGTCATTTTAAAATAAACAAATAAATAATAAACTTGTATTTTAATTATATTGTTGTGGAAGTGGAAGATGTTTGTTAACTTTAACAAACAAATAAATAATAAATGATTATTTAACTTGAATTTTCAATTGTATTATCGTGGAAAATGTTTGTTTACTTTATTAAAGTAAATTACTAGGTTTCTGATAAATATAATATGCATTTATATTCCTTTCTAAATATTAATTAAATTTTGATTTAATAAAGAGATTCTCAAATGGTATTACTAAGTGCAGATATTAATTTCCAAAAATTAAATTAATATAGATCTAAGGAGTTATATTTCATTTTAATTGTATTAAGAAAAAAAAGGACAAAAATCATCATTTTTTTATGGATTTCCAAAGCAATAATGACATTTTTTCATATATTTGTTATAGAATTTTGTTTAAAGCTAATCTTAAAATGCAGTTTTATAAAATTTCCACGATTTAAAAGTGATTATTATAAACTGGCTAAGAAAGAATAAGTTTAAGGTAAAATAAGACTTCTTCTTTTGTTTTCACAGTAAAGAATTAAACAAAAAACCTTTAAAATTTCGAATTTTCAATTTCCTTTCAGTTAAGGCTGGTTTAAAGTAGGCTTGTCACAATTAATTAGTATAACTGGATGGAAACTATAACCAATTTTTGATACTCTGTTTTTCCAAAATTTTAGTTCTGATTTTTACGATATTACCATCTGCGGGAGCACTAAAATTTAATATTTTATGTCATTTTTAGTTAAGTCTTATTGAATGGAAGAGATAAAAACTAATTTATATCACTAATTGTTTGTTTCGAGTAAAATTTTTGAATGTTAAAAAGGCAACTTTTAAATTTTGAACTGGCTTTGTTTTGGATAAATTATCATTTAAATTAATAATAATATAATAAGTAAATAAATAGCTGACCATCTTTTACTATTTACTTTACTATGCAGATCTTCTAGATAAATTAGCTGAAGGTTATTGTAAAATCTCTTCTGATGAGCAAATGGTAATTAAATTGATTTACTGAATAAAAAATATAAAGGGTAATTAAAAAATTAACAATATACAATCAGAATCCATTAGATTCAATATACTAAAAGAAATTATAAATTAAGAAAAAATTAAATACGATTGTTACAACTAACTAAATTTTTCTAGTTTCCTACAAATACTTGCTGTTGACAAGATTAGTTTAGTATAATAATTAATTAAAATAAAAATAATAAACAAATAAATTTAAAACACTAACCAACTAACTAACTACCTTACTAAAAAATAAATAAACTAATAAACTTTCACTAACTAAAAATGATATAGCAAATGGATTAATACATTTCAATGTAAAACGAAAGCTCCTCTGAAATAAGCGACATCGAAACTAGATCTCCTTCTCACTCTTTTGAAGATAATTTAAAATATTATTCTGACATTTATGAAGTACTCTCAAAAGATTAAATTAAATAAGAATATGAGTAGCTATAAAAATCAAACTTTGTTAAAAACATCATTCGCTCCTTTTACCTCTTCATTCTAGAAAGTGGAGATGAAATAGTTATTGAATCTATGTTTGAAAATCAAGAAAAGGGAATCATACAAATAAGAAAGGAGTTTTAGACTTTCACAAGATAAAAAAAATTTAATTAATCCACACTAAATTCTTTGATAAATAGCAAAAGATTTGGCAAGATATTTTACTACTTCCTTAAGTATTACATATACGACTGGGTCATTTCTAGATCTGTCAAAGACTTAAAAAGCCACGTTATTTTTATCACATACTTGAAAAAGTAGCTTGAATAAAACATCGAAAACTAATAATTTGACTGAGAAAATAGTACTTAGCGAGTGAACTTTCGATTAATCTCCTCACTTTAAAAATATTTACAAATCAAAAAAATGTCCATAAGCAAAAAATTATTTACTCAATTCTCATTATATATAAACAAACAAACAATCTTATATATTAAATTAAATTCTATTCAAATTAACTTAACTTAAAATTAATAAGCCTTTGCACTGATTTCATATTATATATTAACATATGCATATTCTTATTTTTAAAATTAATTCAATATCTTACATCACACTTTAAAAATTTTTTCTTAATATTCAAGCATCATATATCATAAATAAATAAATAAAAATACATTTAAAATGCAAACTATTTCCACAACTTTCTATATAATTAAATTGTAGATGAGTAATATACCATAGAACACTTTATTCTAAATTTAGTTAATTTAAATCTTCTTAATATAATATTTAGCCTCCATATCTTGAAAATTATTTAACATTTTTGGTTAATTTTTTCAATTAAGAACTTACATCAAATTGAAAAGAAGAGTGATCAGTATGACATTTTATGTTTTCTAGATATAAATTAATTATTCATTACTCCAAATTATTTACATTTATTAGATGTTTGTTCTAATAGAGTAAAATTGAAGCTTTGACATACAGACGCAGAATATTTAATTCTTTTTCAAATAGCAATTTCATAATTTAGTATTTCTTTAAAATATTAAACACCAATCGAAAACAGCGCACTTAAATAAATTAAACAACATTCAAAAAAAGTAAACAGTAAGCAAAATTAAATTTGAGATAGTCGTCATAATAAAAATTAATTATTGTAAAAAATAATAGCACATCTTAATCAAATCATATATCCCCAATAACTGATAATATCTTATGTTTATGAGTAGTAATAATTTTCATCTAATCCACAAGCATAATATTGAATGCAAAATAATATCAATTATTTTAATTCATTGAAAAGCATTACAAAAGTGTTAAATTTTTTTTATCTATCTAATTTTCCCTCCTATTAAAGTGTAAATAGTTTGTATTAAGTTAATTTAAATTATTTTTACTTCAAAATATTTTAGTTTAGGTATTGATCAATAAATAAATCTATACAATAAGCATGTTTTTAATGAAAAAATCTAAATAGAAATTATATTTATAGCATTTTAGAAAAGCATTAATTTATTTTTACTTAAATTTTGTTAAAAATCAAATTCTTATTTATGTAAACAATCGATTAATAATAACTTTGAATTTACTGTGAAAAAGTAACATAACATGTCATATATACAGCCACTTAAATATTATAAAAGAAATTAAAAATAGAAATTTAATCCATTCAAGTTATTAACTTAGTTAATCTCTTTTAAACAAAAAATTATGTCATTAGTTTATTATTGTAAGGAAAATAGTATAATGCGATATAATTAGCAGGAAAGACAAATATTTACGGGTTTTTTATAATAATCCTCTATTCCCAATAAATAAAATAAAATAAAAACAAAATAGCGAATTACGCAATCAAAAAATTAATTAAATTGTATTGTTGTTTTGTTACTTAATAATGATTTTGAAGAAAAATAAAATATACGCATTTTGTTCATTATATATGCTTTAATTAGTAAACTTTTTTACACCTAGATCAAGTTTTATTTATATTTTTAACTATTCTAATCCCACTTAACATTTATTTATATGTTATTGATTTTTAATTTACTTTTTATTTGTTTATTGATATGTTAGAGAGAAAACATTCAATTATTAAATACTTTTCTATCAAATATTTTTGAATGTAATTGTCTTTATATTTTATTAGGATCTTGGTAGTAAAGTGTAAGTATTTTCTATGGCTATATTTAAAAAAGTAATTCAAAAAAAGAAATGCCAGATTAGATCAAATTTTAAGAAATCAAAATTTCTTACAAAATTTCTATAAATATTACCAAATAAATTCTTCTTAGCAAAATCGATAGCGATAACAAGTATTTTAAGCAAACTTTAAATATATGTTACATAAAATTTTTTAAAATTTTTATCGTTTTAACTAAATAAACCTTAATATATTAAATCTAAATAGAAATGCGTTAATCAAAAATAAACAAAGTAACTATCTTTATAATTCCCACAAATAAATTTACCAACAGTGCATTGGCTTCTAAAATTGAATTTTTAAGTAAGAAAAAATAGATAATATTAAAAACAATTTTTATATAAAAGCTTTTTCTCATATTGTTTATATAAAAATTTAAACAAATATTTAAAATATCAGTGGCATCGCGGTGAATAAGAAAATTATTTTCAAAGTAAGTTTTCACATTTTTTTTAACTATGTAAGATTTTATCTCATATCCACTAAAAACTTTTTTAATTAAAAGAATGTAAGTCTTAGATCAGCATTAAAACTAAATTTTAATAATTTGCAATAATATGATGATTGCTCTTGAAAAAATACTATTTTGCTTTTTTATAAAAGAAAAGGTATGATTAAATGTATTTAATAAAAACAGCTAATATTTCAATCTATGTAAATTTAATAGGTATTTTAATTGAATAGTATACCACCAATATAATTAAAATATTTTATAAAAAAATCTAAATACCTATCTAAAGTATCTTACTCGAACATTTAAACACTCAATAATTCATAAACACTATTATTATTTTTATAAAACAACTAATTAATTTTTATAGGTTTCCTGAACAGATTTGAAACGCACTTGGCTATTTTAATTTCTATGGACTTTCTATTCTAATTAATTTATAAATTGGTAAATTGACAAATTTATATTTTTATTTTCACTTTAATGAATATGCTCAAATTCCCAAATTATCAGATATATGATCTCAAATACGAAATAAATTAAATATAATTCGATTCTATTTTCATTAATTAATCTTTTTATGCAAAGTTTAATAGATTTAAAATGTATAATTTATTCTTCAAAGATTTGATAAATTTCGCCATTATTAATTGATAAATTTAAAGATATAAATATTAGTTACTATTTTAAGCTTAAAAGATAGCTTTTCAAAATCAAAGGATTAATAATTTTATTATTTTTCCTATCCAAAATCCTTTAAATAAAAGTGCAAACAGTTTTTAAAAGTGACCATCTAAAATATAATCAAATTTATTAAAAACTAACTCGCAATTACCATACAAAAAAAAGTAATATTTAAAATTTATGACTTACACATTTTATTAAATGTAATTGAATCTAAATTAAATTTTATTCTTTTTTAATGATATAAATTAAATGAGTCATCTTACCTATTTAAAGAGATGATGATTAAAAAATTAAATTATCATTTTTATGCTTGTAATATAAATTAAAAATATAATTAATATACATTTTCTCAATTAATTTACTATTTTTGGTCTTTAATAATATTTTTAATATTTCATTACTTTAAAAATAAAAGAAAAAAAAAGATTTTATTCAAACTTCATCTATTTTCATTACTTTTAATTACCATAATTTCTTTTTATTTAATATTCTAAGCTAATAAAAAAATTAAGAAATCACTAAAAAATATCAAAAATTTGTTTATTAGTTTGTTTTGTTTTGTTTGGCTATTAATTTAGGAGGATTTAAGCTTTATAAAAAGTGTAAGAATTAGGATATTTTTATCCCAAGCTCATTTAAAAATTAATATTTTTGTAAGGACAAATAAATCAAATATAAAATGAATGAATTGCATTTTCATAATAAATATATGCTATTATAATCTTATTATATTTAGATAATTTGTAGTTTATTTTAAGTTTTTAATGTAGTTTACATACTACTTATTTAATTTCCAATAATAAGTTACTCTCCATCATTAGAAAAAGCCAAAGAATATATTCCACTTTATATATTATTAATTAAACTTATAAGCTAGAATTAAGACGAGGCATTCCAAATACCACAAGTACCATCATAGCTTCCAGTTGCTAAATATTTACTTTATTTTGAAAAATTTAGTGCATAAACACCGGATTTGTGGAATTCAATGCTTTTTACTAACTTAAATTTGTCTCCGATTCGCCAAATTTTACATGTAGAATCTGAAGATCCTGAAGCAAAAAATTAATCATTATCTGAAAACGCAATGCAATAAACATGAGATGTGTGCCCATCTAATTGTTATAAGAGTTTAAATTCATTTTATGCGTTCCATATTTTACAAGAATTATCGTATGATCCAGTTGCAAAGTATTTGCCATATGATGAAAATGCGACAGAGCTAATAGGAAAATTTTAATTGAAAGAGTTTTGTATTGTTTATAATAATTAAAAATCATTTAATAAAGACCATATTTTAAAGCTACTATCCTTTGATCCTGTAATTAAATATTGCCCATCAGGTGAAAAAGAAACAGAACTAACGCTGCTAGAATGCCCAGTAAGTGTTTTATGCAAATAAAAAGAATTCTCAACTTACCACACTTTGCATGTCTTGTCTGATGAAGCTGTAGCCAAATACATGTCATCAAAAGAAAAAGCAGCTGCGAAAATATGCGAATTGCTATCAAATTATTCCCCTTTTTCAAATTATTTATTTAATTAACTCTCTGCATTTAGATCTAAAATTATTTGGTTTTTTTGTAAACTTGAAAGGAGCAAATCAACTTCTTCACTTGAACTATTTCTTTGACTAAAATTTTGACGATTATGACTTATTCGTGCTTCTTTAATTTTTCTATACTAATCTTAGCTGTCCCAAACTTCGCACAAATCCTCTGAAGTGCTTGTAACAAGGTACCTGCCATCTTTTGAAAAACAAATTGAATATATAGCTCTTCGATTACATTTGATTTGTTTAACATTTTAGATTCTTGAATATTTATTCAAAATTTTAAACTAATCTTTATCTGACATGACTGCTAAGTAATCAGCATCGATAGAAATAGAAACTTTATTTAAATATTCTGAAATGTGCTGTATTTTTTAAATATCTTTAAAGCCCTAATCTATCTTGATTAAAGAGCATTCATTTTAATCATCAAATTCATGAACTGCAGCAATATAGTTGCTATCCTGAGAAACAGTGAGAGATTTATACAAATTTAAATCATTTTCTTGAATAAAGAGTGTTTAATAATTGAATTTGCTCAATATTTCATTTCCATGCAGAGTACATATTATTAAATAGTTACCATCTGAAGAGTAAATTATAGAAACTATAGTGAACTTAAATTATTTTTTATAAATGAGCTTCAAATCTGATAGGTTATAAATATTTAACACATTATCTTTCTCAGTGCAGCAAGCTAAATGAGAACTATCGGCAGATATAGAAACTATAGAAATTATCTTCATATTTTTTAATTTATTTTATGTTAAAAAAAATTAATTTTGAGATTAAAATAAAAAAATTTTATTGGTAAAATTTAGTTTTAAGGAATCTAAAAACATTAAAAATGCTTGAGAAAATTATAAAATAGAAAAATTTTAAATATTTATTTTTTTTTCAAATTTGTTTTTAAAATTAAAATAAAGCAATAAATTTTATTGATGAAATCAATTACTAAAAGAAAGATTTATTCATTTAAAAAAAATAAACAAATCTTGATGAAAAATAAAAAATATTTGTAATAACTTAAATGAAAATTAAAAAAAATATTTAGTTTTTTTTTACCTTGTTGTTGTTATCCTTTAAAGTAGATTATAATTTAAAACCTTCTTATGTATTCCATATGTTGCACTTTTTATCTGTGGAAGAAGTGACTAGATATTTGCAATCTTGCGAAATACAAATTTAAATGATAGGTCCGAAATGATAAATCACATAATTTGTTAGTTTGAAATTGTTGTTTTGTATTTCAATCACCCTACAGGTTTTATCTTCTGAACTTGTAATTATATACTTTCCGTTAGAAGAAAAAATTACTTAATTTATCGACTTTGAGTAGACTTTTATTTTAAAAAGGGATTTGTAATTTTTTGTATTCCAGATTTTACAATATCCCTCTGATGTTCCAATCGCAAGGTACTTATTATCTGGTGAGAATTGAGAGGATACATAATCTCCTTAATTTATTTTATTTTTATTGATGGAAATATACATTTTTTCTATATCCCAGAGCTGAAAGGAAAAATCTTAATCACAAGCGACAAGGATATTCCTATGTGGATAAAATGTAAGATATGTTACACAGCTGTTAGAACAATCTATTGTTTCAAGCAAATCAAAATCTGTGCTCACACTCCAAAGCTTACATGTGAAATCTATTGAGCTAGTTGCAAAATACTATCCATCTCCTGAAAAGGCAATAGAACTTATTTGTTAATCGTGACAAGTTAATGTTTTTTTTTGTTACTTTTCTAATAGCCAAATTTGGCACTTTGTTTTTTCAAAAGATTGGGCAAAATACTTTGAATCTCCTGAAAAAGCTATCAATTTGTTAGTGTCTGTGTAGTTATTTTCTTTGATTATGATTTTACTTTTATCAAATAAATCAAAAACTGTTAAGGAATCTTCTAGGCAATAAGCTAAAAGAAGTCCGTTTTTAGCAATAGCAGCAGCTGAATTTATCAATGGGTGATTAATTAATATCTAAAAGTCATTTTAAACATCAAGTATATAGTATCTCAAATCTGACACTATGATCAAGTATTCTCTGTTTTTTTTCTTGTAAAAATCTAGGATACATTTGTTGTTTAGTTCTATAGGGATTTCACATTTATGCTTGAAAAAATTTTTAGCATTTCTTATGTAGCAAGTTTTGTCTGCAAAACAGACTGCGAAATATAATCCATCAGAAGAAAAAGCTATTTAAGTGGAAATCAATGTATTATTATTGAATTGGTCTTAAAGTTGATAATTTTAACTTGTGTTGAAAAATTTGCAGCTATCATCTAATGAGTAAAGAGCTATATTTTGCTCATCAGGAGATATAGCAAAAGCTTTTATTTCATTCAAAGGATTTTATTGTTTTTAGTTTAGTAATTCAAACGAAGAATCAAACAATGATAGCTAAAATTAGTTATAAGCTAAAAGATATTAGCTATCATTTGTGAATTACAAAGTTTAATTAATTGCTATAAAATTCATAACTTTTATAATAAATTCATTTTTTTCAAGAGCTTTACTAGTATTAATTTAACTAACTGTAAGAGATTGTGATTTTGTAGAGTTAATTGGCTAAATGAACTCTCTAATTTAACTACTATTAGATGAAGAAATCACAAGGTATTAATCATTGTTAGAAAAAGCAAGAGAAACGATATCACTTGCGCTTTAATTATCAATTTCAAACTATTCACTTAGAACAAATTAATTTTAAGATTGCTTTAGTACTTTTAGCTTATTTTGCTAAGCAACTAAAAGGTAAGTATCGTCAGAAGAAAATGCAGCTACTATTTTTTATTCTGCTTTGAAAAACAATGATGTCACGTTATTAAAATTGTCAGAGACCTTTCTAATTTCTAATTTATTTTCTGTATTCGCTAAAAGTAAATAGTTTCCTGTTGAAGAAAACATTGCCTTATTTCCTTTAACATTTTTAATGAAATTGAAACCAAATTCAAAAGACCCGTAATAGCATGAACTAGTTCCAGTTAAAACAAGAATTTGGTTGTATGTTGAAACACAAATATATTTAATTCCCTCTGAAAATTTTTTCTAATTTTCATTTCTGAACGTCCTTTTATTTACTTAAATTAAATTATTGTCAGAATGCAAAATTAAATTCCCACTACACATGCACAAATCATATAAAGGTTCCTAGCTTATGCTTTGAGATCTTACAATACTAAAATCGCCTTTCGATATTCTAAACTCATTTAAATATCCTGTTAGGGATAAAGCATAAATGGAATTTCCTTCTCCTATCACTACGCTTTTGTATGAAAAAGTATTTTTAGAATTATATTTTAATTAAAAACTATGGAAGTTTGCATTTTTTGTATTTGCATAAATAAAATTTAAGTTTGAGCCTTTAAGATAGGCTTCACTTAGGTTGCAGTAATCAAGATTAATGCTTTCATCTTTTTATTGAGGGATATACGCTCTTGAAAAAGAACACCTAGAGAGATTTAATCTAGGAAACTAGAAATTTGATAGAAAAAGTACAGAAATTAAATTTGATGCTCCAATATCTATTAAACTAATATCGTTGCTATTTTTGATGATAGATCGTTTTAAATATTAAATGTATCTATTATTATGCTAAAGAGAGTCTAAATAGTAAGTTTCTCTGAAAAACTAAGAATCAATGTCTTTCTGAATTAATTTATAAAATTTCTTAAGGATTTAGTACTCTGTCTAATTTTTTCCTGGGTTGATGATAGTCTTTTTATTAATGTTGAACTTTTCCAATTCACTCAAGGAAAGTTTGAATATCGATTCCTTATGAATATCAAAATCTGTCTTCATAGCTCTAGCAGCAAAGTATTCATAAATTGATTTATGTTTAAATTCAATCAAATCCAAATAAAATAATTTATCATTTTCATCTTCCTAACTCAAAAGATTGACATAATCTTAAACATTACTATCATTAACTCCGTTGTTTCTGATACTTTCTAATGATTAAAATCTTGTTATAATATTAGAGTTCTCATAAAGTAATATTTTTTATTTTAAATCCTCTTTCTGCTCATCATTTAATATTGATTAAACGTTCTCACTTAAGCTGAATATGTTCTTAATCTAAAAGAGTCTCACTTACAAGAAATTTTTTTTCTACAAATTTGAAAACATGTGAATAGCGATCGTTTAAAAATAAGTAAAATAGTTTGATACAATCATAGTAATTAATTCCTCTCTATTGTAAATTTTAGATTGAATTTTATAATCATCGATAAATGATATCGCTTCTCTTCTAAATTACTATGAAAAAAAATATTCTTGCACACTTATTTAGTCAGTGATTTACTCAATTATGTCTCTCTTTGAATTGTCCTAAATTTCTGCTATGAGTCTTGTAAATAAGTATAAGTTTATTGGTAAATAAAGTAGCTTCTCAATTTGCTTATTCTATAGGCACTCCTCCATTACTTTTATTTTCTCTAATTCTAGCTTCTTTTGCTATACCTCATCATATTCTTATTGAATACTTAATTTCCTAAAGAATTATTGATAATAAATTTCTATATCTTTCTTCTGAAATTCCAGCAACTTAACTAAAACGTATGAGGATTCAATTACATTGAAATTATCATCTTTAATGCTAAAACAAAGACTAGCATCATCTACTGAGAGCTTTTCTTACCTAGAAGAAACAATAACGAGGGTGTTTTACCATTCACTTATTTTTAATTATGAGTAAACATTAAAGTAATTTCCTGAATACTCATCAAAGCCATCTAATAAAATCAACTTATTCCAATCAGATTACTTGAGCTTCTCGATTTGTTCAATAGGGAAATCAAAAGATTCTAAATAACTCTCTATTGATGGATTTTAAGCATCTAATGAATTGCATTTTATAAAAATTGGCAAAATACTTAATCCATCTTCATCTTCTTCCTTTAGTCTTGCCTCTATCTACCTTAAAAGCATGGATTTTCCTGCACCACCTTCAGCTAAAATTCCTAAAATTCTGCAAGTTTTTTTAACTTAGCAAACAGTTTCATCTGTACTGCTTTAAAGACTATCAGATTTTAAAAAGAATTCAAAAATATCATCAATCGCGTTAGTAAGCTTTTGATCCTCCTTTTAAGATAGTTAGCCTTTGATAACAGTGATTTTCTAATTCACATAGAATTGTATAACTTCAAGTAAAACATCATCTTTTTATTCAATATTGCTTTCCTATCTTCTATGGACTTCATCCTCCCATTTTTCATAAAGGCATCTAATTATTTACTTTTCAATATCTGACTTATTTCTGATTTTTTCTTGAACAGATTCTAAGTGGTATTCTTACATGGAATGAATTCTCTAAATAGCATAATTAATAACGTCTTAACTTAGCTAGTCATCAATAATGACTTGCTTTGCGATATCAATTAGCTTCTAGTCTTTTTTAAAGAGTATTTTTACTCTATCGTCTTTTTCTGATAAGAGACTATGAATTAAGTGAATGGTGATTTGCTGCTACTCCTCTTGTTTAAATGGGATTTTTCCTAAAATGATTCTATACTTTATTAGAATAGAATTAGCCAAAAATCTAAAAGTTGTGTTTTTAACAGCAAAGCTATAATAACTCTGTTATTCTTTTTATTTATCTTTATTGTTTGATCTTTACAGTAAGATATCAACAAAGTTATGCATCAAATCAGCTACATTTTTGATACCTTCAAAATCAGACTTGCTACTCTTTTCGAAAAGTACTACATCAAACAAAAAGTTAATTTATGCTAAAATATAAAGCATGTATTAATCAGAAAGTTTTTTTTCTTTAAAAATAAGATATTGCTCTATAAAGAACTCAATTTCTTTTTCAGCTGGAAGTCGAAGAAATTCTCCTTTAAATTTATCAATTTTTGTTTTATATAAGTTGAATAGAAAGAGAAATTTCATATTTTTAATTTGAATTCCATCTACTTTTACAAATTGATTACTTTGATATTCTCTTATATCATTTAATTCTTTGCAAACCTTCAAAACAAATTCGACAATATCAGGAATAAGCTCTACAACAGCTCCTGTGTGTATTGCAACAACAGCTTTTAAAGAAAAAACAACAGCATCTATCATAAAATCAGCAAGTTTTTCATAACCTGTTAAACTAGCTGTATCTAATCCTACTCTATTTCTGTTTATGTCTAAATAAAACTCTGAAAGAAAAACCAAATCTAGGCAAGGTTGGGTCTTAACTTTAAGCTTTAAATATTATATAAAATACTCTATTTCCTTAATATGTTCTTTAATATCTTTTTAAATAAATTAGTCAGTGTTGACTAAACCTGTTAGCATATATTACTAATAGACCTAAAGAATATGAAATATCATAATCCTGTAGCCCTCTGAATTCTAGGCAATTAAAGGTTTGAAATTATATAAACACTTAGTGAACATCTGATGCATTTCAAATACTTAAGCGCTTAACTAAATATCTTTCTAAATCTTCTTATCATCTATGTATTTATCATACTTTTTTTGAAATTCTTAATGAATATTTTCTCCAAATCTATACATTCTAATAATTGAATCTTATGGTTAATTTGTTTGTGTAATGTGATTTTCTTTAGTTAATAGTTAGTTACTTTATGTAGTTTTAAAATTTTGAGTTTAAAATCTATCTAATTCTTTTAGCTTTTTCTCCTTTTTGCTAAATTTGCTATTTGTACAACCTCCTCCTCCATTTAGTTTAAATAAAGTATTATCTTAAAGCTAATATGATCTATGAATAACTTTAAATATTGTTTTTAAAATGCTATCGTCTATGGTGTTTTTTTACAACACATTAGTAAATTTTAATTTATCATTTTGTTTGATAAAAGTGCTAAAAAGTTAATCATTAGATTTTATTATAGAAATTTTATTTATTTTCAAATCAATACAAATAAATGTCTTTTCATTTAAGTTTATTCTAAATTTGTTTGGAGCAACTTTCTATAAGTTAATCTATAACTATAAATTATCCTTTTTAAAGAGCGTCTAATTTATATCAAAAGACAAAAGTATTTATTTTATTTTTTGCTAAAATCTTAAAGAAGGAATAGTCTATTGTTAAGATTTTTTAATTTTGCATTTGCTTAAATAGGTAATTTCCATTTTTTTAATTTTGGTATGTTAAATCAATTCTTTACCACTTTAATTTATCTTTTCTTTGTTTTTTAATTAAATGCTTAAAAATCCAGTAAGTTGGCAAATTGAAGTTTTTAAGTGTTTAAAATAAAATTTATAAGTTGTTATAAAGTTCCTACTGACCCAAAATATTTATATACCATATCTTGAATAAGTATATTTTGCTGAGTTAACATAATTATTAATTTTTTTTAATAAAATGAAACACATTGATTTATTTTTTCATCACTTTCTTATCTTAATATTAATAGAAATTAAAATTATTTTAACAATTTAATAAAATATTTATTTAAATAGAAATTAATTCTAATAAAAAAATAATTTAATTTACATTTTAAAATCAATTTAAAATTTATTTTTTTCACTTTAAAAAAATTTAAATTCATTTAAAATGTTAAGGATTTTTTGATTAAAGAGAATTTTAAATTTTTTGCTGAGTTTTTAGAAAATATTTTCATTAAAACTCATTTGAAAGATAAGCAAAATTTGAAAATATATTATTATTTAATTGTCAATTTAAGATTAATCAATATTTAAATTTTAATTACTGATTTCTATGTGATTTATTATGATGTATTTGTTAGCCTTTCTATATACGAATTGCTTGGTAAATTTTGCTTTTTTCAAAATTGCTTTGAAATTTTAAAGATTTGTTTAAATTTTTAGAAAATATATGTTTTAAATTGTGATTGTTTTTTTACACTTTGTATAGAAAATATAAGAAGTTTTGTAAAAAAAATGAGTTCTTTAGATGAAGGTTTAAAATAAATGAGCCAATAGGAATATAGAAACGAAGAATAAAATCAGGAAGGCAATTAGGAGGATTTAAACAATCAAAATGATCACAATTTAAATAATAATGAATTAGATAGCCTGTCTTCTCCTCCATCAGACAATTATAATGAAGAAGAATTTGAGTAAGAAGATGATATTAAACCTGACATAAAAATATATTAAAATGCATCACAAAATAACATATCGTAGACATAAAGGATAAGTTAAACTTAACTACCATAGCAGTAAGGAGGAGGGGGAAAAAGGAATTCGTCTCTTTTGCAAAAAGAACACTATCATCAAAAAAATTAAGTATTAATTTAATTGATTTGATCATTTTAACATAGAAAAGAACGATGCTCATCTTATAAATAGGAGATCATATAAAAACTGATGGAGAAAAAGAAAAAAGAATAAGAAGAAAAAGAAAAAAAAGAATTGAAATTAAAAAAAAGAGAAGATAAATTGCGTAAGCGCATGCTTGAAGAAGCAGCAAAGATTAGAGAGCAAAAGGAAGTAAATTTAGAATCATAAACTGAATAAAGCGATCACTCAAACGTCACAAAATCAAAAAAACTCAAATTCAAGAGTGTATAAGATATTTACTAACTTGTAGTCATATAAGGAAAATATCAAAGAGAGTAATTAACAGATAAGTAGCAGTAAGAACTCAACGAATTTGAAAGTAGGCTGAACGAAGAAAAAACAACGATAATTAAGATGCAATAAGTTTACAGATCACGTCAAATTACTTTTTTAGAGGAGTTAAAGAAAAAATAGGAGAAAAAAAAGCAAGAAGAGGAATAACAGAAACTAAAGCAGGAGAAAATACAAACCAAATTAAGGGAATAATATGAAAATGTGAATTCTAATCTCTATGCTGAAACTGAGTTATTCAAGTAAAAAAAGCAAGAAATTACCAAGGTCAGCACTTAGAAATAGCTTGTAAGAGCATCATCTGCAGAAGGTAAATGAATTATACATTTCAGCTAATTTTTATTTATTTATTTGTTATTTATTTTGAATAATATATAACAATAATTTATGTTTAAGAGAATAAATAAATAAATAATTATACTGTTACAACCTTATGTTTTGATAAATTACTAATCATTTGTATTTTCTATATTGAATAGGAGATAAAGAGAAAGATGATAAGAAGGATATCGCCAAAAAAATATAGTAGAAGAATCAAGAGTATATTGAAAAGTTGAAAGAAAAAAAGAGATAAGAGATTGCTAAAGAGGAAGAGGAAAAGAAGAAAAAGGAGCAACTCAAAGAAAAAATGAAAGATTTTGTCCTTGTCAATATCAAAAAAGACATTGAAAATGGAGTTTTTTTTGTTGATGTTCCAGAAAAAAAACCTAAAAAAGAGAAGAAAAAGAATGAATGTATTTTTTTACTTTAACTATTCTAATAATATTAAAATTTTGGAAAATAAATTATAGCTAAAGAAGATAACATTTAAATTACTTCTCCTAAGTTAAATTCTACCAAGTCTTTATCTTCATAAATTACAAGAAAAACAAACGATGCTAAAAAAGTAGAAAAACTCCCAAAAATTAAAGATTCAAATAAGGAGAATCATTCCAAAGAAAGAAATGAAGATAATGAAGAAGGGGATGATGGAGAATATGAATGTGACGAAGGTGATGAAGGTGCAAGCGATGGAGAAGATGAAGATGATGGAAATGGTAGTGCCATTAAAAGAAAGCTTAGAAAATATCCCTTTATCACTGATTTAGAGTTATGGAAAAAAAAACAAAGATTGCCTGCTGACATTAAAGTAAATTTACTTTTTCATTTATCTCTCTTAAAATTTAATTTTCAATAAAAATAGGTGTTCATTGTTACTGGAGGCTATCACGACATATCAAAAGCTTTGAAAAAAAGAGGTTGGATTGCAAACCCTGATACAAAAAGTCCTTGCTACAATTTCAGATGGAGCTTACAAACTAAGGACATAGATTATGAAAATTTAAAGGATTTCTAAATAGTTAATCACTTTTAAAAGAGTGCATGTATCACAACCAAAGTTGGGTTATGCAAAAGTCTAAGAAATCTAGTTTGGCATGAAAATGTAGATATCGATACATTCTATCCTAGATGTTTTGATTTAAACGATACTGAAGATTTCGAAAATTTTGTCGAAGAGTTTAAATCCTCTAAGGTAAATAAATAAATAAATAAAAAAAATTATTTTTTCTTAATAATTTAAACAAACTATAACAGGCTGAGAGCATCCTAAAGAGATACATGAGAATGTACTTTGAAAAAGATCCAGATATTGAAAAAATAAAAAAGTAGGCTGTAATTGCATTTAATGTTTGTGAAAGAAAAATGAAAGAATTAGATGAAATTATAGATGATCCAGTAATAAATAGTTATATTTTTTTATAAGTGTTTGTTATAATTTTTTTTAAAGAACTCAATATAGCTGATAACTAAAAAAGAGTGGAATATACTCTCAGCTGATGAACTTACTGAAGAAAAGCTCGCTTAAAAGAAATATGAGTAATGGCTAGAAAGGATTGAAGGTAAAAATAAATAAAAACCTAAAAAGAAAAAGAAGAAATCAAAGAAGGATAAACAATAAGGAGATACAGAGAAGAAAGAAGAGGAAGAAGGAGAGGCTGAAGATGAAGAAGAGGATGAAGAAGATGAGGAAGAAGAAGAAAAGCAAATGGATGAATTCACTTTGAAGGTTCATCAAATCCTTAAAAGGTATAAAGTAAAGTATCCTTAAGATTGCTTGACAGGTGAAGATAATGTCTGGATTATAAAACCTGCTGGACTTTCAAGAGGCAGAGGAATTACGTGCTACAATAATTTAGTTGAAATTCTTGATCATGTTAAGTCTAAGGAGTCATAATGGGTAATTCAGAAATATATAGAAAATCCCTTGATCATAAAAAAAAGAAAGGTAAATAAATAAATTGATTTTTAGAAATTAATAAAAAAATTATTTCTTAATAATATTTTTTAGTTTGATATTAGAGTTTGGATTCTTGTCACTGATTGGAATCCATTGACTATTTGGCACTATACAGACTGTTATGTGAGATTCAGTGTTGATGATTATGATACTGAAAACCTCCAAAATAAATTTACTCACTTAACAAATAACATGGTTTCTAAGCTTAAGTAAAGGGATGAAAAAGACGATATAACAGAGTTAGGAAGCATGTATTTCAAAGAGAATTTTATCAACTATTTAAAAGTATTAATTTTATTTATTTATTTTAGACTTTACTTTAATCTACTTTTAAGGAAAAAGAAGGATATGATGTATTTACAGATAAGATTGAGCCTTAGATTGTGAGGGCAATTATTATGTCTTTGAAGAGTGTTTAGGACAATATAGAAAATCGTAAAAATAGTATTGAAATGTATGGGTATGATTTCATGGTTGATGATTTGTACAATACTTGGCTCATTGAAATTAACTCTTCTCCCTCTATGGAATACTCAACAGTAATAAATAAATATTTAGTTGATTCATAAATTTGAATAATTATTTTTTAATTATTTTAGCCAGTGACTGAAAGGTTAGTCAAAGCTGTTTCTGAAGATATAGTAAAGGTGGTTATAGATTATGGAATGGAAAAGAGTAAAAAAGCAAGGAAAAATATAGAAACAGGGGCTTTTAAGAGAATATATAAAGGCAAATATGTTGAAGAAAAAACAAATGTAGTCGGTCTAAATTTAATATGTGAAGGTGTAGCATTAAAAAAAGGAAAAAAGAATTCAAACGTTGCAAAAGTTAATAATCTAAAACCTAATTTCTCATGAAAATAATCAGTTAATAAACTGATCATTAACTTATGAAGAATGAGAATATAAGGCATTCATTCTTTGAAATTAAAGTACTGAACCCAATGCAAAAATAAAAATAAATTTAATTAATTAAAAAGTATAATTTAAAAATATATATCCTAATAATTTTATTAATATATTATTGTGTTTGTTAAGTTTCTCCTTTCAGATTTTTTGATAACAATCAAGATCATCTAATTAATAATTATTTTAAAAGTAAAAAGTGTAAAATTCTATTTAATTTTCTCTATAAAATTTTTATATTTCAAAAATAAACTAATTTATTTTTCAAGATTAAAATATATAGCAAGTATTTGATATTAAAGTATCTAATCCTGGTAAAAATAAATAAAATAAATTTTACTAATTAAAATGTATAATTTAAAATATTAATTTTATTAATATATTCTTGTGTTTGTTAAGTTTCTCATTTCAGATTTGTTCATAACAATCATGATCATCTTATTATGATTTTAAATAGCAAAAAGTGTAAAATTCTATTTAATTTTATCTTTTAAATTTTTTTTTTTCAAAAATAAACTAATTTTTGAATATGAAAAAATAAAGCAAGTATTTGATATTATGTATCTAATCCTAGTGAAAATAAAATAGATTTAATTAATTAAAATGTACAATTTAAAAAATATATTTTATTAATATATTATTGTGTTTGTTAAGTTTCTCATTTCAGATTTTCTGATAACAATTAAGATCATCTTATTATTATTTTAAAAAACAAAAATTATTAAATTCTATTTAATTTTATCTGTTAAATTTATTTTTTTTTAGATTGATTTACTGATTTACTAATAAAAATTTTTAATTTAAGAGAAACTTTTATTTTTAATAATTATTTTATATTTGCAAAACAAAATTTTATTAATTCGTGAAATATATTTTTAAAATTTTTAAATTATGAAATACAAATTAGTGAATCAAAGCAATTTAATTTTTTTGTTTACATTTTTGGAAACTTTTTTTATATTTTAAATTTATTACTATTTATTTGATTATTATCAATTTTTTGTCACCGCTTTTTTTTTGTTTTTTTAATTATTAGGTTCTTAGCTAGTAATTTTTTTCTTTTGAGGAATATCAGTTTTTTATACGGAGGACTTATTTTATTAAGGTTCTTGAATAGTTTTGGTATCATTTTATTCCTTTTAAGGTTGAGGTTTTTTTTAATTTAGTTTAGATGAGGATGAGAAAAAATTAGTTATTGTGTTTTTTTGGGTGTTATTTTTTATTGGTTTGTTTTGGTTTGAGTCTTTTTAGCTTGCTTCTTTCTTTAGAGTTGCTACTTAAGCTCCAACAACATTATTGTTATTATTTTATAATTCTTATTATTACCTGTTAAGCAGAGATGTAAATGAAACTTAATCGAAATTAGTATTTGATAACTCTTTCATTGATCCTTGAGAGTAAAACTCTTCAGGCTTTTAGATTTTAGAAAAATTCATAGATTCTGTCATATTACGTGCTTATAAAGATACTAATTCATAATACTATTCTGGAAGGATAAAGTCTAACTTGAAAGTTTTCAATGTAGAATCTTTTTTGAAATTTGACCATTTTTAGACTATCAAATCTAATGCAATTTCGCATAATAAGACAAATTTTTCTTAATAGTTAAATTCTTTGTTGGAATTTATCTTATTATTTAAAGCTTCATTTGATATCTTAGCATTCGATTATTTTAGCTTGATATTTGATAGTTATTAAAAGTTAATTCCATTAAATAAACTAGATAATTACTACTTCGGCTAGGCTGCTTACTTTAGTCTAAGAATTATTGAGCTAAGCAATTCAAAGCTTTAAGGATACTAAGATTTGTTTACTAGCAATATTTCTAAGCTTTCATTCATATTTTTGATCAAATTTTTCCACAAAGGTTTAGCTTGATTTAAATACAAAGGGTGGTTCATATACAAGTAAAACAAATAAATTATGTTATATTAAAGAGATCTAGAATAATCTTTTTCTTCATTTTATTAAAGTGAATAAAAGAAATTTTAATGTCTTTCTGAATAAGCGCGAACAATTGTGCTAGATAAAATTTAAAGAGATTCTTAAGTGTCAGAGAAATACAAACACAAGGAAATTAAATAAGGATGAGGTAATTTATTTGTGTTTTCTGCTATTTTGTGGAATAAACATCTTCTTACTATTTGATCTGAGTCACTGCATCCCAAAATGCAAAGAGATATCAGAATATCTTCAGTTATGTAAGGACTTTGTTTTTAAGAGCTGCTATTGAGTATTTAATTATTATTGCCTAAAATTGGATTTTGAAAGCTGCTATCATTTAAAAATTTTTTGGGGTTTTATTGCATGTGCATTTAAATCTCTATCAAAAAATATGCAGATATTATTTTTAAGTAATTTTCATCTGAAATTTTAGATGAAGGTGAGAATTCTTTTGGTGACAACATAGCTCTTATTAAGAGAGAGAGGAATCTATTTAATTGAACTGTATTTAAAAATCTCTCAGAATCTACTATCATAGAAACAATAGTTTTCATAATTAAATAAATCTAAATATTTTGATGGCAAACAAACGAAACATTTCCCCATGCAATAGGTGTAGATATACTGTTTTCAAGAATATCGATCATTGACTAAAAAATCTCTTAATCACTCTTTGAGGTATTAATATCTATCATTTAATTTCTAATTTTCATTGAATAATAAATATAGCATGTGTTATAATAAACTTGTTATTTGTGTTTTGTAATATTTTCAACACTGTTTCTCACATTTACTGAAAATTTTTTACATGAGCAAATTTTATCTAATTTCTCTAAAATTTTTATAATTCTTTTTTACTATTTAGGTATAAAGTATCCGCTAGCCATGTCTTTCTCAAGTATTTCAATCATTTCTTCAGGATTTTTTCTAGAGGGAAATTCTTATTCAATATCAAGCAGTGAGAGCAAGTGAATGTTGTAATCAATAATTTTAATTTAGTGCTACTTAAGATTCATTTTACCTGGATACAAGCTAATTAAATTTTTCATATCCTTATAGTTATCAATAAAAAATTCAATGAACTAACTTGTAATATGCTTTAAAAGGTCTTTATCTTATTAACTTTACTTTTTGACTGTTATTAAAAAATAAAGAAGACTTTCATAGACAGTGATATTCCCTTCTTTAAATTATTTAGAAGATTCATTGAAAATAGTTTATATTGTTTTTTAGTTAAAGAAATTAAAGAAAATAATTTTGATAAATTAATCTCCCATTTTTAATTCAGGATCAATAGAAACAATTTTTTAAAATATTTGCATTATCTGTTAAAATTTAGATGATTGTTGATCATTTTCATCATGCATATCTGATGTTATAATATTATTGTACTGGCTATATAAATCTTGAATTATTTATTTGTGTTTTCTTAGTGTGCTGATAAATAATTCACTCTTAAAGTTTTTGAAGCTTTTCATGTATTTTCCAAAATATTTCAGACATTTTTATTTGTTAAATAATTCATCATCCTCAACGTATATTATATGCTCAAAAATAGCTTAAGATTTCATTATTATTTTATAAATCCTTTCTAATCCTTTATGAATTAAAAAACTCTTTTTTTAAAAGATATCTAAATCCATGCTCCACTAATTTCCTTTTAAGTAAAAATAAAACCAATAAATTATTTATCAATAAATTTTGATAAAAATATTACCAAGCACTTTATAAATAAATTCTTCATATTTTATAGAATCAGAAAGCCTTAAATTATTATTTATAGTCTTTAAATCAAAATATTCTTCTTAGTAAAAATACTGATAAGTATTAAATACAAACCCAACCAAAGCTTAGAAAGGGTTGTATTTTGTAGTTGGCAAAGGGAATATTATAATTTAAAGTACATCTAAAATACAAAACAAATGATCTTTTTTCTACTATAAGCATTCAATAACCAAGCATTTAAGGACGAAAGTATGAAATTCGTTAGCTCTCTCAAGTTACTTCTAAAAAATATAGCTTAATCTGTCATCAAAAGTCTTTAAATCAATAATTTCCTCTTCACAAAATTACTTTGCAACAATAAAATAGTACATATCTCCAAGACACTGCTTGCAATACATAATAATATCCAAATCTTAACAATCGTTACTCTTGAAAATATTCAAAAATTCTTCATAAAAAAACTAACTAAAAGTGTCACTCTTTTAAATCGATACATCCTTTAAAATTTTTTATTTAAAACAAATTTAATTAATAAAATTTATCAAAATAAATTATTTAATTTGTTTTAAATAGAAGTTAAATCTATTCCTAATACATTTAAAAGATAAAACAATTTATGTTTTAATAAATAATTTAACAAGGTAACCTATCTTTAATATGTATTATAAATGAATTTAATGGACTTTTGAAATTCTTTTGAATTACCAATATAGATTTTTTAAAATTGGTTTAATAAAATTGTATTGCATTAATAAAATAGCTGAAATCTATCTTTTCACACACTTCTTAAATTAAATTTTAATTTAAAAATGAAAATTGATCAGAAGCCCATTCATTAGCATCAAAGTTATGTTATAAAAAAATAAATTTCTTTTTATTTGCAATCTTTTTATTAAGTTTACTAATTTAATAAAAAATGTAAAATTTATTGAATTACATGAATCATATCAACTATTTTTCTTTTATCTTCAAAAGGAAGCAATGAAGAGCTATCTAAAAGACCCAATAAGGTGCTCTCTGCTTTTACCACGTAATTTGATACCTTGAATGTTTCTGTTTCCATTGAAAGTGGAGCTTTTTTAAGCATTTAATAATTTTGGTTGTTTTTGATAAATTTAAGAGTTAATCTTAGAAGATCCTATCGGAATTGTGCCATATTTTTCATGCTCAGAGAATTCAAGAAATTATTCATGATTTCTGCATTTAAAAAATCAGCTTGCTTTTACTTTTGTGAAGATATCATTCTACCAAACAGCTTTATAATTTTAATAAATAAATATGTATTTTAAAGAATAAAAAATTATAATTTACTAAGTAGATTTATCTGGTGTCTCCTATTTAATGCTTTTAGTTTTTTTTGTTAGATAAAACATTATTTAAGAAATATGACACTTCCTTTATTTAGGAGATACCATTTTTGTGCAGATGGTACAAAAACTCTAGCACATATATGTCTTCAATTGATCGATGTCCATTTTCAAGTATTTCTAAACAGAAATTGACAAGCTCAGAGATAAGATTTTAGTCTTGAGAAACCTCCTTTGAAAGACATTTGGCTATAATCCATCTACTTGTATATTCAGTATTACTTTTTCTTTCTCTGTTAAATAGATAAACTATTATCTCAAATATTTATTCCAACTCTGGGTTGGGTTTGTATTTCTTTACAGCTTTGAATTCTTCCAGATACATATTTTCATCATTATTACTAGTATTAGAGAGTTTTATTTACTTAAACATGATAGTGTATAGGATACTCGCAATAAGCTACCCTGATTAATAGTTTTTTTCAATGTTTATTGAACATATATGATTAACGAATTCAAGGAGAGATTCATAGTCTATAAAGGTAAGAATGTTAGAATTATAAAGAGTATCTTTTACAAGTTCCAACAAATAGGTAATACCTGCATTGTTAATTAAAGTATACTGCTTTGAAGCCATTAATATAGAAGAAAATAATTAATTGTATAGAGACTCATCTAATAGATCAAAATATTTTGTTATCTAATATAGCTGCAATAAAAGTACACAATAATTATTCAAAATCAAAACTCTCTGTTGTTCGACTGCCTGTTATCTAACAGATTGTACATGCTCCTACTCTTATAGAATTCTCTTAAAAATTTCTTATATATCATCAACTTAGCCTTACCAATCTTCTTCATTGAAGAACAAGTTGAGCATATTTTTAATTTCTTCGAATAGTGCCTTGCTATCATTTAATTCTTTTAAGATACCTAATCTCAAATATTTCTCAGGTATTACTTTCATGAAATTATAATTATACTTACTATTTTTTTGTTAAGCTAATATTTTATTTATTTTAAAAAGTAAAAATTCTAAAAAGGTGAATTTTCTTTAAGTGAATTCTACTTATTATTATTATTTAATATTTTGCGAAAATTAGTTTAATTATTTTAATTAAAAATTTGATTGTTTAATTAACACATAAAATAAATTGAATCTATTCATCAATTTAAATTTCAAAATTAAGAATTTTTCTATCGCGCCAAATCTTTTTATTTGACTTAAACTAATTGATAAGCTTCTTGGAGTAGATTTTATTGCCTAGGAATAGATGCTAATTCTAAGTAATAAAAAACAAGGTTTTCACTATTTTTTATAAATAATAAAATAAATATTTTATTGTAATTTAGATTATTTTAAAAGTATCAGATATAAATATTATAAACAATATAATATCTATCAGATTATATTTTCTTAGCATTAAAAAGAAAAGAAATCGTTTAATAATATATTAATCAATTTTTAATTTCTTTAGAAACTTGTAAAAGCTATCAAGTTAGATCAAATTTATCTCAAAAAGATTAGTAGACATTAATTGATTATTGATCAATTTTAAAGATATAAATAAAAATATTTTAAATTAATAAATGCATCGTTATACATCTTAGTAAGCAGATAGAAGAAGTACATAAAAAGAAGATGAAGAAGATAGTTTCATCAAATCTTTTATTTAAGATCTAAAGTCTGGTAAAAGCTTGAAAAAATTAGGGATTGTGATTGTTTTGTATCTAATTGTTGTAAAAACCTTACTGATTTTAATTCCCACTGAATACATAATAATGATTGGAGATAGTAAAAAGTATAGAATTGCTGAATTTATTTTGCTGCTACTTATTTTCTACTTATGTGGAACCTAAATTTTAGTTTACTTCAAGAAAAAAAGACCAACTTAGTCTAAGTTTGTAGCTAACAGATAATCAAAAGAAGAATATATAAGACAGAGAATAAGAACGACTGAAAATGAGCTTGATAAGTTAAAAAAAAGCAAAGAATTTTAAAAATGGTAACAAAGCGCTAATAACAGAGAAAATTCTTCATTTAAAGAATCAGTACTAGATAAAGAAGACGAAATAGTTTTTTCAGATGAAGATTATTGACGAAATTTAATAATTCAACCAAATTCAAAAAGAATAAGAAATCAATTTGCAAATAATCAAATTTCTTCCAATAAAAACCACTAACAAATTATAATTTTTTATTTTAATATAATAGATATTATATAAGTAATTATACTATAATAGATAGTATTTGACTAAATATTTAATTGAGTATTAATTTAATAATAATATTTTTAAATATCAACAAAAATGCTATTTTTATGTTATATTTTATTTGTTATGATTGTTTCTTCTTATCATTCATTTGTAATTTTAATTCACTTATTATACATTATATTCATTATAAAACTATTTTAAATATTATAAATTGATAGATCCATCTATAAATAGATATAATATATAGAAGGGTAGAAAGATAGATCGATAAATAGATAGATATATATATACATTCATAGATATATAGACTGTTAGATAAAAAATAGATATATAAATTGAGATAACCAAACACTATTTTAATTGAAAATTTGTCATTTTTCACTTTTTTACTCAACTCTTTTTAACAGAAAATAATAATAATAAATAAATAATTAATTATGAATTGTGAAACGATGCATTTCTTTAATATTTTTATAAATAAAATTTTTTATCGGTTTTGTAAGTGATTTATTTATTTATCTTGTTTATTCATTAGGCATTTTTTATTGTTATTTACTATTATTTAATATAATTGTAATTTTTTAATAATGCTTTTTAGCCTGCTTCCTATACTGGTTTATTTAGTTATGATAGTGAATCAGTACTAATTTTATTGAAGGGGAATTCTTATTGAATTTCCATCATTTCTTATCTATGACGAATTACTGTTGAAATATAAATTATTGTTTCTATTGACTGCCATACTTTTGCTCTGAATTAATGTATTATTAATATTTGGTAACTCACTTCTTTCGTCGTATTCATTATTTTCATTTATTCTTTATTTTTTTCTTAGCTTTCTTACCTTATAAATCAATACAACAGACCAAAGTATTATGTAAAATGTAATTATGCTGCAAGTATAAATACCTATTTAGTAATATAATTATGTTAATTAAATGTGTTTTTTAATATTGAAATCTTACTCTTGAAAAATAAGTCATGATAATAGTCGTTAAAAGTAAGCTATGTTGCATATACAAGTTATAATTATAAATCTGACCTATAGTAAGCTCCTTAAATAGGAAATTTTGTATTATCAATTACCAATGATACATTTTAATCTTAAAGTTATTCGAATGCAACTCCTTATTAAAGTACTATATTTGTTTAGTTGACCATTAACTTCGATTGTGCAGAGTTAGAAAGGAAGGGGCATTGCATTTGATTATAATTTTAAATCGCTTATGAATAGCACTGTATTTCTTAATTTCCTTAAAGCAAAAATATATCAAAAAGAGAGCTATCGATCGGGTATCTCTGTATCAAATTTGAAATAATAATAAATACTTTTTACTACTATTTTTCAATAAAAATTTACTCTAAAAACAGAAACATCAGCTGTGTAAAATATAGAATCATGAGAGTCCTCTTGACTTTGTCTTTCAAATGAAATATTAACTGAGTATGACTAATTTTGTGGAATTGTGATATTTTTTTCAAATAAAAGACGCAAAGATTCCACCTAAACAAAATTCAAAGCTAAAAATAAAAATACTGATGCTAATGACTAGCAATTCATTCTTTCACAACAATAAACAGACTTAAAACTAAAAGATTTATTTTCTATGAACTAAATAAACAATCACTTTATTCTTAAATTGTCTATATTTATACACTTTAAAAAAATTTAATAAATCTAAAGTTTTTAATATATATGCATTATTCCCTATGAGGTTTTTGTTTTTGGTTATTATGAATCTTATATATTAATTAATTTTTTTATAGATTTGCAGGCAATAATTAATATATGAGAAGCTTTTATTCAACTATTTACTGATAATAATAGTAATAGATAGAAATTTATTCTTAAATGTACTAATATTACATATAATTAAGACAGATAAGCATAAAGAGAGAGTGACAGACAGCTAACTAACCAACTAAACAACTAATTTAGATGCTTAGATAATATCTATCTATCTATTTCTTTAATTTTCAAAAATTTATTCAAAACTTTTTGTAATTAAATAAAATAGGATTTATCCAGATATTTTAATCAATCAATTAATTTTGTGAAAATATTTATTAAGTAAATTAAATAAATAAATAAATCTATTCAATATCTCAAGTAGAAATGAGTGCAAGCGTTGTGGCAAATTTAACAGTTTAATTTGGAAAGAGTTAGCTTCCTCTTTCTTAAATATTCATTCTTAGAAAGAATGTTTTTGCAACAACTAATTTAAAGCCTGCTTGTCCAGGACATGTTTTAGTGGCTTCAAGAAGACCAGTAAAACGTCTCCATGAATTGACAGAAGTTGAAACACTTGATCTTTGGACTACGGTACAGTAGGTTTCCAGAGTCATGGAATAAATACATAAATTCCCTTGTTAAATCGGGGTTCAAGATGGAACTGATGCAGGTAAATTTATCAAAAATATACTTAGTTATATTTTAAATGAGAATAAATGATTGATAATTATGATCATATAAATTTAAAAAAAGGTTAAACTATTGATCACGTTCATATTCACATTATTCCTTTCCCAAAAGAATATAGCCAAGATGTTATTATGGATAGCGAAGGTAGAATAAAATGCAATTTAAATGAGGAAAATTAAATTTAAAAATATTATTAAATTTAGAAAGACCTCCTAGAACAGCAGATGATATGGCCAAAGAAGCTGACAAATATAGAACTTACTTTGAATAAGGGTCAAACTAGTAGTATTGATTAAATATAAATAGATTAAAGCATATAATTAAATAGTTTTATTAATGTAAATAATATATTTTTAGATGATATTTGTAGCTATGTATTTAGGTAATGTAATTAATTTATTTTAAAATACTATGCTTTACAAAAATATGATTCAGCTAATCAATACATAGATAAATAGATAGATATTCTTTGTTTAAAATATATGATAAGCAAAATTAGTATTGTAGATAAACATTTACATATAATTTTTTATATAAAAATATCATTAAAATTATAATAGGAAGGATAGCTAAAAGTAGATCGATTGTTTGTTTGTTTGTTTGATTGATTGATTTATAACTTGTTAAAACTAGCTTTCTCTATTCCTAAAATATTTTATTTTCAAATTTCATGGAAAACTTAATTAAAAACTGACTGTTTAAATAGTTTTAATTTGCTAATCTATTTGTTTTTTTATATTATTTATTTGTTTTATCTCAGTAGTATTATCTCTATTCAAAAGTGTATGGTTGAGTGGAAACTATTTGCTCACTCGTCTTAGTATTGAAAGTATTTTATGGGTTTAAGCTGCTGATTTAAGGATTTAAACTACTTGAATACTAGTTTGTATTATATTGAGTGCTAGTGACTGAAACAGTGGAGGGATTATTTCCAAACCCTAGACTATTGTTTGCTTATGAAGCTAAATTGTTACCAAAACCCAAACTACTGCTTGCAACTGCACTATTTTAATAAGGATTGCTACTTAAATTTGTAGGTTAATTATTTAAGGAAACATTTTTACTAAAATTATTTGAATTAAGGTAATCTAAATTATTTGATTGAGTATGCTATTGTTACCCTATATTTCCTATTGGTTTATCCAAATAATTATTGTAAGGTAACGTGCTTTCATTTACACTTGGTGAACCAAAGTCGAGAGTCCTCTTAATTTCAGGATTTGTGAATTGGTACTACTACACTTGTTAGTTTGAAGTTGTAGAAGAAGGGAATGTATTTTAATAGCTGTTTTAATTTTAAATAGGATTTTATTACTGTGCAGCTGGAAAATTTTAATTTGCAGAATTAACTTTGTATTGATTATCTTTAATTCCTATCAAATATTCATTTTGTTGTAAGGATAAAGATGCCTTTTAGTCATCTTTCAAAAAACCTAAATCTTTTGCAGAGTTTAGGGAAGATATATTGTTATTAGAATTAGCTTTTGCAAATTAAGTTTATGCATTAGGCTAAATATTAACAGTATTTATATTATTTGAAGAAGATATTTAAGTAAAAGACTTCTGTTATGTATTGTAAACTCCAGGGTGTTACTCTAATTAGTTTATTAACTTAAGTGCTGTGTGGTGATCTCTACTTTACAAAACTCCATCTTTTTTATCCATACTGTTATCAATCATTTTCTTTAAACTCTCCCTTAGCGATTATTTGATATTTTCACTTATTGGTATTTTTTGTTCTAATGACACATTTATCCAGTTTAAAATCTCATTAACATTCTTAAGCTTTTCTAAGTATCCTTTAAATTTACTAAATAGAAACTCAATATGAATATCATCCAGTCTATTTGTGCATACCTCTTTTTGATATATAAATAGTATTTTTAGTTTAAAAAAAATAAAAGCAAATCAAAAATATTTTCTTTCACTCCAAAATTAAAAAAATATAACGTTCTAATCAAAATAAAATAAAATCTAAATCATAAAAATAAAAGTTTGAGCTTATAATAAAAAGTAAAATATTTTTTTATTCATATATTTTTAAATAGAATAAAAATATAAATTAATAAAAAACTTAAAATCTTTATCAATCTATATTAATAAAAATAAAAAACTTCAATAATTTTTATTCTATCAGATAAAAAATTTAATCTGTAAAAAATTGTGTCGTTTTTGCTAAAATATTAATTAACTAAATATATTACTTGTAGATTTCATAACTTCAAAAAGAATCTCATCATCGTTAGAAGTCAAAGCTAAACCATATGCCTTAATAATTTTTAAATTATTTTATTAGTTAATAATTAATTAATTAAAAACATAATTTTGAGTGTTTACTTCATTAAGTTTATCTTCTGAAATCGATTTATTTATTTTTTCTATCACATTTGACTCTAGATGTGCTTGCTATTCTTAGCCTTATTTTTAAGGGCTTTTCTTTTTGCCTGGAGAGGTTTATTTTGGTAAACTTGCATTTTTTGGAGGAGATTATTCTTATTTTTTCTTTTGATTTTAAATTTCTACATTTTGCTATTCGAAAAGATGGTCTTTATTGATTTTCTTTTTATTTTTTATTGCTTCTTAGTAATTTGCAGCTCTTTCATGTTCTAGATCATCTCCTTAATGGAGTTATTAAGAATAGTTATTATGATGATTATGAATAATATTTGAGCCTTAGCTGTTGGCATTTGGAGGAGACTGTAAAGAATCAATATTTTTTTAAGGAGAAGGATTATGTTTTCTGTGCTTATTATCATCATTTTTTGATTACTATTCACTTTGCTGAGAGTTAAATTATGCAGTTTGCATGTAGTTACTCTTAGCTTGATTAAAATTAGCAAATGGGAAAAGCTGTTATTACTATTAATTCAAAAGTTCCTACTAGGCTTACATGAACTAAGCTGTAGCTGGGTCTAAGGTATTCCCAGGGAAGAAACCATTTACTACTGGGGTTTGCTGTATAGCATATAGATTCTTGAGTAGTTATTACTGTTGTTACTGCTAATTGAATTGAAGCATCTAATAGCGATAATTCATAAATTACTAATTTAGTTGTTAATTTTAAGCCTGAGCTTAGTATAGTTTCTCAAGGGTGTCTTCTAAAAATCCAATTCTTTAATGTAAGTGATGCTATTCTATTTTCATATCATTTTCAATAAAATCTAATCTCTCAAAAATCCTAGCTTAATTCTCCTCAATTTATGCCAACTAATTAACAACTAATGAATCATTTAAACTCTTATGTCCTTACTGCATTTTCTAAATATTTCTTTGAATTTAATGAGCATTCTATCTCTCTTAATCTATAATTTACTAATGTCTATGAGATTTGCCACTATTATACCTATCTGGGCTGCTTTTACTCTAAACTTCATGGTTAGGGCTTTAGTAAACCTAAATACATAAAATAATTTTTTATATCATTTATATATATTTAAAAATATTAATTTAAAAGATTTAAAAGTATTTTTTTAATTTTTATTATAAATTATTAAAAATTTTTAATAGAATTTATAATGATTTAATTTTATATTTTATAATAATTTAAGATTACTTGCTATCCCATCGATTCTCTATAGTTATCTTGATGGACGTGATGTTTGTGCTTATCATTATATTAAATAATTTGTGGTTTATGCTGTTTTTTCTACTACTCATTTATCATATTCTAGTACTGTCTCTATCTTTCTGCTTTAGAAGGAGGCGATCCTGATACAAATATTTGTATATCATTGTCAAACTATTCATTTTATTAGTCATGGATATCTTCAAGTTATAAATTTGCCTTTTTGATTTTTCTCTTTTCCTTTTAATAATTTGCATTTGAACTTTATTCTTCTTCTTCTCCTTCTTCAAATTCTTCGTCAGCCTAGCCTCCTTCATCATATTCTGCAAGCATTTATTATTGTCTTTACTTTTAGTACATATCCCATTATTCGAAATCTTAATTTGTTTTAATCTGTTACTCTTATTCATTCACTTATTATTACTAGGCTTGTTCTCCAACATTTCTGGATTTAAGTGGTGTTTTTTTACCTTCCTTTATTTCGACATCTCCTTTAACTGCATTTTTGAGAAATTCAGGATTTATTGACTTTTTATTCAAGGCTTGATGAACCTTTGGCTAATTCTTATGAGACTAATTATTATTATCTTATGACTTTCCTCTTTTACTTGCAGAATTGCGTTCAACTTCCTATTTTGTCTTAAACTAGTTATTTTTATGAGCTATTTATTATATTTATATATTTTTTTAAAATAATTAATTATGAATCAATCATTTTTAATAAAAAAAAATTTTAACTTTTCAAACTATGCTTTAAATGTTCATCAATTTATTTACTGATTAACATATACCAAAAGTATGAAAAGTATTAGCAAATAAAATAATTTATTAGCATTTTTTAAATAAATTCTTTTTAATTTATAAAAAATTATTACGATTTTCCCTAAAAGAACTCTCATTGGGTATAATTATATTTTCGTTTGAAAGGTTTTAAGGCTTCTATTTGTTGTGCTATTGCTGATTGTTTATGTTCACTTTTTTAGTTGGTGGATGAAATGAAGAGGGTACTGGCTTTTTCTCTATTTATTAATTAATTTTCTCAACATACTAAGGTCCCAATTTCTCTTTGATTGTATTTAGTGCAACAGTAGCAGAATCTCTGACATGTTTTATTTTATCAAAACGACAATTGCTGAGACTTTCTACTATTTATTCGATAAAAGGCTCTAAAGAATCACACATAAAAACACAAAGAGTGTATATAACATCAACTGCTATTTTTCTTACATTCCAGACTGAATGATTAGCATGTTCAACAAGGACAGGTATTGTTGCAGGTACAAAAGGTCTGAATTAATCTTCTATTCCCATAATTAAAGCTAATAAACTATCCAACAAATTAGAATTAACTTATTTATTTGTTCTTAATTAATCTAATATGACTCCAATAATTTCTTCCTTCATATCAATCATGCAAAGAGGAGGTGCACTTTAAATAATTTTCTATAAAGACATTGCAGCAACTTATTAAATAGTAGCTGAGTTGTGAGAGAAGTTCTGTTAAATTACCTTTACAGTTTATTACAAATACCTTAAACCAACCTAAGGATCTACCTTTCTCAGCGAATACTCAATCAATTACCCAAACGTTTCTGAAACGACTCCTTACAGAGAGGAATCGCATTCTTTAATTTTTTTATTCAAAATTGCTAAAATTCTAGGCAAATAATCCAATATCTTTTCTTCAAAAATCTATGCTAATAACCCAATTAATTTAATAAACTCTCTTTTAGTAGACATCTTCTATCCCCCAGTATTTGATTCTTAAATTGCAAGAATCGCTATTAAAATTCTATCATTATCTGTAGCATAATTTGTTAAAATATCCTTTAACTCCTCTAATCCTGTCTTTACAGTGTGTTGATCACTTTTTAAATAGGATAAAAACAAATTTATTTCAAGTAAATTTGGCTGAACTTAAAATAAATATTCTCATAAACTTAAAAAAAATATTTTATGATTTTTATTTAATATCAAAATTTAAAAGTATTTCTTTATTTATTTCTGCTATTAAATTCTTTCTTCATCTTAATTTAATTGAACTGAACAATAAATATGCAATTTGAATTACTTCAATTTAGAAAGAGACTAAAGGATAGCTTATCGATATGCTTAGTTATTCGATTCTATATTTTAAATATTTGTAAATTTCTTCTTCATTGCTTGTTGCTCTATTATGTTGCGTTCTGTTCTGCTATATCTTTGCAAAAAACAAAAAATGTGCTTATTAAATTTTTTAATATTATTAGTGATATTTTTGTGCCAAACGATTACTAAAACTTTTTATGCAATTTTTGAAATAAGATTTGTTTTTATTCAGCTAACTTTATTAATTAATTTATTTTTCAAAGTATAATTCAAAATGATTGTTAAAAAATTTTTATTTATTTATTACTATATAAAAGCTGTTTTTATTATAATTAAAATTTAATCAGTTCATTGTAGTTTAAAAGTAAGAGATATTAATAATTTTTATTTCTATTTGAGTTATTTACATTTCTTTATTTTACAGTATTCATAATATTTAAAGCAGAATATTAATATTAAATTATTTTATCTTTAAAAAATTTTTAATTTAGCAATTTTCATTAATTTTTTATTTTGGAATCTAAAAAAATATCACAATATTTATCAAATCCACAAACCAACTATCTCTATTTTAGAAGATTATCATTTAATTAAATTCTAAATTTATTTTTTATCTCTAAATCTTTATTAAAAATTTTTTTAATAATTTAAATTAAATTTTTCATCTTAACAACTTAACAAGGAAAAAATATATTTTTTTAAGAATCAATAAAAAAATTATTTTAAACAATAAGTAGGTAGGACAGACACATCAATTTTCTTAATTAATAATGATTAAACATATTTAAATTTTTAATTAATTATAAAGATTAAGTAATAATTATAATTTATATATCATATGATTATTGTTTGTTTTAATCAATTTATATAATATTATTTAGTATAAAAATTATAAATGCAATTAATCATAAATAAAATTGAAAAATTAAGGAGATCAGAGAAAAAAACATATTATTTACACTAAAGCCTCAAAAAATTAAATCTAGTAAACAAAAATACTAATAGCTTAATTAAATTTTAAAAAATAAACAATAAAATCTATGAGTGTCCTTTAAGTCTAACCAAAAATTGATTCAATTAGATAAATTTTTAATAACTTAAATTTTTTTAAATACATTTAAAAAATAAAATAATTTATTTATTTTCTTCCTTCATTAATATAAAAATATAATTCTAATAAACTAGTTTTAAAGTACAATAAATAAATTATTTATGAAATGAAGTTTCATATTATTTAAATAAATAAATATTTTTTTTAGTGTTAATAGCATTTGTTATTTATTTACATATTTATATATTAGCAATAATAATAATTTATATTTTTATTTAATTTCTTATTAAAAATATTCCTACAATTGATTTTTTGCTTTATAACTAAAACATCTTTTTGAAGAGAAATATGATGTTTATTTCATTCAATAAATGTTTGTGCTTTATGTGACTTAGCTTCATTAAAATTAAATGTTGATTAAAATTTGAAATTAGAAAATGAAGATTAACCTGAATATTTAAATAAATAAGAATACAAATAGATTATACTAATATCTGTGGTAAAAATTCATGCAAAAATTAGTAATTAAGAAGTATGAGTGGCCTTTATTTAAGAACTATGAATAGAAAAATATAATTGAAAAAATATTAAATTATTCAATAATATGAATTTGATTCATATAGTTGTAAAGCCTTATGCTAATAAAAAAAGTGTATTGTTCGTCAGAATAAATTAGTCACCATAAAAACGTTATTGATTGATTTTTCATGGTTTTTATTTGTATAGGTTGATGATGGACCAAGCAATTAATTATTATACTTAAAAAATTTGCAAATTTGTATGACGAAATCTAGAAATTTTGAGTGAGGAAAATTAATATTATTAAAGCAGTTGATAATAATATTATTCATCTAATTGCAAAGTATTCAAAAGCGATTTTTCTAAAATTATATCTAAATAATAATAAAAAATAAATAAAGAAAGAAAGAAACAAAAGATAAAACAATCAGAATTTGTTTATTTCTTATTAGATCAAATGAATTAAGTCACTAAAATTTTCTTAATTGTCTTGGCCTTAACTGGAGGAGCTTTGTTGGTAAACCTCCTCTGGCCTAAGTACCATAAAGAAGCTTGGCTCGAAACCATGGACTACTACAAATATTTTGGATATCCTGCAGAAAACCATTATGTCACTACTTCTGATGGATACATTCTTTAGATATTCAGAATTCAAGCCAAAAATACATAAATCAAGCAAACTGGCTTACCTGTTGTCTTCTTATAGCATGGTCTTCTTGATAACTCAGATACTTTCTTCATCAACAGCGAAGATAAGGTGACGCATTTATATAAACTTAGATTTAACACAGAATATTTTGATATAAAATTGTTTTACACAAAAAAATTATAAAAATTAATATTTTTATATTATTTAGTATATATCATTTGGTTACTTGTTTTATTAAATTAAAATTAATCAAATGTTATAAATAAATAAAGGCACCTGCTTTCATTTTAGCTAATGCTGGTTATGATGTTTGGATGGGTAACAATAGAGGAAACCGCCACTCAAGAAATCACACTACTTACAACCCTGATACTGATAAGGAGTAGTTCTGGGCCTTTACTTACGATGATTTCGCTGAAAAGGATTTAGCTAGCATGCTCACTTATGTAACTGATGCCACTGGATAGGCTTAGCTTGATTATATTGGTCACTCATAGGGTACTACCTAGATGTTTGCTGCTTTAAGTGAAGGAATTCCAGAAGTAGTTTCTAGAGTTAGAAAATTCCTTGCTTTTGGTCCAGTCACATACATAAACCACGGAAAACCTAACCTACCCGAATCATTTTTACGTTTAGCCAACGTTACTGAGTTAGTTGAATTATACAATTTTGCAAACTTGATCGACCCTGCCCACAGAGCTGAGAAGATGTATGAATGGCTTAAGAACCACACAATATACGAAATTATGCCTTTCAATAAGGTCATTAGAGATTTAGGTAATATATATATTTACTCTTAATTACACATTAAAAAATATAATATAAATTTTATAGGATAAATTTAATTCAAATCTTTGTTTATTTGTTACTTTAATTTAGTAATTTTTTTTTCGTTGTATCGATCGATCTCTATTTAAGCTGCATTTAAAAATCTTTTTGTGAAAGCCTCATAATTTTTGATAAAGATTTAGTAAATTTGGCTTTTAGACATAGATTTAGAATAATAGATATATTAATTATCACACATTTTGCACTTGGATTAAATTAAAAACAAAATAGAAAATTTGCATTAATCCTCATCAATTATAAACAATTTTACTTATTTCTCAATAAAAATAAGATATTTATTTTAAATAATACCATAAAACCTCGATAAGAAAGCCGAATAATATTGAGGTATTTGAAAAATAAGGATAAGTTAAAATTTAATTTAAAAATAGCATTTTAAAAAATAAAATCCTAAAATTTAAATAATTTATGGATATATATTTTTAAAAATTAAATGTTATATTTTTTTACAAAAGTTTATTAATTTATTTATTTTATATTTTATTAAAATAAATTTATTTTGTAGGTATTGAATTTTGTGGTAAATTCCCTTTACCTTGTGGTAAGCTTGTTGGTGCAATTACAAGCAATGATTATAGAATTGACAACTATGATAGATATGATGTTTTAGCAGGTCATGATCCTGCTGGTACTTCTTTCAGAAATGTAGCTCACTGGATGCAATTAAAATTATCAGGAAAATTCTAAAAGTTTGATTTTGGTCATAAGGAAAACAAAAAGAGATATGGAGTTGATTATCCTCCTATTTATGATTTAAGCAAAATTTAAAAAGAAGTCTATATGTTTGTTGGAAATAATGATATTTTAGCTGATGTAACTGATGCTAACTAAACTCGTAGTGAATTAACAGGAGCCAAGAGAGTTTGGTGGAAGTAATACACTGCTGGTCACTGCTCTTTTATGTGGTCTAAGGATATGTCCCATATGGAGGATGTATTATAAATTCTTAGTAACCAGATCTGATTTTATAAATTTGTAATAAAATATAAATAAACAATTAATAATAAAAAATGTTTTTTCAAAAGTTATTGTGTTTGCATATTGATTGATAGTATAATTCATTAAATTTTCTTCAAAACAAAAGAAGACTCTTTAATTACATTGTTAATTTAATTGTTTTATATGAGCTAGGTCAGGTCTATATGTCAATGCCATTTATTTGATTTGCTCTTAAAAGCAATAGTTTCATTTAGATAATAGAATATATTGTTTTGAATTACTTTATTTGAGTTACTTTGTTATTAAAATTATCAAAATCAATTTGAAATATATTTGTTTAGATAAATATCTATAAAATTTAGATATTGTGAAGAAAGATGTTTGGTCCAATTAGGTAGATTTCTAATGAGAAAAAATAATAGCAAGAATAACCATGCAATAAATTACTTTAATCTAGATTTATTAATGGTCCATAAGATATAAAAGATGATTTAATTTGTTTAATTTGCGATAATTTATTATTAAATACTTCTATATGTTGCTAATGCGATTAGACTTATTGCACTTAATGCATAGATGAATGGATAAAGTAAGGATCAGGATGCTTAAAATGTGAAGGATTTTAGTTTAGAAGGTAAAAACCTCCAATGTATGATGACTTTATTAATCTTATTACAATAGATTGTCCATTTTCTTAAAATCCATAAAATTTTGCTTCCTGCTCTGAAAAGGGCATGAAATTAGATTAATCATTGGAGCATATAAAAAATTGTGAATTTTAAATAAAATAATGTCCAAACGAAGGCTGCAAATTATAAATAGAAGCTAACAAATACGAAGATCATGTTCAATAATGTTTATATAGAATGTATTGTTGCCCTTATTGCAATTAATAAATGCCTTACTTAAATAGCTAACAGCATGATTCAATATGCCCTAGAAAATAAGTTAAATGTAAACAATGCTTTAATTTTTACTATTAAAACTAAATAAATGATCATGAATAGAATGATTGTCCTTAAAAGATTATGGATTGCTAGTACTGCAATCAATAATTTATTAAAAATGTGTTTTAACTACATCAAAAAAACTGTCCGAAAGTACCTGTAAATTGTGATTGCAACAAAATCTTTATTCGTGAGCAAATTGATGAGCATAAAAAGACTTGTCTGTTTGTGAAGCTAATATGTGAAAAATGTTCTTAGCAATACACTAGATAAGAAGATCATTAAAACAAAGATTGCATTAAATATTTATCATTAAAATGCTAGCAGATAGAGACTGATGTATATTTGTTAAACGAATAAATAAATGAAATTAAAATTCACTTGAATATGCCTCTCTATAAATAATAATCCCAATATTAATCAATGATAAGACCTGCTATATTTTAATAAAGAAATCAATTCTTTTGAAATCAATAAAAATAAATATTTTAATATCTTTTTACACACACATAAATGAATTTAAATTTCTATGTATTTAAATATAATTGAAACTAAATTTAAAATATCCCATTTAGTAATAAATATTTATTTTTACATAAAAACTTTAGGAAATAATTTTCCTAAGCACATAAAATCTTAACTTTTTTTGTGAATTAGTACTTGATATTCGAGTTTACTAACTTCTAACACTTTTATACTATTATATAATCAATTAAGGTTTCTGGCTCTTTTACTTTATGATAAAAATTATTTTACATTTAATCCTGAATAAACAAACTAAGATTTATGAGACCAGAATTTTTGCCCAAAATATGGAGGTACCTATTTAATAGATGGATTTAAGAAAAAAAAAGTTAAATTTTCGATAGAAATTTTTGCCCATTTTTAGAAAGTTCTCAGTTTATAATAGTACCCATCTTAAGAAAATAATAAAAAATTAAGGTTTTGCTGTACTGTTATTTAAGCTTATTTTTCATAAAAATTAAATAATGATATTTATAAAAATAGTTTAAAATGAAGCTCTGAGAAATAACAACTATGGTTTTAATAATTAATTAGCAAAAAATTAGTTTTTAGATTTCTTTAAATTGAAGTTTTAATTTCAAAAATTTTCATAAAACAGTAGATAAAAGTTAAATTCGCCAAGTTCCAACAACTTCAAATAATTAGTTTTTTATGACAGTATTTGAAAAAATATAAAAATCTAAATTTAAAATAAGTATTTTATATTTTATTTATTTTTTAGAAGTAATTAAGTATTTATTCGATGATATTAGTTCTAATTACATCTTAATTAAGAAAAAGTCTAGAACTTTATTTTGATAAAAAATTAAAATAAAAACGGCTACTTTTTATAAGTTGTTTAATACTGCATTTGTTTGATAAAGGGTAAATACTTTAAAAGTAAAATTATATTTTATAATTACATGATCAAATTGAAGTACAAAAGTAAGAAAATAAGTTAGTTTTTATTTATTTGTTTATTTATTTATTTATAACTATATTTGAAAATTATATAAGCTTCTCATTAATATTCTTTTATTTAGTTATTATTTAGGTTTAGTATTACTATATAATATTATATTAAATTCTTTAGTAGTTCATTCTTTTTCCTTTTTATTTTATTGATTAATTATTTATTTTTTTATTTATTAATTGATTGCTGATTTATTTATTTGATTAACAACTTTATTAAGTTGTTAGTTTGTTTACTTTGTTGAATTAATTTTTATTAGGTAAATCGATACTGTTTAAAATTAATTTTTGTATAAATATTTTTCTCTTTTAAGGAATAAATTTGTTTTTATTGAATTCAATCTATGAATAGATCATTGTAAATTATTAAGGGATTAAATGTCATAAAAGATTGGTAGTAGATTTCAAAAGTAACAAATTTCATAATTTCAATAAATAGCTGCCTCTCGAAATCAACCAGAAGCTTAGTCATGAATAAATAAAAGTAACCTTTTTTTAAATCTAAGGTACCATTGTTGATTCTTAGAAAGTCTTCATTTTGAGATAAATGAAAAAGTGAGTCAATTGTTAGGTTTGATGCTTTTAAAAAGTATTTCATTAGATTTACTTGCTCTTGTTTAGTTAAATCTCTAAAGATGGTTTATGCTAAGGTATAAAAGTTGTTGCAACAAGTTAAAAAAACTGATGGAAATTTATTAAGTATGGATATGACTTGCTAATTAAATCGAATGTTTTTAATTTCAAATTATAATATGATATTCTGAGGATTTATCATTTCCTCTACATTATAAATCATTTCAGGCCGTATCGTTAAACGTTTTAGCTATTTTATTTATTTTATCCTCTTATCTATTGAGTGAACATGAAGAGATATATATTTTAAATGAGGGTGGTTTGAAATCGTGCTGAGGATCTCATTCTAAATTGGACTTGCTAAATTGGCAGATAGCTTTTGTAAAAACGGATTATCTTACAAAAACTAGAGAAACTCTCGCTGAGATACAAGATCAAGCTCAGATGATATTTGAACTTCTATCACTTAAAAAAGGTTTTTTAAATAGGCTTTTAAATTCAAAGTCGTAGAAGGTATTTGTGAGACATAGCTTATTTTGTGAGAGTTTTTAATCATTGTCTTTTGAACTATAGAGAATTCTTCAAGAGTTATCACTAAATTCTATACCTTTGTGTCTTGTACAATGGTATTCATAGGTGCTGCCTAAACTGCTTAGTTAGTTTCTTCTAAATCTTTAGACAATTAAAGTGACTAAATTACTTAATTTTGTGCTTAATGATTCATTTTATTTGCAATCTGTTTGTGATACTCATTCAGATAAATAGTTTAAAAGCTGCTGCTTCGGAAAAAACTATTATCAAAGAAAGTCAGAGGTTGCTTATCAGTGTTAGCATGCTTTTCAAGCTCATTAAGATAGTAGGAGTTATCTTAGTTTTCGCTTTCAAGAACCTAGATGATTTGATTTATCTATGACTGAGATAATATCTTTTTAGGATTAGCTATGCACTCTTGCAAGTATTTATATTCATGGAGAGTATAATTAAAGCACTATCTTTGTAGAAATGCCCCTTCGAAGAAGCGTATTAAAACATTTTTACGGGTCTGCAATAGCTTTTAATAAAGATTAAGATCTGTTTAAACATTTTTAGGCTCATAAAATGAGACACTTTTTAATAAGCTCAATATATCTTGCTTGTCTTTAGTATTTAACACTTCTTCGCAATACATAAAAATTTTAAGACTATCTCTAATGAAACTAACATAGTTTTTTGTGTAAATAGCACTAGCTTAGTTGTTTTGAGAAGCCTAATTCCCCATAATTACCAATCAAATAAGTTTAAAAAGTAATTCCTTCTAAATTAATTTTTTGTTGAGTTTATTTATTCGTGTTGATGTTTGTTAGCTATTAAGTATTTTTTGCTCAAACTTTAATTTCCTTATTATTTTGTTCAAAGTTCAAAATATACACTTAATTCTTTATTATAATGAATTTACTCTTTTTTATTTCCAATACTCTTTGAGACAGATCTCTAGAATATAATTCTAATAATTAATTTCTGAGTGAATCAAATGCATTAATACTATGGCCCAGATGCAATAAACCTATGTCTGATCTTGTAAGATCGATTTTAGAAAAGTCTTTATAACTATTATTTGCAAAGACTAATTAAGATAAATATTTTTTAATACCAGGCATAACTTTATTGTCTTTTTAATTTTATAATATTATTTTTTTGACATTTTATATTGTTTTTTTGTATAATTCATTAAAAAAGAGCTAAAAAAATTCAAAAGCACTTTAATTGTTTATATTCATTCTTAAGCTCTTTTAAAAATATCATTTTTTTAAAGAATTAATGTCATAGAATTTAATTTTAATATTCATTTATATAGCTTATTTTAATTAATAGAAACAAATATTAACTAAAAGATGGTTAGCCTATAAATGTAAATATGCTAATTGGAATTGGCTTAAATAAGCATTATTTAATTAGAGTAATAAAATAATAGTATTACACAAATAGAATATGTTCTAATGTTCAAGGTATTTTATTTAGAAAATATGAATTTTTAAAAAAATTAATTTAAAATAACTCTAATATGACAGAAACTCTATAAATTTCTTTGTGTAGGATTATTTTCTTAATTTAAAAAAATAATAACTACAATCTTTTTATTTGCTTTCAATAGAAGGCTTTTATGTCAAATTTGAAAATCTCATAATGGCAGGTATACTTTTAACATGATAATACTCTCAAATACAAAAATTTATTTATCATTTGAAAGATTTCATATCAATTGCAATTAACTCATATAAGAAGAAATAGGTTTATAAAAAATATATTTCTTATTAATTTTCAAATAGTTTTAAATAATCTATCAATTATTTTGAAAAAATATTTTCAATTTAACTAGAAAAAAAATATTTTAAATAATTAAAACGATACTTTTTCATTTTTAAATTATTTAAGTAAATGCAAAATATATATTTGATAAATCAGTTAAATTTCTTGTTTTTTTGGTATTAATTGATTTTTATTTGAGCTAAATTACAAAATAGTTAATGTAAGCTTCATTGGAGCTTGATTAATATTCCTAAAGTAAAAAAAATAATAAATTGTAATTTAACTAAGTTAAATTAATATTTAAAAGCTAATTAAATCATTAATATTTATTTGAAAAAAATCTATATTAATAAATATTAGAAGACATTACAGGGAAATCAAAACGAGAAAGCGTTAGACTAAAGAATCACTATCGTCATGCATAATATCATTAGTAAACTAAATAATTGAATAATTGTTACAACAGAATCATTAATAATCTATTTAATTTAATAGTGATATCCAAGATTATCCTTGTTTTAATTAAAGATAAAATTATAAATTTATCTAATTATTTTAAAAAGAAATAAATTTTGATTGATAAAAGTTGTGGGTCCTGGGTGGTCGTTAATTGATACGCCATTAATTTTTTTACTTATATAGCCAATATTAATAAGGCTCCACTAAGGGTGTTTAAAAAAAAGCTCACTCTGTGACCTCCTCTAAGTATAAAAGAGAATAACAAATTTACACAACCACAAATTTTTAAGTTTCATATCATTATTTATTTCATCAAGTATTTTATTTGATGATTTAGCCAGATTTTATAATTAAAAATTTTTGATATAAAATTTCTAAAACATAAGTCAATAAATATCTCAAATTATGTTAAAAAATAAGTAATCTTAAAAATAAATAAATAAATTTTGATATATAAAAGAGAATAAGAAATGTGCATATCCACAAAGTTTTTAAGACTCGTATCAATATTTTTTCTTCAATTTATTTACTTGAGATTTAACCTAATTTTATTACTAAAAATTCTTTAAATAAAATTTTTTAAGTATAAAGTCTATTGATTACTCAAATTCAATACTGAGAATATATATGTTAATAATTATATTTGTATACTTAATAAACAAATATTATATTTTATCTTCAATTAGAGTTGAAAGTGTGTATTATTTTTTTATAGGAACTGCTTTCCAATCTTTACTTTCTCATTTTAAATAAATGCCAACTAATTAAATTTTACACATCATCAAATAATTAATTGATTATTTTTTAATAAATATGCTTGTAAGTAGATTCTGAAATTACTCATTGACTTTACTAGAATGTAGAGTTTAAATAAAAAGTGTAAATGAAAAAAAAATTAATAATAATGCTTCCAATAAATAAATAAGTAAAGATAGGCAAAAAGTGTATTTTTTAAAATCAAAAATAATTAACTCATAAAAACAATAATTAAAAGAAAAAAATAACAAGCTGAAAAAAAAGGCTTTCTTTTTAATTAAAGAAGAGATTTATTTTTAAGCATAAAGGCTATCTCAAATACCTAAAAATCATCATTAATTAACATTACTAAGAATAGCATTTGCCTCGAAATTATTTCTTTTTGGATTATTTTTAAAATCTTATTGTTGATAATTGCAAAAATAAAGAAAAATATTTTTAAATTTATGGGATAAAATATTTGTGTTTCAACTAAAACGGGAGATGTTTATAAATTTCACCACTCCTGCTTCGCTGAAGGTTCTTCTAGAAAAGCTTATCGCTGCGAAGTTGTGAAAGGCCCAAATTTAGGCAAGAAAGGAGTGGTAAAGAGATATAAAAATCATATTGAGAATAAGAAATTAGATAATTTTAAGAATGAGCAGTTAATTTGGCAATAAGCAACTGTATATGCCCGTCTTTTTAATAAAGAAATTAACATAATTATGGAAAATGTCAAAGCCAAAAATTGTACTCCTGAATTTGAATTATTTATAAATTAACACTACAGACGTATCGTAATGCCATAACCTTAGATAATCTAGATTGAAAAAAAATCTTTATTAGCTTCTTTACTTGGAAAGCATTACAAAGAGGGTGATTTAATATCTCTTGAATCGTACTTAGAAGGAGAATATCGTAAATTTAACTCCAATTCAGGATGGTCAGATGAGTCTTATCCTTTGATGTAAGCATTTTCTCATTTCACTTTCTACAATAGTGGAGGATAAGAAATCTTATGTGATTTACAAGGGATTGACGAAATTGATAGCAAAACAATTTAACTTACAGATCCAGCTATTCTTTCAATTAGATCACGTTTTGGGGACAGCGATATAGGATATAAAAAACTCCAATATTGGATAAAAAATCATAAATGCAATCATATATGCCATGCTTTGAAGCTAGACGATTTTAAATTAGAAGAAAGTTTAATTTATTCAAAATCATGCAATAATGTTCAATAGGAGACTTGGCTTACAAATCTCTATCCTAGCAAAACTAAATGCTGAAAATTATCCAATAAGTATTTTTGTTTCATCTTCTCAAAATAAAAATGAAAAAATAAATCTTGTAGAAAAAATAAAATAAATTTAATTTAATAAAATAAGAAATAATTTCTCATAAAGTTTGATATGAATTTCAATATGGTAATAATATCCTCAAATTCTTGGTATCTATAAATTCAATTAATTAATCAGCCAATCAATAAATCAATAAATCATTAATGTTGTAAATAACAATCATCTCAAACAATAATATGGAATTCATTTAATATATTAAAAAATATTATAAAGTTTTTAATAATAACCAACCAACCAAATTAAATTACACTGAAAATAAGATAAAGTAATTAAAAATCATTAATGTAAATATTTCTCTTTAGTCTATCTCTCTATCTATTTGTCTATGTCTCTATGCATGTCAATTTTATATGTCTTTATATATCTATGTTATGTTTATAACTTTAATAACATTTAATTTTAAAATGGCTTAAAAAAATTATTACTATCACAATAAAATTTAATAATTTTATTACATAAGTGTGAAGGGTATTAAATCAGGAATTTTTAAAAATTAATTTCTTTTTTATATTTTTTTTAAAAAAAAAACATAGTATCACCATCACCACTGTAAAATATACTTTTTAGTTATTAATATTGTAATTTATATTTATCATGCATTAATTAATTTATTTATTTATTTTCGTCTATTTATTTATTTATTTATCTATTTATTTATCTCAACTTAAGAAGAAAGAGTGGGAGGGAAATTCTTTAGTTTTAAATAATTACAAAAACACTTGCCTATACTATCCCATCCTATCCATGTATGAATTTAATCTAATTTAATTGAATAAAAACATTTAAGATAATAAAAATGTTTATAATACATAAAACTTAATTAACTAATGTATTTTTTTATTAATTTACTGCATGCTATTTGATAAAAACTCCTTTTTTACTTAAATATATACTTCAAATAAGAATAAATTATCTTTCAACTTAAAGCATGGTGTATGAATTTAAATAAATCTCCATTAAAAATACTATAGATAGAATTATATATATCAAATATTTTTTCTATTTTATTATCGATCTTAGTTTTGATAAAGGTTATTTTTAATTCTAACTCTCTAATTTGTATTTTTAATTTATTTTTAGCTTAACAAGCCTTATAATTTTTATAATAAATAAAAAAAGTCAATTCTTTAAATAAAAATGAATTTTCACATAGAAGCTTTACAGAGAGATTCAAAATATAAAAAAAAATAGTATTTATTTTATAAAAATATAACATAAAGTTACCAAAATTAATATATATATTTTATGTTTTTTTGTAATTAATTTTTTATTATTATTAAAAAAATTAATAGAAAATAGTATTCAAAACATTGTTATTTCAGATATTTTACGATAATTAGACTCCATTTTTAAAATAAATTTTAAATTTATCACTTTTTAAATTTGATTAAATTTTAAATTGATTAATCAAATAAAACTAATTAACATGATAATGAATGAATTTATTTTTAGGAGAGAAAATTTTAAAAGTAAATGAGTGTATTATAAAATAAGTAATAATTTTTATTTATATATGTATTTATTATATTATAAAGTCAAAAATATTTTAAATAATTCAGTTTGTGTGATCTAAGTATAAATCGTATAGCACTTAACATGGATGCTAAAAGAGCAAAGGTGAAATGTTTTTGTTGTATGCTATCATCTTAAGCAAGGATATAGTTTTAGAGTTTATTATTTTATTTATAACAGTAAGATAATCTTATTTTCTATTATAAGGTAGTGGTAACTACTAAACAAGATCTATTGGTTTGAGAGTAATTTTAGAGTATGGATCAAGCTCTTTGTTTATTACGTTGTAGAGCAACATTAATTGTATAAATGTATCAGAGTTTCTTTTGTAACAGGAGTCGATCTGGATACTCTTGGAAAAAGGAATGATGTATCTTTCTATAAAGAGCATTAAATTTCCATCATATTTATTGATGAGGACATTAATGTGACCATATTAGTTCCATATTTTTATTTGATTGGATATCAAAAAGGTAATTTCAGACCTTTTATATCTAACTATTTCAGATAAAACACAACGCATATCTGGGTTCATTTCGAACTCTGAAATATTAGACTCTGTGAAAAAGGTTATCTTGTACTAGTTATGTTCAATCTTTGAGTTTAAAATTTCTTTGATTTTTATTTCTTTCATTTTTTGTAAGTTTCTAGTTTTGTTAAAGTCGAGTTAAATGGGACTATGATTAGAGTTAAATGATTTTTGTAAGTCGAATATGTTTGGCTTCTAATCATCTTCATTTATGTTTTCATCTAATCCTTATTCTAATGGATATTTCTACTTTTCTAGTTAGCTTTCATTATTTTTTGGTTTATTGGATTACTGACTCATTTTATCTTCTTCTATAAAACAAGTTGTGCCCTAGAATGTCTTCAGTCTCACTATAATTGCTTTCGGTTTCAAATAGATATTAACTTTTATAAGAATGACTCCAAAACGGAGTAAAGCAAGGAAGGAAACGATTGCAATTATAGCAATGATCTGAGAGTTAGATATAGATTTATTTTCTTCATAGTAAACAAGAAGGACAGTTAGCTAAACAGAAAAAATAAATACCTACTTGAAAATATCTGTTTTGTAGAAGTAGCCGATTTTATTGAAGAAGTACTCTTTGTGCTTTAGGCCTATGTAGTGATTGGTAGAGTAGCCTAAGAATATCAATTCAAAAACACTGTACGAAGATGAGTCAAATAGACTGTTTATTTATATAGTAATTGAGGTGGCATAGATGGTGCAGGCAGACAAGAAAAATACAGAGAAGTAAGGTAAAATATCCTAAACATGTGTAAAGACATAATAAAAGGAGACGCTGTGAACACATTTTAATGTTATTTCACCAATTAAATATAATGTATCCTTTAGTGAAAGATGAGACTGTCTGTAAAACAAATAAACTACTGCAAAATGAAAGTTGATCCAGATGTTTAACATAACTAAGAGTGGAATATAAGCAACTATGATGTAAAAAAGTGTTTGATTGAAATTATATGTATTCGTAAGCATCATTATCAATACACACATTCTCAAATTTAGGTAAACTTATCGGAATTTAACAAAAGAGTAAAATGCTTATATACTTTAGCGTATTATGAATCTTCCTCTATTTTCGTAAATTACTTCATCATAGTCAATCATTTTAGAATTATACTCTTAAAGCTTTTTGCACAGACTTAGGGCATAAAAGCCATCTAACTATAGCAGACTCCAGATAGGGCAAAGTTCGATAGAGCAATTAGAAAAACTGCTTCTCGAGGCTATTCCATATCTCAATAGTTTTTATTACTTTGAATAGAATTATTCAGCTTCTTTTCTAACATAACAAGACATGGTGAATCTCATGAAAATCTCTAGCGAACTAATCACCAAAAAGAATAAAGTGAAGTGGGAAAAGATCTCAAACTATCCGCTTTAGGTTTGAGATATGTAGATAAAAGCTATTAAGGCTAGTGATAAAAAAATCTCTAAATTAAGAACCCATATCAACAATTTCGTTTACAAATAATTCAATTTATTGACTATTTTTATTTGGTATTCATGGGCAAAACCTTGAAGCATATCTTGCTAATTAACGTTCCCGCTCTCTTCTGTGAGCAAAGACTCATTATCATATTATTGTTATAGCTAGTCTTGGTTTTATAGCTACATTTTATTTTATTCCTATTGTTATATTTTATAATTAATTTATGTATTAAATAGTGCTTTTTTATCAATATTTTTTAGCTAATTTTTTTTTAATGAAGTGATGAATAACTTTTTAATTTGCTTTAAAATATACAAATTTTCACATTATAAACAAATTTTGAGAGAAGCTTTAATTGTAATTAAAATTAATACTTTTGTTTACTCATTATTTTTTTTTGATGATGTAATAAGTAGTAATTAAATTAATACAAAGTATGTCTTAAGATCGATCATTAATTAGCTAGCTATCTTATCTATTGAGGGATTAGAATAATTTGCTTTCAATCTTACTATCTATCTAACTAACTATATATATATATTTATATTTTATAAAATTAATTTAAATATTTATCTTGAATCATTCGCTGCAAAAGTTAATAAAATTATAGACGTAAGTAAAATCGAATCAAATTTATTGAAAAACTTTTCTAATAATAAAGTAATTCTTCTTTTCTATTTTAGAAATTTTTCAAAAAATCGAGTCTACATTCAACTAGTTTGAAATTGCTAAATCATTTATTCATAATAGATCTAAAAGATGTATTTAATATTTGAATAGCATAGTTATAATTCTAAATCTTTAAGTAATCAGTTGCTTACGATACATTTTTGGAAATAAATATTTGAAATTTATTACTATTTATTTATATAATTAAATAATTGAAGTTGCTAAAAGAAATAAGTAATGACTATTATCTATTTTAGGTGCCCATTATTATAGATCATAATAAAGATAGATAATTATTAATATCTAAACGCAAACTATAAAATATGCTAATTTTTTCATTGATTTCAAAAACCTAAGTGTTTCTGTAAAAAGAATGTCTAATACATACAAATCAAAAACCCTTTTAATGAATAAATGAATGGACGGAATTTATTAAAAATATTATGAAAAAAAAAAAATAATTAAATTTATATTTGTGATGAAACAACAATTGTTTTTGAAAATAATAAAAATTTTACTTGATTGTTTTTATTTAATTAAAAAAAAAACAAAAAGTAATTTAGAATCTTTAATGTTACAAATTATATTTAAATTTTTACACACCTTCAATAATTTTTTCTAGCCATTTGTTTTTGACTGATATTTATCTTGCCTTTATAATCAATCAAAATAAATTGAAAAGAGAATAATATAATATCTCACAAATTAATAAATAAACCATTAAAAAAAGAAATGAACCTTGTTATTTAAATAATTGTTAATAATTTATTTATTTATTTAGTTGTAAGAATAATTTAAATAAAATGTTAAATTTTGAAAAATAAACAAATAAATTGATATTATTTACTTAAATTCTACTAAGAGAAAATAAATAAAATTTATTAAAATGCAAATAAATTTTATTTTTGATACATTTAAAATTTTAATTTTACTCTGAGTAAATGTTTAATCTTTTGATAGGTTTTTATACAATTAAGAAAGAAAATAAAATCATGATTAAATTTAAAGCCTTTATTTAATCTATGTATCAATCATAAATTATTATTTTATTATTTTTAGATGAAAAATGTTTATTATTATTATTTAATTTATTTATTAAACTATGAAGATACAATAAATATTTTTAGCATGCATAATTTTGTTAGATAAATTGGTAAAGTTTTAGAATTAATCTTCCATTTTTCAATCGATTTAGGCTAAGTCATATAATACATAGCAGGAACTTTAGTAAAGATATTGAGAAACAATACGATTCATAATTATTATTTTTAGGATTGTGATCATTTTGGAGTTAATTACGTTTCTAATAGCTTTGAGTTAATTGTTTTTTTAATGACGATTAACTGGGAGCTTGCTAATCATATCTTAGGGTTAGAGTGTTATTTTGGTATTTACATCAAATTCTTTATTAATAGTATTATATAAAAGAATCAACTATATGTATATATCTGAATTATGTTCATAGCAAGAGTCTATTTATATACTCCCTGCATCTGGAATGATAAATCTCTCTATGAAAAGCATGAGCTCTTTATTATATCTATGGATAAGTACATTGATGTGTCCATATTAATTAAAAATCTTTATTTAATTTGAGATTAAGAAAATGAGTTCTGTTTTTTTGTATTTAATCAGTTCACTCAGAATAAGTTGGAGCTCTTGGGTTTATTCGAACTCATAAATATCCTGATCTGAATAGAATGTTAATTTATAAGGAGATAGCTCGAGCTTTTAAGTTATTAATTTTTAAATCAACAGTCTTCTTTGGTTATTTTTAGATTAGCACTTATTTAATTAAGGAATTTATGACGTAGGACAGGTATTTAAATCTTTTTCTGTTGCAGAATTTACTTCACTTTTCAATTCACTCTCATATTATTATTATTGCTAAAGTTAAATCTCCTACTATTACTACCATAATTCTCTTAAGTTATTTGGAGCAGGATTCAAAGTTTATGGAGAAGTAATGGTTTCTTCTATAAAATGTGGTACGCCAGAAAAAGTTTTGAGACGAATTAGAATTTATTTTGGCTTTAGATAGTAAGTGATCTTGAATAAAGTCATTGATACTCTAATTATAAAAAGAGCAGATATCAAACCTATGACGAATTACTCATGAATGTTAAATTCAGGTAAATTTGAATAGTAATAATATAAAATAATAGCAAGCTGAATTATAAAAATAATAAACTGCTTTAGCAAATCTTTTTTATAAGTGTATGCTACATTTTTGACGAAGTACTCTCTGTGCTTTAAACCAATATAGTAGTTTACTGAATATCCTAAAAAAACCATATCAAAAATTCCTTGATATTAGGCATCAAAATTAGTATTTAGCTATATTGTAATTGTTGCTCCCATTATTGAGCAAATACAGATAAAAGCAGAAGAGAAAATAATGTAAACACCGTCTAAGTGAGTCAACAAGTAGAGAAACATCAAACTATGTGAGCATTTAATTGAAATTTCACATATTAATATCACAAAATCTCTTAATGATAAAATAAATGAGCGACAAAATAAATACACAACAGCAATATGGTAATTAAACCAAATATTGAGCAAGGTTAAAAAACTAATGTAAATAACGAGAACTACTATTTCAGAAGAGTTTTTCCCATAAATATTATTGAGCAGAAGCAAAAAAATACAAATTTTTAAGGTAACATACAATTATCTAAATCTCATATATGAATAAATTGCTTGGATTGATTAATGACAAACTTATTATTCCTTGATTTAGTTTTGATTTGATTCGTATTCCAAAATTCTTTAGGTATATTCTTGCAGTTTGCGAGATAAACACTGAATATAAAATATCTCTAATTGTAATATTCCCCACAAGCAAATTAGCTCCTTATTTTGATCCTGTCCAATAGTTTAACTTAAGTTCTTTTTTTTATGAATCAAGTGGTTTATATTTATGTCATCATAAAATTGATGTGCTTCCCTTTTTAAGTTGAAGGTTAGGTTGATTTTAAGAACTATTTCAACCATTAAAACTGTCATTATGACATAAGGAAAAAATTAATAGACTTCAAACAAATTATTAGCAGCTGTCAATTCTAAATACCCAAAAAGAATAATTGATAAATATGCCTCTAAAGACATAACCATGAGCATAATTCTAGTTTCCTTCTAGTTTAATTTTCTTATAATCATGACTTAATACTCCTATACAAATCCTGGCAATCTTTCTGAGTTAGCTAACATAGTGTCTTTTTCGGTGAGCAATTGCTCACGATCATTGTTATGCAATTCTACTAGATTAACTTAATGCATTTCTTATTTATTTAGCTTTAAATAACTAATCTATGTATGGAAATTTAACTTTTAGAAACTAAAAGTTTATATTATGTTGCTATATTTGTTTTAAAATATCGAAATTATACTAAAAATGATTTATATTGATTTATTTATTTATTTACTCTTTTTTATAAGCTTAGTTATTTTTTTTAATTATTTATTTTTGATCAAAGTTGAGCTTTCTTATGCATCTATTTAAAGAAATAACAAATCTTTATAATAGAACTACTTTTACTGATAAACATAGAATTAATTATATCAAAATAAATCCTAATTTTTTCACTTATATTTAATTATTATCTTAGAAAAATATGTTAGGTCTTAACTACCTTGGCCTTATCATATTTTTTTTAAACTAAGTTAATATTTTTTGTAGTATTTATTTATTTGCGTTTAGCAAATAATTTAAGAAAGTAAGTAAGAAATTTAATTTATGCAATACAAAAATTGCTTATAATAATATATTATATAATTAACTACTGCTATTTTTCTATGCTCGATAATCAAATATTTACTTAGTAATACAATTAATTTTCTATTTTTTAGACTAAACAAGGTAAATTGTTGTTCTTAAATGTGATACCCACTAATTTTTAAAGTATATAAAATAAATTTATTTGCTGAACTTTTTCTTCAAGTTTAATTTAAAATTTCATCTTTAGTATTACTTAGTTATCTAAGAGTTACGTTTTTTTATAAATATCTTTTACTTTAAAAAAGCAAAACTCTAAATGAAAATTTACATTTTTTGCCAGAAGAAAATTAGAGGATTACATTAAAACCAAATATATAAATTAATTGTATTCTTCCTAAAAAATATTAAGATCTCCTACCTTAAATTATTCAAAAGTCAATCAAAAGCCTTTTTATTCTATAGAAAAGATTTTAAAAATATATCTTAAATTAAAAAATCATACTTAAAATAGAAGCACTTATGTCTATTTCTTAAAACTTCATTTTCTTGTAATTCAAAAACATACAATCATGTTGTATTTTCAAATAAAAATAATTTAAAATTAAAGGTTTCAGGGTCATTCCTTTTTTCTTTTTAGGCTATTGGCATTGAGTATCCCCAGTTATCTTTTAGTAATTAAAAGATTATTCAGTTTATACTTATTTAATATTACATACTTACTTTCTTTTTTTCCCCTGATTAAAAAATAATTATTTAAGTAAATAAATGTGTTTGGATTATCCAGTGATATTCAATGAAATTAATTTTTTAAGAGATAAAATTAATTTTGATAATTAAACTATTTTATTTTTAAATTTTACCAAATTATTTTTGGCAATCTAATTTTATTTAAACATACAACAAAATGAATGAAATGATATTTGATTAGTAATCTTAGAGAAGTAGTTCATAAAAATTAATTAATCACAAATAAGGTAAATTAATCAAATACACACGCATGATAAAATGATATGCAATAAAAGTTAATAAAATTGATTTAGAAATATTTTTTCATAAAAATACTTTGAATTAGTAAATAATTTAATTAGTAGGCTTCTTTCAGACATACATAGATTTATTTTAATTAATGAAAAATCTAGGTCAATAAATAAAAATATATATTTTTATAAAATCAAAATTCACAATTAAACAAAGTTTTATAATTTGTTGCTTTCAAAAAAAAGATAATTATTAATATTTTAATTTATAAAATTTGATAATGAATTAAAAAATTTTTTTATTAATCAATCAATAATTATGAAATGCTATTAATATATTTATTTTTTTAAAAACTAATAGCTTAATTTATAAAATCAACAAATCTTTTATCAATATAAATCTTTTGACAAAAATAACAATTTATATGAGCTAATTAATTACAGTTTAGTTAAAAAAAATATTTTTTGATAATTAAATAATAAATTTTATGGTGAGAAAAGATAAGAATTAATTATAAAGTAGAGAAAAATAAAAACTAAAAGATTAATGAGAATAATTAGTTTGGTTTATGTGAAGTTTATTCTATTTTTTAATTTAAATTAATTAATAATAAAATTTTTATTTTTTGAATTTTAGAATAGCATTTTTCAATCAATATTTGCTAAGTCAAAAAGCACATAGCATGGATTTATTAGCAAAGAGGGAGAAATATAATTATTCATAGCTATTATTTTAAGCATGGTTATGATTTTAGAGTTAGTGAGATTTTTTATTACTTTTTAATATTTTGTTTTTTAATTTTGAGTTATTGGAAGCTTATTTAGCATGTCTTAGGGCTAAAGAATCATTTTAGTGTTTAAATTAAATTCTTTGTCAATTGTATTGTAGAGAAGCATTAATTAAATAAATACATCAGAGTTATTTTAATAGCAGGAATCAATTTAAATGCTTTGTGCTTCTGGCATCAAGTAACTTTCTATAAACTCTATTAGCTCCTTGTTATACCTGTGGATGAGTACGTTTATGTGTCCGTACTAGTTTAATATTTTAATTTAGTTAGAAATCAGAAAGATAAATTCAGTCTTTTTGTATTTAATTAGCTCGCTTAACATGAATTTTAGCTCACGACTTTACACTAATTCGTAAATGCCTTATTCAGAGTAGAAGGTTAATTTGTAGGGAGATAGCTCTAATTTAGAAATGATTTTATCTTTGATCATCTTTTCGCGTTGAAGTCTGAGAGCTTTTTCTTTATTTTACTATATTAGCTCTTGCTCCACATCTTTTATTATTATGCTGCAACAGTTCAAACTGCTTGCAGATCCAAATTATTGTTGTTATTTTATTAGAATTGTGTTATTGTTAGGGATAAAGTTTAAAGATTAAGGAGATTTAAGGGTTTCTTCTATGAAATGAGGAATTCCAGAAAAAGTTTTCAGACGTATTAATACTTACTTTGGCTTAAGGTAGTATGAAATTTTGAAGATAGTCATGCAAACTCTAAATAGGGATAACACAGAAGATAATCCTATTATAATCTCTTACTATAATCTTAATCCCGCTATATTAGTTTCATAATAATCAATAATGATTGCAATCTGTATACATAAAATAACTATTTGCTTTAATAGATCTATTTTATACTGATAACCTACTTTTTTAACAAAATATTCTCTATGCTTTAAACCTACATAATAGTTCACAGAGAACCCTAAGAAGAGCATATCAAAGACTCCTTGCTATTGATCATCAAATTCATTGTTCATCTAAACAGTAGTTGCTGCTGCTAGTATGGAACAAACGCTGATAAAAATAGATGAAACAATAATTTTTACGCCACTAATATGAGTAATGAGATAGAGAAACATTGCGCTATGCAAACATTTAATGCTGATTTCAGCGATCAAACTAAGAAAATCGCTCTTAGAAAGTATTGAAGCTCTACAAAACAAGTACACTACAGCAAAGTGGTAGTTTACCCAGGTATTTAGCACTGTTAAATATGCAATATATAAGCATAGAACTAAAGCCTATATGCAATATTCTGGGTAGTTGTTTAGTAATAATAGAAATATGCTTAGCTTCATCATAATGTATAATTATCTAAACTTGATATAGGAATACATTTACTAAATTGATTAATGGAGGGATTCCTATTCTCTCATTTGATTTTACTCGTTTTCATATTCTACTTCATTCAAAGTAAATTCAACCAAGCTCTATAAAAGATTGTTGATGTATAGTATTTCTAACTGAAACAAGCCATGCAACCAAGAAAAGGAGAAGCTACAGCAAAAATTCATCTTGGAATCGTTTTTGTTCTTTTTATTATTCTTATTCTTAACAGTGTTAATGTTGGTATAAAATAAAATTGCTTCTCTCCTTATGTTAAAGTTAATACTTATCTTGAGGATTATTTCTACTAGCAAAACTGTCATAAGCACATAAGGAAAGAATGTATAAACTTCATAGAAATTATCATTATCTGTAAGATACAAATACAAAACTAGTCCTATAGAAAGGTAAAATTCAAGTGTCATAAAGATCAGCATGAATTTAGTCTGTTTAAAATTGAGTTTGTTAACTATCTTACAATGATATTCTTATGTAAATCCTGGTAGTCTGTCTTAATTATCCAGCTTAATATCTCTCTCAGTTAACAATTAATCATTATCATTATGACTAATTTCAATAGGATTATTAACTTAATTCATTCAACCAGTATTTTCTAAAAGAATAAATCTAGCTTTTGTGTTTTTAAGTTTGCTTTTTGAAAATGAATCAATAACTAATTATGTGTTTATAAATATATTCTTTGTTATTAAAACTAATTAGTTTTTAATATATATTAACTTTTAATATTGCTTGAAAAAGATTTATATTTTTTTGATTTGGAGATTTATATTCAGCAATCAAATTATTTATGTGAAATAGAAAGCTAATTATTTCTTTCAATTATTCTTTGGTTATTCTGACGAATAAATAAATAAATATCTATCTATCTTTTAATCCATTACTAATTACTATATCTATCAATCTATCAATAAATCAATTAATCATTAAACAAAATCAGATAAATTTCAAGTAATTAATTCAAGGAGTATAAATTATTAATTTTTTGATAATTATCTAATGATCATGTAAGAAATAAACATTTTAGATTAAAAAAAAATCCAAATGTTACATGACAAACTGCTATCAATGTTTTTCAAAAATATTCCTACTTTTTTATTATTTTTTCACTAATAGATATGGAGTAGATATCATAAAAGCCAAATATATTAAATCCATACAGTAACTATATTAAGATAATGCTTGTTTTGTTGAAAAGACAGATAAATTGAAATTATTGCAAATATTTTTTTCAAAATTGAATTTACATACGATTTAGCAAACAAAACAAAACCAAAATTTTTCTTACACTTGACTTCAAATATGAAGTTTTAAAGTCTATAAACAAATATAGCTTTGGTTTAATTTCCCTAACAAGTACATATGATATTTTGATTATAATATCTTATTTTATCTCTGTATTTATCTATAATTATGAACATTTAAGTGCTGTTAATGAAAAGTAAATTTCCATTCTCCCTCCATCTATTTTTACAAATTACTATTTTATCAAAAGCTCTATTTTAATATAATCGAACTGAAAGAATAACAAATAGCACCTTAATCAAATTTAATAATTTTACATTCAATCAATCATCTAAAAAAGATGATAATTAATTCTAAACAACAATCAAATATTAAAATAATTTGCAAATAAGTATTCTAAAAATGTATGCAGTATCCAATAAATTTTGCTCACAATTATCTGTTTTTTACTAAATGTAATTTTTTTTAAAGGCAAAACTTTAAAAAAATAATGATTCTAAATGAAAGAGTCTGTCTAGAGCTAATTTAAGAAGTTAAAAATTTCAACCAATATTATTCCAATCAATTTGAATTTAAATCAGAAAGTTAAAGCCTAGAAATTTTTTACTAACCAGCTTCGCTTTTATTGAAAAAACAAAGTATAATTATTCTTCTCTATCAATTATAATAAATAAATTTATTCAATTATTAAAAAAAATTAGACTTTAAATTCTTGAAGATCTCACATTTTTCATTTTTTATCGATTGCGTAAAATTAATTTGAAGATATTTTGGAATAAATTATAAATAATACAATAATGTATTTCATACCAAACACTAAATCGTGCTCATGTAATTTTTATTAGCAAATATAATTACCTATCTAGTACATTTAATTTTTAACATCTTGATTACTCTAAATCAAATTATAAATTTACATTTTATGACTGCTGCCATAAAATAAACAAATACATTGAACTCATTTCTATCTTAGTTATATTCAAAAAATATTTACCTTTTTTATTATTACTAAATTATTTTAATTTTAAGGCAGGTTATTTTAAAAAACCAAAATATAATCAACAACTTTTTCATTAGTTTTTGTTACATAGGAGTAAATAAATATTAACCCATTTTCTTCATTAATTTGATATAATTCAATCATTTTAAAAATTATTATTATATAATTCTTGCATATATGACTGAATACTGCCAAGAAAAGAAATGAAATAAAAACATTTAGTTTCCTTTTATCTTAGTTATATTCAAATAGTATTTATCTTTTTTATTATCTTTAATTAAAAAAAAAAGTTTGAAAAAAACCCAAACAAAATCAGTATTTTTAAATTATTTTTTTTTAAGAAATTTTTAAAATAGAATAAATATTAACTAATTTTTATAATTAATTTAATATCAAAAAATGGTTTAAAAATTAACTAATAATATTTTTATATAACTTTGTAACTTTTATAAAATTAATTATTTATATAGCTTATACAAATTAAATGTATCTAATCAAATTAAAATTATAACAATAAAAATATTTATTTATTTTCTTCTAATAAAATTAAAAATTATTAAATAATTTAAATTAAAAGTAATAATTTTTTATTTTATATTCAAGATTCTTATTTATGATTTTCTTTTAAACTAAGAATTTCTAAACTAAATATTAAATTCTATATTAAAGTTATTAATAGAAATTTTTGATATATTTAACAAGAAGAAAATTGGTTCTTGGCATATGTAAAACCCACTTTTTAAAATACCCGAAAAGATAAAAACATACATTTTTTAAAATGACTTAAATAGTAAAAAATAAAAACAAACTTAACAAATGCTAACTAAAATTAATTATTAACAAATAAATATGCAAACTTTACAAAATCAATAAATAAATAATTTTTTGAAAAAAATTTCAATTTAATATAAATTTATTTTATTATTTTAATTTAATTTTAAATATAGTAAAAAAATTATCTTTAATTGCCATTTTAGTAAATTATTTTTAAATTAAAAATTTAATAAGAATAGAAAATTTAATGAAAATCATTTAAGCCATTTAAAAAAATAATTTTCATAATTATTTTAAAATATAAATTTATAAATTTCAAATTAATTTAATATAAATTATAATGTGTTAGTTTTAATTATTGATAATAAATACATTTTTTATTTTATATATTTTTATATTTTTTTTTATTAAAATAAACATCTTCTATGATTAAAATTATTCTAAAAATTATTAATTTTTTTAAAATTTATTATATTAACGCATTTGCTAGAATTATTATGCTAATTTTTATTATTATCATCAAAATTATTTTAAATATAATTTTAATTATTTTTTGAATAATTTTTTAAACAAAAATATTTATTTTTTATTATTTATATTAAAAATATGAAATTATTTTAATTAAAAATATATTTAGAAATATAGATATAAATTATTATATTTGTAAAAGGAAGGGAATTTCTCAATTTAATAAATGGATATTTGTGTGATGTTTTAAGAAGTAAAAATCAATTTTATAATTTTATAATTGCTAGTTTATTTAATTTTTTTTAAAATAGATAAAATTTATTGTTTGTCTTTGAAAAAATATTTTATTATCATTTTAAATTCAATTCAAATTATACACTTTTTTTTATCTAGTTTTTCAATTAAATTGTTTGAATGTGGTTGATAGATAGATAAATGAGTGTTTTAATTATTTTAAAAAGCAAATTCCTTTTTATAAATAAATGAAAGTTTTTTCTAAAAAAAATTTAAAAAAAAAGAATTAAATTGTTTTATTAACAATTTTTAAGTTTTATTTCATTAATCTTTTGTTTTGGCAGTCATTTAGAATAACTTTTTTAAAGTTTCTTTTATCATTATGATTATTTGATGATTTTTTAATGTTGGTAAAAAATAAAGTTAATTTCATCATTTCAGTCAATAAATGATTATTCATTTTCAGAAATGGATATAATTTTAAATGTGGGAGTTTGGAAAAAATTTAAGACATATATTTGAATAAAATTGTATCCTTTATCATACATTTTTGGGCTTTGCGCGTGCCTAAATTTAACATACAGATATATAGATATACTTTCTTTTAAAACTTCAAGAATAAAAGACGTTTTTGATAAAAAATTTTTATTCGTTGGAGGATGAAAACGGTAACATTCTTTCTTTGAAATTAATATAAAAATTCTGTTTTTAAAAAAGAAAAGACTTTGCAATCTTTTTCTTTGTCAAATCTCTATGAAAAAAAGCAAATAAGTTACTAATTATGTTTTTTGTTTGTTTGTTTTTTATTTGTTTGATTATTCAATCAATCAATCAAAACTAAATAAAGGAAAAAATAAGTCATTCAAAATGCATAGGAAAATTTGTTTTTGGAGGAGATGAAGGGAAAGGAAGAAAGAAAAAAAAATTAAAAAACTGAATTTAATATAAATAAAATATAACAAAAAAATATTAAAACACACAAGAAAAAAAATAAATAGAATGAGAGTTATTGCTGCCCTCCTCGTTATTGCACTTGTCTGTCAAAGTGCTATGGCTGTTACTTCCAAGTCCCAAGCCAAGTTGATGATGGAAAAGATCAACTCTAAGTTGGAAAAATCCCACCTTGGTCGTGCCTTAAAGGGTATGGTCACCATTGCCACCAAGCTCGGTTATGACTACTAAGATCTCTATGATGCCTTCGCTGCCCTCAAGAACTAATTATTAAACAACCTTGACAACGAAAATTCCTTATTCGAAACCTAAACCGCTTCCCACGACAGTGCTGTTGCTCAATTCAACGCTGACATCAGCAACTACAACGGTCAAGTAAAAAAAAATACAATTTTTAAAGAAATATAATTTGTGAATAATTAGATTCTCATCCAAAAAAATAAAATAAAATGAATAATATTTAAAATAAACTAATAAGTTGTTTCTAATTTCACCAACAAACCAAGCAATTAATTGATTCATTGATTGATTGATTCTAATATTTTACATTTTATAAATAGATTAACGATGCTTAAGCTTAATTAAACGACCTCAACGACTCCTTGAACACCTACTAACAAAACTTATAGGATGCTCAACAAGCTCTCTAAGACAACACTGATGCTCTCAATGCTGCCGAAGAAGCTCTTGCCAATGCTGAAGCTCTTTACCAAGTTGCCACCGCTGAATACAGCAATGCTGATTAAGTTATCGGACTCGCTGTTGAAAAACTCCAAGAAGCTTAATCGTAAACAAATAATTATCTATTTATTCATTTTGCTTTCATATAATTTGCTTTATTAGCAATTAAATGAAATGTTATATCAATCAAGCTTTTGCAATGCATCAATAATTAATTTTTTTACAAATAATTATAGCCACTACGACAATGCTGACCTCGGATCTTTCTCCTTCGTCTAAATCAAGAACACCTTCGTTTCTTTCGCCTAAAAGGTCACTGAAGCCACCAAGGGAATGAATGCCAAGCACTAACTCTTCGTCAAGCCTGTCGTCTAAGCTATGATGTAAGTTAAGAACAACACCAGTTAATCCTCCATCTAAACTGCCATCAAGGCCCTCCAAGACTTACAAGCTTACTTCCAAAAGACCTTCTCTGATCTTACCAACGAATACGTTAGCTTCACCTAAAACGTCTAATCCACCATTGATGGTCTCAACTAAATTATCGATATCTTACAAAACTAAGTCATCCCTGGATACGAAGCTCAAATCAGCTCTTTACAAGCTCAAATCTAATAAGTTGAAGATGCTCTCGCTCTTGCCTAACAAAACTTACAAGATGCTTAAAACGCTCTTGATGCTGAAAACGCTCAATGGGAAAACGTCGTAGCTAGACACTAAGCTCTCGTTGACAGAATCAACTCCGAATACGACCTCGTTACCCAAGCTGACAGAATCGTTAGAAACGCTCAAGCTTAAGTTAACGGCTCTGACTGATCAATTTGATTTGTTAACTCACTCAATAAAATTATATAATATGATTTTACTTTATGTCTAATCATGTATATTTCGTGTTTTATCATGAATGAATGAAAAGTATTGATTTTATCTCTTAAATGAATACATTGAAATACCTTTTTATATAAATTTTACTTTCTATTTGATTTACTTAACTTTTCAAATATTTCTTATTAATAGCTTTAAAATACAATCTACTTACTAACCTACTAACTATTTATTAGTGGCTACATTTTTTACATAATATATATTTACTAATATCCTTAAAAAGTATATCTATCTATGATTGTGCGAGTGTGCTTATCTCAAATAATTTTAATTAAATAGCTATTGGATATATATTTTAGTATTATTAATAATTGTTCATAGATTATATATTTTAAACAATTTTTAAATAGGATTTCATACTCCCTAAATAGAGTAGAGTTAATCATATTTGTAAAAAGATATGAAAAAGAAAGAGTTTATTTGTTTGTTTGTTTATTTTTAACTGATCAAAAGTGATTCTTGATTGATTTATAGATAAATACAATTATTTTATAAATAATCTTGAGACTCTCAATAAGATTAAAAGTAAAAGGAAAAAGAAGTATAGTATGGTATAAATTAATGAACAAAACTAATTAAAAAAATAATATTGTAATTAATTAATGATAAAATAATATTTCAAATGCTTGAGTTGCTTCTAATAATCATATTTATTTATTTATGTATATATATATTTATTTGCCCATTTTAATTTGAATTTTTAATTAAAATAACCTTCTAGGTTCATTTGTTGGCTAATTAAATTTATTTGAAGTGTTAGTAATTCTATTTTTTATTTTGAAAAAAAGTATTTTTGGAATTAATAATCATCCAATCATAATTTAATAATAATATTTGAAATCAACATGAAAAATACATTTTTTTATTCTTTACAAAGTTATTAATTGATTGATTCAAAAGAAAAAATAAATATTTTATCATAAAATTATTTGATATTTTATAAAACACAATAATTTTTTATTTTTAGATGTCACTTTGATTTTTTATTAATGAAATTAATTTTATCAAACACTCTTTAGACAAAAAATATAATAAAAAATATTTTAATCAACTAAATATTTAAAAATTAGTATTTCAGATGCTTAAATTTCTTTTCAAAATGGCTTTTATTTATTAATTTGTTTGTTTGTTTGGTAATATATATAATTTGAATTTTTATCAAAAATCTAGATTGTTCTTTTGGATATTTTTAGTTTTTTTGAGTAATCCAATCCTATTTATTACTTTTGGCAATGAATATTTTTGGAATAAACATGTATTTAATTATATTAACAATTTAAACAACAATAATATAAAATTATTATTAATTTAAACAACAATAATTTAAAATTATAATTACATTCATAAATTAATTCAAAAAAATAAATTTATCATAAAATAATATTTATTATTTACAATATTTACTTTTAGAAATTATAATTGTTCATTAGATTTTTTTGAGCAATCCTATTTATTATTTTTGAATATGAATATTTTTGGAATATACATACATAAATTAAATTACATTAATAATAACATATTTAAAGAACAATAATATATAAAATTATTATTGCATTTAAGTTATAAATTGATTCAAAAAAAATTTATCAGAGAATTATATATATTATTTACAATATTTACTTTTAGACAGACGACTTAATAATTATTTCGTTTTTATATTTCATTCTTATTTATTTTTATACATTAAATTAATTTTATTAAACACTTTTTAGACAGACAGACAGACAAACATTTTTTCCTAATTTTTTTCACTTTTTTTATTGGCTGGTTTTATGATTCTAATTATTACTACTTTTAATCACTTAGAATTGATTTTACTTTGCCTTTTCTAGAATAAATTTATAGTAGTGAACTAGCTCATTGCTGCTCAACTATTCTACATTTACATCGTCAGCTGCTAAAACCATTTAAGAGTTGTTATTGATGTTTTTTGAAGGACTAGATTTCTCTATTTTTGTATATTTATGAGTGCTTTCTAGCTGATCTTAGGCTCCTTAACTCATTCTCAGATCTTCATCTCTGAAAATTTGTAAATATGGATCATTCTTGTCAACATTCATAAATTAAGATGAAAGCATTTTTTGGGAACTAAATTAATTATTGACATTATTACTATTAAATGAAAAGTAGTCCTATTCAAACTAATCTCTATCATTTTTATTATTTAATAGCAAAATCGAACCTCTCTATCCTGATTTATTTTACTTTCTCATTTCTGGCGAATGATTGTTTTATTTCAGCCTTTCAATTTAATCTATTTATTTGTTGTTTTAGTGTATTTCCTCTTCTGCATCATTTAGATTAATTTAATAGTGCTTTGGATCTTCTTTATCATTTTTAGAGTTGTAATTCTACATATTTTGTTTCATAAAATTTATAGATTGTTAATTGTAAACTCCATTCAATTCTTCATGCTATTAAATCATTGATTTTCTTGGTTAACTGTTCATTAAATGATTTTAGGTAACATTCTAATCTAAATGCTCTTAGTTATTTAGACTGTTTAAAATATTATCATTTGTGCCTCTCATTCCTACCTTAGAAGCAGGTCTACTACCATTCAAACTTTCATTTGGGAGTAAAACAGCTGAGTAATTATGATTTTATTTAACTTTTAGTTTAATGTCAGGCATATTTGATAATCTTGAATTTCTAAAAAAGCTCAACCGATCATTTATTGATGCATCACTAAGTGAAACACTTTTATCTGGAGTATTCGATCTAGAAGACTAATTTTTTTTATTCTACCTATCTTTCGTATTTTTTAATTACTATCCTTCTTTTTTATTGCTACTTAACGATCTTTCGTTCATCGATATTTCACTTTATGTCATACCTGCTCCTTTAGGAGCCATTTATACACCTTTCTAAATTGTCTTGCTTTGAAATGATGATTATAGGGTTGAATTCTTAAAGCTGTTTATTGTATTGTTTTAAAAATTTTTTTGTTTGCTCTGCTCAGAGTTTGGAAAGAAGTCATCTTTGGTAAAAAAACCAGGTTTATCAGGTGTAAATTCGTTCTTATGCTTGGATTTACTTTTGTCTGCTGATCCTTTTGCTGTGATAATTTTCGAAGGAGTTACCTAAACTTTTGATTTATTTTATTCTGTTTAATTTTTTGCAGGCGAAAAGTCTTCAATAGTAAACGCACCTGTCTTTTCAGGAGTAAATTCAGTTTTATTCTTTTTTTCTGGAGCTATTTTATCGTTTTTTGTTTTAGTTGGAGTTGCTTATAATTTAGATTAATTTTAATCTGTGAAGTTGCTTAAAATTACACTTTTTCTGGGTTAAGATTCATTTTTTGGTGGAGATTAATAAGTTTTTTAGGATTTTGGATTTGCTTAAATAGCTGTGTAATTATACTGATCTTAAACAACAGGATATTGGACAGGATTCATATAATTATTTTAAATTTTTTTGATTATTTCTGCTGACGATGGAAACTTTTCGAATTAGCTCTTTCTTGTATTTTCTTTTTTCTTTTTAGCTGATGGCGTATTATAAATTAAATTTTCATCAGTTAGTTATTTTTCGCCTTTAGGTTGCTCATTTTTATTAAAAGAGGCCGTTTTCATGTTATTCAGCCATAAAGCCTGTGACTAATTAAATTTATCAGAACTTTATTTCTTGTTTTGAAGCTTATTTTCACCCAATATAGTGCTTTTACCAAATATTTCTTAATTTTTATTCTTCTAAAATATATTGCTTGCTTCAAAATTCTAATTTACAGTTTTTTTTCTATCCAGGTTATTTGATGAGTTACTCCTGTTTTTAAAAGCAGAAGCATCTTCGACAAGATTGATAGTGAATTAATTCTATATACCTTTATTGTCAACTTTTTGCAAGGCAATTATTTTCTTTTCAGGAGTAGCTTACTCCTATAGATTTTAGCCATTCTTTTTTAAAATTAATGTAGTATCGAAATTAAGTTTCGTACTCTTATTAAATTAGCTGTTTATATTAGGAGAGCTCTGCTTTTGCTATGGTTATATAGTTTATTTTTCGTTCTCTAAGCCCATAAAAGCAGTCTTATTAAATTAATCTTAGTCTTATTATGACTTAAAAATCTCTTTCTGCTATTTTTTTTTCTTTGAGTTTGATGTTTAAGGTCTATTTTTGATTAGCTCTATCATAGAAATATCTATCATCTCCCTTGTGTTAGGGGATTCTGGTGTGCGTGAGCGATTAAGTCTCCATCTAGTCTAGAAATCTGTTCTATAAGGCGAAGACTCTGTGTTAACATAATTTCTATTTTAACTCTACTATTTAGATTACTTCTTTCCACTATTGCTTGCTTAATTTTACTATTGCTATTAAAGTTATTGTTACTAACTGATTATTGGAGCAGCTTCTTCTACTTTTTAATTATAATTTAATTTACTTCCAGGCCTAGATTTTGAATACTGAGACTACTAAGAACTTTAATTCTATCTACTTATAGCTCCTGCTTTTTCACTATTGTTTTATTTAATACCGCTAGTAATATTATTATTCTAACCATTAATAACATTTTCGCTTAGATTCTTTGTAAGTTTTTACTGTGAAGGAGATATTGATTTCCTTTTTTAATCATTCAAATACTAAAAAACATTGATTTTTTCATTTAAATATTGCTAAAATTTATTTTGGTTTCCATTTTCTTGCACATTATTTTCTTGCTTTTTATTGCTTGGTTATTATTTAATACCTTATTTGTTATTTTTTTCATTGCTGCTGTTATTATTTTACTATGCTTGATTATTTTTATTGTCCTTTTAAACTAACTTTTATGGTGATTGTGATTTATTATTTTCATTTTTATTATCATCCTGCGTTAATTTTATTGTAGCTTCATAAACTCCTTATTTATTCAAGATAAAGCTAATATCGTTTTCAATCAAAAACTACTACAATTTCTTTTTCTCATTTAAGTTTTGCTGATTAAAAGATATGATATTCTAATTTTCTAACAAAGACATCTATTTCATTATGAATCTTGCTTTAGCTTTATAAATAAACGAACTAATATCAATAGCTTGCTCCCTATATGGATAAATGCTAAATAAAATAAAAAGATTTCCAATCGAATTTATTAGAAATGGCTCCTTTCACTTTTAATTCTTCTATCAGTAAAAAAGTATTTATAGACCTAATTAAATTTTGTATTTACTGCAACTTTCTAAAGAGATATTTATTTTTTCGTTTAGAATTTAATTAATGGTAATTAATAAAATTTATTAATAATAAATTAGTCAATCTAATTATTTCTTAATCATTATTGAAATTAAACATTTATAAATAACTTTAAAAGAAATAATTTAGCTTTACTTGATTTTTATGAGTAAAAATAAATATTTTTTTATTTAATCTAACTAAAGTAAGCTATATATTTATTTTCTCCAATAATATTTATCTATAATTTTTATACCTTCAATATATCCACCAACATCCAACAAACAAATAAAAAGCAATAAATTAATTTTTAATATTTTTATTTTTAAAAATATTTTAAAATGCATTAATATTATTAATTTATTTTACCTTAATTTATACTTTATTTTAAGCTAAACGAATCTTTATATTCTATCTAAGGTCTTTTTAAGAACAAAGTAATAAAATAAAAAAACATTGTCATAATTTAAAGTGATGAAATAGTTATTTATGTAGGTAGCTAAGAAATGTAGGTACTAAATATAAATTTAAATTTTTATAAATATTTTTTTTAGGTTCTATTAGTGCTAATAAATGAATATTTATTTATTTATTTGTATTTTTCTTTTTAATTTTGAAAATATTTTTATTGAAGATTATATTAAACGATAGATTTTAATTTAGGTAGATATAAAATATACATTTTAAAATACAAGCAAATGCTATAATATTATCTTATTTTTAATTAATTTTATAAAATTTTTTATTGTATAATTCTAATTTGTAATCCCTCTTTTGTTTATATAGTTTATTATTTAAATATAATTTAGACTAGACTAGAATACTGAGTTACTTCTCTTTAATTAGACGAGGGAAAATTGTCAAATAATAAATCGAATATACTTTTTATTTAAAATTTAAATTATGTATCTCTTAGTATAGAGCTGTTTGTCTAAGCAATAGAAACTAGCTACCTCAAATTAAAAATACTTAAATTTGATTGATAGTTCCTAGCTAAATTTTTGAATTATTTAGACTTAAGTGTTGATAATATGATAATCTTAGATATCACTGATAAGTAAATGCAGCTCTTAATCTTTTCCTGCAATTTGAAGAGATACTTGTGATGAGATTTTATTAAAATGTAATCTTAAGAAAGTTTTTCAAAAAAATGTTTATGTTATTAGAAGGATTTAATTTTTTAATATAAGATGGTTTGTTGGTTGATTTGTTGGTTGGTTGTTATAATAATAATATATTTTTTAAAATTAACAATCAAAGATTGATTAATTTTTTATTACTTGATGAAATTTTTTTTCACAAGAATAATACAATCTTGCTTATTCACTGAGTGTTAGATCTTTCCTTCAAAAGTCTTCTTTCTATATCATCAGCAACTATCTGTTTTAATAAATTAAAATATTAATCATAAAAATTTAAGACATATAAATGGTTAATTTACCTTAAGGGATTCAGATGGAAGACTAATACAAGCAGGAATACGTGATATCAAACTTTATTGATTGTTTTAACTTGAGTTATTATTTTTTATAGATTCAGGAATGCTGTTTTCAACAGATTAATTTAAAGGAGATGGCAACTACAATGGAGTTGAAGAGTTTGAAGATGAATCATTCAAAAAATTGTTTAAATTGCTATGGAGATACTTATCTATGTAATATTGCTAGAAAGTTTAAAAGTCTCTCTCATTCTCAAGCTTTATTTGGAGTCTCTTTTAAGATCCTTTGCAGAAGAGAAGCTCCTTAATCTTTTGAGGATTATCTTTTTCTTCTTTATGGAATTTGTTCTATATTTTTAAATAAATAAATAAATAAACAAATCAATTAATTAATCAAAAATAATCAATTATTTGTATTATTTTCTTTCATTAAACTTGAGTATTTTAAAAAAATAAAAGCTATTTTTATTTATAATTTAGAACTTTAAAGCATTTTATCTTGGAAATTTTTATTAAAAGTTGTTAAGTGCCTTTATTTATTCATTTTATTTTTAAAAAATTTGATTGTTAAATTTAAAAAATTTCTAAAATTTATTAATTTTTTTTGATTTTCTTATTTGATAAAAATATCTGATTGTTTTATTAATAAAAACATTTTAAGTATTATTTTATAAAAAATATCTCTTCGCTTTGCTTAAAAAAATTTCTTGTTGTTTTATTTTATAAAAAATATCTCACAATTTATTTACTCAAAGAACTAATTTTAATTTCAAAAAAATTTTTTTGCACTGAAATTAAAAATTTGTTTTAGATTTAATGAATTTTATTGATTTAGACTTGATTTATAAATATTATATTTTTAATATTTTTTATTAATTTTCAATTGTTTTCATTTGTTTAATATTTCAATTTAAAAAATGAAACTAATTATTTATTTATTTATTTACCTTTATTTAGGTAACAGTTTTCTTGTCAAAATACTGTTAGATGGTTGTGAAATCAGTTCCAAAGCATTCTAATAAATCATACAACCTTTATAATTCTTGTGGGGTCCACTTTTTATTTTTGTTGTTTGCTTTTTTTCTTTATATAGCTTTCTCCTCTCTGTCAAGAGTTTGTTGCTTTTCTTAGTTTTCGAGCCAGTCACAAACGGAGTTGTTTTCATTATTTGAGCTATTCTTGTTACTAGTTAAATTTGTTAATGCTCCAAGTGAACCAAATAAATTTGAATTTGAATTCTATTGCTGGATGCGAGAACTATTCTTTCTAGGTCTGATAGATTTTTAAGGTGGAGTGCTTTTACTGCTCTATATTATTTAAATTTAAATGATTATGATATTATTCTATAAGAAATAAGTAAAATAATAAAACAGGAGATAGATATGAAGGTCCATAAAAAATAAATTTGAAGTGATATAAATTTTTTGATTAGAATTAATAAGAAAAAAGATATTTATTTATTTAGTTATTTGCCCATTTATTTTAGTTAGCTTTTGAAATTTAAAAAAGTTAAGCTCAATAAAATTAACATAGTATAATTATTCTTATTTATCAAAAGAGAAGTTGAATTGGAAATCATAATTCAAATATTATTGATTAAATATTCAATCAATCAATCAAACAATATTTTTTGCAAGGGCTAATTATCTTTCTTCAAAGAAATCTATTTGATGGATATTTAAATGTGTGATGACTAAGTCAAATTTTGAGCTGAAAAAAAAATTATATTTCTGCCTTGACAAAAAAGTAGACTATACAGCGAGTCTCTACCAATATTTTAAATTTACAAAAAGTATATAAAAATATATAATTTTGCAAGAAAGTATTGATAAATTTTTTAATGAAATGGGGCACTTCACATAAAATATTTAGGATTTTTTTAAAAAAGCAGATTTTTAACTTGAATATGAAATTTTTATTTATACGAAGTTGTTATTAAATTTACCTTTGATAATGTTTCATCGATAATGTCACCAAGAGTTTGTTGATGGCTACCAATTTTTTCATCAATTTCTTTTAAATCTTATGGAATCAAGGGCATCAATTAGTTTTGATTTCCCTCGCTTTCAACCTCCATCAACTTGTTTTCATCATTTTAATCTCCTTACTTAATTCATTTAATACAAAATAATTTTATTTTTAGATTTTGAAATTCTCATTAATGAATCCAAGAATTAATTAAATTTACCTCGTTTGGTAATGAGAGAGGAGCATTTGCTGATAATGAATTGGTGTGAATGTCATTTTAGTGTAAGTTAATAACTAAATTGTTTGTGCTAGTATTGCCTATTTAAGACCAAAACTCTGCTGTGATTGCCCCTAACTATTTGTCAATGTCCATCTATCGATTTACAAGGGGAGCTCGCTTTGTGCTGCTTCAAATAAATAAGTATTTTGTGTTTGATTGAAAGGTTAAATCTGCTGCTGTTGCTTTGTTAGTTGTATTCAAGTAAGTTGTGATTTGCGATAATTCCCCTTGAAAATTCTAAAAAGATGGACGCTTTTTGTTTAAATAATTATAGATCTCGTGAGAGAGATACTTGTAAATGGTTATTTTTTTCCTTAAATATTGCTTAAATAATTCTTTTTGAGATTGAAAGCCTTTATAAGCTGACTTGCTTCTCTCCTAATTGTTTGGTTTTGTTTGCCTTTTTGTTTGTTTGTTTATTTGATTATTAATTCTTCGAAGTATTACTTTTTAAAGTTAGCTTAATGCAAATTGATTGATTTATTAATTAATTTTTTCTCTTGTAGTCTTCTTATCAATCAATATAAATGAATTAAATATGTATCAGTCTATTTTTTGTTTCCTTTGAGTTATGTCAATTAACTCTTTGTCTCTCTTTAGTTTATTAATTAATTAATTAATTAATTATTTAGTTTGCTTTTCTTTTTATTTATTTCCTAAATAAATATTATATTTTTTCGCATTGATTTTTTATCTGTATTTTGTTGCAGTCTCTCTCTCTTTCAAATTATTCTCATATTTCTCTATCTCATCCAATATAAAGGAGCTCAATCAAATCAAAATATCTCTTACTGATACAAGCAAATCTTTAAATTTTGCACATAATAAATAATTACACTTACAAGCAAAAAACCATTTATTTCTTCATCTTCAATACTACAAAGCAATATATCTATCAGATTTTACGATATCTTTTCTTTATGAGTGGATTTGGTGTCAACTAGATCCTTGCTTATTAGCAAAAATCAACTCATTTTTTACTAGGAATTATTTTAACTTGCATATCAACTATTTTTTATTTTTAATAAAATTTCGCTAAATTATTTGCAGGCAGACAGACAGACAGATAAACCTATCTCTTTTTTTCAATTGTTAAAATTCATATTGAAAATGTATTGAAATAGAAGAATAAAGGAATAAGAACATAATTGAATAACTTAAATATTAAAAATAATTTTTATTAATTAAGATTAATCCATAAATTTAAAACTAAATTGAATTAAGTAAATATAAAAATTTATCCCAAAAACAAAAACTTGTTCTAAATTATTTTGTATTTAAATCAATAAATGATTATTAATAGATTAATGAACGAATTTCCCATTTTTACTTTTGAACGTCATTTATTTATTTATTATATTTCTTTCTTTACATTTTTTAAAACATTTGTTAATGCAAAGAAGGGGAAAAAGTCTATCTATCAATCTATTTTTATATTCTTCTTAGCTTTTATTTTAGATTTACTCTACCTCTTTTATAGTCTTTGCTAGTCATAAAAAGACATTTTAAATATAATTCAAAATTGAAACTTTCTTTCTTTAAATGTATTAAAATAATATTTTAAGAATTGGTAATAAGTAATAAAAGATTCCAATAAGTTGATAATAACTTTAAATAATAAATTGTATTCATTTTTAAATAATTCTTAACATATTTTTCAATCATTTAAATAGAAAATTTTTTTTGTGTATTCTCGTAAAAATTAAAACCCATGATAATCTTAAATGAAAAAAATAAATAAATAAAAAAAATTAGAAAATTTATAACCATTATAAGATAAATTGACTAGTTAACATTTAACGATTGAAATTCAACTCTTGAATGTTATTTTTATCTATTTTGTTAATAATTACTAACCTTTTTCCCATAAATAGAAAAGAATTTGGGGGAAGGAAATAAATCAATATATTATAGTTTCTACCAACTCTGTTTTGGTTAATTACGATATGACGAATAAATTATTCTTTCACGAGCTGCTTTAACTAGAAAAAACACTATTTACACTCTAAGTGAGATAGAATAATTTGTTTTTAGACTCATTTCCATTATGATTAGCATTTCATCTCTAAAGTGTCTTTTAGAAAATTTCCTTCCTTAATCAAATCATCTAAAAGCATAAATTAAATACTCTTTAGTATCTAAGATAACAATAAATGTATAAAAAAGTAAAGTAATAGAAGTATAATATAGAAAGATCTTACCAAAAAGAACGAACCATATTTTACAAATCTACTCTAAAATATCTATTATTTAAGTTATATAAAAATCTAAAATATTTATTGTTTTCTTATGTAAGAAAGAGTTTACTTGTAAATCTTGAAAAAGAAACAATAAAACATCAAATGAATATTATTATATTAAAAAATAATATAATAAATTTAACCAAAATACGAAATAATAATGTTTGTTTTTAGAGTATAAAAAATTTACACCAATATATTCTTTTTAAAATATAAAATAATTTACATTTCAAATTTCATTTAATTTTACTAAAAAGTTTCTTGAACCCTTTTCTAATTAATATGTTAAAGAATATCAAGTTGATTTTATTAAATTAAATGCTATTCAAAAAATTGAGTAGAAGTAATAAATTTTTAACAGTTTTAAATTTTCTTTATTAATTTTATATAATAAATCCATTTTAATTTTTATCAAAAATTAAATAGCTTTTTAGAAAATTTGTATATTTTTTATAAGCATTTCATTAACATTTTTAAATTTAAATTAAATTATCTAAATATGTTTTAAATATAAAAGTAAAAATTATATTTTAAAATGTAAATCACTTACTTAATCATAAAATAAATTTATAGAATTTTCTCTGTTAACACGAAAAATTATCAGAAATAAATAAACTTGATTTAACTTGAAACAAAACAAAAATATTCTATTTTAAATTTATTCATATTAAAATTAAACTAAAAACTAGTTATATTCATTATTTTTCTATAGATTTAGTTACTTTTCATTTTTTTTAGAAATAATTTGTCTTTTATCATACATTTCTTGTAAAAAATATTTATTAAAATACTCTAGATCCTCATTAAAATATAAATATGGGACCCAAATCTTCAATCTAGTTAGCATTCAATATTATTTTTTTACCATTTAAATTTTTTAGATCATCATTTTGTTAAAAAATGTATCAAAATGATTAAATTATTTTTAAATTAATGCTTGAATGGAAAATTAAAAATAATGTTTCAAATAATATTTGAATGAATGTCTCTTCTTACAATAATATTTATTTGTTAGAAGTACTTGACATTTGGTTTTCTCAATTTTGTGATTATAATTTTTTTAAAATTATACCTTTAGTTTCATTAATTGCAAACATATCAGTTGACCCTTTAAAGTTGAACACCTTAAATTATTTTACATTACAATAAAAGGCCACTTAAAATCATGAAAATATGTTGTAATTTTTTCATCTATTTACTCAACTTAAATATTTTTTTATTCCTAAACTTTTATGTTAATTATTAAATTTACTATTTATATTGAGCTATTTAATTAAGAACCTAATAAATAATATTAAATTTAGCAATTAATTAATTATAATTTATAAAATTATATAAATTAAAATTTTAAAAGAAAAACAAATATAATAAAAATCATAAATAAATAAATATTCGTTATAAAATACAACTAATTTAAAAGGTCGTTTTGAATATATTCATTGATTTTATTGATAATTAGATAATTCAAAATAGTAAAATAGAACAAATAAATTAAATACAAAAAATTAATTAAAGTGCTTAAAAATTGAAAACAAAAAATTTACTGTCTTCTATGTATTTTGTTTTTAGTAGCTTGAATTCATATTAAGAACTGTATTACAAATTATAAAATAAATTTGCTATAAAAAATTAAGTTTATGTTACAAATCAAAACATGGATTTTAAATAAGGAAATGAAATAAATATATTCAAATAAATTAGGGCTGTTAAATATAATTAGAAAAGAAATATCGCGATTATAAAAGAATAAATCTAATTACAAAGAGGAAAATTTACTTTTTTGATCAGCTTCACAGAATAGCTTGATTTAATTGCTTAATAATATTTAACTGGCATTTTTTAAATAAAAAATTTATAAAATGCTGGAATATCTATCTATAAAAAGTATTAAAATTTAAATTTTAGTAGATGAATAAAGGAGATAATTTTATTTTATTTTTTTTTCTTTGGATAATTTTTTGCATTAATTTATATTTTTATTTTGATTGCTTGTGTTGTAATGAATTCTACTGAAAAATGTCAAATTTATTTAACATTAGATTATAAAATGAAAATGGACTTAGATATAACTTGGTTAATTGCATAATAAAAGATACTAAAAACTAAAGGTTAGTATGTAAGAGCAAATAAACATTTACATACGCATACTGATGTAAATATCAATTTTTATCATGTTCCACTTATTATAAATATCACAATTAATAAGATTCTCACAATTTTTACTTTTTTATTTTAGTTAGTATTTAATTTGAAGTAAATCAATATAACAAAGTAAACAAAATAAGGTATAATTGGCCTTTGGATTACTAAAACAAAGTAAATTTAACAAAAAAATAAATAAGTGTTTCTAACTTGTTTAAATATAGTTATAATCAACTTCTTCATTTTATTTCGCAAAGGTTCTACTAATTATCATTCACTAGTAGTCCTCTTCAAAAGGCAATTAATAAATATAAAATAAATACAGCTCATTAATATAATGAAATCCTTAAACTAGGTTTCTTAGATCATTTAAATTCGGTGTTTATTTAGAGTCATTTTGGTTTTATAATCTATTATCTAAATAATAGTTGCGGCTGATAATGTTTTGAATATTTATGTTAATTCTGATAGCCCATCAAATGGAGATGGTTCACAAGCCAAGCCTTACTAAGATTTATTTTATGCTATGAATATTATTTCTAAGGTTGTCACAGAGTTTCCTCAATAAGACGATTAAAGCTCAAACCCTTAAATAGATATTAATGCTGCAAATTCTTATGTTATTTATCTAAATGCAGATGCTCAAAAAGCTTACAATATGTTTAATCCAGCAAACTCTCCTAAATCTTATTTGATTAATTCTGCATAGGCTGTTAGTATTATGCAATATTCAAGTGGAAGTTCTGTATAAAATAAGCCTACAATTCAGTTATAAGATTTTTTATAGGTTTAAAATACCTCATTTTCACTATTTGGTTGCAAGTTAGTTTTTATAATAAATGATGCAAACAAATTGATGTAACAGCAAACAAAACAAATATGTTAATTAGATCTCATAGGTTCTATCCCATAAGTGAATTAAGTTACTCTCTAAATACTTGATTAGACAACTGGAGGTTACATTCCAACTGAACAATCGATAATTAAATTGGAAAAAAAGTTAGAAGCTGAAAGAAACAAAATAAATAGAGATTATTTAGATAATTAAGGAGCTTAGAGTGAACACACAAATTAGCATGAAAAGCAAGATATCTCTTCAGGTTAAAAATAAGTCTACTTGTAAAGATCCTTTTTCTGTACTCACTAACAAAAGACTCTAAATGCTTTTAATACTAAATCTCCTTCAGATTTGTAAAAACAAAAAGGATTATTAAACAACACAAATTTAGGAAATCAATAGTATGACTAAGACTAAATAATAGATAACAAATTTTATATTAAAAATACTACATAAAATTAAGAATTAAAAATTTAAACTAATAGCTTGAATGATAGTAAACTAAAGTTAAGCGATCCTTCTTAATGCGCATTTAATCAATTAGATATTATAGATTCATATATTAAGGTAGACTCAGAAAACTTTTACAAAATATGGGTAGGAAGCATAATAGAATTAAATTTTGCAAGCAATGATATTTTTGATATAAACACATGTGAATTAAGCAACATTTAAGTCAAAAATCTCTAGTTAGCTAGCGACATAGAAGGAAGTATTTTTAAATTGAACTACAATAGTTAGTAAGACGTTGATTTCTAGAGCAATGTTGTAAAAAATATCTACATTGATACCTGCACTCTTTACATGGTTAATATTTTTGAGCTAAATTTACTTTAGAGCGAGATGAAAGAGTGCATATTTAAAAATTTTACCCTTACTAATTCTTTATTATAAAGCTCTGTTGGCTTAGATTAAAGCGAGTTTATAAAGATAAGTATTTAAAACACACAGTCATCTATTAAAAGATCTCTTTATTTAATTGATCATACACTAAAAGGCAATAAATTTATTAATGGTAGATTCTTCTCAGTATAACCTGAATTATAAACAGAACAAGTTAGGACAATCATTCAAAACATAACAATAGACAATAACTACGCTGTTAACACGAATTCTTAAGAAGTTTAAATGTTTAGTAATGCTACTCAAATAAACATTTTTGATTCAAATATACAGAATAATGTTTTTGAGTAAATAGTGGTATTTGAATCTAACTTCTTCCAAGTAGTGGATACTATAGTATTCAACAACAACTAAGTTTACAATAACACCCTAACTAATTCTGTTTTTTACTCAGCTAATGTTATGGATGCATCCAAAGTATAAATAGAAAATAATTTGTTCTACCATAATTACTAGATCTATAACGAATCTTTATGCATTAACGAGTAAGTTCTAATCCAGTCCACTATGTTTAAAATATAAGGAAAGCCTTCTAATCTCTCCTTTTTAAATAACAATATAAGAGTTGGAAAACCAATTGATTCAAAAAGTAAATAATTTTTATTTTTAATTTTTTCTTACACTTTAAAAATTCAAATCATAAAAAATTCAGGTTATTTTTATTTGAAAATATTTATTTTTATTTTTCGAAATATAAATTTCAGAATGAATTTAATCAATCATTATTTTCTTAAAGAAAAAAAAAATTAAATAAAAGAAAAATAAGTTAAACAAATTATTATTTAGTAATGCAGATATTTATATATATATATATATTCTTTCAAATAATAATTACCAGAATTTTTTTCTGATTTGACAATAATTAAAATTTTATAACACCAAAAAAATGAAAAATTTAATTTTTTATCAACTAATTTTTGGAGTTAATTTATCTGGCATTAATTAATGAGGATTTAGAGTATTTTCTAAATATAAATTAATACTTTAATTTAAAAAATATTAATAGGTAAAGACTGCAACAGTTATTATGAATAGTTTACTTATTTTATGCATATAACTTCAGTACAGTATTTGAATATTTAGTATGTTACCTTTGAGGATATATGCACAACTTAGAAGTATTTTTTAAAAGATTTATCACCAAAATACTTTTAGTAAGGTAATTCAGCTATTAATTCAGATAATTTAAACTCTGAAACGAGAGGGGGTTTTGTTCAAGTATCAGGATTTCTTAGAGTGGATTTCAAAAACAATATTTTTAGAAATATTTTAACATCTAGTCCTCTTGTTAATATGGATGATGAGTTTTACGTTTCTTCAAGGCCTAAACTCACTAATGTCTAAAATGTTACTTTAGAGAGAAATACTCTTCTTTTGATTAGCGAGTCTTCTTTGCTTTATTTCACATATCAAGATTAAAATCAAATTACATTTTTAGACAATAAATTTATAAATAATATCTTAATAATTGCTATGGATAGAGTAAAATAATTATTTTTTTTGATTTTATTAATTTATTATTTTAATAAAAGCTTATCGGATATACTGCTCCTTGCCTCACATTTAGAGGATACAACTCTGTTTTTAACATGTAGAACAATATATTTAGTTCAACAGCGATAAGGTTTGAAGTCTATAGTCTTTCGATGGGAGGCAATGCACTTATTGCAGCTGCTTAAATTTATATTAAAGATTCATAATTTTTAAATAGTTGCTAGAACATCATAGATTCTTCTGTTGCTTTTTCTCCTGATGAAAGGCAGTGCTAGAAAAATTTAACTGATATTGATGAAACTTTTTTAAAATTTTCTGATGGTGGTGCTTTAAATTTATTTGGGACAAATTAAATATTAATTTAGAATAACATATTCTAAAATAATGAAGCAAAAAGAGGTGGAGCTATTTTCTTAAGTGGTTAGGTGAATGACATCTACATACAGCATAACAATTTTACATAAAACAGTGCAATCGAAGGAGGTGTCATATACTCGGAATAAGTAAAAGTTATGAATAAAATTTTAATGTCTGATTTGATATTCCTGGGTAATTCTGTTCTTAAATACGGTGTTGTATTAGATAGTTTCCTTTTCTTTAAGCATTTCGAAATGGAAAATGTCATTTTTGCAAATAACTACATCAGACCCTAAGGATCTGACTACACCTACATGGTTAGACTTGAGAAGTTAGGTAACTGCACAGTTAAGATATCTAAAGTGTTCTTCTTTGGCTCTAATTAACAAAAGTTTTCTGGTGATTATCTGCAAATTTACCATTCAAATTAGAAAGATAGCAGATCTAATGTTGATTTAATCAAAAAGACAGAGGACATGAAACCTATTTAATTTGAAGATTGCTATTTTTACATAGCAGGTCTTTAAACTTCTTCAAGTTAAAAAAATTTCCCCTAAGCTGTTACTATCATGAGTAGAAAGATTGAATATAATCCTGTAAAAACTCCAGTTTTCTTAGATAATGTTTTGTTTACTGGTGAAAACAGTTTGATTAATTTCATTAAATACTTCCCATAATACGGAGGAAACGAGTATTTGTTGCATTTCTTTGACAATTCAGAATTAAAAATAATTAAATATTCATCTCAAGCATTCTATGCTAATAATGTGGATGTTATTATGAACAACACAAATGTTATCAACATTCTACATTATAATGGATGTGTTACAGTAAATTTTACTTTGTTCTTTAAATAAACATTTTTTTAAAAAGTTAATTTTAAAAATAGGTTAGAAACTCATATTTGTAAATAACTAATGGAGAATTTGAGATGAATTAAAAGGCAGCAAAATACTAAAATGCATCTTAGTTGATGATTACAAGTGAGAAACCAGAAAAACACAAGAGTCTAATTCAAAATGTCAAATTTAAAGGATATGTTCCTATGGCAGGAGAGTAATAATATGATTCTTAGATGATCTCAATAACTAACATTTAGAATGTGGTTATAGATAACTGTAATTTTACTGATGCTTCTGCAGATTATGGATCTGCCATTTAAGTGCTCGAATAAGTGAAGAACATAAGCATAACGAATTCCAAATTCCAAAATAACTGGTCAAGAAGTACAGGAGGTTCAGTCTACATATCTAAAGATTGTTCCTTTTTGAATATAGTAAAAAACACCTTCAAAAACTCGAAAAGTTACTACAGTTTAGGAGGAGCTATTTTCATTTACAAGATGAATGATCATTTCAACATAACATAAAATGAATTTTACAACAATTTAGCTGTTTTTGGAAACAGCATTTCTATCTTATCATTTGACTAAAACTCACTAAATTCGTTTTTAGGATTTAACACATACACTTAAAATTTAGTTGACTACATAGCACTGGTTCATCAATTTGCATAAAAAGCTTAATAAAATAAAGCCATTTAAACTGAAAATTAGAATGTGCTATACGACTGGCAATAAATAATCCCTTCCAGCGAAATTTGTTTAAATTTCACTATTTCATAGAGGTCTTTTTCCTACGAATGGAATTTCTAACAGACTACTCTTTAAAATTCTACATCTTAACAAACTTTTGAAAATCTAAAAGTAGATGAGTTCATTAAATACAACAACTATTAAAAGACTAAAAGTTTATTTACTAACAAGTAAAGTAGTCTACCTTAAGATAAAGAATTAATATCTTCAAAAATAGAAAATGATTTAAGTTATATAACTAAAGTGAAGTACGTTTTAAACGCAGTAGGTGAGGATGCAGTCTATACGCCAATAAAACCAAGTATGCAAACACAGTTTTCTTCAAGTTACGATACATAGAATGATATTCTGACAATTTAAAACGATCAGTTTGTAATCTCAAACTAAAGAGGCTATCTACAAACTGTTGCATTTGGAGTTAATAACCTTATCACCTATAATGGCTACCAATAGTTTTTAGAAATCCTCACATAATATAACTTAGTAGACTAAAATAAGAACTCTACTTACAACTTGCTCTATTCTGACTCTCAATCTCTTTCTTCAGTTGTACCAAATTTTTAGTACTTTAACAAAACAACCTACTAACCTTATGCTCTTGGCTTAGGTTTGAGTGAATGTGATTCTGGTTATAGCTTTGATAGGACTTTAAGGGTATGCAATTATTGCTAGCAAGGAGTTTATACATTGGACCCAAAAGGTAAGCTACATTTTTTTATTTTGAAGAATCTTTAATTATTAAAGCCAAAAAAAATTTTTATAATTTCACAAAGATAAAAATAAATCTTGATAAAGTGTTGAAAAAATATTTTTCAAATCTTTTATTCTATTTTTAGTTAAAATAAATTGATTTTAATATGGTTTTTGCTTATAAAATCCAATTTTTTAAAGAATTCTAAGGATTATTTCATAGATTTTTTTAAATAACTTTTCTTAGTAAAAACATGTTTGTTTCACTAATTTTGCTAAAAGAAAAATTAAAAAAAATGAATTATTTAATAAATTTTTAAAAAAATTACAAAAATTTAGAAAAATAAATCATTCTTTATGAATAAAAATCTTTTATCATATTTTGATAAAATAAATTGACTTACTTTAAATAAAAATCATCAATTTTTTAATAAGGATTTATTTATTAATATTTTATTTGAAGGTTTTGAACAATATAAACCTTATTATTAATCATGTAATTATTTAATTATAAGAACCAATAAGAATCATATTTCTTAATGCTTAATTAAGCATTTTTATTAGTATCAGAATAAAGATAATGTTATTTATAATAAATATATTTAAATAATCTAATAAATACTCTTAAATATTTAATATTTTATTTTATATTAGGATACAGTTAATGCCAACCTTGTGTCGCTAATTCAGTTTGCTTAGGAGGATATTAATTACAAGTAAATGAGGGATATTGGAGATATAGCTTATATAGTTCTAATGTTATTTACTGCAATAACAATCCTTATAATTGTTTAGTTCCTGAATCTTCAAATGTTCCTTATACATGCAAGGAAGGCTACCAAGGTCCCCTTTGCCAAGCTTGTGATAACTAAAATAACTATTTCTCAAATGGAGATGGAAGATGCTATACTTGTAATAGTAACTGGATAACTATTCTCATATTTGTAAATACTTTTCATTTGAAAATAAATTAATTGTATCAAATATTTAAATAAAAATCTTAGATTACCAAGAAATTGATTTTCCTATGTTACGAATGCTTTTTCATATACACTGCTGTGTTTGCAAACACCCTATTTGCTACAAGGTAAATTAAATTAAATTTTCAATATTAAAATTTTATTGAATTCTAAATTTTTTTTATAAATTTAGAGGTCATGAGTGTCATGCATTAAATGTCAGAAGATTAAACAAGGTTTATGTAAGAATCATCTAAACATATTTCCAAATTATGTCTTTAATTATCTCCTAATACTTTATTGTGGGCTAGGAGCTTTTCAATTTTGTAAACCAAGTCTTCTAAATTATTGGATTCCCAGTCGATTCAGTGAATTACAATTATGAGTGCTGGTTTTACTAATTTTTTGGGTCTAAAAATGAAATCTATGCTTATTATGCAAGTTTGATTTCGCTTTGTGAACCTCTCTTCAAGATAAGCGTAGTATTTGTAGTTTGGCTTATAAAGAGGGCATTCAAAATACAATGGCTAAAAAATAGATATTTCATCATATCTATAACTTCTATCATTCTAATAGAGCAACTAGGTGTTATTTAAATTCTATTAGGGTCTTTTAAGTGCATTTCTATACCAGATGGTGGCTCTTATATGGAAAGGAACCCCAACGTCTCATGCTAATCAGATGATTATCACATCTTTACAGGTTTTATTTATATTCCTATGATGGTTTTATGGGCTGGCGGATTCACTCTACTGCTATTCTTTTATATTTTCAAAAACAAGGTTTATATTTTTTTTTAAATTGATTGATTTGATTTAATTATGAAATATTTTCAAGAAAAAAATTTTTAATTTCTCATAAAAATAAAAAGAAAAATTTGGAGTCAAAGCAAATGAAGCTGTTCTTCGGTTTCTACTATATGTGTTTTAGACAAAAGTATTTTTACTGGGATGTTATTATTTATATGATGAAGTTGCTGTTGTTAATGTTAAATTATTTCGTTTTAGACAGTGATAAACTCCGTTTTTCTTGCACTACGCTTATTTTACTTGGATACTGTTTAGCAATTAAAATCTATAAACCTTATACTTTAGATAGATAAAATAAGTGTGATTAAATTTTATTCTACAATCTTATTTTCACTATGTTCCTATGCTATAATATTGATAATACTAATAGCAATTCACTTAATATACTTCTTATAGCACTACTCTGCATATCAAATCTCTCATTTTTAGGTTATATTTCTTGGAGAATGTTTTACATCGTTAGATACTTCTTCAAGAAGTTTAGAAGTGGTGTTCCCACAATTTCCAAAAACTCTGTTAAAAAACTGTAAATTTATTTAATTCTTTTATTGTTAATATTTCATTGTAAAAAAAATTTCTCAAAAAGCTTTCAAACAAAAAAAATCAAAATTAAAATTTAAAGTGAAATTAAAAAGAAATTTTAAATCAAAATATTTTTCAGAAAAAAATAGCTTTTTTTTAATTTAAAATATTTAATTAAAAAAACTGAATAATATGATTTTAAAATTAATAGTGACAAAAGCCTTTAAGAAGAAAGTGAAGATGAAGAGCAAAAGAATTATTTAATGTAGGCTGAACTTGAATATAACCACTTAGAAATAGCAATAAAAGATGAAAATAATGAAGAAGTGATTATTAAAGAAGATGATGAGGAAATTCAAAATATTAATTTAAAGTAAGGTGGAGGTATTATTCCTTCCAAAAAGCAAGAAACAGAGAATATCAGGTAACGTTATGAATTGCATCAATACCTTAAGAGTATGGTAGAGCATAATCAAAATTAGCCAGTTTAGATCGACTAGTTACTAGATGAAGATCAAGAAGATTCATATAATTAAGATGCTTCTCCTCATTCATCTAATCATAATATTGGAAAAACTAGTTTCGCCTTTTAAAAGAAAGGCCAACATAACTAAGGTGGTAGCATTCTAATATAAAATAATAGGGCTCCTGCATTTAAGAGTTTTAATAATAATTTAGGTAAACATGAATTCGGTAACAAAAAGAAATCGTTCATGAATAGCTAAATTGGATATGATTCCAGTAAACACTCGAATCAATAATCTGTGATTTTGAATTTTAACAACAATAATCCCCTAAAGGATTCTCGTAATAAAGAATCTGTTGAAGGAGCAAGTGGAGCTAGCAATAATATTAAAGATAATTATTATAATTAGCATGAAAATAGAGAATTCTAGAGTAGCTATATTAGCCATAATTCATAACATGTATAACATGTAGCAGCCTTGAAAAAGAGTTTCATTCACCATGTGGAAAGATAATTTATGAATAAAAAAAAGGCTAAAGCATCAATGGCTAATCGCAACTACTCTAATTAATATGGTGATGATGAGTATGGTGAATATGATGATACTCACGAATACTTACATGAAAATTATAACAATAATAAGAAAAAATGGACAAAAAGCAATGTTTATGTTGAGGATGAAGTCAGATAAAGAAACGCACTCGTGAATAAAAGTGAGCTGTTTTAAGATTAGAGTGAATGTAATCAAGAATAGAATTAAATTGATTTCACTTAAAGCGAAGCTATGGATAATAACTTTTAACCTTTAACGAGTGTATTTACAAATAATAACGACACAAACATATTGGGTTCGAATATCAAAGTTAACTAGCTAAATAGTCACCTATTTAGTGATAGAAGAACAATAAATAATAAGCAGTTCAATCCATTAACTACTAGGGCTCCATCTACTCATATAGGCTATACGAGCTAATAAATTAGCACTTAGCAAGAAGTAGAAGGTGCATTTGAGGCAAAAGGAATACATAGTGAGGGGAATCAAGATGATTCTAATGCGGGTCATTTCACTCAAGATAAAAAATATGAGTCTGACAGTTTTTATTTGAAGGATAAATCAAATAATTTTGATGACGATGATGAAGATGATGATAACGAATAAAAGAGTTACAGAGATCATTTCTTAAGCTAAGAGTAGCTTAATATGAAGAACAAAAAAAATTGATGATTGAAAAAAAATGAGTTCTTAAAAATAATATATTAAATAAAAATATTATTAATATTTATAAATAAAAAAACAGTTTAATAAAAACCTTAAATATCAAAATTTTACTTACAATCTTTAACAAATTTATTAATAAATTAGATTTTAGAATTACATTTCGTATGAATTAAATAAATACTTTTCAAATTTATACTTTTTTTTCAGGTTTCTTAATCAAATTTATTGATAAAAGCTTATTAATAAATACTAATTTTTGTTCAGTTTTTTTAAATATAAAGTTTTTTTTAGCATATCTTGAATTAATAAAATTTATTTTTTCTATGAAATTAGTTAATAATACCTCTTTAATAATATTTATTTATTATGGTATTATTTTAAATATGCATGAATGACACTAAAAAATCATTTCATTAAATAAATAATAAAAAGAAAGAAAGAGAGAAACAATAAATAGTAACAAAAGGATTTGATATCAATTGTCTATGATGTGTGAAAAAAAATAAATAAAATAAATATAAAAATGGAAAGTAAATTTATAAAATGTTAAAATTATATGGATGGTGAGTCAGTGCCTATTTTTAATATCGTAGCAATCCTAAAGAAATAGTTTAACATTAAATATTTATTATTTAATCATATATAAAATGAATACAATAAAAACGCAAAAAAAATTAATAAAATATTAAATTTTATGTGGATTAGTAAGTGCCAATATTTTTAATTTCGTATTAATCCTAAAAAGAACAAAAAAATAATTAAATAAACATTAAATATTTATTATTTTATTATAAAAATATAATAAATAAAAAAATGCAAAGAAAATTAATAAAATGTTAAAATTTGTGTGAATTAGTAAGTGCAAATATTTTTAATATAAAAACAATCCTAAAAGAACAAAAGAAATGACTAAATACTAAATATTTATTATTTAATGATAAATAAAATGAATACAATAAATATAAGATAAATAAATTTTAACATAAATATCATTAAATAGCTTTTTAAAATAATTTTTTTATTATTTTAGGTTTTGTTATAATTTAACATAAAGAATAATTTTTATTTGAGGTGATAATTTTATTTTTTTAATTAATTAGTTTATATAGTTAGCACCTTTTTGAAGAAATATGGTTTAATTAAAATGTTTCAACTAAAATTTATTAATTTTTATGTTTATAATGTTTCTTTCTCTCTTATTCTGTCTATTAATTTGCTTAGGAAATCTTCATAACTAATTTAAAAATGAAATATTTATTACAAAAAGTATCATAATTGATTGCTTAAATTTACTTTTAAAATTTCTGATTGAGTTGGTGTATTTTTTAGATATATTAGTCTCCTTCTTCATTATAATCAATTTCTTCTTAGTAGGAAATGATGTTTTCAAGCTTTTTTGGTAAATAATTTGAAAAAAATTCAATCTAAATACAAAAAATTACTATATTGACGAATTAGATTTATATTTAGAGTATTTCATTTAAGTATTGTTCAATTATCTAGTTAGGTGTTTTCATAAATGTTTTTTATTGAATGTATTTAAGATAATTTGTATGGATCTTTTTTGTTAAAAATGTATTTATTATTTTTAGATATTTATTTCCTTAAAAAATTTTAATTTTACCAATAGCAGCTCTTGGAAGTTTTTGCATTTTTTTAAAGCTTTGTTCAACATTTTCCAAGCATTTTCAATTATATCAAAATATAAATAATTTTAAAAGTTTCCTATGAAATTTTATATTTTATGTCTTAAGCTCTGAGATAACCTTGCAAGTTGCTTTTTAGTGTGAGATGTTTCCATTTTATTAGAATTCCATGTAATAATATTTCTGTTAATTTGTTTCCATTTTTGTTGCAAAACTTTATTTGCGTATCTGAACTTGATTAAATGAGAAAATATTCCTACGTATCCTGCAAGCATTTCCTCACTAAAGATGACTTCAATTATTTATGGGCAGTTTTTCATTTTTAGCTTAATGAGATCTTAAAGCTGATTAATAAACGATGCAAAATATTAATATTTAACTTATTTTAAAATATAATTTTTTACATTTGTAGCTAAGAAATTGTAAGCGTAGAAAGGAGCTTCGTCTTTTTTGAATTCGATAAAAGGCTGATACTAATTGAGAGGCTATATAAATATAAATTTAACAATCAAATAAAATTTAAAAATTAAATAAAACTACTTCTAAAAAGTCCTCTTCGTCAAACAAAGATGATGCTTCATACAACGAAATCAATTCTATTTAACAATTTTCCTTTACAATGACTTCTAAAAAATCATCAATTTTATCTCCTCGCTCACAAAACATGTATTTCTTTAAAAAGGAAAATATATTCATTATGTTATATTTTTCGAAAATTATATTCATAATCGCCTCATTCGTCTAATTTTAATTATTAATTTTATTAGCTTTTAAAAATATTAATTTGTATTTACAATTAAAGCTTAGGATTTAATGATATTCTGAATGCAAGCTTATATAATAACGCTAATAGGAGTGTTGGGATACTTTTGGCAATCATTTAATCCCTGTGAAGGACTCTTTTCACCATTTTAATTTTCTTCATTTACATACTATATTTGAAGATCTTCTATTTCCATTTTTTACAAATTGTCCTTTTGCATAAGTTTTTCATTTTGCATTTATCCTTTTTCTTCTTCTTCTACCATTATTTCTTCACTCATTTTATTAACAATTTGCTTCTGTTTATAAGAGGAAAACATCTTTATTTAATTAGCTAATATTTCTTCATCATTAATAATGCTTTCATCATCGCTTGATTCTAAGTCATTTTTTTTCAATTTTTAAGGTGATTGTTTTTTCAAGTTTACCAAACTTTGTGTTAATTCTTACTATTTCTATTCGTAAATTGATTTCAAAAATTCAGTCTATTCATTTTATTCCTCTTCGCCCTTCCTTTGCTCTTCTTCTAACAATTTAGTTTTTTCTTCATACATTTTCTAAAGGTTAATTTCTGCTTAGTGCTTAGGTGTGATATCCACTTCTTCAACCATTTGATTTTCTTTAAGTTACTAAGCTTTTTCATACAATATTTTTAACTCATTTTCTGTCTCAAATATTTCTTTATTTCCTGGTTGCAATTATTACTCCGCTAATAAATAAAATAAATAAATAAATAAAATAATAAATAAATAAACAGATAAAATAAATAAACAAATTATTAAGGTCAAATAAAAAATTTTATGTAATCTATTTTACCTGCTTTTTTTTCTTGATTAGTAAGACTCGAGAAATCTTATTGGATCTTGTTCTTTATAATTTCTAATTGTTCTTATTTAATTCTTTCATTTTCTTTGAGTTGATTTTGTAAAATAATGGCTTTTTCTTCTTGTTATTCAAAAAGCTTTTTGTATTTGGCTTATATTCTCTTTATTTCAAGTTGGTTTAATTCTTCTTGAGCTTTTTTGAGCTTCAGTTCATGCTGTTCTTTCTTCTGCTACTAAATCATTTCTACTTTTCTCAAGAAATTCTATTTTAATTCAATAATTTATAAAAAATATTTTCATTTTAAAAAGATTACTTCTTTGATTGTCTTGACATAGTTGAGTTTTTGTTCGAGCTCTTGAGCTTTTTTAACTTCTTTTTTATATTTAATTTGCTGTAATAGCTTTCCGATGGCATCTCTTCTGCTTTAAATTAGATAGTTAAATTGTTTTTCTATTTATCTAATCTCAAAAATATCTTGAGATATTTGAATTTAACATAAATCTCCTTTTTATTCTTAATTGATTTAACAGCATGCATTGAAATGGTCTAAGTCACACTATTTAAGCAAAGATAAATTTTGTGAGACTTCTTGGATTCTAGGGAAAGATTCTCTTAAAAACACAGGTAAGTTTTTATAAATAACTTCATTTGATTTACCAGTAATAACAAATTAGGTAAGATTAGAAATAAGAGGCTAGAGGATGTGACTAAAAAATGTGAAAAGAATTTCTTAATCTATCTAAGAAATAGACTCCTTTTCCAATTTATTATAAATGATATTCAAGAGATCAGTATTAGTAGGTAAAGAAGAAATAGCAATTTTTAGATCAAAATTGAACTATGTATTTTACTAATAGTTTGAAAATATTAAAAAATACATCAGATCGATTTCTCTAAATGACTATCTTAACTATAAAGGCAATTCCAGTATACTGCAATTATTTAATCTTAAATCTAATAATTAACTATCTAAGCATTGAAGGCATTCCCCTATCAAGTCAAACACCTCCTTTGTTTTAATTAATTAATAAAATAAAATCATGTGTAAATGTTGTAATTAATTTACTCTTTGCTCTAATTACTCATTTCGAGCATTTTTAAAGTAATTTAATATGGCTTGTAGTCTAATTATTTTTGTAGCTGTTCCAACATATTATTCCAGATATATCAGAAGACTTTCATCTTTTTTATTTTTAATTAATATTGATTTAAACAATTATAACATTTAAATTATAAATTTAAATAAGAGTTTAACTTAAACATTTGCTATTAAAGAATTTTACGTGTTATGTGGGGGAGAGTGATGTTTAATTTCTTCAGGTAAAATTCATAGTTTTATAAATTTAATTAAAAAAGGTCAGAGTGGATTCCTTGAAGCATGCTAATTACAGAATGTAGTATGAAATTTTCAGAAACAATTTCAGGGTCTGTAGTGAGTAAATTTGAGTAGTGTTTATTGGATTATTAAGTTAATTCTTCACATGATTGCTTAGTAAATATTGCTGTTTATGATATTTGTAAGTTTTTATTTTGAATTTTGCTTTTTCTAATATCATAATCTTCCCAAAGACTTGAAGAAACAATTTCATTTTCATGTTTTAAAAATTAATCAAAATCTTTGTTATCATATTGAAATCCTTGCTAGAAAACTATTTTTCTTTATTAGCTCCTATCAGACTTATCTTTTAAAAACTAACTACTTTATTTATTTTTTATTTTTGTTTTAATTTATTTTACCAATCTATTGAAAAAATAAATTTTACACCAAATTATTTGATCCTCTGCTTGAAAGAAAATTCAAGCCCAAAACATTATTGTTATTGTTGTTGAAATTACCACTTAATTTGTCTTCGAGAATCTAATCTTACAAGTTGTCTTTATTTTTCTAATGGTAAAGAGAAATATTTTCACTTAGAATTGTTTAATTCATTGAAACATTTTGAGCCTAAACTGGATTAAGAACAAATTTATTGCTAATTAGGTCTTAGTTTTAGTTTTAGCTTTTATGGAAAGCTGCTGCAGATGGATTAAAAAAGGAATTCTTTATAGAAAGCTAACTTTCATTGTTGTTAAGTTATGATACACTAAGGGGATTTTGTCGATGTGAAATTGAATTTTATATCATAGATACATTTTAATTAGTTTGATTTAAACTTGTGTCTGGTTTAATTTGGTTTGTAGTAACAACATTCTATGGGCTCTAAAATAAATTATTGTTGATACTAAAAAAGTTGCTTATTCCTATTTAAGACTGATTGCTATTTATCTTATTTTGTGGTTTAGAGTTTATTTAAGCGAAGCTAGACATTGGATTGAAATTCGAGTTTAACCCAAAGTTTGAGTTTATCGAAGGAATATTTAAAGAAATAGAAAAAGGCATATTTTAAGGTTCTTCTTGCTTCCTTTGGAAAGCGCCCATAAAACTTTATATATTATCTTGAAAAAAAAGAAATAAACAAAATAAAAACATAATCTTATAAATAATTTACCATCTGTGTTTTTATTTAGTTCAAATACATTTTTTGGAAATCCCGTTTACTCTTTTTTCACTAATGTATCTAGAGAAGAGTCAAACATTTCTTTCTCAATTTAGCAAGATAAGTCAGAATAATTAGTAAATTCTATAATTTAATTAATATATCGTTTGAAATAATTAATAGTTGATTAAAAAATAGATAAACATAAAGTGCATTCCAATAATATTATTCATAAAAATAATGAATAACTTTTATTTTCATAGTTAAAATTAATTACATCTGTCTGTGGTTTGTAATCCAGTGTTCATTTAAGAAGAATATTCTGTTTAAGATGGAATAATTAATCCCTTTCTTAAATTGAAAAAATCTTTGATAGGAGTAAAAACTTCTGAATCATGAACTGTTTGAATGCTTTCGCTTTCATCATTTTTGATATGCTTTTATTCTTGTAATCCGTGATTATTTAATTTATTATTGTTGTTGTTGTTTTCAATCTTAAATTCTCCAATTTGAATATTTTATTTATGATTTTTTTATTTTTCTTCATTTGCAAAATTATCTTCTTCTTCTTCATCTTCTTATTCTTCATAATCGTCTTCATCTTCATTATCCATCATAGATTCGCTATTTTTATTACATTGGCTTTTAACTATCTTTTCAGTTTGCTTTTCTTTTGGAGTCGTCAAGTAAATACCTTTTATTTTTCTGCCTACTAAAAATGGATGAATATAGATATTAAAAAATAGACAAATTATAAATATTATTTCATTCTTTAATTTGAAAATTTATTACATATGGGAGTTAATGATTGTACGCAAGGTTTTTAAGAAATATTTAGCTTACTCTAGAAACCAAATCCATCATTCTCTTTTTCATTATTTTAGACTATGCAATTATTCTATTGCATAGAATTTGTAAATTTAAAAACTTTTAGGTTATTGAGTGATACAACTTAGTCTTTATTAGACTAATTGATATTTCTCTCTGCTAACAGTTTACTTATTAATCTATTAGCAATACAAAATTTATTATTATCAAATGTGTCATACTCGCAATCACTTCTGCTATTCTCTACATAAACATCAGCCATAAGCCTTATAAAAGATATAATCGTGCTCATAGATATTCTTTTTACTTTCTTCGAATCATAATTTTCAAAACATTTAAAATCATCTCCTTTTTCAATTAAGCTTTAAATCAATACTTCCAAAGCAAGAGCCTTATTGAACTAGCTATTTTATCTCATTCTGTTTGTTTTTTAAATATAAAAGTTATGAATTAACCATTGAAAATAGAGCATTTTTCATTAAAATAATGCCTTTTTAATCATTTTTAGCTTTGATTAAATTAAAATACTTACTTAAATGTAATTTCAGTAATATTTGTATGAAGAATATTGAGCTGTAGATTTATTCCTTTCATATTATTTAAGTAAGGAGTAAGACTCTCTCTATCAAGCCTTGCATTACTTATTTTTAGTCTTTAAATAGCATAAATTCGTTAATTTTAAACATAATTTGCTAAACAATTTACCGCATAGACTTAGATAAAATATATGAAAATAATGTATCAATCAATCTATCAAGACATTTCTTTTTTATTTAATAATTAGCGAAAGGTTGGTCTTTATATAATCTCTCAACAACAATAACTAAGTTTTAAATTATATCACTGTTAGAACTCATCATTTTTACACTCATTTCTTATATTTTTAGTATAATTCTTATGTAGATTTTATGTGAATATCAGCCAATAATAATAATAATGATGATGATAATATGAATTTGCTTTTATTGAAATAAATAAATTTATTATCAAATTATCAATTATCATCAATTTTTTGATTTTTATCAATAATCAATAATTTTTTATACAATTCAAAAATTTAAAAAGCAATATTTTAAATACCGCCAATATCCTAAAAAAATTATAAAAAGTTAATAAGCTAATATAATTACTTACTTTAAATAAAATAAACGGCTTATAATTAAATCACTACTTAATAAACTAAAAAGATTTTCTGAAATCATTAGTAGAAACCTAACTATATTCACTATTACTTATCTTGAATGCATGTATGTTTTAGTAGATTAAAAATCTATAAAAATGTGAAAATATGATCATCAATTTTATAAGCCACTAATTATTTATTTATTAATATTTTGTTAATAAACCTTAAAATATCAGTATGTATGTAATTCAAGACTAAAAATTTAAATATATTTATCTCGAAATAATATTTTGTAAAAATTTTAACTTTAATAATTTGTAAATATTTGTCAAAAAAAACTAATCATAGTGTTTTTTATCTTATAATATTAATTAGTAAAAAATAGTATAAATTTCATTAAATTGCAGATAAAAAGAAATATTTTTTATTGATACTTATTACAAATATTATTTTTGAATCAAATGCATAAAATTAAAATAAATAAATAAATTATTATATTATACATACATTTTCATAGATAGGGATGTGGAAATCTATTAAAACCTAAAATGGATACCTAAAAAATTCTAATATTTTGTTCAATAATATTTAAATAGAAAATATACCTACTTTAATAAACAAAAAATAAAGAGCTAATAAAAATGAAAATAACAGAAAATAAGGAAATATTAAATAAAAAATAATAATATATTTATTAATAATTTTATTATTTGTTTTAAAAATGATTGATACATTTTTATCTTTTAAATCTAAAATAATAAAAAATAAAAATCAATAAATAAATAAACAGTGAATATGTTTATGAATCAAGAAAAGTTTTAGAATTATATAGAGAGATATGTATGTACAAAACATTTTATAATAATAGAGAAATATTTGTTGTTAATTTATTTTTTTCTATTTAAAATAAATTTTGATTAATTTAATTGGCTAATTAGAATATCAATTAATTGCAATCAATATGTTAAATTTATTTAGGCTATTCAATAAAGTAACAAATTAATTAATTAATTAATATTCTATCAAATTACTTTTATTTAATTTTAAGGTTTTTTTAAATATATCAATGTAAATAAGTAAGTAAGTAAGTTATGATTAGGGGAAAATTATGTTCAGCAATTTATTTTTTTATATTGCATGATAAATGTATGTCTGCATTTTGCTTATAATCAAATTTCACTTTCGAAGACATCAAAGTTTTTCTTTTTTAGGTTCACGTTTGTGGTGCATATTGTCCTTGAGGTTTTATGAATTTATGGAGAGTTTTAAAAATTATGTTGTTTTTTATTTGAGCTGTTTATTTCTTCATTATCTAACTCGCTCTCAGTTTCAAGAGGGTTTTTGAGAGTTATTGAATCATTTATATGGAGATTACTAATATGAGAAGGCTATCCGTTGCAATCAGAGCTTCTTCTGCTCATTATTTTTGGTTCGCAGTCATCATCAAAGTCATCCATATCATAATTAATGATTCTTCTTGCTTATTTTTAGTTATTTGTATTATTATTAGATGTATAGGTTATATCTTATTAAGTAGACAAGATATTTGTTGGGGTATGAAGAGATGAAGGCTGATATATGAAGTCATTATAGACATTAGTAACTTTTATAGCATTATTACTTTTGATTAAGTTTTGAGGTGTTCCGTCTTCTTTCTTTGTAGAAATATTGAGTCCAGTATCTCTGGATTCCATTGGGTTTTTACAAGAATCCATAGGAGAAATCATGTATGTCTTTTCTAAGGGATTATTAGATGTACTATTATCATATAGAGATATGTTTTATTGAAAATTATTTATTGTGTTATTATTTTAAGCATCAACTTAATGGTTATTATTGCTCATATAGTATTATTCCTCTAAGAAAGTCTTTTTCTCATCCAAGAGCAGTCTGTCTGATACTAATTATTTAGTCTTTTCAAGTAAGCTGTTGTTGTTATCATATCTTCCACTTTTACTCTAGCTGCGGCCTATTTTTATTAACAAATAAATTAGATTTTATTAAATTTTAATTAAAATGATTAAATTTTTTATTTTAAATCTTTAATTAAAGAAATTTTTTTTATTTTTACTTTATTTCAACAAGCTTCCAGGTAAATTTGAATTGTTTAATGCAATATTAGAACTTGTTACGCCAGCAGGATTCGATAAATTGTTACTATTTGTGTATGAGCCGAAAGTCAAAGGTAAATTGATTTCTTGGATACTGTTTGTTGAAGGCTAATTAGAGCTATAATTTCTACTGTTAGTAATGTTAGCATTTATAATTAAATTTTATTAGTTAGAGGTGTTTAAATTATTATTTTGTGATTTGGCTAGGATTTTACTTCCATTTAAAATTGTACTTGAATTAGACAAAGGCTGTTAAATAAGACTTTTTGAATCATTCTTAGGAGTTAAGCTAAGATTTGTAATCGTTGTGTTAATATTCATTTAATTTTAAGGAGAATTAACTAATTGAACTGATGTTTAGCTGACACTCCCTTTGTTATGCAAAGTGTTTAAGCTAGAACTATCATAATTTGCAAGGTCTTTTTATAATGGAGTGAGACTGTTCATTTTCTATTTTTGGTTTTAAGATGGTTGCAATAGGTTTTAAGAGACTTATTACTATTGTTACTAAGTTTGTTAAGCGAACAAATTTGGGATGGCATAGTTTTTTACTGATTCAAGCCCTGAATAGTTTTTCTTTTGTTGTTCTTATTAAATTAGTTACTAACCGGCGAGCACATTATTGGCACTATCGTAATTTAAAAGATCTTTTGTCAAAGGAGTTAAACTTGGTATTTTCTATTTTTGATTTTATGATTAAGGAATTAAATTTTGAGAAGAAGAAGCAGAAGAAGAAGATAGCTAAGATTGTTAAGTAAAGAGATTTGATATTGTAACATTTTTAACTTGATCAAACCCTGATTAATTTTTCTTTTACTGTTCTTGCTAGTATATTTATTAGCTGAATGTTTGATTTTAATTAACTGGTTTGTTATGTGAGCTTTAGTTGCTGCTATTTATTAAATTAATCATCCCTTTAAGTTAGCTATTTTATCTATCTTAAGAATTTTATCTTTGATCATCGCCTTGAGTTCTAACATTGCTAAACAACAAAGGTAAATCAGCCTGCTTTTCTTATTATCTTAAATTTAATGCATTCTTTTATTGTTTGAGCAGTGCATTTTCTTATGTAATTTGAGAAATTAATTTATCTTTATCAACTATGATCTAATTGGATACAGTTAATTACTTTTCTATGTCACTCTTTGCTTCTAACAAATCTAGTAACTCTAATTGTTATTTCCTTAACTTAAGCTATTTATTTTCAAAAAAAATTGTAAAACAATTTAAATTTATAAAATCAATTCATTAAAAATGATAAATTAAAGCTTGAAAAATAATATTTTTTTTTCAAAATGATTTATTTAAAAATGAGTTTGAGTTAATTCTTCTTACATCGTACTCCATCTGAATTTGCTTTTTGTTAGAAATTCTTAGCAAGACATATTTAAGATTTTACTTTTATTCTTAATTGGTTTCAAGAACTAGTTTCATTTTTTCTTTAATTTCTTCATTTTCTCTTATAGATTCTTAAAGTTGGTTAATAATAATTTAAACTTATGGTGTCTAAAGAGGATTTTTTTGGTAGAAAAGAAGTTTTTAGTAGTCTTGAACAAGTAGCTCTTCTATTTCTTAGAGAGATGAAATAAGTTGATGGCTTTCTACTACATTTTGGAATAAGTCATTACAAATTCTATTCAAAAATTCTTCCTAATTTCCATTTTATTCATTCCTCATTCTTATGTGTTATTCAATCAGATCCTAAGTTATTGCATCTCCATGACTGTTTTCTAACATAAGTGATTGTTTGATTTACTCAGTTAACTCTTATATTTATCCTTGAATTGCCTATCTCTCTTGTTTAATTCTAATAAATCAAAATTGTTTTAACTTCAGCAAAAAAAAATCTAAAAAATTATTTTACTTTGTCTCAATCGAAGAATAAGCTGTAGATTTTGTATAAACACTTTCTAAGTTAGAGCAATCGTATGAAAGTATTGACTTCTTGTTTTTTGAGCAATTTTCACACATGCTTGAAGAAGAAGGAACAAGTAATGAATTAGTCCCTTAAATTGGTGCAGCTTACTAGCTTTGCGATGTAGAAGAGCCATATTTACTCTTGTAAAATGCTAATTCTTGTTAAAGCTCTCTTATTATCTCTTTTTACTGATAGTAATCCAGTTCTTAAGTAATATTTTTACTGATTTTTCTTTTGATATGTGTTGCTCTTGATGCATAATTAAGAGTATTTACAGTTTCTTCTAGAGACTGATAATTTTAAGATACACAAGCAATCATAACAGTTTTTGTATTACCTCCTAATAAAAGTAAAATACATTTATATCTACAAAATTTATTTTGAAGTAATTAAATACCTAGAGTATCTTTGAGTATTCTAGTTAATTTTGAATCTCTATATGGAACATGATGACCAACTTTCCTCTTCTCAGATAGTATATTAATGCAGTTTCCTAGAGCCAAGAGACTCTTATTTATATTTGAGCCTTCTAGTGACCCTTTACCTAATTTTTAAATTATAAAAAAAAATTAATTTCATACTATCATCAAAATAAATAAATTAAGAATAAATAAAAATCAATAATTTAATATATAAATAAATACCTGGCTTATCACATCCTTTTTCACTACCTGCTAAATCGATAATTGTGAGTTTTGATGTTACTATTTCGTCTACTTAAGTAAGTGCGTTTTATTGTCTCTGGTAAATAGTTAAAATTAGTATAGCATGCGATCTTGAAGAAAAAGAATTAGCTTAAGTTGGAGCTAGAGCTCTTCTTTAGTTTCCTTCTTGAATTAACTCATCAATCTATATAAAAAATAATTTAAACAAATTATAACATGATTAAAATGATAATTTGAAAATAAAATATAAATTGATTTTAACTTAAAAAGGAAGTGCAATATATATTTATTGACAATGATGAATAAAAATCAATAAAAATAATTTTAATAAAAAAAGCTCTTAAAAATGCAAAATTGAGCTGAAACAAAAGAATTTGTTTTATAGAAGGAATTATGAATTTTTAAAATTAATAAAATTAAATAATTTATTAAAGTGACGATTGATGGATGTTTGATTGTTTATTTGATGGAACCATAAATTGGTTCATTTATTGATTGATTGATAAATCTATCTGCTGAGTTTTTTGTTGTTGTTATTTTTGTTATTGGAATTTGAAAATTTAAGTTATTGCATTTTATGATTTTAACTTCTTAATTAAATTGAATAATAAGGAATTAAAATTTTGCTGATAATTAAAAATCAAAAAATTTGTTGCTATCTCTTTAATTATTGTATTACTTCTGTTAATAAATTCCTTTACAAATTCTATGTTTATAATAAATATAGTGGTCCAATTTTTTAAGTGTGTTTGTTTGTTATTATTAGGAAAAAAATATTTTATTTATTTAATGAATTCAGCAAAACGCTTAAAATAAATATTTGTTTAAAATAATGATTTACTTATGCTATGCTTGTTATTTGAAATTCTTTTAAATCTTAAACACATATGTTTTTGGTAATCGGGTCTTCGATAATGGTTAAACCCTTCGCGTTATTCTATCCGTTAAGCAAATCGCGCACGTTTTCATTATAAATTTCTAAAAAGCTAAATTTAAGTGTTGTATTTTTTAAATCTAAATTTTATAATAAATATTCAATTGCTATGTAACAAATTCCCCTATCAGCGATATTTCTGTCTTGAAGATTACTGGAAATGCTAGGGATATCTAAATTTGCATTGCAACTGCCGTTGCTGTAAATGTTATTTTATTGTGAAGAAATTGAATAGGTAAATGAATTGAACGGTTTTATCAAACCTCCGTTCCTGCCAAATATTGTGTGAGTTTTTCCAGAGCCAGTGATACCATAGGCAAAGAAAGTTGCATTGTAACCTTCCAAAATTCCATTCAAAGAAGGCAATACTGCTTTTTCAAATGTATCGTAGTTTGTAGAGTTTTCAGACAAAACTCCATCAAAAACATAAGCCTTTTCTCTTTTATCAATATTTCTATAATCAGGATCATTAAGAAATATAATATTATTTTCTTCATCCACTTTTATTATGCTGCTATTCTAAATTTCTGTCTAATTTTAAACACTGCTATTGAAAACTTGAGTGTAGAATTATGAATTATTGAAATTTGATCCTTGCTAAGTGGTATTAGCTGAGTTTCCACCATTCTGTTTAGAACCAAAAGGGGAATGATGAGGTGATGAAGAGCCACAAAGGCTCGATAATTACTACTAATGTTAAATGCTTAAATTAGATGCTCTATATAATCTTTCTGGCTATTTGCGAGATGATAACTACTAATCATCTTTGTTTAGTGGTCTAACTCTAACAAATACTTGAAAGTTTTTTAAGTCCTGAATGCTCTCAGCCAATTCACTACTTTATGTATTTAACATAGTCCTAATACTAACTAACGATTTCTTAATACTTATTGCTATCTGTAAGTCTAATTTGATTTAAGGGATGCTATCCTTATCACTAAATTTGAAAAATATTTTATGAGAGTTGTATTTAACTTTGCTTGCCTTTAATTTTGTTAAAATTTTGTTGGCTTTGTACTTCTCCTTAAATTTTAATTATTTATAATGTAAAAAACAAATAATTAAATGCTTGTGTTTGTTTGTATATTAATTATTTTTCTTTCTTTCTTTTGATTTTTGATATTTAATTAATATTGCCTGCTCGCCCATCTCATTTGTTTTTTGTTCCATTCAAAACGAAAGAAGGCTATTAAAAGAAATAATCTATATCTAAAGTAGATTGTTTTTATAAATGAATGTGTATGTGTGTATGTCTTTACCTTTTCTTTTTTGTTTATTTGCATTTAATTCTTTCCATTGCTCAATTAAAATTTGTATTGAATATTTTTGAATTTACAAAAACTAACAATTAAATCTTTCCAAATAAATAAACAAACAAATATAGAGATAATTAGATAGGCTGAACAAAGAATGAAATCAAGCTATCTTTTTCTAATTTCAAATTGAATTAATAGAATTTCTTATTTATATGATTGACACTCCTTATTTTATTTTTTTTTAGTTTTAATTTAAATCAAACCCGCCATACATAAATTTTATTTTTAGTAAGATTTACGGTTTAAATAAATCTTTTTGAATATTTGAATTTATAAAGTAAATTAATTTGAATAATTATTTAAATTCTTAAAATAAAACTAAAATATTTTATTTGTAATTTTCTTCAATAAAATTTAATAAAATTAAAGATTTTCATTTTTTATTAATACAATTTGTTATAAAATATTTTGAAATAATTCATATTTTTTATAAATTGATTGGAGTATTTATTTAAAAGGCTAGTTATTTTTTCTCTATTAAGAATAATAACTTCAATAATTCAGTAATCTGTCACTAAAAAAAAATAAATATATCCATTAGTAAAATAAAAATTTTACAAAAATCTATATTTTTTAATATTTATATATTGGTTAGCATAATATTTAAACAGCTTTAATTTCACGCTGAAAACTACCAATAAAATTGATGAAAAAGAATTGAGTAATTAATAAAAATGAAGGTGACTGTATATAGATTTTATTGTCATTTTTATATTTGTTCATTACTGTTACTGGTTTGGATTAAAATATATAGAATGTTTATATAATTTTCATTCTTAATTTAAATACCTATATTATTTGCTAGCTCTTTATTGAGTTGTATTGAAATATCAGATTTTCTAAATTTTTTTTTGGGTATTTTATGGTAAACAAACTTATTTTTAATAGTATCTTATAAAATATATATTTTTTTAATTTTTTTAACTTATATTTTATTCTCTCCATTCTATTTTTTTCAATTGAAAGGGTTCGAATATTTATGGAATTTATTTTGCCTCCGTTTTTCAAAGCTTCCATGAATATTTTTTATTTACTTTTTAAATAATTAAATTTCAAAAAAATAAATAAAATTTAATATAGAATTATGAATGAATAGGCAAATTGAAGTTATATAGATAATATTTACATTTATTTTTAACTAATATCTTATAAAATATATATTTATTTTTATTTATAAAGTGTTTTGAATAATTTTTTATTTTTTTATTATATGAAATTGCTGTTCTATTAGATGGATAAAAACATATCCTTAAAATTTTACTAAGTAAACTATTTTTCTAGAGTACCTAAATTTGAATATAGTATTTTATTTTATTTTTGGTATAAAAATAAGTTAGTTATTTATTTTTAATTATTTTAATTAGAACTAACTAAAGTTTTAGGATAATAAACTCAAAACTAATCCATTTTATTTATTTTAAGTTTGATAGCATAGCATTCATTATTGATTGATTTATCACTTATTTTTTATACAAACCTCCAGACTCTTGGAAATATCAACTAACTCCCTTATTTTACTATTTAGAAGAACTTTTCTGAGATATGCAAATTTATCTGTAAATTTAAAATCCATTAATAAATTTATTAATTAATTCGATATTAAAAAAAATAATTTATTTATTACCTGACTTAATTACTTCAGTTTTCTTTCCTTTGTTAGAGAAAATGTTAATAAGTGTTTCACCAATATACTTGCAAAACAAAAATCCAGGCTATTTATACACATTTATGTATTCAAGATCTAAAACCTTTAAAAATATATCATGATTTTATAGCAAGAGACTTCTCCATGATGAATCATTTTTAGATTTATTTTAAATTATAATTAAGCAGAACATAAAATTAAGGACAATGTGCTAATATTCGCTTTAATTAAAATTAATTTTTGAGAATGTTTATTTAAAATAATAAATAAATGAATAAATGTTAGATTACGTTAAAGGCTCTTTAAAATACTCCCAAAAGAAGGAATTTGAAATGGATTTAATTCCTTCATAATTTCTTACAGGTCTCTCTAAGAACTTCCAAATCATAACAGCATTCAAAGGAATAGGTGCTATCTTTTCTAGTTCAAGTTGCAGCTATGTAACTCTACTCTTTATTTTTTATTTACGGAGAGTTCGGTTGGCAAGCATTTTAGACAAGTTGCTTTAGCTACTCTTTCTTCTATTATTTTACTTTTGAGAATTAACACTTTCATGAGTATAATTGTTCTGCTTTAAATATTAAGATTGCTGACTGAATTAACTACTGTTTTGATTAGGTTGTTATATTTATGAAGCAGATGTAGTTTAAGCGCCTTTTTCTTAGTTTTCTTGGGAGAAACCTGCAATATGTCTTGCACTATATGTTTTTTGACTGTTGTTTTCTTAGCTTTACTAGCGGTGATTCTAAAGGCTTATTTAAGAATTTTACCTTAGCAAAGGAGAATTTACATCAATTGACTTTTACTAGCTTAACTTATGGTTAGGATAATGCTTGGAGTCTGATTTTCTTAAATCTCTCAAACTCTAGTTTACTGGTATTTTTTTATTTGTGCTAGAAAAAGGCGACTCATCTCCTTGCTTTGATTGCTTGTCTATAAACTCTTTAAAATTATTTTGAACTTATTGCTACTAATCTTCACCGATATTTTCATCTGTTTAAGATATAGATTATACTTCTTCTTCCTCATCATGGTATTTAAATTCTTTTTCTAAACCTTCAATTTCTTCATCTTTCAGTATGTCTTGATATTCCTCCAAGAGTATTTTTAACTCCTATTCTTTATCTTGAATTTCCTTGAACATTCTCACATGTTCTATCATTAAAACTCTTAGCTTCTTCATGATGAAATCCTTCACTTCCATTTTATTTTCTATTAAATTAGATTGAAATTTAATAAAAAAAATATTCTTAAAAGCCTTTACCTTCTTAAATGTGATTTTTGAGGATAATGTATAGCACTCTAGATTACAAATGGAGATCTTATTCACAAATTTGGAATAAAATATTATATAAGTTTTGAGAGATGACTATCCCTCCCTTTTCTAAAACTAAATCTGTAATAAACTCGATTATCACGTTTTTAGCATTTTAAGTGTCAATTTATGGTTGTTCCTTCATAAATTTAAGAGAAGAAAGCATTTAATTATTTTCTACATCAAGGAGCACTTAAAACACATGCTCTAATAAAGCAATCAGAGGCTCTATATCAATTTTTATTTCTTGTTTAATCATTTACTAATTAGTTTCTTTGATAAGAACATCAAGTTCCAGCATGAGGTTCTTTAAATAAATGAGTCCATTTATTTCAGCAAAGTTAGTCAATGTGTTGTAGCAGAACATTTAAATAGTCTATTTTTATTTATTTATTATTCGTATTAGAATAAATCATTTTATTTTAATTAAAATTAATTTACCTTTTTCTTTTTAATGAGACCGTTGATAAGTATTTTTATATTTTACTAATCAAGTAGACTGTTTTAGAGTTTCTAGAAGTAGCTCAGCTAATTGATAAAAATCACATTTACTTTGAGGATGCTATTTAATTCATTTTATTTAATTCTTCTCTCTTCAAGAAACTATTTATTTAATTTATTAAAAATTAAAAAATTCGTTTTAAGAACAATTAAAAATTGTATGAAAATTAATCAATTGTGTACTTTTTCTTTTTGTTCCGAGTCAGTAAATGAATTTAACTTTTCTTCAAATTCTAAAATGCGAATACAACAAATAAAGCTAGTTTATATGATATCTGAAGGTTTAATATTTTGTTCACTTGAGAGCATAGAAGGAAATTCAGTGAAATAAACTAGCAAGATTAAAGTTTCAAACACTAAAATTAAGTTATTCATGTCTAACTCTTGCATGCTTTGAAATAAATTACAAAAAATAAATTAAATAAAAAAACAATTTTAATTAAAAAATGAAAGTACAATAGCTATGTAGTTAACTGAGATTCTCTATCTTATTCCTCATTGTATTGGTTATGAAGGCTACTGTAATCAGAATTTTATGTAAACAAGTTGCGATCAATAGAATCTATCAATCTTTTCAAATAAATATTGAAGAATTCTATGTAGCTATTTAAATATTCAATCATTTCGTTATAGCTATCAATCAATTCTTTTTGATTCCTTATATCAATTGACAGTAAAAACTTTTTAATGAAAACTAAAAAAAAGAATCTGATCATAGAATCATGCTAGAAATGATCTTGGTTTTGTTAAATGATTTGGAAAATCTTCTTAGCTAACCTAATGACAGCCTATTCCTTGATTTGCTTAAAATCAACCTTGGTAATTATGTTTAAAAAATTAACATAAACTTATCTATATCTGCTAGCAACCAAATTTAAATCTAGGCTTTTTTAATCTTCTATAACTTTGTATTCGTTTCCCATGTTATTTATCATCAAATTGAGTATTTCTTCTAACTATACAAATTTAATCAAAATAAATATAGATTTATTTCAATAAATAATCCTACATGAGGTTGCATTTCAGGTTCATATTTCTCAAGAAGAATGTTTAGTGTTTAAAAAATACATTGACGAATCGTCAATTTATCCATTAATCTAAACGTACTATCATTCAATTCAAAACTTTTCATCATCTCCATTATAAATTTGACTATTGGAAGACAAGAGCCTTCGTTTCTATTTATTTATTTATTTATTTATATATTTTTTTTAATCCTTAAAAGTCCATGAATTAGTTAAATTTTAAATAACTAAAATATTTGTAAAAGCAAACTTATTTAACAAATCTATTCCAATTTTAATTTCATTCTAAAAAATCATTTTAAATGAAAAAAATATTTTTGATTTTTAGAAAGATTAATTAAAATCAATTATTTTAATTGATTAACTTTCTTTTTTAGATAAATTTGTTTTAAATAATATTTTTGTCCAAATTTACTAATTTTTATCTTCGATTTTGTTAATTTAATTTTAAAAATTAAAACTTTTTCCATAAAATTAAGATAAAATAACAAAATTATTTCTTCATTTAAAATTAAAAAGGAAAATTAATTTTTAAAAAAATTCCATTTTAATCTAAATATTTTAAATGAAGCTAAGTTTTTTTAAATCAAAAAATTCACTCCAAATTTTCTCCAAGATTCTTTTTTATATTTTTTATAGAAATTGTAGAGATAATTTTTTAAAGCCAAAAAAAACTTTGGAAAGAATGAATTAAATTTCAAGATTTTCTTTTTTTGATAATTAAAAAAAAATTTTACACTCTAATGAGCACCTTGCTCATGTTCAGTAGCAAGTGAGAAATGATAAGAATAAATTTAGATATCTTTTCATCTTTTAATTATGGTTCAATTTTTTTCAAGACTTCATATATTGAGTAGAAATGGATGTTAACTATTCTATCATTCGATTCAGAGACATTTTTTTCTTTTGAATAAACAAGCTTAAACTTCATTTAGTTTTAATTGTATTAAGGTTAATCTTTTTGGAAGATAGAGTTTACACAGTCTAATATCAACCCTAAAAGCTTGATTCTCTCTATAATAAAATTAAAGCTATTCTGATTTTTCTTCTCATTTTTCTTTTATTGCTTAACTTCTTCATAAAATAAATCGTAGTCTTAATAGTAATTGAGCTGCATCTTTATAATTTTTACTAAGCCATACTATTTAATTAATTCATAAATAATTTAAATTGATAAAATTCACTTAAGTCTTTTTGAAATTTACTTTTAATATTTAGCTTAGACACTCTCTTGAGTCAAAAAAGTTTTATAGTACTTCCCATATCTTAAAGTATCCTTCGAAATTATTTTCATCAGATAATTTTTATTCTAGTAAGAACTTAAACAGTTCCTAGAAGAGCACTTCGCTTTTTGAAATTTTCTTGATTTAATTAATTAAATGCATTATTTATTTCAACATATTAGTAAGTAATAAAAAAAAATTACATATTTTAAGGTTTTAATTTTAATGATTTTTTAAATTAGAATGAGTGCTCTATCTAGAAGGGGATCATTGACTTAGCAGACTGATATAATCTTAAGAGTAACAAACTCAATTATATCTTCAACATATATTTGATAATCCTCGAATTTTGCATATTCAATCATATTTATTACTGCGATCAAGCTCTTTTCTACGTAGCTTCTGTCATATTACTAAACAACCATTTTAAACCAAATGAAAATATCTTCAGATTTTATCCTGCTGTAAATTTCTTTTCCTCTTGCAATATGTAGAAAACCTTTAATATTTATTTAAAATTAAAGTTACTATTTTGGATAAGAAAACTCAGTCATTATGAGCAACATACAAACAAATAAAAAAAAGAAGCAAATATAAATGTATGATAGATAGCACATAGTAAATGTGATTATTTAAGAGAAGAAAGAAAATATTTTTTACCTGCAAGAGCATATGAATAAAAGGGAAATGTTATTGATTTTTCATTGCTGAGATAATTGAAAAGATATTCAGGTATCTTAGTTGAAAGTATAAGTTTATGATTTTCTTATAATGAGCATACGTTTGCTATACATTAAAGAGTTTGACTTTCTCCTTTTTATCTAAGCTCACTCAAAATATCGTTTCTAGTTCTTTCAGCTCCTTTTTTAAGAATCATGATAAAGAAGCTAAAAATAAATTTATTCTCATCATTATCTAAGGGTGCATTTTTGATATCACTTTCGTTTGACATTATAGATACACTCTTGTTTAAATTACTTCCATTTAGGTTCATGTTTCCTTATTAAATTCTCAACAAATTTTAAATCTACTGTACAAATACTTTTTAAGTATCTTTATTTTTATCACCATCTTCTATTTACTCATTAGTTACATTTTCCTGTAAAAATTATTTAGTAAATTCATTAATTTAATTCAAGTTTATATTTATTTTATTATTTTTACATCAAAATTTGCACTCGATTTTTGAACAACATCAGTAAACTTATATTTTTTTATTTTAAGAACCACACTTATTAGTCCAGCCAAATAGTATTCAAATTCCTTAATTCATTCATTTTAGTTTTTATTTTAATATAAATTAAGATGAAAATAATTAAAAAGAAATAAAAAATAACAATAAAAAGTTAGATTAATTAATAAATAAATTAGGAAATGATTCAATAACATAGAAAATCGTTAATGAAGATTAGTTGATCAACCATTTTTTAAATAAATAAATAAATTAATTAATTAAAAAGTTTTAAATAAATAAATAATTTGATTAATAATTATTGAAAAAAATTTTGATCAGAAATAAATTAATTGATTTTGATTTTTAAATAAATGAAATTTAATTAAATAATTCAATTAATAATGAAAAAATTAATGTAAAATTACTTTATTAAATTGAATATATTTCTTATATTTAATTTAGAGCTGGGAAAATAAGTTGGCATAACTATAACATGATTTTAAAATTTGTTCATTTTAGTAAAAGTTAGATAATGTGCAGATCACCTATGCTAGAATATTGTAGCTTTTGATTTTACCGAGCCTTAGAGATAGGGTGATGAATTCATCGATTTACTATGAAATAAGGAATTGAGCTACTTCTTAATTTTAAGCTCCGAATAAAGAGCAGTTTGAAAGTAGCTGTAAAAAGAGCACAATAAATTACTCACCCTTAATCTAAATTTTTATATGAATGTTTTAAAAAGTAAAAAACAACTTAAAAAAGTACTCTGTTCTGTTCTTAGATTGTTTTTGGCTAAGCACTTTCTAGCTTAGAAATAATTATTTGATTAAACTTGAGAAGTTTAGTTAGTTATTCAGATAAATTACTAGTATTATTAAAGTAATATTCACTAGAGGTCATCTTTTTGAACACTTAGAAATAAGATAGCTTTTAATCTATGTTATCAAAAAATATTATGATGTTGATGATTTGAACTGTAAGCTTAGTGTAATCTAATTGGATTTAAGAAAAATGCTCCCAGCTTGTCAGCTCACTTAGAATACGCCCTAAATGTCTAATAAAATAAGCAGATCTTGTTTCTAAATTCATTTTTATATAACTCATAATTTCTCTTGATATATCAAGCTTATTCATCAGCTTAGACTCTCTATTTTATGTGGTCTAATTTATTGTTATTTAATTTAAATCTAATTCAAAAACAAAATATTTACATCTTGAGAGTTATCCAGTATATAAAACGTAGCTATTTGAAGTAATCTCACTTGCAACGGTTTTTCACATTCGTTCACCATCGAAAGGGAATTTACTAAGTTTATATCATTTTCAAGCATGTGAAAGTTTTTATGGTTTAAACCTAACTAAATCATTGAAATGATCATATGATTTTGTTAAGTATCTTGTAACTAATCTTCTTTGTTTAAAATCAGCTCAAATATTTTCATGCAATCGTTTTTAATCATTATTTCGTGAACTTTCTTTGTAAAAGTAACATTCGCAAGTAACCCTTATATTTTTTCTTTCATATGAAGACTTGTTTTTTAGTAAATGAACACATTGTACAGGCATCTATTTATTTTTTATATTTTTTCTTTATTTTAGCAAGTTAATTAAATTTTATTTAAATGCTTATTGATTAAATTAAAGTATTTTTTTGAATTACTTATTTAATTTTTTTGTTTGTTCAAATTAATTAATTATTTATTTAATCGATGAATGAATGAATTAAATATTAATTTATTTAATCAAATTATTAATTTTTAATAAAATAATTTGGATATTTAGAATGAATAACTTTACTTTAGAATGTCTTCTTATGCTATAAAAAAATGATAATCAGGATTAGCTGATATGTTTCCAAGTAGTCTTATTGATGTCCATGTAAGTGAGTCGAAGCGATGTTCGATGAGGATTTCTTTGATTAATTGCATAACCTTGTTATGTTTAAGTAATAAATTTTAAACTTCTTTGATATTGCAAAGATTAGCAAGGAAGCATAATAAAGCTTCTTATTCAGCTTTATTGCTATCTTGAAAGAGAGTTTTAAACTTTTGAACAAATTCTTCTAAATTCAGAAAACTTTCAAAGAATTCTATGCTATTTTCGTAGTAGCTTACATTTGTAAGAAATGTATAGAGAGAAAATCTAAATTTAGTATCCTAATTTTAAGGTGTAATTAAAGTAGTTAAAAACTAGTCTGATATCTTAGTCATAAGAATCTGATTTTCTTTAAAAGACCTAGTAAAGAGAAAATAATTAATTTTAAATTTAAATATTCTAAAAAAATTTATTTTTACTCAAAAAAGGATTTGTCTTATAGTAAGTGGTTCATTATGTTCAAAATAAAAGTTTAACACTAAATATCACTTATTTCATTAAACAATTGATAAGCTAACTCTATTGATTTTCTTACTGCTGGTTCATTTTTTAGAGCATAATTTTATATCACCAAATTATGGAGAATTTTTAGGAAACCAGTGTTGATTTGAAGATTCATAAATTTAGTGCAGGTAACGTTATTGTGCATGCAATTAAGAATATCTAAAATATCCTGCTTATTTTTTTAAGCGAATTCTGAATCTATAAGCAAGTTACTAGCCATAAGCACACAAATCATTAACTGATTATAAAAGCTTTTTCTTTGTAGCTTTATTTTTTCAAAAATTAAATAAAAATGAGAAAACTCGCTTGAATGTTTAAAATTACTAATTGAATATCTTATTCAGATCTCTAAATAATTGTTTTGACAAGCTAAATAGTTTTAGATTGAGAAACTGCTTTAGCTAATCCGAAATCGCTTTTTGTCATATTAAGCACACATAACAAGCTTGCATTCACCAAGGAGTTGTTTGGTTTCTTTTCAGATATTTACTAGTAAAGGAAGTTGAACACAAAAGGGTAAATTCTAAATAATTATTTGAAAAATCTTTTGATGAAAAAAATTTTAATTTTTTAAATTACTGTTCATCTAACGTAGAGCTATTAAAAAGAGGGAGTGAAGTTATTTAAGCTAATAATCTTACTAAATCTGTAAATGATATTATTTGCTTTAATTTAAAATTAATTAATAAAATAATAAGTAAATAAATAAATAAAAAAAAAATACTTTTTCTGACCATATTTTAAAAATTAAATTAATGAGATTTTCATCAAGTATTTATTTCAAAAGTTCTGGTTATTTAGAAATGTTTGCTAGGAGAGTGCAGCAATTAGGAACTATATTGAGACTCCAATCCTTATAGTTCATTAAAAATTTTTTAATCAACTTAACCACATTACTACTCTTAAAGTAATCTCTGCTCTTTTAATTTACAATTTAAAAAAATTAATATTTTCTTAAAAATATTTTATAAAAAACTTAATGAATTACTATAATCAAACAAACAAATAAATAAATATTTTTAAAATAAAAAATAGATGAATTTATATTTAGAAATATCCTTTGAATTTTAATTTCATTATGAAAAAATTGAATCAAAATAATTTATTAAAAAAGTTTTAAAAAAAATAAATAAATAATATTAAAAGTTAAAATTAGAAAATTTGAATAATTAAATCAATTTTTATATTTCAAAAAAATATTTGATATGTTGTTGCTTGCTGTGTGTTTTTGTTTTACCTATGGCTTTTTAGAGAGAGACATAAGAATGTAGATACGCATGTAGACGGTATCGTTGTCTTGTATCATGTATGTATCATCGGCTAACTTTTATATGGTTTCAAATAGAGAGTCAGGATAGCTTTCAGATTCTGCCAAGATTATATTAAATGCTTCTATAATTTCATGGAACATAAACTCATAGCTTTGCTAGAGGATGGTATATAATATCTGAACTATTCCTTATTTAAATAATTCTTTGAGATGAAATGCGATGTTATCGATCTTAAGCATCTGGCAGGCGAAAGTCAAAAGATATGAATAATTGTTCATCATCATAAACTCATCTTTTTCTTTCAAATTTAGGCATATTTCTTTAGTGAGTTGTATGAATTTCTTTTCTAGCAAAACTTCATGACAATCTGGATTAAGAGAGAGATTCATCATTATTTTTGAGAAAAAGTCAGTAAACTAATTTAAATCTTCTTGAGTTTGTATTGATAAGTTTTAAAGCAGTGTTGTATGAGTAATTAGCTTTCTATGATATTTCATTTACTCAGATACTATCATAAGAGCAAAAAGACTTAATTTTAGACATTCGGGATCATCTTTATTTCTTAGTCCTTCATTAATTAACCAGCATAATCTATTCACGATTTCTTTCTCCTATCTTTTATAAATCATTATGTTAATGAAAAATCTCAAACCTTCCTTAAGGATTCTTCTTTCTCGTATTAAGGAGTTTTTTGATATCCTTGAACAAATGTCGTCTGTTGTGATTATATCCTATGATAAATATTAATGACTCAGATAAAATTTGTTTAAAAAATTACTATATTTTTCTCCCATCTACTTAAAAGAGTGAAGCACTTAAAGGCTAAGTAAATTTAGAAGCTGTCCTATCTATTCAAAAACGATAGCAAGCAATCTATACCGTTAGACTCAAAAAATTCAGTATGCATGTCTTTAGAGCAATAAATCATGGTCATTAAAGATATTAGCAACTAGATTTAAATAAATTTTATTTATTTATTTTTTAAATATCTAAGAAATTTAAAACCTATTTTTTCGTTTCGTTTCTTGAGCTGTAAATGTCATCTATAATTCTCTTCATAACTTTTTTAGATATTATAGTTTTTCTGCATTCAGGAGAGATGCAAAATTTAGAAATAACTTTGGAGATGTATCCTCTGATATCATTTTCATAATAAATCTTAATAAAATATATAATTTCATTTATATATTGTATTCAAAGTAAAAAAAGATACTCTATTATTCAAATATAATTTGATGAATATGTCAAGTAGTTCTTCAGAAATAATAGAGAGCGTTTGGTTAGATACCACATTAGAGAAAATAATAATTATTGATTTAAGAAGTTGGATATCTTCTTATGTTTTAATCAGGTTCAGTAGAATGCTTTTTTCTGGATCTCTCAAAAAATGAACTTAGTATGCATGATCTGTTAATTAAAAAATATTAATTAATTAATTAGTTTAAATTCTTGAAATTAATAACCTAATGAAATATTTGCAAGAGTATTTGCTGCTGCTCTCATAACCTCTATAGATGTATCAGATTATTCAAATATATGAATAAGACTCTTGATATTTCTTTTTTTGTTAGTGAAATGATTAGAAAATTTGTTGATAGGAAATTGATTGTATGTATATACATGTTTTGGAGTTTTTTATGGAAATTAGGAGCTACAGAGAGGTTTGATATGGTTATAACACTTTTTATACGAGAATCTCTATCAGTGCTATTAATTTATATGATAATCAAATCTATTATTTCTTAATAAACCAACAGCTATATACAAAATGGATTAAACGATAAATTGCTTATGAATTTCAATGCCTATCTTCTTAATTTGATTTCCTTATTTTATCTCAATATATCACACATGCTGTTTAAGACTCCTAAGTCTATCAACTTGGTTTAAGTATCTATACCTTCACTTAATTTTGTTAAGCATGATAGTGACTATATAATACAAATTCATAAATTATTAAATTCAATCAAAAGTTATTTTTTGTACTCTGTATTGTATTTCAAAGTTATCAATGAATTGAGCCTCTTTCACTATTTGTATGTATATTTCTTCCTATAAGATTTTGTAATACTCAGGATGTTGCAGCATTTACTCCATGAACTCTAAAATAGCTCTATTTATTTTGAATAAAAAGCAAGAATAAGTTTTATCATGAACATAATTTCAAGTTAAAATAACAGCTTTAATAAAAATTATAAATTCAAAGTCTTATTTTATTTTTGAGTTTAGCTAAAAATTTCTACACACCTATGAATTTTAAGTAATTTAAAAAATATATATAAATAAATAAATAAAAACTATTCGTTATAATACCTGATGATTTGCTAATTATTTGGTTAACTTCTAAACAATCTATATGCTTAAAGTATACGAGGAGCTAGGTCAAACTTTTGAAGTTTTTTAATATTGCTATCATTCTCTATAAATATTCTATCATTAAAAAATCATTAAGTTATTATTTTTAAAATGTTCTACTTTTTTATTTATTTATTTATTCATAAAATTCCATCAAAATTGCTTTCATTCATTCATTTGATCTAAATTGCATTTATTTATTTATTTTTATAACTTAATAAAGTAGACAATTCGTAAATTATATATTGATTATGTTTTCTTCTAAATTACTTAAACAGTGTTATGCTATGCAGAGATACCTCTTAATTTGGTGAGACGATTGCACGAGCAAGAGGGGCACAGTATTTTTATTTTTTAAGTATTATTTTCATGTCTTCGCTGTATAGATTATCAGGATGCTCTGTGCAAAGAGATATCAGAATTTAAAGAATATATTTTTAGGTTTCGAAGTCGACTTAATCCAAATATTAACATACAAGTATTCTCTATAGTTGATGAGAAAGAAATTCATAAAAATTGTTCACATCGCGACACAGATTACTAAAAATTTAAATACAATTTTTTGTAATTTTATGGTGCAAGTTATCTTTAATGAGCATAGCAATTGTCTTGAGAGCACCAGATTTTAATATCTTTTCATGTGTTTCTGAATTTTGGCTTAATAAGGCAAGACATTCACTTGCTCCTTGAATAACCTCAAGCGGATTATCTTTCTGCATAAGAGGAACAATTGTTGTTAAAATGAAAGATCTTTCACATACTCTGATTTAAAACTTGCCTAAAAAAATATAAAATATGTAGAATGGAATAAAATTTTCAATTTTCAGGTAATTTTTAATAAATATTTTGCTAAGATTATAAAAAAGTATCTCATTTTTGGTTTTGTTGTTGATTAAAAAATATCAAAAACAACATTTAATTAGAAGAACACAAGAACAAACAAACAATCTAATATAAGATAAATATTAATAAATCCTATAAATTAATTGCTATTTTTTTATATATATTAAAAAACAAAAGAATTTGTTTACTATCTCTACAGTACTGGTTCAAAAGCTGCAAAAATATAGGCTCGCTTTTGAAATACTTATAAGGAACCTCTCTCAGTTAGGCCAATTCGCTGAACGAGAGGGTTTTTTCAGCAGGACGTTTCTTTATTTCAATGAAAATATCATTTTAATCTTTAAACATTTATTAATTAAATATATGATTTTTGAGTGCAAATGTACTTCAATCAATTTCAAAAAATATTACTATTAATTTAATTTTTTTTTAATTATTTTTTAAGTCTATTTTCTTTCTTTATTTCTTTTTACTCTCAGTTAGTTAGTTATTAATTGTTTGTAAAATTTTAAGTTATTTCTTACTTATTCTTAAGTTCATAAATAAATATATAATTGGCATTGAAGAAATTTGTAAAAATTATTTTTATTTAAATTCAAAAATAATTTTTTATATCAGAAAATTCTTTATAAAAATTGATCTAATAAGTACTGGATATATTTATTTGGCAAAACAAATTTAATATTTTGAAATTTATCCAGCTAATTTGGAAAATTAATCGCTGAAAAATACAATTAAAATCTTATGATAAGACATATACTAAAAAGTAATCAAAAATTTTCCAATTAAATTTACAAATATTTTCTCCATTTAGGTTTTAAATTTGAAATTGCAAACAAGGATAAAATTGGTTTTTTAAAAAATAAAAAGTAAATTATTGATTTAAAATGAACTTCTGCTGCAAATAAATAAAGAAAAATGATCAATTTTAGAGTTAGCTTAGAATTTAATATCATCATTTACATACAAAATTTTAATTTAATTGAACGAATTAGTGCTATAAAAATGTTTATTATTATAAATACAATAATTTTAATCAATTTTTTAAGAGTTTAGCCTTTTCAAATAGCTTTTCAACAACCTTTTCCATTTGTTGATTGTGCTCGACAGCATTCTTGTATAAATCCTATTTAATATTAAATATTTTTTTCTTTATCTAAATAATGTTTCTTATAAATCTTTTAATTAATTAGAAATATATTTACATCGCATTTAATATCGTCAAAGAGAATCAAACATCCAGTACCTTAGTCTAAAGTACCATCAATTTTCTTATCAAGAATCAACTCTGATAATCTAAATATTTAATTAATAAAATTATTAAATGATTTATTATTACTTGTATGTTTTATTACTTCTTTTAAATCAAATTTTCATCAAGACCAATTCTTTGAGCTATGTGAGTAATTTAAACTCTGGTGTAAGGTTCAATAAGTCTGAATAAATTCTATTCAAGTAGTTGATCATAAAGTTAATTTAATTAGTTTTTGATGATAGGATCACCTGTGATTTCTAATTAATCATTTATAAGAAAAATATTGTATCTAGCTTCAAATAAATAAATAAATTTTTATACATTCTGCATATGTTTGTAAGAGGGCTTAGAATTATGATAGAGATTTTTCTCTGTAGGCCTTAGCAACTAATTTCATGGCATCCAAGTCTTTTCCTGCATACTTTAATCCATACTTTCCATTTAAAATCTAAGCAATATCATCATAGTTGGATGTCATAATTTTACAAAGAAGCATATATTTCAAGGCCTTAATAGATCTAGGGTCATCTAAGGAATTGAGAGCTTCGAATCCTTCATAGAAATAGGAATATCTATTTTTATTTATTTATAATCAATTAATTTCTAAAATTCATTCAATAGAATATTTTATACGCTGTCTTATAATCTTTATCTTCACATTGTAAGATACCTGTCATCATATCTATATCAGCTTATAAAGCAGGAGCACAATAAATTGAATTTGAGCAAGCTCTTGAAGCAGTCAAAGAAGCCTAATTAAGTTAACAAAAGTAATTAATACAAAATTGCAAGCTTTATTTATTTGGTATATAGAAATGGATCAAAAATATTTATTTTTATTTGTCATCCATTGCCAAAAAACAAATAATATCTAGTTCTTAAATGCATTATATCTACTCTCTATGATTATATACCTAATATTGGTCGTTTATATTTAACATGCTTATTAGTTAATACATACGGTTCTCTAATATAATTTATGTTTGCTTCACAATAAAAAAATATAACCCAATTAAACATTCATTTGTTAATAAATTTTCATCTAATAATTCTAAAAATTATTTTTTTTCTTTACAATATTTGATTTCATTATTAAATATTGAATAAATAGTTGCTTTATCATCTCAAAAATAATATCTTCAATATTATGAACTAACTCACTCTTTTACTTTCTGTGTATTTGTTTGTGTTGTTATATAATATTTAAAAAAAGGAATCCTTGTTATTTTTAGAAATACCTTGCATATTTTGTTAAATTTATTAATTTTTTTAAAATATCCTAGTTTCTAGGATTCAAAAAATCAAGATTTTAAGATTTTGACTTTTCAATTAATTACTTTCATACAAAAGAATCAAGTTTTTATTTATTTATTTATTTATTTATTTGTTAATTTATATGCTATTTATTTACCTTGGCTTTGGCATAATTTTCAAGTGCATAATGAATTTTAGACTCGATTAATTGACCTTCAACAAGCATATGCTTATCATCAGCTTTACGAGTTTCTTTTAAGATAGCCTCTATAATTGTCAATGCTTTGGTATAGTCACCTCTTTAGAGATATAAGACTGATAACTTAATTTCGATTCTGTGACGTAAGTAAGTGATTCCTTGCTTTTGGCACCATTCTACTAAGAAATTGCATAATTCAATTTATATATCTTCAGTTTTTTCAATAGTAGCTACAACTTCAATAATAGTTCTAATAACTTTTGCTGCTTTTGCCTTAGGGAATGCATTAATGTCATTGATTCTGTTATAAATCAAATCTTTAATCTTCACGGGTTGGCTAGATTTATTTTAAAATTTTATAAGATATTTTAGCTTAAATTTAAATAAATATTTCAAATCAAATAGGCTTGGATACTATGAAGATATATTTTTGTTGACTATTGGCTACATTTGATAATTTGATTGATTCATAGTTAATAGTATAAGAGCATTTCAAATATGCTGACAAGTTTTCAAAAAATAAATAGATCAAATCAAAGATTAATTAAAAAAATTGTATATACTTCAAGGACTTGAAATGTTCTACTAAGTTATAAAAAGCATTTTCCTTAATTCTAAAGTTATCATCTGTTTCCTTTACATCTAATTATAAAAAAAGCATGTATAAAATACTTTTAAAAAGCTGAAATGGTTTTTAGATAGAGAAATTATTTTGAGAATATTGATTGATTATGCATAAATAAGTATTTGTTATTATGATAAATTAAAAATAAATAAAAACATACCTTCTTCAATAATTTTATAAAGGGCATTTTCATAAACTTAAGGAGCTTGAGAAGACTTTAAGGCATTTGCTTCCTATTCTAATCTGTCTAAAACACTAGTCATGTTATTTGTTTTATTTATTTTATATCTATTTTTATATTAATCTCTATTTTATTTCTTCTTCCTACTTTTATTTATTGATTTTTTATTAGTTGATCGGTTTTTAAAATTAATATATTTTTTAATGTCAACTTTTTCCTAATTTTTATTTAAAGATATTCATTCAATCTTTATTATCAAACAAGCTCAATTCTTTCTTTCTTTATTTATTTACTTATAAATGTATGTATTTAATAGCAATTAGCTAATACATTCATATATTATTTCTTGTATATCATCAAATCCAAACAATTAAATTACTTGATACCTCTCATACAGACAAAGTGAATCTTTGATTTTTCAAAAGATCAGAGAGATACATACAGATATTAATCTTAATAGAGCCCGATTCTTTTTCTTTTAACTGTAGATCTTATCTTAAATTAATTTTGAAGATATTTAAAAAATATTTCTTTTTAACAATATCTCTACTTACTTTTTAATAATCCTATTATATTTTTTTTAATTTCAATTAAAGCAATTTAATTAATTAATAAATTAATCCATTCAAAATATTTTCTTGACACTCATAAAATAAATAGAAGTTTTGTATTAAAACAATTTCTTTAATTTATTTATTATAAATTAACTTATGTTTGGTTTATTTTTTAAGTTAGAATTCTAATTTTTTTTTTTGATAATTAAATTATAATTTTTATTTCAAAAATCTTTTTTTTGGGTAGAATTTTTGGTTTAAAAATAAAAATGTAATTTATAAAATAAAATAAAGAACTGGCAGAATTTTAAATAAAAAAATGTTTTATATCACTTACAAATTTTTATTTTATTTGTTGATTTTATACAATATAAAGTAATTTAGCATTAAAAATAATTTAATTTAGTTTGCATAATTTCTTTTTATATTTAACAATTAATGTATTTTACAAATTAGTATATTATTAATTTAAATTTAAATAGCTCAATCAATAAGCATGTATTTATCATGTTAATTTTAATTGAATATATTATGTAGATTATATGATTGATGATCTCAAATACTGTTTAAGTTATTTAAACTTAGTAAATCGAGAAACTCGGTTTGATAAATTTAATTTGCTATATTTGTTTGTATTTTAATAAAAATATTATCATTAGAAAGTTTAAATATGTAATATTTGTTTGTTTGTTAAATTGCTTTTAGATAGAATTAAATACTAATATAATTTAGCATTAAAAGTTTTTTAATTGAGTTTGCAATATTATTTAGTTACTTAAATTAATTTTTAAAAGATTATATTTATTTTAAATTACTCTATCAGTATACATACTTTTATCATATTATCTCTAATTTAGCAAATTATTTAAATTAAAAGACTGAGATTTCAAATAATGTTTAAAATATTTAAATTAATTTAACAAGTCAAGAAATTCCATAAATTAGTATTCTTTATTTGCTTGATAATTAAAATATCATAAAATAAAATTAAATATGAGATATGAATTTTTAAATTTGCTCTAAAAATTGTTTTGTGATAAAATTAAATTATTTATTTTTCCATTCTATCAATATCTCTATTATGATCACATGAGCTAAGAAATATTAATTTATATCTTATATATTGATAGTGATTTATTCAAATATATATATATGAAGTTTTATCAAATTTTTTTCTATTTTTTCAACAGATATACCTACATAGATACATGCATAACTACCTACATATTCTAGTAATTAATTCTTTTGTTAATTGATTGCTTTTTTATTTCCAAATAGAAACAACCAATATAAAACAAACTTAAATTAAAAGAGTATTTAATTTAAAAATAAAATAAAAAAAATTAAAGCATAATTTACAAAATAATGAAGCAAACCAGCTAAGTAAACCATAATATAAAGTTTATTAACTTCTATTTAAACATTTTAAAAATTATTATCAGCTTAAGACATTATCAGAGATTACCAAGGCTAAGAGTTTAAAATAAAGCATCATCATAGCTTTGATACTGGACTATACTAATAATTACTTGACTAGTCAAGGACCACTTGTAAGAATAAAAATAATAGATGACACATTTACATTTGAAAAAAAATAAAGCTCAAAAGTGTATTTTCAGGTGCACAATCTGACTGATAAAAAATATATGATGAAAATAGGCGATATCGTGTATGTAAAAGAATTCTAATCATTTAAATAGGATAAGGTAATAACTATTTAGGATAACTTAAATTAATATATTTTTTGTTTAATTAAGCCTGAAATTTATGAAATAGAAACTAGTTCTCATATACATGTATTTGAACAAAACAAATCTAATCTTTGGTGCACCAACTGCTAAAAGAATATCTTGCTTTGTGAGCAGTCTCAAAAAAGAATATAAGATCTTCGAGACTACAGCTTTAAAAAATTCTCTCAAATTAAATGTATGCTTAAATTTTTATTCTTTTTATTTATTTATTGAAAAAATTGTATTTTGAAAAGTAAAAGATTTATATTGGAAAGGCTTTACTAATTCTGATTAAGTTATTAAATAAAACTTTGACTTGTTGTTGAAAGTAGATTAAATAGAATTAGTTAATCTTTAAGACATACCAAAGTATTACAATATTAGATTGGTAGATTCTGATCTTAATTAATACTATTTAAAGGAGTAAAATAATGATTTAGAAGTAGGAGAGATTGTTAAAATTAGATCTGTGCATTACTTGTAAGTAATTTTGTTTAGAATTTTAGTAATTTAAAAGTTAATTTATAGTGTTTAATTACTAAGAGACAAAGAAAATCAAATTATAAAAAGTGACTACACAAATGTGCAAAGACTTTATAGATTTTTTTATGATGTAGTGAATTTCGATAAATTTAAGTATGAAATAGTTAGATATGCAAAAGAAAATTATGATTTTGAAGAGTATTATCATGATTTATAAGATGAAAATAGAAAATGTATTTTATTTAATTTAATTTAAATTTACAAATTTTTTATTTAAGGATTAAAATTTTAATTAAATTTATAAATAAATAAATAGTTTCTATCATAAAAAGGATTCATTAAAATAATTATAACATTACTTCTTTACAATTTCTATTGAACAAGCAGCAATCTAATGATTACTATTCTATCAAGCATATGAAATACAGGATACAGTGCTACGTTATAGATATTCAGCCATCTTATTTATTAGATGCTGTTAGAAGGATATCATACTTTGATAAAAAAATTAAGTAATTTTTAAATACAAATATTTTATGATTTTTCATTTAAAATTTTTTTTTTCTAGCTATCCTTTAAAGGATTCAAATTTCAAAAATATGAATTAGCTAAAAAGAATTTTAGAAGTTTAAATTTTAGTCAAGGACACTTCAATCGACTTGAACAAGGATGTAGTTAATATTATACTTATTTAAGAGGAGCTTCAAAATGATCACGTATATACATATATATAATTTAAAATAGCTTATTAATTTCTGAAAATAATTAAATTTTATTAGGATTTTTTTAAAGGAGTTGAATTACTCAAAATCGAAGAAGAAAATGTATAAGAGTATCAAAAAGTTTACTATAATATATTAAATAGACTATTTACAGAAACAAGCTCATCTAAAATGGTGGATATTATAGTTAAACCATTCTTATTTCAATAAAAAATTTTATATAAAATTATTGACACTCAATTTCTCCCCTGAAAAAATTAAATTTTCGAAAAAAATCAGAAGATTTATTTATCTAAATTTTATAATTCATAAATGAGAGAAAGATAATTTTTAACGTTTAATAATACCTTAAATATTGTAATACATATCTGTTTGATATTCATTTCTTCCTTGAAAAATCAAAATATTTTGAAATATATTTAATACCAAAATTTTATAAAATTTATTTGTAGAAGAAGTTTGAATTTTAAACTATTTCTTAAATGTTTGAATTGAATTATTATTAATTATAAACATCTAGAAATTCACTATTAGCTACTCTTATTCTTACATATATTTTTGATAAAAATTTCATCTAAAAAATATTAATCTAATATTAAAAATATTTTTTTCAAATTTAACAATTTAAATGTTTCAATAATTCAGAAAAATTTATGTAGATTTTATTTCTACACATATAAAGTTTCTCCTCCAAAAAATTAAATATTGATTTAGCTTTAATTTGTTTTTAAAGAAAATATTTAGTTTTTCTTCATTGACTAATTAAATATTTTTTAAAATAAAAAATAAAATTGTGATTTTTCTTTTTTTATCATTTTCTTAAAAGAAAGCTTATAAATATATATATTTATATTGAAATGATGTAAATAACTAATTTATCTTGATTATTAATATCAATCAAAACATTCACACTTAGTTTTTCTTACTTTTATAGCTCTGGAAAAAATTAATTTCTTTTAAAATATTCATTTCTCAAATTTAACTATTTCAATTTATAAATAATTTAAAATAATTTATGTTAGATTTTTTTCTATTTTAGTAAAGTTTCTTCTCCAAAAAATATTGATTTATCTTTAATCTTTTTACTAAGAAAATATTAATGTTAAATTGTTGAAACTTAAATTTTTTTGTGGTCAATTAAAAGAATAACTTTAATGAGATATTTTTAATTTATGTTTTGTAAAGTAAATTTTAGTAAAAATATTATTAAATAAATATTTTTATTTTACATTTTTTTTTTTAAATAATTGTTTTGCTTATTTACTTACATAAACGATAACCTTAATTTAATTGTTAATAATTTATTTAAAATCTCTCGGAGTATTTATTGCGCCAAATCAATTTATTTAGAAAAATATAATTAAAAAGTATTCATAAATAAATAGGAAAGTACAAGTAGCAAAAGTATTTATAATTGTTAAATTTAGAGAAGCAATATTAACTGAACCATTTTAATATAAACATAGGCATACGCGTTAATAAAACAGAATTTAAATATAAACTAAATAGTTGCAATATATAAATGAACTAACACAACGAAGAGGTAAAATATTTGATATTTTTAGTAGCTTTTACACGCATCATGCATATGAATAAAAGATTGATTTATTGATTATTTTATTCATTTAGATAATTCATAATTTTCAAACGTTTGCTCAATGAAATACATTTTAAATAATATAAAAAGTTCTTCACACTAAATGAGCTGTATCTGAAGTAGAAAAGAAGTATCCATATTGTAGCAATTATTTTAGATTGCACAGCATAATATAAAACTGCAAACGACTATTTGACAAGAATAAAAATTATTGATGATACATTTGTGAAAGTTGATAATAACGACACTAAGAAAGGATACTTTGAAGTTTGCCAGTTCAGTTAATTAAGGTGCAAAAGTCCCAAAGTTTAGAAAATTGGGGACATTATTTATTTAAGGAGATACAATGTTTCTGCTGTAAATATTAAGATATTTTGCTTTGTTTAATTATTCATATTAGGTCTAATTTCTTTATTAGTTTGTGTTTTTGTTTATTTACTCTACTAGCAATTTAGCAAATACAAGTAGAATGAGTTTGATCATTGATTGAACTTTTAAAATATTAAAAAGAACGATGACGATAGATTGTAAATCTAGACAAACCACTAAGCAAAATGCAGCTTTCACATATTTGACTCAGAGTAATAGCATTACAATGTAATTGACTCTGACTATGATGGACAGCTATAAATTTCTGAGATACTATAGGAGAGGATTAAATAATTAAGAAGTTATTGCTTTTAAATATTTTCAACTAAGAGCTGTAAATATATAATATTTTATATCAACTTTTTAGACATATTGTTTTTGTATTAAATTAGTAATGCAAATGATTTGGTATGGACTTGAACCTCAAAGAGAGAATTAAATCAATAAAAAAGACTTTGACATGCTTTTAAGGATTTAGGATATTGAATAAATTTAAAATTTTGATGAAAGCCTTGACCCTATTCCAATGGTAAAGCTTACATTAATAGATTCTGACAACAATAATTACTATCTTACATTCCAAGACAGAAACTATACAAAAGGCTAGGTTGTCAAGATAAGATCTGTCCGCCATATGTAAAAATTTGTGCAAATATTAATAATAACTCTAATATCTATAAATAAAATAGAGAAAACGAAGGAGTTATTGTCAAGAATGATTATTCAAATGTCTTAAAACTCTCCAATTTCTTTTATGACTTCAAAAATTTCCAATAAATTAAATATGACATGATTGAATACATGAAAAATAATTTTGATTTTGATGATTACATAGAAGATCCAAGCGATGAATACAGAAGATGTAATCAAAAAAAAAAAAAAATAAATAAATAAATAAAGGGGGAACTTTATAATTTTTTTTTATTTGACAAAAGTTTCCGTCTTAAAGAAGATCCACTCTACAAACAATACCATAACATCACTTTAGGATTTATTAAAGATACAAACAAACCCTTCTCAATATAGCATAATCAAGACTTAAAAATTTAAAACGCAATGCTACATCGTTGATATCTAACCTTAGACACTAGAAGAAGCTGTTAAAAAAGTTTCTTATATGAACCATAATATTTGGTAAAAATGAATTAAAGAAAATGTTATTCTAAATTATAGTTTGATAAAATAGTGTGTCATTAAAAGACTCCAGCAATTATAATAAGCATGCTGAGCTTAACAGGATATTAGAAGCTTAAATTGTAGTGAAAGATTAATCTATTGACTCTACTCTAAATATTCTATAATTAGTTTTAATCTAAGAAGAAAGAGAAAAGCACCACGTAAATAATTATTATGTATTAGAAAATAAAAGCTCATTGTATAAAAAAAGGATTTCTTTAAAGGAGTTGAACTGTAAAAAATAACATCAGAAAATATTTAATAATATGAACAAAACTACTAAAAAATTTGCTAGAGATTATGTAGTCATTCAAATACTCATAGGACTGTAGACATCGTTGTTTAGCCAATTCTTTTTAATGATAGAATTCTTTTTAGAATCGTTGATACTTAATTTCTACCCTGATCATTTATAAATATATTCTTACCATTAAAAAAATATTTTGTTACTTTAAATACAATTTATTCCATAAATAGTGTAAAAAACAATTTTAAAATTTTTGAGTAAGTAAATGAATAAATGTTAAGATATTTGAACAAAAGCAAAATCTCTAATTTTTTTACAAAAATTCAAATGTAAAAATATAAAAAAAGCTTAATCTTAAAAATTGTTTGATGAAAACTAAAGCGTGAATTTTTCAAAATTTTAGAACCTTCTTTTAATTTTAATAAATAAAATAATTAAATAAATAAAAGTATTTTTTTTATTAATAATTCTTTTAATTTAATAATACGCTCTATATAAGAAAATCCACCCAAATTTTTGATCATTAACGAAATAGTTTTGACACTTTCCCTCAAAAATATTTTTTATAATTTTTTTATTTTTTAATAATGAGATAATTCATAAAGTATTTTATCTCTCGTTTGTTTTAGATTGATTGATTGATTAATTTCATTTAAAAATCGTCTATCAGAAAATTTAATTATAAAAATAGCTAATTTGTAGCGAGATTTCATTAAAGTTAATTAAAGAAAAGACTTTATTGTGTCTCTCTCAATTAATATAATTAATTAATTCTAATTAGTCCTATATTTTTCTAATCTGAAAAAAAGCATTTTAGCTTTATTAAAAGTGTATTTAATTTCTAAAATTTATTATAAATAATTAATGTAAATTAAATTTTTGAAGCAAAACATAAGAAAAAATCACTTTTCTTATTTTTTTGATAAACTAATAACTTTATTAACTAATTAAAAAATTAGATAAAATTGCAAATGTTTTAATAACATTTTCATCTCTAATAACCAAGAATTACTTAAAATGAATATAAAATTTTCAATTAAGAGCAAATTGAATAATATATGCCTCTTATTCAGAACTAGACATATAGGAATTAAGAGAATAATTAGTAGGAGTATGATTAATTATAAACTGCTAATCAAGTAGATGTATAAAACCTTCCCCGTAACCATTAATTATTATTATAAGCAATAAAAGAAGAGATAGAAGAAAACATTTATGGAACAAAAGTTATAAATGCTCTACTCCCATCTGCAGAAAAGAAGAATTTACAAGATATAGAAGAAGAAGATGATGATGAATAAATTATATAAAATAAAATTGAAGAGGAACTGAAGATTATAGGCGATGAGTAAGACAATTCTAATAATTATGATGATGATTTATAGAATACTTTTGAAAATTAAAATTGCATGCTTTTTCGAGATGATGGCTTTGGCTAGCACTAAGTTTTAGGATTAGTTCATGAAGCGAATGATATCGACGAAGACTAAAATGATAATGATATAGATATTTAAAATGAAGAAATTTAGTTATAAAAGATAAATAAAAAGGGGTACGGTATGTAATTAAGCGTTGAAGAAGATAAGATAAAAGAAAGAGATTTTTAAAAATATCAAAAATAAAGAAGATTATTAAAAATTGATGAATATATAAATAATTAACAATAAATGAGCTCTTAATTAGAAAAAGGGTTCATCAATACAAACTCATTTAAAGTATCAGTTTTAGACACATTTTATTAGGATGATATCCTATTTGAAAAAGTAATAAAAAATGGAAGCATTTCATCATAGCCAACAAAAATAAACTGTGAAGATATAATTATAGGAAGAGGAAATTAAAAAAATACTAAAATTGATATAAATATAAATAGAGACTCACAGGTTTCTAAGCAGCACTGCAAGCTGGTAACTGAATACTATTACAAATAAAATAATTCTTAATTAGAAGGCTTAGATTTATTAATTAATTATTACGAGTAAATATACAAGAAAAATAAAGATAAAATAGATATTTAAACAAGAGCTCTCACTTTGCCATAAATACAATATACTTTAAAAAAATTTCTATATCAAAAACCTAGCTTATATTTAGTTGATTTAAGTAGCTCAAATGGCTCACAGATACTTATTGATTATTAAAAATATACAAGATTAGGCTATGATTAATTTTTATAGTGCGGATCAATTAATTTGCATGTATTAGAGATTAATGATTTAAAGCATTATGATAACTTTTTATCTTTAATTTCAGATTATTTACTAGAAGAACTTTAAAGAGAGATGTCTCATGAGCAATAAACGTTTAGCAAGTGTGGTTTGCCTCAGAAGTATTTAAATTTTGTTATTGAAAGCTTTAAACAAATTTCTGCTCTCCTCAAAAAAATAAATTTATATTAGACAATTCAAAAATAAGGTTTAACAGAAATTTATAGATTTTGGATACTAAAATTCTTGAATGCTAAATTAAAGAAAAGAGAAGCATTTGAAATTAAGATGATCCCTTACATCAAAATAAAAGCTTAATAATACCTGAAATAAGATAGACCTAAAAATTACTTTCTATTTCATGACGAAGAAAATCCAAAAATATTTAAAGTAGGCAAAAGTGTAGAGTGTGATGTACAACTTGATAGCAACTTAATTTCTAGAAATCATTGTGAAATCAATTACAATCCTCAAACCAGTTAATGGCTCATAAGAGACGGTTTTCAATAAGACAAAGAAAGAAAACCCAGTAAGAACAAAACATGGATTAATCTGTATAATTGTAAATAAAGCGAATACTCTGAAACAATTCCATTCAGATTAGAGCCTGATTAAGAATCTGTAATAAAGTTAGGAAATACAATTATAAAAATAAATAAAGAAGAAGAACACTTTGAATATCATAATCAATAATAATAAAATAAGCTTTTTATATGAAAAAATATTAATATGTGCTTTAAAAACATTAATGAATCTCTAATCAAATAAAATAATATTTTTATAAATATACTTGTTTTCATCTCCTTAATTATGTGTTTTTAATTAAAAGTTAAAATACTTTTACTAATCATCATAAAAGTCTTTTAATTCTTTCTTTCTTAATTTCGTAAAAATTATTATTTTATTTGTTATTTATTTTTTTAACTAAAAAAATCTTAAAAATTCTAATAATTTCTTTTAATTTTCGTTTTTCACTAAATATGAAATTATTTATTTATTTATCTTTTCATCTATTTCTTAATTAAATATATTTATTTAAGTAAGTCATTTTTAAAATTGTTTAAAATATGTTAATGTTATCCTTAAAATTTGATAAAGTTATCATTTTTTTTAAATTATGCTAACTAACTAACTTATTTAAATTCAATATTGATTTATTTTTTTTGAAATTTTAAGATATCAATCAATTTAAAACAAACGCAATTTAAAAAATTAAAATGTTTTTCTTAAATCTAAAACTATTTATTTTTTGGAATTAAATATTTAAAAATTTAATCGTTTTGGTTATTTAAATTAAATATTAATTTATTTTTTTTTAAATCTTAAGATATTAATTAATTTAAAACAAACACAATTTAACAAATAAAAATGTTTTTCTTAAATTTAAAACTATTTATTTTAACTATGTATTCATTATATTATACAAGTTAAAAAATTATTATTTTATTTGTTATTTATTTTTTTTAATTAAAAAAATCTTAAAAATTCAAATAATTTCATTTAATTTTCATTTTTCACTAAATATGAAATTATTTATTTATTTATCTTTTCATCTATTTTTTAATTAAATATATTTATTTAAGTAAGTCAATTTAAAAATTGTTTAAAATATGTTAATGTTATCTTTAAAATTAGATAAAGTTATTATTTTTTTAAAATTATACTAACTAACTTATTAAAATTCAATATTGATTTATTTTTTTGAAATTTTAAGATATTAATCAACTTAAAACAAACACAATTTAACAAATAAAAATGTTTTTCTTAAATTTAATATTACTTTTTGCAATTAAATATTTTAAAATTTAATCGTTTTGGTTAAAACCTTAATAGATAGTTCATGTAAATATGTATTCAATATAATGTATATCCATAATTAAAAATACAAAAAATAAAATTTTTATTGACTTGATTTAGCTATTCAATTTTGGTATTAAAATCTTCAAATTTAATATTTATTTTTTTAAAATCCTTTGATTAATATTAGTTGAAATAATTCTAAGTTCTCAAACAAATATAAATAAATTTTACTTAATAAATATCTTGTAAAAATGATTTTTTATTGAGAAATAAAACAGAATTATTTATTAATTAATTGTAAAAGGAAATAAAAGTGAAAGAAGAATGAATTTTAAAAAAATGAAAATTTAGAGAAATTAAAAACATAAATGCAATCTATGAAATTGTTTGTTTTTAGAAATAGAAAATACATAATTTTAATATAATTTGTTTGTTTATGTTTTGCAAATAATGGTCAACAAAAATTTTAGGAGCTTCTTTTTTGGAAAAATCACTTGTGAGCAACACCAGAGCTTCTGACGTAAGAAGATTGGGAAATAACTTAGGAAGATGAAGAGGAAGAGAAAGAGATTTGTTGGACTCTAACCTTGAGGTTTTCTAATAATTAGGAGAAGCTGGCGTGTCTGACACTGATGGATTACCATTCATCGATGATTTGTTAGTAAGAAGAAACGATAACTCTGAGGTTGGAGTTTTCTTCGGTGAGTTAGGTAACCTTTCTGCTTAAGAATTCGATTTGTTGAGTCATGTGGACGAGCTTTTCTTCTAAGGCTTACTTGTCTCTCAAAGAAATTTCCAAATCTCCTTGGTTTCTAGATCTCTTAACAGCTTCATCATTGAGGAGAGCTTCTAATTCAGCAATTCTCTATCTGAGTAATTAGTTATTCTTTTCACATTCTTGGAGCTTAGCTTGGACGAGGTTGAATTCCTAGAGGGCGATTTCTAATTCGGCTAATCTCTTTCTGAGTTAGTCGATTTCAGTGGTCTTAACGACGAGGAGTTCAGTGAGTCTTCTGACTTCTTCAGAAGCGTTCTACAATTATTGAAGGTTGATTTGGAGTTGAGAGATTTCGATTCTGAGTTAGTTAATTTGACCATCCTTTTCTTAGATTTACTTTTCGTAAGAAGTGACCTTCATGTTCAAGAATTCAATCTATTAGGTCATGTGGACGAGCTTTTCTTCGAGGGCTTGCTTGTCTCTGAGGGAGATGGCGAGTTCACCGTCCTTCTTGCTTCTCTTGACGTTTTCGTCGTTGAGTTGAGCTTCAAGTTCAGCAACTCTCTATCTAAGAGCGTTGATAACATTTTCGTATTCCTTAACTCTGATTTCATAAACTCTGAGTTAGTTAATGATGTTGTCTCTTTCAGCAACTTGACCAGTTAATTAGTTAACCTTTTGAGATAAGAATTCAATTTGTTGGGTCATGTGGACGAGCTTTTCTTCGAGGGCTTGCTTGTCTCTGAGGGAGATGGCGAGTTCACCGTCCTTCTTGCTTCTCTTGACGTTTTCGTCGTTGAGTTGAGCTTCAAGTTCAGAAACTCTCTATCTAAGAGCGTTGATGACATTTTCGTATTCCTTAACTCTGATTTCATAAACTCTGAGTTAGTTAATGATGTTGTCTCTTTCAGCGAGTTATTATTATTATTCACCAAGGATCTTTTCGTATTGGGCAACCTTTTGGCTTAAGAATTCGATCTACTAGGTCATGTGAACGAGCTTTTCTTCAAGAGCTTGCTTGTCTCTGAGGGAGATGGCGAGTTCACCGTCCTTCTTGCTTCTCTTGACGTTTTCGTCGTTGAGTTGAGCTTCAAGTTCAGCAACTCTCTATCTAAGAGCGTTGATGACGTTTTCGTATTCCTTAACTCTAATTTCGAAGACTCTGAGTTAGTTAATAATGTTATCTCTTTCAGCGAGTTATTATTATTGTTCACCAAGAATCTTTTCGTATTGAGCAACCTTTTGGCTTAAGAATTCAATTTGTTGGGTCATGTGAACGAGCTTTTCTTCAAGAGCTTGCTTGTCTCTGAGGGAGATGGCGAGTTCACCGTCCTTCTTGCTTCTCTTGACGTTTTCGTCGTTGAGTTGAGCTTCAAGTTCAGCAACTCTCTATCTAAGAGCGTTGATGACATTTTCGTATTCCTTAACTCTGATTTCGTAAACTCTGAGTTAGCTGATGATTTAGTCTCTTTCAGCAACTTGACCAGTTAATTAGTTAACCTTTTGAGATAAGAATTCAATTTGTTGGGTCATGTGGACGAGCTTTTCTTCAAGAGCTTGCTTGTCTCTGAGGGAGATGGCGAGTTCACCGTCCTTCTTGCTTCTCTTGACGTTTTCGTCGTTGAGTTGAGCTTCAAGTTCAGCAATTCTCTATCTGAGAGCATTAATGATTTGTTCATATTCACCAACTCTTTATTCAAACATTCTGAGTTAGTTAATGAGGAGTTCTTATTCAGAGACTCTCTTTCTAAGAGATTCAACTTCAGCAGTTCTAGTAACAAGGTTTTGTTATAAGGTAACGACTTATTCTTAGAGTTAAGCGATTTGAGAGTTAGATAATCTGAGTTGGTTGAGTTCAATGTTAAGTTGAGTGATGGTTTGGTCCTTTTCTCTAATAACCTAGTTCAATCTTTCGATTTGTTGGCTGAGGTATTAGATTTGTTGTTCGTAAGATCCTACCTTAGCAGCAATACCTTCTAACTCAATGATTCTAGTTCTTTGGGCATTGATATCTTGTTCTTGAGCAGCAACCTTTCTTGTTAAGAATTCGACTTGTTGAGTCAAGTGAACAAGCTTTTCTTCAAGAGCTTGCTTGTCTCTGAGAGAAATGGCGAGTTCACCATCCTTCTTAGATCTCTTGACGTTTTCATCATTGAGTAAGTTTTGTAATTCTTCAATCTTCTTGATAAGGAGGAGAGAGTTGTTTTCAGATTCTTGTAACTTGGCTCTCAAAGCATTGATTTCTTATTCGTATTAGGAACATCTGATTTCGAACATTCTTAATTGAGAAATAACTTGATCTTGTTGGCCAAGTCTATTTCTCAAGTCCTCGATAATCTTTTCTTATTGAATCAAGTATTATTCGAGTTCAGTAACCTTTCTTCTCAAAGGTTCAGCTTCAACCTTAACTTGAGTGATCTTTTCTAATTCAGCAGTAGTGAGGACGAGTCTGGTGGCAAGGTTTTCGTTTTAGATCTTTAAGTTGTTGATTTGGATATCTCTAGAGGCAATCAAGGATTAGAATTCAGTGATCTTAACAGTTAATTCCTTAAGTTAGATGATCATTCTGTCTCTTTCTTGTAAGACTGAGTTGAATTAGTCTTCCAAGTTCTTCTTTGATCTCTTGACGTTTTCATTTTCAGCGTCAGAGAGAGCCTTGATGTTGTTCAATTCATATCTCAATTTGTTGATTTCTTCGTTGTTTTCAATGTAAACAATCTATTCAACTTCTTGAGGAGTGTTGTTTCTTAAGGTGATGAGTTCTTCAGTCAAGGTCTTGTTTTAGAGTTCCAAACTATAAGTTAATAAAATAATTAGTTAGTTAAAATTTATTTATTTAGATATGATGAATAGTTAATTAGTTAGTCTCTAAAAAGTAGGATTTATTTATTAATTATTTTCTATTGTCTTTTTCTATCCTTCTTTTTAATTTTTTCTATGGTTTTTATTTCTTTCCACTTTCTTCTCTTTATAAATTAATTAAATAAATTGCTACTGGTCAACTAATTAAAATTTTAATTAATTTTTATTTTCTTTATTTATTTTTTTTATTATTTTATATCTTCTGGTCTACCACCTATTGATTTTACTTTTTCCTATCAATCTTTCTTTTTTTGTATGTATAAATGTAATGGCGAATTAATGAATGAATAAAAGAATGAATGAATCAATCAATTAATCAGTCAACCAATTTGTAATTCTATTACATCATTAGATGAATTAAATTTTTTATTTTTATTAGTTTTATCAGTAGGGTAATATTAGTTTAAATCTTTTATTTTAACACTGCTACTTCTCCTTATCCTTTTTCTCCCAATAGTCGACTGCTTCAGTAAATGAAGGTATGTACGATCAGATTATATTCATTCATTTTTTGGCTTTGTACTTTAAAAGAGAAGCTTTTGAATGACTGTTACTCAAAACTTTTCATACCTTTTACCTACTATTTGCTTGAGGGTAGAAAAGTTTGAGTAAACGACTACTTCCTTCACTCTTTAGATCAATCAATGACTATAGAATTAAGATAGAAAAACACTACAATTTCTTAGAAAATTTAACCTAAAAGTAGCATTTTTGTTAAAAATACTAACTAGAAGGCTGTTATTTTCTTTGATATGTATTTATCTATCTCTTTTCTACACCTTTGAGTACTGAGTCCTTTTTGCTTAATAAGAACCATAAAGCTAGCTGCTAAAGAGCTACTGAAGAGTCAATTTAAGGAGTTTTAAAAAGTGATTGGAGTATGAAAAGAGCAGATTTGGTATGATAGGGTGTGGAAAGAAAAATCAAAAAGAAAATGCTGAAAAGGGAGATAGAAGTAAGAAGAGATTGAGACTAAATACTGTAAAAAGATGTAAAATATTACGCTGAAATACGTTATCTGAGAAGGTTGAGTTCAGAAGTGTTACTGCTTTCGACCTTAACAATCTTTTCAACGTAGATAGGGTTTTAGACAGTAGATTGGGAGACGTAAATGGGAGCTTGACCCTTTTCAATGTGAGAAACATTGACTACGTGCTTACCGTATTGAGAAGATCTAATAGGAGATTCAGATCTGTAGACGAAGGTCTTGGATTGTCTGGTGGGAGAACCTTAAGTGGTGGTGAGGATCTAGCTGACGACTTAGTTGCTGGATGCCAATTGAATGGGATGTTCCGGGGAGCTAGAGTCAATCAAGGTACGTCCAGCAGTTTGGATATTGTTTTAGGAGTATTGAATGCTACCAGGTGGGACGTTGGTGCTTTGAACGAGGTTTTGACTGTATTGATAAGACATTTTCTTTTGTTGAAGAAATTGTTGTTTTTTATTGTAATTTTTCTGGACTTTTTTCCTTTGGGAAAGTCTGGATATCTTTTTTATTTTTATTTATTTAATTATTTTATTATGACCCACTGCTTTTGCACTTTTCTGTTTTTGAAGCGCAATTAAAAGTAATGACCCAAAAACACTGTAATTAGAATGGATTCTTTTTAAAAAAATAAAAAATTCATTCTGATAAACGATAAAAAAGTTAACATTACAAAATAAATCCTCATACATAAAATCAATCAAAATCATATAAAAATTGCTTGTTTCTATTTAATAAAAACTTAACTAAGATATTTTTTATTTCTTCCACATTGATCGATAAATTCATTATAAAACCACTTCTTTCTAAAAACTAATTGAATCAACTTCATTTTCGCTCACATTAGCAATATTTTCTACAAACTCATTACTGTCGTATTATTTTGTGTTCTAGTCTTAAATATACAGTCGATTTTTTAATATTTTTTTTCTAATTATTTCTCTTCACTTGAATAAATTAATTAAGTTATCTCAAACAAATTTAATTCTTTGGAATCTTTCATTTTAGTAATTTATTTAGTGCGTATTTATTTTTGATTGCTGGCTCATTTTTTGTTTATTATTTTCATTGCTCGTTAACTACTTGTCTGATTATTTATTTCTATTGAAAATATATGAAACCTATATTTTCTAAAATACATAAATACATACATACAAGCATAAATACATTTAATAGTTTAAAATATCTGTCATAGTCAAACTAAAATAAAAATAGGTGTATCTATTAATTACATTTCTGCTTAGCTTGAATGCTAGAAAATAAATATTTACAAGAACCATCTAGAATAAAGGTACTATTCAACTACATTTGTCAAGCTATAATTACTCATAGAATTAGAAATCTCCTTTTTTTTTTTCATTTACACCTACAAATATGCATATATTTATCTAATAAATAAATAAACAAATATTTTTATTTTTAGTTTGTTTACTATAGTTACAACATCAGAAAAAGCGTCCAGCCTTTCCCGAAAATATTTTGATAATGTCTTTTGAATTAAAGAATTTCTGAATGACTGAATTAAGTTAATTTGTAATTAGAGAGAAAATAATTAAATTACAAATGTATTAGTAAAGCAGCTTATATCACCAAAGACATATCTTGAAACATTCACAATTACCCTGTAAATAGGTTTATAAAATAATAAAATACAAAGCTAAATTATGACTTCAAATTTGTACCTAGATGAACTTACTTAGAAAAATTATAATGAAAATTTAGATCTCCACTATATTTGTTAATTGTTTTAAAGATATGAATTTCCCCCACTTTATTCATAGAGTCATAAATTGATTGATCATAAATGCAGCACTTACAATAATTTTTTTAACTTACAAAACTTTATTTCCTTTACAATAGATATTTCTTACTAAATCTTTAAAAATATTTGATTGCTTTGTTAAAATCATATTTTGAAACCAACCAAGTCTCAGTTTAGCATTAATTCATAAATTCACCAACAAAATTAACATTTATGTGTAATTTGCACAAACTCATCAATAAATTATAAAAATATCCATTTATATGTTGGCTATTTGTATGTATGTATGTATTGAAAATCAGCCAGTTTTAACAATAAATTTCTCTTGTCTTAAAATGCATAAAAACAAAAATATATTTTAAGTTTGATGTAAAGTGATAAAATGAGATAAAATTAGACGCTTTTTTTAAAAAATATTTCTAAAATAGTGGCTGTGTGTGAACGAAGGGATAAACACCAGTTTTATCTCCTAGTAATTTATTTATTAATACTAACTAAATTTATTAGACACAAGATATCTTTACCAATAAATTAATTATTTATTTAATAATTCGCGCAATTAGAGTTTGTTTTGTAAGATTTCTAGAGAATATAATCAATGTTAGAAAAAAAATAATAAGTTAATTACCCAATTTTTTCTACTTCAATGCAGTTAGTAAGATTTTTAAATATCTTTCAATTTTTAAGTATCCTTCTCATAACTTTAATCTTTTATTTTAATCCTTACTTAAAGAATTTTGAAGTGCTTAAAAACTTCTTTTACTATAAAAAAATACTAAAATTTCTTTTTGTCTAAGTAGATTAAAATTTGAGAAACTTAGGTGAGAATTATCAATAAAAAATTTAATCAAAAAATATAAATCTATTTTTGCATAAAGTGGAAAATGTTGCCTGAATCTTTCTGCAAAACTTTTAAGGACATAAAGTAAAAAAAACTAGAAGAGAAAGTATTTATCAAAATAGCTTATTTTGGTGAAAAAAAGGATATAGAATAAATTCAATCAATCAAAATACTTGCACGTACTTGAATAGCTAAAATATTCAATCAGTAATTTTGACTCTATTTATTCAATCAAATGAAGGAAAATATGGATTAAATTAATTTCAAGTAGGACAATAGAAAATAAAAAAAATATATAAAACTCTCTTTCTCATTTAGCTGCAGATAAAAATAGAATTTGTTAAATAGGAAAAAATATCAAAAAAGACGTTTTTATTATAAAAAATAAGCATTTTTAATAATTTTTTGGTTCACTTCTTATGTAAAATAACTTGCAAATTTATAATTTAGCTAAAAGTATTCAAAATAGTACATTTTTTAGATCAATTTATAAAGCTTCCCTTGCGTAAATATATTAGTAAGTCACAAAAGTTAATCAATTACGCATTAGTAAGAGTGTTTACAGATATCTAAATTTATAAAAATTGTAAAAGATTTATTTTTAATTAAACCTAAAATACTTCAACAATTGCCTTAGCGATCGATAATCGTCAAAAATTTGATGTCATTATTTAATTTGTTTACAATAATTAAAAGATAATAAAAATGTATGTATTAATAATACACTAAACTTTTATAAAGATAGAATTTATATTGTCTTCATCAATTTACTACCATAAAAAAGCAAGAATCAAATGATTTCTTAAAGTAGCTTTCTGTTTGTTGTTGAAAATTCTAATAAATAAAATTTCTTTGAAATTTTAACCACAAGGATAGAAATAATATCTTTCTTTATCACTTTAAAATAAAATATAAAAAAGCTTGCCATTTACTTTGTATCTTTAAAAGAACATTTCTAAATTGGCGAATTAATTCTTAATTGATGAATTAATCTATCAAATAAATTTTAATAAATCACATAGATTATTTTTAGAAATAAAAACAGTTTTGGTTATGTATTGAAAAAAAAAATTATAGCGAATCAAAATTTTACTGATTTATTATTTAGAAAGAGCTCACTTAAAGCGAATCTTTTTTAATTAATTTAGAAGGATTATAATTTCTCTCATCTTTCGATAAATAAATTTTATATCAAAAATTAGCCAAATAAATTTTATTTCAGTTTATTATAATTATTAAATAAACATCAGAGTCTTTTTGGACAAAATCTTACATTTAAATTTATAATTAGGTCTTATAGTAATGCTTAAAATAATTTAAAATATTTAATTCTTTAAGATTATTTTTATTCCAACAATATTATTCTTTAATTATTAGTACAAATTTGTTTATCTTATACATGAATTTATTTTTGACTTGATTTTATCACAATAATATTCAGTAGCAAATAAAAAGATTAGATGTTACTATTTATTAATAAGAATAGAGGAACAAACAAAAATGTAATCATAAAAAGTTTTTTGAACTGTTTTTCCATTATTTGTTTTTTACTTTAAGGAAAATTTATTATTATTCTAATTTTTTATTTGTTTTTAAAGAAGATTTTGTCTAAATATTTAAATAAATGAATAAATAATAATTAAAAAATACAAATTAATTCATAAATATTTATGGATAAAATTAAAATACTATTTTAATTCGAAGAAAATCTTATTTATTTTAAGGAATTTATATTATTAAAATAAAAAATACACTCACTCATTTTAATAATTCTTTTAATAGTTTTATTATTGAGTTATAAAAGATTTTAATTTGCCTTTTTTCATAAATTAGAGTAAAAATTAATATTTTTATGGTATTTGTATTAATTTATTACAATTTTCTTAATAAAAAGGTACTTTTTGTAATCATTTTAAATAATTTTTTATTAAAAACCAATTAATTATTAAACAAACAATATTTTATACATGAACTAATTAATTTTATCTTTAGTTATTCATTACCTAATAATTGAGCTAAAATCAGATTAATTTTTTTTGGTTTATTAATTTTAAAATTAAAGGTTTAAATGTAATATATTGATTCAATATGGATGGATATTTGATTATTTTTTATGGTTTATAACTTTAATCTATAAATAAATATTTAGCAGAAATATTTTAATTTATATTAATAATACATCATTTATATACATGCAATTATAGAATTATAATTTAGAAATAATTGATAAATTTTTAATTTTTTTTAGTCCAACAAGATATGTTCATTTTTTTAATCAAAACGAATTATGTCAACAATAATAAAATAAAATCAATGAAAAAATTTGAAACAATTATGATTAAAAAGTTATAGTTTTTACTTCATTTATTTAATATTATTTATTATTTTTAAACATTTTTAGTCAGATTTATTTCATTTTATTAAAAAGGATTTTCTATAAAATTTTATTATTTATGATTGCAGAAAAATTAAGAGTAAAGGGGATAAAATGTAAAAAAATTGTTTTCTCAAAATTTAAAGATCATTCGATTCTTTTCCATATCAAAATAGACTTTTAATTATTTTAGTTCTTGCAAAATGATGCCATTATTAATGATTTTATTATACATATTGATTGATCATCATTTTTTTTTTTTGAAATTAAAAGTATATTTTAGAAATAAATACTATTTTCAGGTTTATTAATTAAATTTATATCAATAGAATTAAATTATATTTATTTAAAAACTGCAGTAAACTCAAAATGAAGTAAAATTTTAGCGATAAATAAGATAAAATGCCTTTTTCAAAACTAATACAAATCTAGTCACTAGAATTGGAAGTAGGATTAAGAATTATTGCGTCAATAACTAAATATTAAAACATATTTAAAATAAAAATGCTAAATATTTAATTTAAATTAAAAATTATAAAAATTTGAGTGAATAAATAAATGAATGATATAACTAATTATGATTTATTTATTTTTATTACTAAATATAAAAATATGTAATTATATATTTTTCTATCTATGTATGTATGCATTTTAATTTATATAAAATTGAAACAAAATATAATTTTTATTTATTTGGTATATTTATACACATAAGATACAATTAAAATTATATTTAGGGTAAGGATAGTGATTTATTTATTTATGTTTTTTGAGATATTTTATTAAATTTTTTTTGTTTCTAAAAAATGTAAGTTTGTGTTTATTTATTTATTTATTGATGTTTTTATGTTATTTAATAACATTTTTTGTTTAACTAAATTTTTTATTTTCAAATTCTTTGCTTGTTATTTGTATTTTTTTTCTTCTGGTATTAATTATTTGAAGCTTATGAAGTACTGGTACTTGAGAATAGAGAGTTTTATTGCTAAGCTCCTCCAAATAAGCTTGCACTTTGATTGACACTTTGATTCATAAATGGGTTTATATTTTAGGTAGTGCTCTAAAATAAACCTGAGTTTTAAGATGTGTTGCTATTAACTCCGAAGTAATTTGCCTATGGCTAAAAATTAGCATTGAAATTTAGATTACTATTTACCTAAAATGGAGTATTATTAACTATGCTACTATTAGGTTAATTAAATAAATTATTATTATTCATATTTGTGCTGTTAAAGGCATTGTTTTATTATGGATTTAAACCAGAGAAATGATTAATCTATCCAATACTTTAATTTGGTAAGCTATTTTAGAAAGATCCAAAATTGCTTGTCATTTAATTATTTAATTGAGGTGTTGCAGATATTTAATTGGATTAGAATATTGGATTATTTTATGGTTATTAAAACAAACCATTGTTAGACTATGAGAACAAGGTGTTGTTTAACAAGCTTCCTCCTTGTAAATTGTTGTTATTGGTATTATTTTGAATTTAAGGACCATTTTAATTGAAAAATGTGTTGTTACCACTTACCAAATCTTATAAGCTTTATTGCTTGATTTGTTAGGAACTGGTTGAAAAAGGATGTTATGAGAAGGGACTGGCAACATTGTTACCAAAAGAATTAATAGCACTACCTACAGTTTAAGAATTTTAGCTTGGCTAAGGTGTGGAGAGAACTTAGGCTGTTTTATTCAATTAGCTACTTGCTTATTAATCAGTGTGTTCACTTGCCATTTCCATTTCACTGTCTTTTATTTTATTTTCATCCTACTTAATTTCATTTTGTTGGATTGGAGCAAATAAATTTGAAGTTTAAGCCTTCTTTTCAGGTGTTTTATTATCGCTATCGTTGCCTTTTTAAGAAATATTTGAAAATAATCCTCCTTATTAAGAGCTATTGTTGATTGTGGAAGTTCCATTTAAATTAGAAAATAATCCTCCTTACTTAGAGCTGTTATTATCAGAAGGAGCTCCATTCAGACTAGAAAACAATCCACCTTTATTATTACTATTCTCGGATGAAGTTGCATTGATATTAGAAAATAATCCAGTAGATTTGCTATTATCTGCTTTTTAATTATCTTTATCACTCTTTCCAGTAGCTTCTGTTTTTGGTAAGGTTTTTTCTGCATCTTCATTAGCTGTTTTACCTAAGTTGCCAAATAAAGATGAAGACTTGTTTTCAGTAGAAGAAGCAGTAGCTGCAGCAGGAGTAGATTAGCTATTTGTACTTGGAGTTAAGTTGCTGCTAAACAAAGAACCAGAGGCTGGTGTTTTGGGTTCAGTTAAACCAGAGAATAAAGAATTTGAGGCTGGTTTTACATCTGTTAAACCAGAGAATAGAGAAGCAGAAGCTGGCTTTACTTCAGTTGTAAAAAGAGAGTTAGTAGCAGACTTTGTCTCTGTAACAAAAAGACTAGGAGTAGATGGTTTATCTGCTGTTTAAGAGGAACTTAAATTACCGAATAATCCTACAGCTGGTTTAGATGGTATTATAGATTCTTTTTAATTAACTGTGAGCTCAATTTTATTTTCTTCTTTCTTAGATGAGTCTTAAGCAGTGATTTATTTTGATTCTTCTTAATTATTTTTAATATTACCAAAAAGATTATCTTTGGCAATTGAAATTGTTTATGTATTTTCACTTGCAGAGCTGAATAATTTATTTTATGATTAATCTGAAACTTGCTCTTTAAGCTAGCTTTGAGGTGTTCCATTGATTTTGATGTTGATTCCGGTTGAAGAAGATGGCTCTTCAGTGACTTTTTTCTCTTGAGGTTTTTTAAATAGCTAAGATTATTGTAAAGAGTTATTGGTTTGTGATTGGGTGTTATTACTGTTTAAGGTATTATTATTGTTGGGTGCAGAGCTGTTGTTGGGGAAAATATTCATAATAATTGCAGAATCTTCGTCGTCAGTATGGCGCTATATACTTGACATGCTGAACTCATCATCAAATGGCTATTAAGAGAGTTTTGGTTTTTTATTTGAAGTAATGCTATTTGAAGAAGAGACAGGAGAAGAGCAAGATTCTTCGTAATTTGATTAAGAGTCGGAGAAATTGTTATTTCCGCCTTTATTTTGTTCATTCTTTTTTTAACTTTTTTTATTTTAACTTGCTTTATTTTGCTCAACTAATAGAGTGCTATCGTGATCAGATATATAATTCTTTTGTTAAGACTGTTGCTTTGACAAGCTAGGTTGAGATAACTTAGAAGTCTCACCTTATTAAACTTAGGATTTGTATGCAATGTATGAACTTTCACGAGAGAGAACGACATCAGGATCTTGCAAGAATTAAGAATAATGACTGTTAGATTGTCTGTTTAAATCTTTTAATTGCTGATTAGTCAATTTCACTTGATATTTTTCTTTTCTCTTTTCTTTTAAATCTAAAATTTATTATTGCTTGTTGAATTTTGAATCTTTGCTAAGTTATTATTGCTTATGGATTTCTTCAGCATATTCGGAATAATTAATATTTAATTTTCTTGCTTACTACTTCATTTCTAATATTCTCTTAAGTTGGACACGGATTTTGGCACTTTGTGGGAGTTTGTTCATCACAAATTTACGTGCTTCCATTTCTATTTTAAGGTCTTTTCTTTTCTATTCCTCAATTTCTTCTTCAGTAAGATTGGATAAATTGCCTTAAATTTTAGAGTCTTTACCACTTGATTCCTTGTTTTTCCTTGATATTTCAGATTAGGATAATTAAGCTTTTTGTTTACTTGTTTTGTGATCATAATTGCTTTATTCTAACTCCTCATTTTCGAATGCTTTGTTAATATCTAAGAATCTTATTGATGTCTATTTATTAAGAGGTAAACTATTAATTTCCTCTTGAGAAGTTTTAAGTTTTTTAGTATTTTATCTCATAATGCTCTCCATCAATTTATTTTATCTCTTATTTTACAATGTTTCACTTTGCACAGAAGTAGTTGATTACCTATTGAAATAATTACTGGCAGATCTGAAACTTAAATTTAAAGAATTCATTCTTCTTTCTTCCTATTCACGTATTTGATTCTTTTACTCCTAAATAAATTGTTAAACTCTGCTTGAAATGCTTAAAGAGTCGTTTTGGCTAAATTTTTGATTATTTGAACCTATAGAAGAATCGGAGCGTTCTTAATTACCCTAAATGTCTTCTAAGATAGAAGAAATAGATTAAGTATCTTTATTTTAGACGCTGGTTGGCTAATTCTAAGTGCCACTTTACTATTAATTTTGTGTTTTTTAGCTAATGCTTTATTGTTCTACATTGTTTGCTTGACTTTGATTGTTATCTACGGGATTCATAGCTGCAAAGTTGAAATATTCCTTTAAAGAAGCAGATTTTCTTGAAATAAAATGCTTAGCTTCCTTAAGGATTTCTTTTAAATATGGATTTCTAATAACAAAATTCTTGATTTTATGCAATTTAGAGCTATTTAAACTGCTGTCATTTACATTTTACTAATTATCATTATCTTATTCATCGTCGCTCATTATTTCATCTAAGTCAAAATTAATAACACCTCTAGATTTTAACTAGCTACTCAGCTATTTTTCAGCAGCAAAGTCACGCTTTATAAAGCCATTCTTATCCATTCTTTACAGCGGACTAATCTTAGTTTGCAGTAATTTAAGCATTGTTGCAAAATTAATTGTTATCACTTGCTTGCTTGCTTATTATATTTATTATTTATTTTATTAATTTATTTGATTTGTCTTTATTAATACCCACAAAGTTAGTTAAATATGTATGTGCGTATATATATAAATATGTGTATTTATGCCTAGGTTTGTTTGTGTTAGTGCTTATAATTTTGCTTGTTACTAACTAATTAATTATTCTTGCCCCTTTTGGTTTTCTTTTTACTTTTCTTAATTTTATGATTAATTTAAATTAAGAAAAAATTTTTTTTAATTTTTGTGTCTATATAAATGAAAATTTAACACTCTGTAGTATGTTTAGATAGTCTTGTCTGTCTATATTTTTTGCTCTTATGAGTATTACTATTAAAATAACAAAAAACCAAATTCAGTTTCTATTTGCTCTATTTTTGTTTCTTTTATTCTAATCTTTTATGAATTCTTAGATAATTGTCATAAAAAATACAGCTAAAAGCATAAATATTTGCTCAAGATTTAACATAACAAGAAATTAGTTTTGACAAGACTTTCTAATCTCAAAGAATTTTGTTTTCTTGCTAATTTAGTAATTGCCCTTTATAATATATCTCTTTGCTATTAGTGTCTCTAATAAACAAAAGCTTTATCTTCTCCCATTTCCTTCTTATTTTTGTCTTAATCTTTATTTTAAGTTTGATTTCTTGCTTGCTGCAATTGTGTTCTCACTTCACTCAAAAAATTATTTCTATTATAATTTCACCAAAGGAACTAGACACATCTTTTTCTAAAAATAATTTAAAGCTTACATTTTCTCTGGTAAAAACTGTTTTAATTTTTCTGATCGATGGCGCTATTTCTATCCGCGCAGATTACCTAATTCAAAATATCCTAATAATAATATCAAATCTGCATGAATAGAAAACTATGTATTTGAAAAATAATTTAAATCTGTATTATCAAAAACAATCAAGCAAGTTAATTAACAAATAAAAGCAATTTTCAGTTAATAAGTAATTTTAAATTTATTTAAAAAAATAATAAACCATAAATAAATCAATTGATTACTAAATAAATTAATCATAAATTATTTTAAAAAAGTTTATTTTTTTTATTTTTTCTTTTTATTATTTCTCAAAAACAAACATCTAGCAAGCATAAAAAATGTATTTAAGTATCTTATTCTATTTTAATTTTTATCCTTTGAATTGTTAAAAACTTTTTTAGTTTTTTAATAAAATAATTTTATGATTTTTTAAATTTCCAAATTTTAAATAATATTAACAAAAATAGATTTTATATAAATTTAATAAAATAAATAAACAAGCAAGCAAGTAAATAAATAAATAAAAGTATTTAAACAATGTAAAAATAAATAAAATATAAATGTATTTATTATTTATTTCAAAATTTATTTTTTATAAATCATTTTGAAATTATTTTGTTGGTTGAGTTTTTCTTTATCATTTTATAAGAATTCAAATAAATGTAAAAAATATGTTTAAATGTCTTATTCTAATTACAAATTTTTTATATATTTATTTATTGTTTATTAAATTTTTATTTTTAAAATCATTTTTATGATGAATCAATCAATCATTGTTCAATAGTTATTTTTAGCAATAAATATGAGAGCAAAAATAATAAAATAGATATTTAAAAAATTGAAATACATACAATTAAATTAATTAGTTTATTATTTTCTTTAAAAAATTTTGTTTTCTAATTACTTTAAAATATCAGGAATTGCTTGTCCAATTTAAGTAAAAATTACTTTTAACATTTTAACTTTTTTTTTTTGATTAGGAAACAATTTTGATCATTTACTAATTCATTTTTTTAGACTATAAATTAATTAATTAATTTTTATAAAATATTTAATAAATATTTACACAATTATCTTACCTTTTTTTATCTTATTTTGCTACTTTTTTCTATGGTTTTAGTTTGTTAAAATGTATTCACAAAACTTAGATTATTTCTCTTTTTTATGTATTTTTTACTCGTTTTTTTTAAAACAAAAGTCTACAATTCTTTAAAAAAAAAATATATATAAATTCTAAATATTAATTTGCTTAATTTTTGATTTATCTTATTAAAATGGAAGAAGAAATTGCAAAAAAAATTTTTGAGTAATGCTTAAAAAATAAGGTGGAATACATGTCGCTAGACAAATGTAAAGAAATAGTTAAGCATATATTTAAAGAAGTAGGAGTATGCTCAATTGAATACCTAGATTCTGGGTCATTTGGAGTAGTTTTAAAATATAATAATCCAAATAAATTAAAGAAAGGAGCTGTAAAGGCTATTATTGGATATTTAAGTGACGAGGCCAGTATGAAAGAGATAAAGGATGAGATAGATTTACAAATAAATATATGCAATCCGTATATTGCTAAAGTAAAGGAATTTACTAAGATCGTTCTTGATAAAGCTTATATAATTGGTTTCGTATGGATGCATTATTACGAAGGTAGATTTAATTAATTATTAATCATTTAATCATTTTTTAACTCTAAAATCTGTTTAAAAGATGGAAGCCTGAAAAGATTTTTAGACTAATTAAGAGAATAAAATCAAGAAATTGATTTCAAAACTAAAATGAGACTTGGTATTTAGCTTTTTGATGCTTTATCTAGCATGCATTAAAAAAATATTTTTCATAGAGATATCAAGGCTGCTAATATTCTAATGCATCAAGGTGATTGTGTTATTGGTAATAATAATGATTGATTTTAATACAGTTATTAATTAAATGTTTATATAAATCATATTAATAAATAAATATTAAGCTGATTTTGGTATATCGAGAATCTAAAACATCGAATAATAAATATCAAACTCACAAGTAAGTAATTTTAAATTTTTCTTAATTTCATATAAAATGTTTTTTTTATTTTATTAAAACTTAAAGAGATTTAAAGGGACACCTATGTTTTTAGATCCTGAAATTCATAGAGGACATCTGGATAAAAAAGTAAAACTCGTTTAATTTATTCATTTATTAAAATTTAATTAACAAAATCACCTTATATATTTATATATTATATTAATTTTTATAATTTGAAAGATGGATTTATTTGCAATGGGAATAGTTCTGCTAATGATGGATAATGTGGTATAGTTTGCATATGAAAGTCATGTCGCTGCAGATATGATTGATAATTATGGCTACTATTCTACTAGCTTTGCAAAAAATGAAATAATTTAGGAACTCAGATAAAAACTTAATACAAACACCATCTTTTTTAAAATAGCTGAAAAGCTAATTACTAACAAAGTAAGATAAAGACCTTCTGCTGCATAATGCTTGGATCTTTTAAAAGAAGAAGAAAAAAGATTAAATTTATTTACTACATAAGTTTATTCCACAAAAAAATACGGATCAAGCAAAGTTTATGAGAATAATGAAGATGATGAATTTGCTATAGATAAACAAAGCAAAGTTTATGAGAATAATGATGATGATGAATCTGATATTGATAAATATGGAGATGAGAATGCATATATCGATAGTGTGAGAGAATAAAGCTCTAAATGTAAAAATTAATTTGTTTTTTTGTTTGTTTATTTGAGAGTTATTTCAAATAATTTAAAACTAACTAACTTTTACTATAATAATAGCATTCATTTCAAATGTGCCTTCATTTTATAGCAATAAAAATGATAGTGAAGTTCTAATTAAAGGAAAGAAGCACAATCAACAAATTAATTCCAATGAAAAAAGCAATAGCAACTAAAATAATATAAATAATATTTAAAAGCAATATACTACAAATAATTTCTTTGAAAATAAGATGGGAAAAACTTTTAATAACTAAATAAATAATTTCATGGATGGATTAGTAACCGACAGTATACCTTATGAAGCTAATAAAAAATCACAACAGGTAGGTGGTTTTTCTGACCATGTAGATAGATTAAATGATAATTCTTATGATGTAAATTCAGAAAGAAGTTTAATTAATAAAGGTGATATCAGCCAAAATAATATAAGTAGTAGTGACCAAAGCAGTAGTTGTTACAGTAGTATCGGTGTTTAAAATATACCTGCTTTCTAAAAATTCTATATCAAGCAATAACAGATACTCTTTTACCAGGGGTAATTAATTATCAATGTTTAAATTTAAAGTATTTTTATATTACTTTAAGTTTCTATTGAAAAGAATAAACTATTCTCATGCACTATAAGCATATTAAACAACAATTCTTAAAGATAACCTAAAAACATAATTAACTTGATCATTTAATTATATAAATTTATAATAGAATAAGCAAAACAAATTTATAAATAGAAAACAGTTAGAAAATATTCATATTTTTTAAATAGAAAAATCACTTACTTACTTTCTTTTAGGTGTCATAAAATTTTTATTTTTTTTAGCTGCGACAGACAGTAGTATTTTAATCAATTTCATATCAAAATATTAATCAATCAATTAACTAATTTACATACTCAAAAAATTTATTTTAGTAAGAAATATTTCATTTTTTAATATATTAATTTATTTGTTGAGGTTTACATTAAATCTTATCAAATTTAATGACTGACTGAGTGAGTGAGTGAGTTAGTTATTGATTATGGTTTTTTAAAAATTTAGATTAAATAGTTTTAATTTAAAATTTATTAAAAAAATTTTCTTAAATATTTTTATTTTAATTGTTATTTAATGAATTAAAGTTTATTTGAAGATTTTCAAACGATGATTTAAGCAAAAAAAACTGACTACAATAAATTTAATGGAATAAGCTTTAAATTTAAAGCTTTGGATAATTAAACTTTATAAGAACATTTAATAGCTAGAAAATTAGAGCAGCTATTTATACATATCTAAAGCTATTTTGATTATGTAAAAGAGCCTATTTATTATTTTGAGTTAGATCTAAAGTAAAACTTCTTCTTTTTTTCTGAATATAATTTAAGTTAATTACGTTTTAATTTATTTAATTAAAGATCTATCTAAAATTTAAATGGAGATTGTATAGAGCTTATTCAAAATTTTCTGAGTACTTGTTATATGAAGAAAGTTAAATTTTTATATCTTAAGTTAAAGTAAGTGTTAGTTACATTCTTTGATAAATTCAAATTAATTAAACAATTTAAAAAATTTATTTCAATAATTAGAGGAGAATAAGAAAGAGATGGATTTTAGAAAATAGTCAAACCTTTATCTGATCTTTATGATATTGAAAAGCTTGATTTACAGCTATAGTAAAATAAATAAATAAATAAATACAATTTTAATATTAATTATTTTTTTAAATAAAATTTATTTTATTAAGCTCATTCACCAAAATTAGAGATAAGGACTTTAAACTCTTAACCTAGGCTTGCTAGTAAATGGATAACTTGTATTCTTTAAAATTAAATCTACAGTAAACAATTTTTTTGAAATTAATGATTTAATGTTTTTAATGATATATATTTTTCAGAGATAACTCCGCACTCAAAGATAGTTCCTTAGAATACTTAGGAAAAATATTTTTGAAATTAGAATAACTAGAAGAAATATAGCTTATTTTTTGGTAATATTGTTCCATTTTTTGCTTATCTAATTTATTTTTTTAAGGAATAACACTAGATTTTCTGATTATGGATTATAATCTTTGCTGTTTGGAAAGAAGTTACTACATTTTGATTTAAGAATTGGGTAATTTATTTTTTTCTTTGTAACATTATTTATTTATTTTATTAATATATTTATTTACTTATTATATATTAACATTTATTTAGTTAATCATATACTTATTTATTTATTTGTTTGTTTGTTTATTGTTTTAAATAGAAATTGCAGTTGTGTATCTGATGAAGGAATTAATTCATTATGCGAAAATCTTAAAAGTTTAGAAAAGCTGATTTCTTTGAAGCTATTTTCAACGTAAATTAAATATTTTTCATTATTTAATACTATGAATTCTAATTATATTATATTTAGAAATACAACTTAGTTTACAGATTCAGCTTTAATGTCAATTTCTAACAAGCTTAAAAAGGTTCAAACACTTAAAGTCCTTAATATTTAGTTTAAGTAAAATATTTCAAAAAAATTTATTAATTAATTTTCTTCTAGCTTAGCAGAAAATATTTCAGACGAAGGACTTAAATCTATCTCTGAACTGATTGAAGATCCTAAAAAGGAGTTTACTTAAATAGTTCTTAACTTTAAGTAAATATCAAAACAAAAACTTTAATTAGAATGTATTTTACTTATACTTTAAAACAGTTCGAGCAAGTGTTTTACAGATAGAGGAATCAACCCTCTGATTAACTCATTTTCGAAATAAAAAAAGCTAACCAAATTAAAATTAAGCTTTAAGTAATTTGCTTTATGTTTTTATTGTGCTAAGTTTTAAAATTTTAACATTAGTGAGTGTAATTAGTTGGAAGGAGCTCATCTCATAGCTATATCAAATAGCCTTTAATCGATGGAATAATTAACTTCTTTTTAACTAGATTTTAAGTAAATCATATTTTCTAATTTTTACTCAATGTTTAATTTTTATTTTTAGCTAATCAAAAATTACCTTTGGTTTAGATTTCTTATTCCGTGCTTTCTCAAGTACTAAATTACTTAAGAAATTAAAAATCTTTTTGAAGTAAGTTCTTTTGATATCAGAATTATAATTAAATTTGTCTTTATTATTATATAGCAAGTCATTGCTTACTACAGATTTTTAAAAATTGTTAATAGAAAGTGTTTCAAAGTTGTAACTCTCATAGTTAGCCTTACAGTTCAGTAATTAAATTTTTATATTAATTGATTATTAATTAAAAAGTAAATATATAAAACAGTTAACAATAATAGAGTTTAGTATTAAGAATTAAAGTCTTGTGCTGCTATTAAATAGATTAAGAATTTAAATATTTGAAATAAAAGATTGATTTCATTAGATTTAATAAAATAAAATTCTTTTTAAATTGTTTGTTTAGCTGTAAATTTTATAAAATTATGTAAAAAAATAAATTATTTTATGGCAAAATAAAGATAAAAATATTTTAATGAAATTTTATGCTATTTATTAATTAACCTTAAAATAAATTCAATATTTTAATAAAAATAATTTTTAAATTAACAAATTTTTTTTTTAAAATGTGTAAAATAAATTTTTTATTTAGCTTATTTTTAGTTAATCAAATAATTTTTAAAGTATTTTTTTTTTAAATATTATTAATTTATTACTATTAAAATAATGATTTATATCAATTTAAAATATAGTAAAATACAAATTTTTTATTTCAACTAAAGTTTGTTTATTTTCAAATATATTTTTTTGGTACTGCTTTTCTACTAAAATTGACTTCGTTTGTTTTAATATAAAAATAAATTCATTTTTATTCCAAATAATTATTTGATTTCTTAATTGAGTTAGATATTTATTTAATGTATTTTAATGTAATTTATATTCTAATATCTTATAGAAGAAATTAAAATCAAAATTAATATATAAAATCATCTAAACATATATTTTGCAAGTAATTTTAAAATAACAAGTAAATTTAACTTTAAAACGATATAAAAAAAATACCATTAATTTTAAATTTTAGTTAAATAAAAAATATTCTAACAGATAAATAGATGGAAGAAGAAGATTTTGATTAAACAGAAGAATTTAAAGAATAAATCAAATTTAAGTTTGTTGAATCTTTGTATACTAAGAGCTCTTATTTGCCAAGCATTGAAAAAAACAACTAAAATTAAATAAATGATTCATAATCATAAAGCTAAATGTCACCAAAATTCAAGGATGATGAGGAATTTAAGGAAAAATTGAATTAAATTATTGATTAACAATAAATATCTGAATTTTTTGGAAGCTAGGAACATAATCTTGATTCCTCTTCTAGTAAATTTAGCAGCATAAATGTGTTTTATCTTGAATTATTCAAAATATAAGGGTAGTATTTTTTCTTTCTTTCTTTGATAAAATCTTAATTCATTTATTTATTACAATTTAAAAAAAGAGACTTAAATCAACTGATTAATTTTATTCCAAAGGAAGATGAGAATAAGTATAAATGGTTCAGTCAATTTTTTTTAAAATTATTACTCTCAAAAGATGAGCAGTTCTAAGAATAATAAATTAACAGTTAAATTTTAAACTTAATAACTGATGTCAAAACAATTTTCTAAAATAATCTTAGAGAGATTATCTAATTTGAATTAGATTTTATGTAATTATAAATCAATAAAATATATCAATTAAAAGAATTCAGCATTTTGAAAAAATAATAGCTCATATAAATATCTCGATGGATAGTGCTTAAGCAACATAATTAAAATTTACGATAACGCTAAATTCAATAAAATAGAAATTCTAACTTTAAAACTTAGGTAGATAATTTTTTTTAACAAAATGAAATTTTTTTATCTCAAAAATAATTTATAAAAAGATTTTATTACATAAATTTATTTACTATATTTGCAAAGGTTCATTAATTTTTATATTGGTTGAATATTAATGAGTAAGTTTTTTATTTTAAAAAAGAACTTTATAATTCTGTTAATTATTTTTATAATTAATTTTTCAATTTAAAATTGATTATTTTAGTTTAAGCATAAATCATATTATTAATTTATATGTATAGAGGAGAGTTTTAAAGCAAAGAATTCTAAGAGATTATTTAGCCTCTCAGTAGTTTTGGAGAGATGTAGAGTCTGAGCTTGCAACTTCTGTAAATTAAACAAAAAATTAAAATCAGTAATTTGTAATATTATTTTTAAATAGTTAATTTGATAAAATAAGAGAAAAAGATATAGCTTAATTGGTAACGGTATGCAAAAATATGAAAAATTTAAAGTCTTTTAAGCTTAACTTACAGTAAAATTCATTCATTCTATTTTTATGAATAAAATGATAAATAATTATCAAGCGATTGCAAAAATCTTGATGATGAAGCTATAAATCACTTAAGTAAATGGTTCTAATAGCTATAAAAACTTGAAGAAATTTAAATAGTATTAATGTAATTTAGAATTAATATTTTTTAAGTATAAAAGCTAATTTGAATAATAATTAAGGTATGAAAATAGATTTACTAATGAGGGGATATCTAAGTTACTTTAAAATATAAATCTAAAAATTTTAGATTTAAGGTTAGCTTAATTAAACTAAAATATTGGTAATTACGATTATAATGCAAATAATTATGAGTAATCATAGATTTAAAAAATATGTGAAAAAATAATTGCTTTAAAGAATTTAGTACATTTTAAGCTAGTAGTCAGGTATTATTTATTCAATGAATTAAGTTTGTTTTCAATTTATAAAATAATATTTTTTAATATACAGAGAAAGAGATAATATAACAGATGTAAGTATCAAAAGAATTTGTTCAAAATTGAAATAATTAGATTATTTGAAAGTTTTAAATCTTTAATTTAGGTAAGATTTTGTAATTTTTCAATTAATTAAATTAATATTTTTTTATAGGTTTGTCTAGTGTTTCACAGATAAGTCTTTAACAAGAATTAGGCGAATAATTTATAGCAAATATAATTAATTGGAGGAGATTGTACTTGACTTTTCGTAGCATTTTATAAATATATTTTCATACTTATTAATTTAGTTTCTTAAATTATTAAAAGATTTAGCAAATTTAGTTCAAATGAGATTAATAAATTCATTCATAGCTTGTAAAATCAAAAATAATTAAGAAAACTAAAGCTTGATTTTGAGTAAGAATAAATTAATTAATTAATCAAAGCAGAAAAGCTTTTTTTTTTGTAAAATAAATAATTTAGGAAGAGATAAATTTTCAAAAGATAATAAAATTAATTATCTACTATTTACTAATTATCTAATATAAATTTTTGTATATTATCCCTCTCCCTTTGAAAGCAAGCTTATTAATTAAATTATTTTATTAAATAATTTAGTAGTAGTGAAGTAAATGAAATAGGAAATTAAATTATCATAGCTCTTTCATTATAGATTGAGAATATGGAATTTTTAACTTCATTAAGCCTAAATTTTAAGTAATATATATTAATATTTTTAGAATATGTATTTTCTTATATTTTTTAGCAACATATTAATAATAGGCTATGAAATAGAGCCTCTCGTAAGTGCTTTAGCTTCAAAATAATACCTTAGAAAGCTTAGACTGTTTTTCAAGTAAAGTGACTTAATTAATCAATTTCAAAAATAAATTTAAAATTTATATTTAAGAAAAATAGTTATTGAACAGAAAAGAGAAAGTATCTAAATAATTAAATAGATTCTCAATAAAACATAATGTGAACTAGACTTTGGTTAAGGCCCATATTGAGGATATATGTATGAATATACTTATCTTAAATAATTTAGCTTTGAGAGTAAATAAAATAAAAATAGAATCTTTTTTTAAATTAAAAATGTAATATGTTCATTATAAATAATAAACATTAAATCAAACAAACAAGCAAATATATAAGCATACATAAATACTTTTTATTAAATAACTTATATTCATCATTTATTTGTAAAAATTGATTAACTTGATTTTCCAATTTTATATTTTAAAAAATTTTAAATAAATAAATAAATATAACTAATCCTGTAATTAAAATATCACGAACTGTGTTTATACAGATGGTGATATGTAATTTAATTTTTATGATTTTAAGCTAACTATTTTTTAATATGAAATGATAAAATATTTACAAAAAAGTAAAAAGCATATTTTATATAGCAGGTTGATTCAGAAAAAAAGTCTGGTAGTTAATTTTTTAAAAAATATTTATTTGCTTTTATGAAATATAAATTTGATAAAAATATTTATTCCATGAATAAAGTAATGAAAAATTTGTTTTTAGTTAAAAAATTTTTTTTGTTTCTATCAATAAATCTACGAACATAAATTTTACAAACAAGCAACCTAAAATTTTTCTGAGTTGGTAATATTAAAAAATAGATTTAAATGGTTGATATTTATAATTGTTTTTATAGATATTTTTTCATCCAAGATAAAATTTTACTAATCTTTTATTTTTCATTGCTTTTCTCCTGATTTGTTAGAATAAGTAATCTGGAAAATTACTATTATTTGATATATATATTATTAAAATTATCAAATTTTAAACTTATTTTAAAGTTCTCCCTAAATAAACAGCTCCAAAATTATTATTGTCTAGATCAAGAACTAATTTTTTTAGGGATTTACTTTTATCTAACTCTTAAACTATTTTATATATTTTCTTACCTTTAAAGTAGTTACATTATAATGATAGGTTTAATGAATTAATTGAGTTCACTTTTGCTATTTCTTTAAGCATGATAATTAAATCTTTAAATGTTATTGAAGTTTTATCTAAATTAATTTTAATTTCATTTAAACTTTTTAATGCATATGTAATTAATGTAGTTATTGCTTCAGCTTCGCTTTATTTTATTTTGACATATGAAAAATTAAAATGAAACATTAAAAATAACTTAGAATTGATGTAATTTATTGCTAGAATTTATGAATTTTTATTTTAATCCTTCTTTTTTTTGTCTTCTCTAAAAAATATTCCAAGGTTATTTGTTATCAATTCTTTGATATTCTCTTAATCAACAATATTTTTATTTAAACTTGTATCATACTAAATTAAATTAAAAGCAATATCTAATAATTGCTTATATGATTTAATAATAAAGTTGTGATAGAAATTTTAAACTTTCATTCTTTTTATCCATTGTATAAATTCTGAGAATGTTTCGCATTCAAAAAAGCATTTATCGAATTTAAGATCAAAATAATTGGCTTTTAAAGATCCTTTTATTTCATCATATATTATCTGCTTATCAGTTTTAAAAAGAGTGTTTTGTAAATAAATTTTCAATATTTTGAAGCATTCCTCCTTTTAACATAAACCTGAAAATATATTAGATAATTTTATTTCAGATTATCTATAATGTCTTAAAGAGTTATCATATCCTAATTCAATTTCTAATTATTTGAGATTTTTATGTCTACCAATTTCTTGAAAAAAACCTTAAATGGAATCAATATAATTATTTTTAAAATCAACCTTCAAGACTTCCAAATTTTTACAATTTTATAAATTAGATCCTAAGGTTGTCATTCCTTTAGAAATCATATTTTATGATAAATCAAGTAATAAAATTTATAGATTTTAGCACTATGATATACCTCTACTAATTCCAATAATTCCTTTATCACTAATACCCATTAGTCCATGTCTATAGCTAATACTAAAAGAAAAATTAATTTAGAATAATTATTTGTTTTAAGTAAAAAGTTAGAATAATTAATCTTAGAATTTAGATGTAAGCTCAAATTTATATGCATCAACACTCAGCTTAAAATGCTTAAGATTTTTTAATTTTTGTAAATAAGGATAAAGTTCTTTCTCATAACTTTCAATATATTCTGATATATAGAGATCTAAAATTTCAGTATTGAAATTAGAACCATATTTAGATACAGATGACATTCTCCCCACTTAATTAATTTTTTATTCAACTTTATTTATTATATTTTATTATATATATTTTTTTAATCAATAATATTTAAATCGAATATTAATTAATCTTGTCTAAGATATAAGTAGCTACTTTTCACTGCTTAAAAAAGCAAATTAAAAATCTTTTTATAAATAAATTTATAAATTTTATTTTATAAAATAGAAATATTTAAATATCAAAAATACTGCTTTTTACGAACTACTTTTTGATCTTCGCTTGAACTAATTTTGCTACTTTCGTATAGCATAACCTTCATGTTATATAAGTATTTATTAGTTAATTGCTTCTAATAATAGGTGTAAACATATTAATAAATTGAAATAAGAGTTTAAGATCAAATAAAATAAAATGATCTAAAAGAATATATTATAATTTCAAATTAAATTTTTAGATTAAATCTTATCAAGTCCGAAATCTTAAAAAGAGAATCTTTAGTTATTATAAAATTCTATTTTTAAAATTATTTGCTTATTTATTCTATTAGCTTTATAATAATTACTTTCTTAAATCTAAAAAAAGAGTAAAAATAATTATTTAATACTGAAATAATTATTCAAAAAAATATATTCTAAAATATTCATTTTAATTAACTTACTTTTACTATTAATTGGATAATGTAATATTTTTTTTTTAATTTTAAATATATTTTTTAATTTATTTATTTAAGGATTTTAAATGAGTTTTTACATTAAATTCTTTAATTTTTAAGAATAATTTCTCAAATTTTTAATAATTGTTTTTTAGTATGAGATATTATTTTTACTTTATCAAAAAACTTATATTTTTCAAATATCATAGTAGCTAGCTATTTTCTTATTTTTTTTTTTGATTTATTTATTTTAAAGCTTAATTTTTTAAACAATATTGTTTTTTATTTAAAATATATTTAATATTAAATCTAAAAAATTTAATAAATTTTATTTGAGTTAATTTTAAAGAAGAAAATGAATGTTATGTTAACTTGCTTGCTTGTGTGTTTTAAATTAAATAAATATGGAAGTTAAGTAAACAAAAATTAAATAATTGTTCGTTACTTATTGAAAAAAACTTGTCATTCATTTATATTACTCAGAAATAGGTTATATCTGTTAATCTATAAATGATGCTTAATTCTAGGTAGTTTCATTTATTTCCCATTTATTTAAAAAAAAAATTTTTTAATTAAAAAAATATTTTAACATTCATTTTAAACTAAGGAATAAATTTTATTTGTATTAAATATAAGGAAGAAAATGGATTTTATTTATTTATATGCTTGCTTGTTTGTTTGTTAGAAATAATAGAAGGATATTGATGTTAATTAAATAAATATATATTTTGTTTAGTAAAACATTGTGAAAAAAAGTATCATTCATTTATATTCCTCAGAAATAGGTCATATCTGCTTTATTGTAAATAATAAATAAATAGTACTTAAGATATAGTAAATACATAGATAGATACAGATAGAAGAACAGAGAATAGAGGTTTTTGAAAGTTGTTTTCGATTTAAAATTTGGTAAATCTTTTAATAAAAATATTAAAAAATAAATATAATAAATCATTATCAAAATAAAATACATCAAATTTTTCTTTTTCAGAAAAGAATCAAGAGCAGGCAGAAAAACGATAGATTTCTTATTAAAGAAACAAAGCAATAAATATAAAATATAAAGGAAAGTTAATTTAAATTAAATGGAAAATATCTTATCAACTGAAAACTTAGGTTTCGCTGATTCATTCAACTACACTAGCAACAAATTGGGTAGATCATTAAATACAAAGTTAGATGATATCGTTAAATCAAATGGTTAATTCGGATTTGAATAGGTTCCTTTGAGTGATCCTACTTAACTTGTTCATAATATTAAGGATGCCAAGGGTCCTGAGCGTTCTTTGATGGAATTCAAGAAGGGTACAACTACCCTCGCCTTTAAATTTTAGGGTGGTGTTATCGTTGCAGTCGATTCCAGAGCTTCATAAGGTAGTTTTGATGCTTCTGAAACAGTTCGTAAAATCATTGAAATTAACGATCAATTACTCGGAACAATGGCTGGTGGTGCAGCTGATTGCTAATTCTGGGAGCAATATTTGGCAATTGAATGCAGAAAATATCAATTATAAAATCGTGAAAAGGTTTCTGTTGCAGCTGCCTCAAGAATCCTGATTAATATTTTATATTCCTACAGAAATCATGGACTCTCTATGGGTTGTATGCTTACTGGATGGGATCACGAAGGTGCTTAGCTCTACTATCTTGATAACGATGGTCAAAGAATTAAGGGAAACATTTTCTCTTGTGGTTCTGGTTCTACTTATGCCTATGGTGTTCTAGATAACGAATATCATTACAATTTAAGTGTAAAGGAAGCAGCTGAATTAGGTATTAATTTCGATTATTATTATTATCAAAACAAAAATCATTAGCACTTAAATTCATTAGCAAGTTAAATAAATAAACAGCTAAGCACCTTAATATATCAGTATAGTTGTGTGATCCATAAAATGATAAATCCTTTATGATCTCAAAAATTTCAAATCAATTAATGATCAAATTGCTTATTAATTTATGCATTTAAAAAAATTTGATTTAGTTTTAGTATTTTTATTGATAAGCAATAAGATTGATTGATTGATTTCAATAAACTAAACTGACTGAAAAACTTGCAAATAAATGATTTAAATGAATTTAAATAAAAATAATTTAAACTTATTTTTTTAATAAAACAGGTAGAAAGGCAATTTATCATGCCACTCATAGAGATGCTGGTTCTGGTGGTGTTGTTAGAAGTATCGATATCTTTTACCATTCAACTTAGCATTTATTCATTAATTTTTTCCCTAACAAATAATAGTTTATCACGTCCATGCTCCTAATGCTTAAGGTAAGGGCTGGACCATTATTGAAGATGGTGAAGATGTTAATAAACTCCACTACTTCTACGAAGGTGCTAAAGGTAAATTGATAATTTAAATATAATTTTAACCTTTGTTAATATAATTTTAATTAAAAATGTTTAGGAGCTGTTGGTGATGGTGATTTCGTCAATGCTGAACTCTTGTGATAAAAATAATAAAATATTTATATTAACTAAAATAAATAAATTTTTTAATGTAATTATGGGAATCTATTTACAAATATATATTCATATTATTCCACTCAGCTTGGATGTTTGCAATTTTACTTTTACATTTATTCAAAGCACTTAAAATTATTTACTAATTTTCATCAAATTAATAAGCTTATCTAAATCAATTTTTAAATAATAAATTTATAAACAAGATAAATATTTGATTCATTACTTCAAAATAATAATTGCTATTTTAATTTTTTAATTGTTTGCATTTAAAATTACTAAGGATTTTGCTACTTTGGGTTGATAACTTTTTGATTTCTCTAGCCTTTGCATGAATTTTAAATTAAATTGTAAATTCATAAAATAATTTAAAGTTTGTGTTGATAGATTAGCGAATAACATTTAAATTTAATTTTCATCATAGTTAAATGATCTTTTGATCAACAAATTTATATTTTTTTTTTATTATAAGTAAAATTTAAATGCTTAAATAAAGAATTCAAATATAATTTAAAATAAATTAGTAAAAAAATAAAATAAAATCTAATTTAATTTTATGATTTTTTATTTTAATTTATTGCTAAAAATAATAAATTTGAAGTCAAAAAAATAGGGTTTGAATGTTTAAAATATGATTAATTTATCAATAGAATCAATTTGTTGATAGTTATCAAAAATTAAAAAACATTTATTTGAGCAGTGAATAAACACAAGATCTGATATTTCATATTGATATCTGAAAAATAATGTTCGAAAAGCTAAACGACATTTATTGATTTGTTGTTAAGTATTTGTAAGTTGAATAATTCATACATACAGCAGATAGATAAAGAGTTTAACAATTAATATTTATTTAAAACAACATATAGAGGGCTATTTATTTAGAAAAAGCTAAAAGATAGTTAAAAATACATTATTTTTTTGTGCTTTTGAAATGCAAATATACAGGATACTACTAAAAATCAAATGAATAATGAATGAATATGTATGTCAGTTAATTAGTTAGGCTTTAACTCGCTTAGCTTAATCATTCAAAGTTTTAATAGTTGTATACTCAATTGTATATATAAAAAAACTGCTATCTTTAATTACTTCAATAACCTTATCCTTTTTCAACTCTTTCTTTCCAATTGCTGTATTCGGGTTCATATAAAAATGAATTGGATCCAGTAAACAAGAGATCTATTTTAGTAAAAATGAATTAATTTAATAGAAAATGTAAGCAATTTAAATTATTATTTTTAATAATATTGATTTTTTGCTTAATTTTGAGATTTATCTTCTGTTAAAATGATTTTTTTTGATTATATCATATTTCAGATTGATATTTATTTGAATATTAGATGATTGTTATGCTTCAATTTCTGATTTTAAAACTAAAATTGCCTAATTGATTAATTAATTACCTATTATAAGGACAGAACTAAATATAACAGCTCCTGTAATCCAACCATTAGCGATCTATCTATCTTAGGTGTTGGCAAAGAAGATCCAAATGAAAATAATTAAAGTAATCCAAACTTTTTATCTAAAATTAAACATTCCTGATTCTTTTTTATTTATTTATTAACTTAACCTAATAAGATTTGTTTATTATTAATTTTTTTATTAATTTTCTTCCCAAACTCTCGATTGAATGATTATATATATATTCTTTTATTTGTGAACTCTCTTTTTCATAAAAATTTTATTTTACTATCAATTTCATTCAATCAATCAATTTTTAGTTAACCTTCTTAATGGATTTCTGCATTCAATTTAAAAGCTATTAATTAAATGGCTCTTTCATTCTACTATCCTTCTTCTTCTCTCATTAAATGATTGCTGCTTTCCTTAATTGAATGAATATATAATCAATCTATCATATAAACAGGTAATTGTGAATTTAATTAATATATTTCTAATATATATTTTATATTTTTCTTTTAATCTAGAAATACAAAATAATTAATTACTCACAATGAATGACATCATTGATATTTCCTAGCATAATATTTTTTCTATTTCAATCTTATTTTTCTTTATTTTCATAAGATATAATAGAAAATTATTTGATTATCATTGTTAATACCAATGATAAACTAAAATACTAAAATTAATTACATTTTTTATCTCTTCTTTATTTTAATAAAAATGTATTTGAAATAAAATTAATTAAATGCTATAAATATTCATATTTTATATCAAATGTTCAACTTCAATTTATTAATCTTATCTACTTAAAATAGCTCTTAAATATCGCTTAACACAAAAAATTAATGAAATAGTACTTTATTTATGAATTTATGCTTAAATTTTAAAATTTAGATTATTCAATTTATTTTAGATTTCCAAATTTTAAATAAAATCTTTTGTTTTTATAGCTAGGCATAAATTAAAATTAAAATATTAAAGAATTTAAAGATTTATTTTTAAAACTATTATTTAATGGGAGATATTTGGAAAATTCAAAAATTAATTTCTGACAGTATTCAAAAATTAAAAATATTTTTATTTTTTTTTTATATGAATAAGGTAAAAAAGTTATTTAGGAGAAAATTTAATTATGATTGAAAATATATTCATTTTATTTTGCTTACAATTAATTATTTGATAGAAAATAGATAAAATAATAATCATGAAATAAGTAAATAATCAATTATAAAGAATAGAAAAGTAGATTTAAATAATAAAACCTATTTTTAAGCTAATTAAATGGGAATGATAAAAATTAAGTTATATGGTATTTAATTTTCACTTCTTATCACAAATTCAAAAATTAGTCTTATAAAAATGTTTATAAATATTACTCATTGATAATACTCTATTTCATTTATAAAAAATATAAGTATAAGCTACTCAGTTGAACATTAGTTGTAAATTGTAGAATAATTACTTTCAAATTGAAGTTATGAAATAATTATTTTATTTTTTAGTAGTTTTAGACCTTTAAAAAAATATAAATTAAATCAACAAATAAATAAATAAATTTTTAATTTGTTTTAACTTTAATCATCATCAAATTCTACTTAATTTTAGATATTATTAATTAAATATTAATTAAGGTAAAATTCTACATTTAGTTTTTAAAAAATGATTAAAATTTTGTTAGCTATTTTATTACAAACATCGACCTTAATTGCTTAAACAAGTAGTAGTGATTGCGGTTATTATGCAGACTAAAATGATCCTCAGGGTTTAGGCCCTCTTTGCAAGTATACTATAAATGGCTGTAGATAATGTAATAGTAACATTTGCTATTAATGTTTAGATGGATTTTATCTTAACTCATTAAATTAATGCCAATCGTGTAGTGATATTTTAGGCTAATTTGTAGCTACTTGCTCTTTAATTGATGGCTCTAATAATATTCAAATAGACTCTTGCATTTAGGGTTATTACTTAAACTCAGATAATAGTTAATGTATCCCTTGTAGTCCTTATTGCACATCATGTATAGATGATTAAACTTGTGTTAAATGTGATAATGGTAGTTATTTGTTTAATCAATAGTGCTACCCTTGTTAAGTCAATAATTCCAAATGTTGCTTTTAAGATCCATTTAAAGGCTGTAATATTTGCAAATAGTCATATTATAAAGATGATAAAAATCACTGTATTAAATGTATTTAAAATTGTTTAAGCTGTTCAAACGCAAATTCTTGTGATTAGTGTAAAAGCGGATATTTTTATGATTACTACTAACTGAAATGCGTTTAAAATCCTTAGAACTGTTAATAAGCATGCATTACTAGTTAATAAATTTAAAATCAACTAAAATGTGTTAATTGTATCAGTGATTATGCTAATAACAATATGTTTTATCCTGATTTGTAAGGCTAATGTAAACCCTGCTCATTAACAAACTGTAATATCTGCAGCAGCTCTACGCAATGCTAATAATGTTTTTAAGGATACACTTTAATGTAATTTAGTTTACAAAACTCTTAGTATTTGTAATGTTATACTTGCTAAACTAACTGCAGTAGATGCTAGATGGTAGGGAGTCTAAAAATTTGTTACTAATGCATGGATGGATCATAGCCAGTTAACGGGTCATGCTTGAAATAATTATAATTCACTTGGAATGTAATTTAAACTTTAAAAGGCTTACATTTATATGTTTTAAATGCTATAATATAAATAATTTTCATATTAATATTTGTTTGAGTATGTATTAAAACTTTAATAAAATCCAAATATATTTGCTAAATCTAAAAAATTTAATTAAATATTTAATAATTAATTTTCATATTTCTATTTGTTTGAGTATATAAAAACTTATATAAATTCCATATAAATTTGCTAAATTTATAACCTTAAATATTTAATAATTTTCAATTTTCTATTTGTTTGAGAAAATAACTTAAATAAATTCCATATAAATTCATTAATCTTACCATTTTTCTTGATTAAAATCTAATTATTTATTCAAAGGTCGAATATTATAGTCTTTACTATACAAAAATAATTAAAAAAATAAATTTAATAATTCTCTCCATTTTTGTGATATGAATTTTAAATTATTGATTTCAAAGATGAATGAATGGATTAATTTAAATTCTTTTTCAAAAGTAAATTTAGAGTTATTTTTTTGTTTTGTTTAACAAATGAATAAATTTAAAAAATTAATTTTATTTTTAGATAGAATAAAAAGGATTTTAAATTCTTCTTTGTAATTTAAGAAATTGTTTAATTAATTTTTTATTATTATTTATATTTAAATAGAATTACATTTATTATTTTTAAGATTAAATCTTTTTTATTAAACTCTAATCTAAAATTTTAAAAATCTTTCTTCCCTAAATGTATTTTCCAAGAATTAATCTGTAAAATAATTTTTTGTTATTTTTAAATTTTATATTTCAAAGAGAGAACTAAATTTTTAGAGAATTTTATTTACAAGAAGACTAAAAATTCAAAGATGGAAATATAATTAATTTATTATAAATTTAATATCAATGATTTAAACTAATCTTAAAAGAGTAATTAATATATTAATCTAAATAACAAATTAAATTGAATTTCACTTGTTAAATAATTCGAAAATATAAAATTTTTATATCTAAATTATTTTAATTTAAATATGAATTTTAATTTAATCTCTATAAGTTTTATATACTATTAAATAAATACTTAAATTTCAAGCATACATTTAAAAAATTTGTATTTAAAATACTCATTTTATCACTAAAAAACAATAAAGAGAAAATTATTTTATTGATTGGCAAATTATTTAAATAATCTAAAATTATTGCAAAATAAGATTTTTATTTAGAGCAAATTAAAATTTCAATGCATTTTATCTATGATAGATTAAATAAATTGAATTCATTTTAAAATATTGTTATTATGTCTAGATTTATATTTTCAAGATTACAATTACTTTAATTTTTAACTTTGTAAGTATAGTATCAAGTATTTATTAAGTATTGAGGATTTTGTGAGATTAAGCATATTTTTAATCCAACCAACCATATAAAGCAGCTTTAATTTTTAAATTACATTGAATGGCTTTACAAAGATTGAAAATAAATTAAAAATAATTAATTAGTATAAATCAATAATTTTTTTAAGTTACATTGCTTTGTTATTTAAATCTATTAAATAGTAATTTTAATTTTGTGTTACAATCAAATGGCAAGCTATTTCTATTTTAAATGAAAAGTTTATATAAACTACTTTTTATTAAAGCGCAAATAAATATATTTAAGATAAAATTTCTTTTTTCATAAATAAATAAAAATGTAAGTTTATAAATTAAGGATATTAATAAAATATTTAGGAGTTAAAAAATGAAATAAATTACAAGTGAATAACTAAATTAAATTCGTTTTAAATGTAAATTAGCATGCTAACATATTTATTAAATCGATCTTATCAACTAGTTTTAATTTTTGAGTTACTTTCAATAATTTAATAAACATAGGAATTAATAAGAAATAGAAAGAAATTTTGCATAAAAAATACTTTAATAAATTTAGGTTACAGAGATTTGTTATTTAAACTAACTAAATAATAATAATTTTATCTGTATTATAATTAAATGACAATTATTATTTTAAAATGTAAAGTTTATGTAAAATATTTTAGATAAATATATTAATTAATTTAGGCTAAAACTATTTTTTTAAATATTAGCAAAACAAGAATTAAAGTTTTTTAAAAATATGACATTAAAATAATAAAAAAAAATCCAATTATATGAGATAAATATAATATATAAAAGAGAGCTAGAACGTTTAAGAAGTTTATTTATTTTTTTAAAATATTCTCCTTTCATGAACATATATTTGCATATGATTCATCAAAATTTTTATCACAAAAATTTATCTAGGCTTCTTTTATGTCTAAAAATAATGCGAAGTAATTTCTAAAGATTACTTAGTTATAAATAAAGAAAAACAACTCTCAATAAATAACAAGCTAAACATGAATACAATTTAAATTTACATTTATTACTAAGAAAGGAAACACAAAAAAGAAAATATAAATGTAATTTTTGATATACTTGTTTGTAGTTAGAGTAAACTTCGTCCAATAGTCAAATTATTAATCATAATAGCTTTTTAAGCAATTTAAAGCCTATGATAATTTTAAAATTTTAAAAGAATGTGGTTGAATAAAAAGTTTATGTAAATCTCATACTTTTTCTAGTATTTATTTGATTTATATTTACACAATTTTTATTAATGTGCTGATTACATACATGCTTTATAATTATTAGCATGGTAAAGTATTATTTGAATTAAATGGAAAAAAAAAAAAAAAAAAAATATATAAATATTTATTTTCTTTGATTACAGAGATATCTCTAAATATTTTTCTTTTCGAATTTTAATAATAAATCTTTATTTAAATTAGTAAATTCCATATTTATAAAGTCTTACAAAGCATTAATTACATTTTTATTAATTTATGTTTATACTAATTATCATTCTTAAAAACTCTAAAATTGAAATAATTCCATAAAATGATGATTATGATGATGATGATAATAAAATGAAAAATATGATAAATTAAGAAACTTATTGAATATGTGATAATTATTTATTTATTTAAGAAAAGAAATTCATTCTTTTAATATAAAAGAGAGCATCTCAAAAAGTAAAAGAATTACACCTAAATAATTTAAATTACAAAATAATATCTTTAGGTGTAGACAATTTTTTCTAATTAAAACTAAATGACATCCTTTTGCTTTATATAGTAAAATTAAATAGCAATCAAACAAAAGATTAATCGACTACATAAAAATTTAAGTTAAAGAATAATTTATATATTAATAAATTTTATTGAATGTCTTAAAATATTTTAAATTTCATAAAATTTCCAAACTTAAATGAACTTTTTAGTTGAGCTATTTATTTATTTAATGTATGATTTTAACAAAAAATACACTTTTATGCTGCATTAAATATTTGAAGAAATAAAAAAAAAAATGTGTAAGATAGATAGATTTTTAATAAAAATGTATTTTTATTTTGATGCAAATAAGCATAAATGATACTTTACCTTAAATTGATGTAAATACTGTTTTCATAACTGTAAATAAAAAAAATCTTTTTAAACTTTTTGAACATTACAGTTTTATACCACAAAAACTTCGTAATTAAAAATATAGGGTAAGGGTAATCAATATTAACATAATTAAAAGAATACATACTTTCAAAAATTAATAAAGGCTTTTTAAGTTATTATATTTAACTTAATTAATGAAATAAACTTTTTATCGATTAATTACATTAGTGGGGCTCGTATAAATGTATTATTAGTGGTGAATGGGTGTATTTTATGCAACCTTTTTTTGGTTAAAATACGAATTAATTAATCTTTAGATACTTTTTCCAAAAAAACCATAATAAACAAAAAAAAAAACACTCACCTAAATTAGCTAAAAAATTAGAAATTAAAAAATACATTTAGAGTAAGAGGTAAATTAGCTTGTTTTTAATAAATTTGTTTTGAGTTTCTTTTGTTATTTGTGTGTGGTAAAAAAAATTGCCATCAATTAATTAATTTTTGGATTTTGAAATAAATCAGAATAGAAAAGTAAATTATGTAAACAAGTAAATTAATTAAAAATTAATCTAACTAAAACATAATCAATCAGCCACTTCAATTATAATTTAACTGAATAAATTTATAAACTGCTTAACTTCATTTATTTTCACTTCAAATTTGCTTAATTCTAATAAAATTCTCAAATATCTTTAATTTTTGATGTGTTGTCTGTCATATCAATGATAAATGATAAATTTACTCTAAAGTATTCTTTGTTTAATCATCAGCTTTAAATACCTAATAGTCTAAGTCATCATTTCTAAAAATTAAATAATAATTTAAAAATTCAAAAAAAATAATAATTATGTCTAAAAAGGTAATTCTCTTACTTTTAGCTTTATTAGCTGTTGTCTTAAGCAACAACTTAAGACATCTCACTGATTCCGAAACTCTCTTTGATGACAGCAACGATGAAGAAGATGAAGACTTTGACTCATTGGAAGAAAGCACTCAATAACTTAAATACAATCTTACTGAATTAGTAGCTTTTAGACACGATATCCATTAGCATCCTGAACCTGGTTTCCATGAATTCAGAACTCAAAGAAAAATTATTAGATACTTGAGAAAGCTTGGTGTCCACAAAAATTAAATTAAAAAAATTGCTATTACTGGTCTTTAAATTGATATTCCTGGTAAAGCTAAGCCTTAAGGTGAAGACAGACTTATTGCTTTCCGTTCAGATATCGATGCCTTAGATATTTTTGAAGATAACCCAACTCTCCCTTACAGAAGTGTCAACAGTAATGCTCATGCTTGTGGTCATGATGGTCATATTACATGTGCTCTTGGTTTTATTTCCAAATTGATGGACGATATCCATAGAATCCCTTCCAATAAAGTAATTAGAATGCTTTTCTAACCTAGTGAAGAAGGTCCTATTGTTGGTGCTCCTAAGATGATTGCAGATGGTTGTCTGGATGGTGTTTAAGAAATTTATGGATGGCATAATGCTGCTCAAGCTCCTGTTGGCTACTTTGGAACAACTGATGGTATGTTAGAAGGTTAAACTTCTTACATTAACTTAACTTTCTTCGGTGGTGGTGGTCATGCTGCTGACCCAACTAAATAAGATGCTGTTTAATTGGGTGTTAACTTCATCAATTAATTATAAAACTTCACAGCTTAATTTGTACCTCATAAAATTTTGATTAAATTCCCTTACTTCAAGGCTGCTGAAAGATGGAATGTTGTTTCTCCCACTGTCAATCTTTAAGGTGCCTTCAGAACTCTTGAAGTTGGTTTTGATAAGGTAGTTGAACCTCTCTTCTTCGATTTCCTTAATAGATTCAGTAACTAAACTGGTTTCAACTACACTTGTGACTGGAAATTTGCTTATCATGCTACTATCAATGACCACAACAGAACTTAAGATGTTGTTAGAGTAGCCAATCAATACTTTGGTCCTAGTCATGTTCTTCCTGGAGATACAGTTTACAACTCAGAAGATTTCTCTTACTATCAATTGATTGTTCCAGGTAATTACTTCTACCTTGGTGCTTCTAAGTATCCCAACGATAGATACATCCATACTCCCACTTATAACTTCGATGATGATCTCATTCCAGTCGCTTCTGGCTTCTTATACACCTTAGCTCTTGACAGACTTAATGTCACATTAGCTTGATATATTAACATACATATTTATTTTAAATTTAAAATAATCTTATAATAAATATTTCTTTACATTCCATATTAGTAAATTTTTCTCAATAGCAATTTATTAAAAAATAAATAAATAATCATATTCAATTCTTAAATTAAAAAAATAATTTTATATCAAAATTAATAAAAATTTTGTTGATTAACAAATAATTTTTTTGGATCAGTGGTTTATTTATTCAAACCAAACAAATAGATAGCAAAGTAATTAATTTTGATGTATGAAAGATTTCAAATAAAACAAAAAATAAATAATTTGAAAGCACATGCACATAAAAATAATTTAGATATTTGGTATCTGAATATTTAAACTAATGGGTCTTTTTTTTATATTACACCTTAAAAATGGAACTATAAATAATAGAACTAATAAATTAGAGATAATCATCCATTCAAATGTAAAAATATGAGGTAATAGTAAAATTATATTAGGCTTTAATTGTTTTAAAGAACTATTCATCGCTTATTAAACAAATGAATCTATTTATGATTATGACAATTTTAATTATTCTGAAAAAAATAGCATAAGAAGTAACTATCTTAATTACTTCATATTTATTCAACTTTTTTGTGGGGTTTCTGTAAAGTATTACATCTAAAAACTCTAACTTGAGTGATTAGAACTTTTTGATAAATTTTATGATCAAAAACATAAAGATATATAGATAGATAGATAGATAGATAGATAGATAGATAGATTGAACTAATATAAAGTAATTCTGATTAAATATAATAAATCTATCTCAATTAACTTCAGAATATTCTTCTAACTTGAATTCAATTTTTAAGAAAACATAGATAATTAATTAATTAATACTCACATAACCTTGCGAAATTAATTCCCCACAATAAGTTTTTTAATTAAATTTATTATATATCTAAAATATTGCTTTCAACCTACTATTTATTGGTAAATATTACAAGTTTATTTTTAAAAACATCTAAGGTATATATATATATATGAATTAAAATATTTAATCTTTATGAAATCACTCTCTATAGCATATATATAATATTTTATAAACTTTTTATGTATTTTTAGAGATAGTTTTGTTTGATTTAAAATTTAAAATATTTGTTTACCATAGTAAAAATTATACTTTATCTATTTAGAGTATTTTGTTATAGTAAAAATTAATTTTTATACTATGCTACAAAGTTTGTATTAAACTCAAAGTTTTTTTATAAATTTATGGTTTTCTACTATTTTATTACTTACTTTTATGAATGTAGACTAAGATTTTTATATTTTCATTTTTGATACTTCCATTTTTATTTACTTACTTACCTGTTGTTTTTATTAAAAAGCAAATTATAATTGTTTTCATAATAGCAATATTCTTTGAATCATAATTTATTCAATAAAAAACCAAAGAAAAGTTTTTTTATTAGACTTTCTTTTAATTTCAAATTTATTTTTCTGTAAACTCAATAAATTTCTTGCTTAATTTTTTAATAGTGTAAACAAAGAAAAATTTTGAGTATCTTAAGCAAAATATTTAATTTACCATACCTTATTAATATATCCCATCCATATGGGTAGGGTCAGGTCAATCAATCAATATATTGTTAATCAAATTATTAATAACTAAACTAAAATAATATTCTTCTAATAACTGAATATTTTAGAGTAAAAGTGAAATATTTCTTTTTAAAACTAATATTTAGATTTTATTTTTTTTTAAATTATTTTATTATTGATAGATTTTATCCATTACAATATCACAAAATATATAAATAATTTATCAATTAATGCTTGTATATTTCTAGTTTTTTCAAAAATAAGATTATACTCCAAAGAAATTCATATTGCATCATTTCTTTTTATGATAATCTTTGAAATGTGTGGTAGCAAATGAAATTTTAAATTAGCATAATAATAATTAGTATCTGAAAAATTTCCTCATAGAGATTGAATTTTTATGCTCAATTATAATCTTTTTTAAAATAATTATTTGACTATTTATAAAAAGAGTTAATATTATTTCAAATTTAACTTTTATAAAAAAACTTTTATTCAAATATTTTATCTAATTCATTTGAAATATTTTGCGATTTAATTAAAATAAATCTAAATAGATGAATCAAATAAGTAAAACTGATCATTAATCAACTATTTAATTAATTAAATATTTGAATTATTACTTGATAAATAATTAGTAAACAGTTCTAACATAGAAATTTTAAATACAATAGATAGATACTAGAGATCTTAAATCAAAAAATGCATTTTATTTTAAGAAAGATAAATTATATTTGTATTTATCAATTTTTAACAAGCAGGGTTTAAAGTAAAAAAGATTTTTTTTTAGCTAAACAGATTGGTTTAGAAAAAATCTTGATATTTTGAAAAAATTTTAGAAGCAGATAAATCAAAACCCCCTTTTTTAATCTCTGGTTAAGAAACTTTTATTTTTATATCATTTATTTAAAAAACAAACAAACAAACAAACAAATAAATATTTTGAATTTTAGACATTATTATTGATATGAAGAGAAAAAAATATTAATCAAATCTTCTAAGTAAAAATTAATAAATTATGTTAAAAAAATTCTAAAGATGGATCAATAGAAATGATTAGATGATAGACTTGAGTCAAAAATAATAATTTTATCAATTCTAAAGAAATACATTTTTTATTTTTATTTGATTTAAAAAATAATAACATACTTTGTGATTTAGAAAGCATTTTGAATAAGAAGAAATTAAAATATAGTTTTATTAAGCAAGTATAACAATTAATTAAATTTAATAAATATAAAATTTACTTAATAATTATTGATATTTCAAATTAAAAATAATTTACTATTTAAAATAACAATAATTAAGTATAAAAAAATTATTTAAAATTTAATATCTTACAAAATATTTTTTTTTATTTAATATTTAAAATCTTAGACATATCAATCATAATATATAGGTTTAATGATTAATTAACATATTGCTGGTTGTTTTGTTTTATAATAAGGGATTATAGAATTTAGCAAATTTCTTCATAATTTTTGTCCTACTTTAGTTATAATAATTTAATTAATTTTATTTAATAAAAAATGCTAATTTAAATTTAATTATTTTATTTAATTTTTTTGATTATTATTTGAGTCATAAATAAGAGAAAAGCAAACATTTAAATGATTTTTGATCTAATGTGTTATAATAAAATTTTAATATTTAGCTTTGAATGTTTAAATCTTTTTATTT